AAAAAGAAAAAACTAGGCAGTCCTTTTAAGTCTGCTATTGTTCTTCGAAACGTGAATCTGAGAGTTTCCACTACTAAGGCAGCCGATTCCCCATGTATGGCTGTAGATAAAAGTGAACTCTCAGAGGAGGACAATTAAACATCACCTTAGAATGGCCAGTTGCAACCTCTCGTCCTTTTCAATCGACAAACAGGCCATTCTTCTTCACCACATCAAGAACGAGAGGCTTGATGTTATTAACATCCAAGAATCGCACTGGGACTCCAGCGTGTTCAAGGATAATGTTAGTAAGGCTGCTAAGTTCTTTTCCCCTTGCAAGATTTATGGAACTCCATGTAGTCCAAATGATAAGGCAGCCGGAATCCTCACTATTATCAAAGGTACTCTGCATAGAAAGGTAATTTCTTTTGAAGTGCTAGTTTCAGGCAGAGTTTCATGTTTAAAATTAGAAACTGATTATGGTGTTGTCAACATCATTAATTGGTACGGTGTGCAAAAGTATAGTAGTGAATTCCAGAACATCTTAACTAAGCTCTCAGAGTATTTACTGGAAGCTATGTTTCACTCGGAACATGTTATTATAATGGGTGACCTTAATATCAACACCTTGTTTGGCTCGGAGAAGAGGAAAGCGAGCGCCTTCAATGAATGGTTACAAGTATTTAACCTGAATGATCTTGTTCCATGTCCGACTCGCCCCTCTTTTAAGTCTAGTAGAGGTAGCAAGAAGCCATATTCTACCAGACCAGATCATATTGTTAGCTCCCTACTCTCCAGCCAACTGTGGGATGTTGAAATGTTTCTTCAACACAAAATGGTCTGTGCTGAGTTTCAATTATTCGATTTGGAGAGCACTGCTAAATTTGAGGAGGTTTTCAATATGTCTAAATTCAATAACAAAGCGTTTACTGAGAATCTAGACTGCATCAATTCAAAGATTGCTTCCTTTTCAGGAAAAGATCTTCAATCCTTCTTAACTGAGCTGTGCTCTCAGTATCATTCGCCGATTAGGAAATCTCCTTTGATTACTGATATTAAAGAATATAGAGATTTAGAGCGTATTCGGAGGGCTCTCCAAAAGGCTAAATGGTCTAACCGACCGAATAAGATAGCCAAGGAATTTATGGCTACTGTTGGTGTAGATAATGCAATTGTAGCCTATAAAGATGTGGTGAAGAAACAACAGAACGTTATCCTCAGTGCTCTTAAAGCTAGAAAAGAGGCTTTCAAAAAGGCAGTTAATAACCTTAAAAGTAGTGTTCCTTATAGATACGCGTTTAAATCGGAGCGTAACTCTAGCTCTGTGTTTAAAATCTCTGATCCAACTCAGGTCACGGAACACTTTGAAAAGATGTTCAATACTGCACTCGGAGACTCTAATTTGGATGAGAAATTAATCACAGGACACCCCAAACTTGCAGAATTTAGGGTCCCACCTGCTAACCCAGGTTTGCTTGCGAATGTGGTTAGCCGGATGAAACACTCAATGCCTGGTAGTGATAAGGTGCCAATGATTGTTTTCAAATCTATGAATGAAGATGCTCTCCTTACAGTGTGTTCAATCTTTAACAAAATCCTTGTTGATGGTAACCCCATCCCTGATTCTTGGAAAGCAGGTCTGCTACTTCCCTTACCTAAAAACTCGAATCCCAAATCACTCTCTGACTTCAGACCTATTGTTGTTCTCCCTATTATTTATAGAATTTTTTCTTCCTATGTTAACTACCACCTCATGAACAAGGTGGACGAGGAAAAAGTGATTCACTCAGCCCAAAGAGGCTTCAAACGCCTTGCCTCAACTACTGACCAGCTCGTGGTGGTCAAGTCTATCATTTCCGAATATAGAAAAACAAAGAAACCATTATTCATGTGCACCCTCGATATTAAGAATGCATATGGAAGTGTGGTCCATAGCAAGTTGAAATCTATCCTTCCCAGGATAGGTTTTAATGAGTCAGTAACCAATCTTGTTATGAAAATGGTTACGGGGCACAGAATCAAAGTGCTTGCTAATGGCTCAACATCACCAGCTTTTGAAGCAAGGTTTGGAGTCCCACAAGGGGATCCTATTAGCCCTCTTGTGTTCAATCTATACTTTAACACTGTTACTTCAGTGATTGATTCATATCAAGGAGCTTCCATTTGCGGAGAAAAAGTAGTTCTCCTTCTATATGCAGACGATATCTTGGTTCTTTCTTCAGATCTCGAGCAAAAGTTTACCTAAATGGTACTAACATTAATAGTTCTAAGAATAATCCGTTAGAGTATCTGGGTGCCTCCTTTATTAATAACATGTCTTGGTCTCCCTCCGATGATAAGGTTCTCTTAAAAGTTGAATCCAGATTACTAAATTTCAGACCAAAACACTTGAGACTCGGTCCAATGAGGAACGTAATATTATCTAAGGTGCTTTCTGTACCTAGATACCTCTCAAGCGTAGATGCTATTCCACTTTCACTATTGGAAAAATTGGAAGTCAAAATTAGTGGAATTATTAAGAAAAGAATTGGATGTGACAACAGGCTCTCTAAAGCCGTTATATATGGTGATAAATCCCAGGGTGGACTTGGGCTTTTATCTCCAGTTGATATAAGTCACGTGGAAAGGATGGCATCTGTCTGTAGGTTTGTCAATTCTACCTCTCCTATCACCCAAAAAATCGCAAGAGCCATGATAAATAAGGCGCTCAAGGGTGAAACTACAGATTCACTGTGGAAAAATGCTGCCGCTACAATGAAAGATCTGAAATATTACTTCAAATCCACAGATAATGGATGGGTCTTGTGTAACCATACCAATCACAAGCCTGTCTCCAACCTTAGAAATGCTATCATTGAAACTCAGCGATCCAAAAAAATTATCAATAAGTTGGGCCAATTAGACAATGACTATAATTGGCATAACAGCACTCTCTCCTTCTGGAGAAACTCTCTCTTGTCTTATTATCAGCAAAGACTCCTCTACTTTAATCTCCACCACTCAATTTTACTAGGTGATGACAGTACTTGTGACAAATGTAATGTCAAGGAAGATTGGACCCATGCATTCCAAACTTGTCCCAAATGCAATCCTGAAAAGGATGAACTGTATGCCACATGGGACGCTATCTCCCAGAAATTTAGTATTAACAAGATTCGTTTCCCTCCTGATATCTCAGAATCCTCTCAACTTAGGATAGAATTTGATGGTCGTTGCTCCCGTAATTACTGGCTTAACTGGTCTAAGCGCAAAAAAATACCTAAGTATCTGGCCCTAGAAGTCTACAAAGCACTAGCTATTTATTTGGAAAATTGCTACAAGAACTCAGTGTGGTACAACCGTCCCAATGCAAGCTTCACTATTAACAGGAAATACCTCTCTGCCTACCACAGGCAGGCTCAGTCTAACCAACCACTTAGCGTCAACCCATAACACTTAAACGCTGAACCGAAACTTACTGGTTGTAGACCTCGTCTCTCAGGTCTTTACGATACAAGAGAATGAGAGCATTTTATCTCTAAACACAAATAAAAATTAATTGCACAGATTTAAAAATTTGTGATTTGTGTTTGTGTAGACAGACCATTTTATCTTGAAAACACAAAAGTATTTTATTAAAATAATAAATTATTGTGGTCTTGAATCTTAGGTTGTTTTCTATGAATCTAGTAGTAAAAGTTCATTCGTCGTTGATCTTGAAATATGTGATCCGATATCAATATTGTTGTTGCAAGAATTGGACATGAATCGGGTTCTAATGGTTGCTGATTTCTTCTCCCGTTTGATGAAGGAGAAGTTTAATACATTTTTTATTAATTAAATATTAAAAAATGTAAGAATGGAATAATTTTAAATAAAAATATGTATTTGTGCAAGATAAAATGGCCTGTCTACACAAACACAAACACAAATTTGTGAAAATATTTTAGCACAATTTAGCACAAATATTCATGTGTAATTAATTTTTTATTTGTGAATAGTGATAAAATGCTCTCAATAAATATAACAATTTATTTTTTATTTAATAAATATTACAATTTATTTTTTATTTTACCATGATTGTCAATGTATCTGCAATTAAACTTGTTGACAAGTAGGTATTGTATCCAATAGTTTCTTTTGTATATCTAATGGCATATCCATATGGGAAATAAGTCCAATTATTGCCATTGCACCCATCAGAGGAGTGAATTACACTGAGCCAATCTCTTTCACTACCACAACCACCAAAACCATATTGAATTATGAAATGCCTTGGAGTTATTGAAGGACCAGTCAATTGCATGGTAAAAGCAGTATAGCTATTAACATAAGAGCTTAATCCGTAAGAGGAAGATTGTATTTTCTGAGGTGTAAACCAATTTTTGAAATCAGTACCTGCTACGTTGAATAGAATATAGTGTTGCATTGCTGAGTCCTTGTTAATTTCGATCTTTACAGTACCAAACGAACTCCAATAATTCAAGAGGTCACCTATTAATACTGTATCTGGAGTATACTTGTCCAATGTTCCCCTAATATTGATCTTTGAATTCCAAACATCTGCAGGTCCATATGGTTGACCAGTTGCAATCTTATTAACAAGTGTGTAACCACCTCCATCAGTGGTCATGTCACAATACACGTTGAACGGAGCTACTGATGGATCTGGTTGGATAGTATAAACACCATCACCAACATTACCACCATAGACTCTGCTAGAGTTTGTTGGGTATCTATAATCTTGGCACGTTCTGGCATAGGTAAAATCAGCAAATTTCCTTCCTTCACCACATCCAACTATACCAACAATTGAACAGGAAGGTCCATAACGAGAAGGCCCACAAAAACATTGTCCATCAACGCAAACTCCTGCATAGTTGCAAGTAACACCAAGATTAGGAGCAGAGAAGCAATAAAGCTTTCCAGTTGGTACGTTATTGTCTGATGATAGACAGTAACTATACACCGAGCCATCTGTACTCCAGATAGAAACATTACTAGTGGATATATACTCATTGCTCCAGTAACTGTTGCTATACATTCGGGATGGTATTGAATTAGAATAGTTCGTATTCCAATACAACGACAAAGGAATGGTATAGATGTCATGTCTTGAGAAACTGGAGGTTTCTTGCTCACAGAATACAGCTAGTGGAGGAAATCCTAATGATCCTTGAATAAGATAAAGACCTCTACCTGTCATACCTTGATATGTTTTTGAAGAATTTGTTGGATTACTATATTCTGCACAGTTCTTGGCAAATGTTCCATCTGCATATCTTCTTAATCCATTAATAGAAACAACACCCACCAATTCACAGAATTTACCAAAATGGCCATATTCACATTGGCATGTATCATAATCCACACAAACTCCTTTGGAGGAGCAAACAGATTTGCTGGATGCTTGAAAATTGTTACAATATACGCAGAAAAATGGGTTTTGCTTGCACCATTCTGAGGTTCTGTTTTCCCCATCATATACAGCCATCCATGACCCAACTGGATCTTCCTTTTCTGCAACGGCAAAATATGGACCAGCGTTGCCATCGGTTGTGTTGGATCCACCGTAAATATATATATAACCACCTTGGGAGGATATTATTCCTGAACTTGTCATATAGTATGGAAGTAAACCAAATGTCATTTCCCACTTCAATGGATTTTCTGTAGTAGCTCTAAAAATGTTGAATGAAGATGACTCAAATGTTGTGGAACCACCAAATAGATAAATGTAATCACCAACAACTTCAATAAATGCAGAATACAATGGCACAGGAATGACAGAACCATTTACAATCTCGAATTGTGTAATATTTGACAATGGAGCCCTCATGATAGTGTCTAATATAACTGGAGTGAAGCTTGGGACATTGGAAGGGTCCTCAATATCTGTCAGTGGTCTATAACTGAATATTCTAGAAATGCCACCAAATATATAAACATAATCACCAGATTGCATTATCATACCCGATGCAACAGGGACTGGGAGAGAAAATGGAGTCTTTTCCCATTGTTTCAAATCATATAGAGGACATTTGTAAATTGCATTTGACACGTTATTGTTAACAATTCCCCCAAACAAGTACATTTCCTCATTGTGTTTGAAAAAGTGAGAGTTATGAATTGAATCTGGGAATCCCTCATTTGATGTGATATTATACTCTATCATCGACCAAACATTTTCATTTTTAGAGATGTTTCTAGTGTACATGCTGAATCCATTATTTACAAGTGATGGCACTGTGTCATCAGCTTTTAACAAATAACCAATCTCACCCAAATCAAAGTAAGTCATCTTCCTCATATACCATGGCAAGGTCATGGTGACATGATTATTCATTCTAACAAACTTTCCACTTGGACTAAGAGAATAAATTTTAGAGATTGGCGTTCCGGTCCAATGGTATGGTTTTGTGTCATAGCAAGAACTTCCAGCAAATATTTCAATATTAGAACAATAACCCACAGCCATAACTGTCCCATCTGCTAGGAATAAATAACTATTATCTTCATTACTAGTTATGTCAACCACTGGTTGGAATGAATAATAGACTTTGGTAGGAACAAGAACATTGGAATTAGTTAAGCCAGTACCTGTCTGACCAGCGTCACTCTTACCCCAAGAATATAGAGTTCTATCTTTGCAATAAACAAAATTATGGAAAGCTTTCGTGTGTATCATTGTGGCAAAACAAGTAGTGTTTGGTCCAAATTGAGATAAAATCTTTGGAAGTAATCTGTTAGTGGTTGAGTTATCTCCAACTTGGTAATAATTATTAAGACCCCATGAATAGACTCTTCCACTTGTAGTTAGAATCAAGTTGTGTCCATATCCGCATTGAATATCAGTAATTGTTTCATTGATATGTTTTGTTATAACTTCAATAGGTTCTCCTTGAGATACATTGTTATTAGTACCAAGTTGTCCCCATCCATTGTAACCCATTGAATACAGTCTATTGGTATTCGACAATACAAGTGCATGCTTAAAACCAGCACAAACCCTAACCATAGTTTGATTCATTAAGGCTGCATACCTGTAAACAGAAAAAGGCCTGTTTTTTTCATCCCAAGTTCTATCCCCCAGTTGACCTTGATCGTTAGCACCCCAGCTCCATAGTTTTCCTGATGAATCAATTGCGTAGGCTGAAAAATATCCTAGTGCGATTTGCTCAATTTTTGCACCTCTAAATCCATTTACAAATGTTGGGACAAACTTTGTTTTGGTTCCTCCGGTAGCCAATTGTGAACGTTCATTTAACCCAAAAGCAAAAACTCCCTTGTTTGTGAGAATAAGGTTGGAAAATTGATTTGCCTCGATTTGAAGAATATCCAATCCATCTAAAAGTTCAACAGGAGCATTATATATTAATCTAGTATCATTGGTTAGATGAATTCTTCCAAGATTACCATTTTCAAAAACTCCAGTTGAGTACAATTTACCGTTGGGCATTAAAATTAATACATGTTTTAACCCAGCACTAATTCTATTTCTAATTCTTTTAATCGGCAGTCTTGTGTCAAATCTTTCGTAAACCCCTCTTTTACAATTGACAGTAAAATGATCTTGGTTTGTTTCATTTAAATTTGTTTCTCTAAAATACAATTCTTCACCATAGTCTTCTACGGTGTAATTCTTAACAATTTCAGTTTTTTTCGAAGTCAATTCATACTTACATTCATGACATCAGAAGATTTTCTTCCCAAATCCTCGATACTGTTTAATCCCAATGAAAGAATATATGAATTTTCCAGTTCCCAACTCAATACCTTTGCAACATTTTGATTGTTTTTGGAAACCATAGATTCGAAAATAGTCTTATTGATATTAAGTTGTTCCAGGATTGGAGCTGCTAAATTCAATGCGTCCTCCTTGTCAATAGCTATTGGCTTGGCTCTACTGCTGACAAATTTGTCGCGCTCCTCCTGAAGATTGGTCATAACGTTGATAAAACTCTTTTGTTTATCCTTCCAACTTTTAACCAAGGACATTTCATATTGTTGTTCCTGATTGTTGATGTCGATATATCCACTTATCTCAACCGTATCATATATTAAAAGTACTAGTGGTAAAGTTGTCATCATCCTATTAATGTTCTGATCACCTACATGTAATGGTTATAAACAATATTTTCATCATTTTAGAATAGCAACTACTTGTGGGAGATGATAGAGAGTCACTTTTCACAGTCTTCTCTCCACTCATTTTCTCTTTTTTTTTAAGATTACTGTGCCTTTACGGTAATGTATGGCGATTTTACAGTTTTTTAACAGTATATTTAGCGCAAAGAGTTTATTACAGATCTAGCTTTCTTCTTACAGAACGCTCATCTTCAACCTCGTTGACTTCTCCTGTTTCATCATCATCAAACAATCCACCACTGCCTGGAGGTAGAATTTCAGAACCAGATGGTGTAGAAATTCCAGATTCATTAAAACTTCTCTTTTGAGTAATACTTGACATGGATGATAAATTTGAAGCTGGTGAAATTAATAATTTACCATGTTGTTGTGGAGTACATGTTGCTTCTCCCATCATTTCATCATTCGAAACCATGCTAATATTATTTACACTACCAAGAGAATCTCTCCCTCTGAAAATACTATTTGGTCCCACTAAACTCATCATTGAGTAAGATGAAAGACCACTTGTATTTCCTGGACTGTCTTCAAAGTTTAAAACCTTACTGACAGAATTTGTAATTCTGTGATGAATTTCTTCTCCATACATTTTTGTGTGAGATTCATAATCTCTTCTCTCTTGTTCGTCATGGTTGATTGCAAGACGTTGATAAGAATCCATGGCATGTTTTCTCTTTGGAACAGGAAGGTTAAGTTTAGGAGTTGGTTGAACACCACGAGTAAAGTAAGGATGATTAAGAGCTTGTTCAGCTGTGATTCTCTTCTTTGGATCAAAAACAAGCATCTTACTAATTAAATCAATAGCATCACGACTGGCAGCAGTAAAGAGAGCATGGAATTCAGTCTTTTGGAATGGCTCAAATTCAATATAATTAGGTAATAATTTCATTCCAGGCCATTCTTCCTCAGAAGGTGTTCCCAAACAAGCAAATATCTTTCCCAATTGATCAATATCAGAATCTCCAGGGAAAAGAGGAGCACGTAACATGAGCTCAGCAAATATGCACCCAATACTCCACATGTCCACACTTGGACCATATAACTCAGCTCCAAATAATAATTCTGGAGCTCTGTACCATCTGGTAACACATTGTGGAGAGTATCTCTTATCTGGTGAGCCATATATTTTAGCAAGACCCTTTTTTTAGATAATTTGAATGTCTAATGTGCATTGTATTCCTCAATACTTACAAAGTCAGCAAGCTTTAGCTCTACTTCATTGGTTTCTTCGTTTTTCCACAAGAATAGATTGGAAGGTTTCAAGTCACGGTGGAGTACCCAATTTTTGTGACAATAGTCTACTGCTTCCAAAATCATTTTCATATATTGTTTAATGTCAGTTTCATGTAAAACTATAGTCTTTTCCTTTATAACTTGTTCCAGATCGCCAAAGCCACAATATTCAAAAACTAAATTAATATTCTTCTTATTCACAAATACATCCAATAAATTTAAAATATTTTGATGTTTAATTTCTTGGAGTGATTTAACTTCACGGATAGCAGAAAATGAAACACCTTCTTCAATACCTCGGGCAGAATCAGATGAAAGTGATCCGAGCTTTATCTTTTTGATGGCTACTGTTTGATTTGTTTCAAGATCTTTTAAAATCGTTATTAAATTATAAATATACAATAATAATTTGTAGTTGTTGTTATAGTTACACATACCTTTACACTTGTAAACAATACCGAAAGTACCCTCTCCGATAAAACAAATTCTTTCATACCTTCGTGCTCTTTGATTAGCGGCAAGTAAATAGTCAAGCATTTTTTTTGGCTTGTTTTTGAATATTTTATATTGAAACGATATGATTTGGCGCCAACTAGTTTATTATTTATTCAATAAATTTTCCAAAAGATTAATAATCTCTGAAAAGTGAGTATTGTTCATGCACCCTGGATCATTCATTTGTTTCTTTAACAAATCCAAAACATTTACCTTATTTTCATCTTTAAGCATTATCCAAAGTGGAGAGTCGGGCGAATCATCGATATGAGAATTGAATTCCTCAATTAAAAATAAAGCACTTTCAAAATCCTTATCATTAACACATGAAAAGAGTAAAGACCTCATATTTTGATTCTGTATAAAGGACAATTTGACAAGCAATTTGGAATAATGTTGAGGAACCTGATACTTTTCAAATCTTTGTTTCATGAATTTAATTACCTGAGGGAGAAGTGCTGTATTATTCTCAACTCTACCAACCAAGTAAGTGAAAGGTAAATTATTGAATGAATCCATTTTGAGAGCATTAGCTCCATGTCTTATTAGGAACAAAATTGATGCCAGTGGCAATTCTATACAAGTCTTGTGGAAAAATGGTATATTACCAGAGGTTTGTTTGTTGTGATCGAAAGGGCATTCGTTGATATCTAATCCATATTCTAGTAGATTACGGCAAATTGATAGCTTTCCCTGTTTTAGAGATTCGAAAAAAACATCTATTACTGTTGGAATTTCCTCATTTGTTGTCGAAAAATCCAACGAAATTTGTTGAGTAAGGCACTTGTGGAATTTTTTCTTCATATCTTGGAAACGAGGTTTTCCCAAAAGATAACATTTGGAAAAAGTCTCTCCAAATGTCCATTTCCACAAAAACTCACAAATTTGTTTACAAGTCTCACCCTTCTTTTTGTCATCGAGAGTTATTGGGCTGTTTGCATCTTCGAGCAAAATGTAAAAGAGTGGTGTAAACCTTCTAGAATCTCGTTGTAACAAGAGTTCTGGGCACTCCTTGTACAAAAACTTGAGGGTATCAATTTGACCAAACTTTGCAGCAATATGCATGAGAGTACAATTATAATAATTTGAAAATGAAATACATCTTAGGAAGCATCTAAATTCTTGTCGTTGTCTGATAACATTGTTAAATCTCTCGTGAAGAAGGCTTTTCAATTGAATGAGGGTTGATTGGTCATTATTTACAGTAGAGAGGCAAGAAATTAAAAGTGATTTCCATTCTTCAGAATTCATATGTACAGTGCTTGGGATATTTACAATGGTAGAGGATTGTTGATTGGAAGTTTGTGAGGAAAAAAGAGGAGCAGTGGCTATATTTGAGTGTCTTCTCAAGTAGTACGCTCTGGAATTGAGGGTATCTGTTGTTTCCTTATTGTGTTGCTCAGACCCAAATGTGAAAGAGCTACAAGCTAAAGAGGCGAAACTTTGGGCCTCATCAGTTGCTTCAAGGGAACTGACAGTGCTCGAGAAGGAAGACAGAAAGAGTGAATTTGAAAGCGAAGTAGGTGTTTGTTCATCAGAACTCAGTACTGAACTGTTAGTCATTGTTGTTGATGTTGAGGTGTTGAGTATCAAGGAACTGTCATCCTCCTCTGTGTAATCATTATCAAAACTATCAGAGGTTGAGGTTTCAATAATGGTATTAACTGTGGAGGAAGCAGGTGCATTTTCCAGCTCTTCGAATGCCTTCTCTATGGAACGAATATTGTTGGTAATGCGTGTTGGGGTGGTAGGGAAGTTGGTTGTCTGTTTTTCAAATTCATTCTCATCATCTGTTGTTATTTCACTCGTAAAGTAATTTGGTTTAATGGCTTTTGGTTTGATAGGTTCATCCTGTTGTTGTTGTTGCAATTCCTTCTTCTTTGGTCTGTGAGAGAAAATATCCTGATCAAACATAATATCTGACTCACTAACACAAGAGGAAAATAAAGGCGAGCTTTTAGTTTTACCGAAGAGAGTTCTACTTCGCAAAAAGCCACCACTCTTCTTTTCCAATGATTGATCTGGTGATGATACGATTATTGGAATGTTGGATTTTTCTTGTTGTTGGGAAGAAACAGCTGGATCACTATCACTACAAATACTGGTATTACATGATGATTTGCCTATAGGAAATGTTGATGGAGCAATACTTGCTCTCCTCGTTGATGAAGGAGGTGATGTTGTTGAAGTGTTATTGTTATTACACAAATAGGTGCCACTCCCAAAGTTACTCCTCCTAGGAAGAAGAATTCTGTTTGGAGTTGTTGGTGTTGTTGAACTCATAAATCCAATTATTAATATTCGTCTCGAAGAGCAAAAAGAAAGATTTTAGCCTTCAGAGTATTTGAACGCTTTTCTTCAAAGTACGATGGCGACCACAGAGTAAAGTTGTTGAGAAGGGAAGATAAGTGGCGCTGGTGAAGAAGCGGTGAAAGCCTTTTTTTGCTCTTTTGTGCCTCAAGCCTTATGCAAGGCCTATTGGTGTGAGTTGAATGATTCTTTACAGAGGCGATGATGGATGTGGCTTGCAGCTCGTTTATACAAAAGCCTGGTAATGATGAGTGTGTGAATTAACCAATAATTTTACATGTATTTCTATCATACAACATTACGTTAACTCTATATTAAATTAAATATTAAGAAGGAAACGTGAGAAGTTAATCACATTAGAACGTAACATTGATTCTGCTTACCAATCTATTAATAAATATTAAAAAAATTTGCAATAATAACAATTTAAAACTGTAAAAGAGTTTGTCCAAGTCATAACATTCCAACTCCTTTTTATGAATAATAGGTGGTTGCCAACAAACGACGATTCCTCATTCATCCCTCTCGATCTACTCTCGTCCTCAATTACAGAGTGTCCACCTCTTCATTCTGAATCAAAAACAGAATCACTAACGACATTAAAAAAGCCAAGCAACACCCAAAATTCATACATTCCTAAACGAATTAATTCTAAAGAAACTCGTCATCACCTCGATCATTATTATTATCACCAATTACAACAAGAAATTAGAGAAGATCCCGATCAAACAATGAATATATTTTATTATAAACAACAATCGGAAAATCAATCCAATGATCCGAAATTAGCTACCAGAGGATGTAGCGAATTTGATGAAGTAGTACAACAATCTTCATCCATTGAAGGTGGTTCCAAGAAGGAAATTATAGAAGACAAGGAAAAATCAATTCTATTCTGTGGATTTAATCAGTTAAATAATTTATTTGCAGTTGGTACTGAACAAGGTTTCTATGTCTATTCAACAGGTAGTCTACGTGAAAGGACCAAAATGTGTAAGTACTATTATTGGTCAAGAACCCATTTCTAATTTTAAAAAGTATTTAATGGAGGTATTGGAATTGTTGAAATGTTATTCAAGTCAAAGTAAGTAATTGACATTCAATGGTGGAATATTTAATTTAAACAGTATTTTTGCTCTTGTGGGTGGAGGTTCAAAACCAGCCTTTGCACCTGATCGAGTTATTTTATGGGAAGACTCTCAAAAGAAGATTATTTCTGAAATTTCCACTGGAAACAAACCAATTAAGGCTGTTAAGTTACATAAAAACTTGCTAATTGTTGTACTGGAAGATCAAGTAATTGTCTATGATCATGATATTAAGGAAAGAAGCAGAGATTCTACAACTGATAATCCTTATGGTATTTGTGCAATTTCTCCTGATACTGAAAATATTGTATTGGCCTACCCTTCAGTTCAAGTTGGATATATCACAGTTGATCATTTGACCATTCCAAATAGAAAACTTCATATCAAAGCCCATGAATCAAAAATATCTCAAATAGCACTCAACAAGGATGGTACTCGTGTAGCAACAGCCAGTGAGAAGGGAACACTAATTAGAGTATTTGATACAACTACCAAACTTTTGGTTAAGGAAGTAAGAAGAGGATCTAAACAAGCTCACATTTATTCTATTGCTTTTTCAGATGATTCTAATTTCATTTGTTGCTCTTCAGATACAGGTACTATTCACGTTTTTTCTCTTGTGGACAATACTCAAAATAGAACTTCAAGCTTCTCATTTGTAGGGGGTTATATTGCAAGCATTTTCAATTCAGAATGGAGTTTTGGTGAATATCGAGGAGGAGAAGATGGCCTTGTTGATATACCAACATTATGTTCATTTGCACCAAGAAAAGAAGAAGAAAAAACAATAGCTATCAATGTTTTAACTGGTAAAGGTGAGGTTGTAATTTTAACATTTGACGTTTCAGGAGGTCAAACAACCCCAACTAATGTTGAAAAGAAATCATTTGTTTCAAATGAATCTCCAAATAATTCTCCATCTCTTTAAAGGATGTATTATGAATAAAAGTGTAAATATTAGCATTTTGGATGATTTTATATTTAATTTTATTTTTGAATTTAAAAAAAAAACTAAAACTTTACTGTTTTGTTGATGGAGTCCTCTAGCAAAGATTATTAGGAGATTTGCTTTCTTCAAAAAACCGACTCGACTTTTTAACTATACTAGTATCACAACTCTTAAACATGAAGAGGCAACACGAAGAATCATCAAGTGGCATTAAATTGGGTGATGATGACGTTAATCAATTCCTCCAATCCATAAACCGCTATAACAATCCCTTCATTACCGAATCATTACTTTCATCAAATAATTATTCTGATATTACATCACCAGAACATGCTCATGTTGACTCCGAGGATGAGGAGGATCAAACTTGTCAACCTTCCTCATTGGCACCAGCAAGAAAGTTTAGAAAGATAAATTCCTCCAATTTATTGCTTGCCCAACATAATTTAGAAACAACAGCCGGTGATTTGGCTTGTGCTCCTTCTGTTTTTGATGATGATGAAGAAGAGGAAGACAATGAAGAGATTTATGATGACGAAAATCCAAGACTTATTGATAAAACAAGGACCGTTGGATCACTTTTGGATGAATTTCAAATACAAAATTGGTTTGATACAACAACTGATCTTGCCCACACTAAAATAACTGATTATTTCATATCCAATAAGAAGGTTATTTCTATGCTGCATAGTATGAGATTACATTATGGATTGGAAATTGAATTTGGATCAACCCTTCTCTATAAGGTTTGGGAGTCCTCTCAGAGAAGATTGTTCAGCCAATTAATGTTATCATTTTCTCCTGATTTGTACAATGAAAATATTGTTGAGATGAAAAGATATGCAGAGCCTCAACCAGGTGTGGAATATTTAAAGAGAGTTGTAAAGGAATATTTTGTGAAAGAAAACAGCCAAAATACCGAAATTCAAAATTTGAAAATTACAAAAGATTTAAGTATTGATGAAGAACTAATAAGAGTTGCCAAGTTTGTTCTCAATAGCAAGCAAAAGAGAATCAAACTTCTTTCGTGTACCATGGATGAATGGAATGAAGAATTGGATGTAATGAGTAATGGAGGATTTTCAGCAGCTGGAGCTTCCGTTGGAAGTCTAAAGAGCATTAATTTAACATCAGAAAATATTAGAAACTATAATAATACATCTGGGGAAGTTGTTACATCTCTTCAGTTTGTTGATAGCAACTCGGGCAAAAGCTTTATTTCTATTTCAGATGAGGATCCTCTAGATCCAGAGACTAGGAATATTACTGACCCAAGAGTGAGTGAAGCTAGATATAAAAGAGAAATGTACAGAATCAATCGTTGGAAGACAGAAGGAGCCTATCTAAGAAGATTATATATTGGTGAAATTGATGAAAACAAGTCATTTTCTTCAAATATGTTCTATGATGGGCAGTCTAGAATCAAATGTTCACCTTTACTGAAAAAATTATATTACAAATTCTTTACACACGTTCCAAGAATGTTGGATATTGAAGAAGTTTTACGTTTACTTGTTTCAAAACCAAACGAGTCACACGAAATATTTACAAATCTAGAAACTCATGTGTTTAGAGAATTGGATCGATTCAAGGTTAGCCTATGCTTGAAAATAGAAATAGCTTTCGAGGACATTTGTGGATTACATATTCAAAAGGCACCTAGTGGTCCTTATGGCTGGGCTTTATTAGTGCTAAAACTTGCAAAGAGACCCAAGTTCTTTACAAGACGTGTAATGAGCTCGGATAGAAAGAAAAATCTAGTTAAGCAACGAAATTCTGATTTCACTCCAAATAATATTGCATCCAAATACAGCACACATTATATAATCGGTGATGAAAGAGAACTGAAACGTATAGTTGCTCTAATGATTGAGGCTGATTCTGATGTTGGACATATTTGTAAACTATACAAACAAGGCATGGATGATATCTCATTCCCTACTAGCCCAGACTGGAGTTTTGAGGAAAGGAAATCTCAAACCCAATCCAAACAGAAGGAAATATCATATCCATCCAAGATTTCTTTCCAATCTGCTTTTTTATGCAAAGAAGACGAAGAAAATCAACGAGTGAATGAGGAATTATACGATTCTGATGATGGTGTTTTCCCATTTGATGTTTCTATTGACAAACTGGATACAATTAGTAGGCAAAAGTATGAAAGACGACAATTGCAACTAGAAGATTTAGTAGATATGGAGAATAAGAATTTTGGATTGGATGAATGTTTTGTGCAATAAATATTTATCTCTTTTTTCCATAAGTGAAAAAGTTTTCCATAATACTGCCAGAGGTGGCTGGATCAGAAAATGGACAACCAGAAGAACAAGGTTTGAATTCTTCTGACTTTTTGTTTTTGTAATATCTCAACCAAAAAGCTCTATCAAAACTCTTCAAGAGTAGCCAATCATCTTGCCTTCCCTTATCAAAAAAGAGAGGATCCTTCTTTAAAATTGTATTGACAAATTCATCTAGTTCAGTATGAGTGGTGAATTTGAAAACTTCTTGAGTAAAACCAAACTTTTCTTTCACTTCCTTTGGTAATGTATAATTCAACTCGCAACTTCCATTTGTTCTTAATTTCTCACAATAGTCATGAAGGGCTCCTTTAAACTTGAGCTCCAAACCCAATACTCTACAAAGTTCGTCAACAAAATGTTGACAGTTAGCCTTCTTTTGAGAATACATCATGTTCATATTCCACTCACAAATTACATTACTAATCTTTTCGAGGGCTTCTCCAACCTGTGGTCCATGGAAGCATCTATCCACGTCAGCAGCTAGTACAGCAGCACCAGAGTAGCATTTTCTTGGTACAATTAATGATGAGTCATTCCACTATTTGTTGTTTCGATATGTTTCAATGAAATGATATTAAATTCACTTACCTCTAAATACCATGGTCCTACTACTAGAGCAGAGTGAAAGAGTCCAAATTGAGGAACAACATTGAATGTATCTAAAACTGGAGAAAGGAATTTTCTGAAATTTCTTTGAGCAGCAGTTCTATGTAGTTCAACAATTACTAATTTGACCTTTAAAAATTCTTCATCCTTAATTATATAATTCTTATTAGTTTGCAGATCAGAAATTTCATTTTCCATTTTTTGTAAATCTCTCCTTTCTTCTTCATCAACCGCAGAATTGTTACCATCTTCAGCAATATTGGAAGCAATATTTGGAGCTCTACTTGAAGGGATAATTGATCCGAGATGTGATGTTGTAGAAGGTGGTGATCTACCAATTGGTTTTGAAGAAGGGGATGAGGTTGTATCATCATTGATCAATTCTGTAATCGTCTTTTTTGTTGCAACAAAATCCTTATTCAAATAACTGTTTAAGAGATGCTTCTTGACGACTAAATTCTTTGCCTTGTCCTTTTTCTGTTTATCTGACAAGTTTTGCAAACCTTTCAATTTATCCAATTTACTCAAACACTTTTTAATGGCAACATCTTCATCAATCTGAGGAGTATGTGGGGTAGAAGGACTATTAATTGTTGTCAGTGATGATGGAGAAGTTGTATTATTTACATTGCTTTTTGTGGTGAGTGTTCGATCTAATTCTCTCATCAATTTGATTGCCACTCCAGTCGGAATATTCATTTCATCAACAAGTGTATCCTTTGTTAGGGACTCTAACATGGATCCATCAAGACCAACAAAATGTTTCTTATATTCATCAAAACCATGAGTAGAAAGCCACTCCATCACCATATCATTGGTCCAATTAGAAATTTCCAAAATATGATTATTTGTTTGTTGTTGTATATAAAACCCTGATGATGCTGTTGCTCTATTAATTTGTTGTTGTTGATTTTGTTGTTGGGTGAGAGGTTGTTTCTCAGAGGCGGCTTGTTGATCTTCCTCCGTAGTGACACCTCTTCCTTCACTCCAACTTGTCCACCAACTTTGGCCAAGACCCATTTTTTATGTTGGAAGATATTTTGATTTTCTTGCTGCTCTAGAAATTTATTAATAATTTTAATTACAAATGGTTGGATATTTTGAACAAATTGTTGAAAGGGCTGTAGTTGTACCACCAACCCAACCATCAGGGAAGCTTGTTCTGGTGGTTCTATAAATGTTAGGACCAACCAAACTGTTGCCTGTGGAAGCACCTGAGAACACGACATCATTAGCACTACTTGAAAAGACAGAAGAACCTGAATTGACATGGAATGTGAGTTGGGATTTAAGGGTCCAGGAAACAAAATCAGATGTTGAATAAATCTTGTTTGATTGTGATGAAGAAAGGGATGTCAGACCTCCAATTATATAATAATTACTGTCTGTGTCAACCTTGTAGACAAAAGCAGAATGTAGGACTGAAGGGAACTTGGAATTAAACATGATTTCCCAGTTTCTCATATCTGAATCTACGCTTGTTCTTAATACAGTTTGAGAAATAACGAGATTTTGAATTGCATCAACATCTCTAGAAGAGTTGAAAAGATGTGTTTGCTTAATACCCCCAATGATATACACATATTGTGTATCAGAAATCAGCATTCCTGATGCCAATGGGAACGGAAGCTTCTGGTCTAACAATTCCCATCCAAACAATGGGTCAGAAATAGGAGCTCTGTAAATTGAATTTGATATTTCATTATTAACAAACCCACCGAGCATATATATATATTCCTTGATTCTAATGATGTGTGTACTGTAGATTGATTTCCCATAGAGCGTGTTATTGAGAACTGAGGTTGGAGATACTTGCTGCCATGAACTGTAATAGCTACCAGGATTGGTACTGTTGTAGTATCCAAATTCTAGACCATTTCTTGATAAGAAACTCTTATCAGATTTAAGTAAATAACCTTTTCCGTTCAAATTGAAATATGGACTTTGTCTCAAATACCATGGTAAATAGGTAAAAGTGTACATGGAATCTTTTGTAAAGCTGTTAGAAACAGAACCAATTGACCTGAATACAGTTGTGGAGAAAGTACTGCCCGAGTAGTAGATGGATCCATCCATCGTTTGAAGAGCAAAGCTTCCCGTTGAGCTACTAGCAATATCCAAAATGGAATCAACAAACTCTGTGCTAAAAGACGAGTAAAGAGTAGGTGAGGTCACAGTGGAAGCAGTTGAACCGAGTCCCAATTCACCATTTGAGTTTCTTCCATATCCGTACATTTTACCATTTGTGCAAATGAGTATTGTACTATAAAACTTTGAGTAAACTTTTTTAACACTACAAGGTGCGCTTAGGAGTTGAGGAGTGAACCTTGTGGTTGTGGATCCATCACCCAATTGACCATAGTTGTTGTATCCCCATGTAACAACTTTTCCATCTGTAGTCAAAACAACAACGTGGTTAGATCCGCATTGAACATCAAGGATGTTAACTGCAGAGAGAGCACCAGTGAGTGGAATTGCTACAGGTTTACTTTTAAAAGAAGGATCTGTTACACCAATGCCTAATTGACCTAGAGAATTATCTCCAAATGAAGCTAACGTATTGTCACTTGTAAGGACCACAACAAAACTATCTCCAGCGCAGACTTTGACAACTTGCTTGTTTTTTAAAGGTCCATTATTCTTTAGCACCTTAAAAGGTCTAAATTTATCTTCTTGGGTGCTGTCACCAAGTTGTCCTAAAGAGTTATCACCCCAGGCCCACAACTCGCCATCAGTTGTGATGGCGTACGAGCTTCTGCCTCCTGATGCAATTTGCTCAACTTTCTTCCCCAATAATCCTTTTACTTTAACTGGATTCAAACTATCAGCTTTGTTTCCAGTTCCTAATTGACCATTAGAATTGGAGCCAAAAGAGAACAATCCCTCATTAGTAAGTACAAGATTTGTACGAGAGTATGTTTCTACTTGGTAGATAGTTTCAGAAGCAATAGGAATAGAGTCATTATACCTTAGTGCAGAACCGGAATAGGTTCTTCCAAGTAGCCCTACCTTTAAAGAGTCAATTCCAGTGGAATAGAGTTTTCCATTTCCTAAAATTACTATAAAATGTTGCTCACCTCCGGAAAGGAAATTTCTAATTTGTTTTACAGTTCCTTGTGAGGTCTCTAAATTGAACAATGAATTGCCACTGTTTAGAAATCTTCCAGTTGGAACTTCTTCATTGCTGCCAATACTTTTGGTATAGGTAAAATCTTGTGATGTCAAAATGTCTTTTGAAATCATTCTCTAAGTGCAAACTAATTAATTTAGAATTTTTGTAAATTACTTACAGTGTGAAATTTTGTTATTGAGCTATTCGAAAAAGCAATGACCTTATTAATCATTTGCGTGACAATGCCAAGCTCTTCAAGCTTAGACTTAATATCTTCCAAGGATTTTGATTTCAAAGCACTAAGGTTGTTTATGTAGTCTGCTGTAACTCCATACTGGGAAGCAAATGCAGATATACCATATGTATCGTACAGAAAAGAAATTGAACTAGTAAATTCCAAATGAAGGTTTTTTGAGGTTTCTAAAGGAGGAATAAGTGTGGTGTTGATGTAATCAATTACATTGGAATGGGATACTCTTTGATTGAGACTCATCCTTAAGCCTTCCTCATAGTCCTCATATGTAAGGCCATCCACAAGTAACGACTCGTATGATTGGGAGGCAAAGACAGAATCTGTGAGAGTTACCTCCGATTAATTGTTTTACTAATACCTACATGAAGAATAATTCAATAATAATAAAATTACAAGTAATCCAATCCACCAAACTGTTGTTGTTGTTGGCAATCTACTCATGTTGTGAGGAGGCCATTGCTTCTTTAAACACATTTTTGTTTTGTATGAGTTTGGTCAGATTTACAGCATATTTGCATGCCGTAGACCCCGTAATGGCAGTAAGAAGCTGTAAATCTAACAACACCTCAAAAAAAAAATTAGATACCATCAGCTTACCATCACAGAGTGTGTGATCACATTGGAATAGTGAGGAATTGTATTATAGTGTAAGAATGTTGTCTAAATCAAAAATGTGTGGGACTGTGATTCCCCGACTGTGTGTTATCGTGTTAATATTGTCTCTTATTCTAACAGGTATGTTGAAAAATAGTTGGAGTTTATATCTTTTCGTTAGTCTTTGCTGAAACAGACTTGACCAATGAGCAAATTGACGAATTGAGAGCAAAAATGTTAAAAAGAAAAAACTATCTGGATGTAAAACAACTTTATGTAAAACAAAAAGCTGAAACCGACAAAACCAATATTAAAAAGAGATTGTTCGAGACCAGGAATAGCTTAGATGTTGCAGGAAACTTTTTAAATGAAACTACAATTTCTCAGAGTTCTTACGATGCATTAATGCAAACTAAACAATCCCAATTGCAAAACTTAATGAGCATACACTTGGAAGTAGATAATTTACTCTCCATCATCCAAAATTCTGCTGACATGTTGAATGATGACGTAATAACATTTGTTAGAGTAAGTAGATTTAAACCTTACTGAATAATTCTTTTTAGCAACATACCCAAAAAGCACGTACTATTGATAAATATGTATCCACCAATCAAACACTTACAACATCTGATTTCAATATAACTTCAATGGAAGGAACTTTACCATCACATTATATGGCCAATTCAAATGGTATAAGAAGAATTAGGAATAGAATATCTGCTGGCTATCAACACTTCTTATTACTTTTACCAAATGGAAAATTGTACACAACCGGATTACTTCAAAGTAACAATTTGGGTAGAAGCCAAGGATCAAACATGCTTGATATTTTATACCCTGTAGAAGGTTTAGAAGGAAAGGAAATTTTACAATTCGAATCAAATGGTTTTTTCAGTTTAGTTCTCACCACTGATGGTGTTTACTCATTTGGCTTTAACAATAAGGGTCAATTAGGTACTGCCGATATTGTTGACAGAAATTATGCAGTTAAAGTGAAAGGATTTGCTGGAAACAATATTACTCAAATTGCAGTAGGAATATCTTCTTCTTATGCAATTGATACCAATGGAAAAGCATGGTCCTGGGGAAGCAACGAATTTGGTCAGTTAGGAGACAGAACAGGAGGTGACAAGGCAAGACCTTTCTCAGTTTACAATAATGGAACAATGTTTGGTAAAAAGCCAGTCAAGATCTGTGGTGGTAACAGATACGGAGTTATATTAACAAAGGATGGTATTCTCTATTCATTTGGTAACCATGATGTTGGTCAATTAGGAATTCCCTCAGTTTCAGTGTCGTACAAGTCTATTGAGCCAGTGAAAGTTGTTTTGTCAGCCTTTGTAAATTCCACAGTAATTGATGTTCAATGTGGATATGACCATGTTTTAGTATTGTTGGCAGATGGTTCAGTAGGTGCTTGGGGTAATAACAATTATTATCAAATGGGTGACCAATCAACAGCAATAAGATTTGTTCCAAAACTTATTTCTCAAATTCCTTGCAAAGTAGCATCTATTCATACACGTTTCAATACTAACTTTGCCATTTGCAGAGACAATACAATCTACGCTTGGGGACGAAATGATAATGGTCAAACTGGTTTAGGCACAAGCTATAGTGATGGTTCAGCCATGCCTAATGTATTGGTACCAACAAAATTAACATTTGTTCCAGAAGGCAGAGTGGTAGAAATTGCTACAACTCAATTTCACACTGTTCTACTTACTTCTGAAGGAGTCTTCCATGGGGTTGGACGTGCTGACACCATGTTCAGATCTTCCTCTTTCAATCCAAACACTTTTTCTGTGTTAAATGCATACTTGAAATCTGTTGTTCCTTGGCAATTAAGAAAGATACCATATTTTGAAACTGCAGACAGACTTTATATTTTGTTGGCTGACAAGGTAGCCCCAACAAGAAGCTACAACGGATTCAACATGTATTTCAGAAATAGAAATGAGTCAGAAAAGGCCTGGAGATTAGTAGAGTTTGACAAAGAAACGAACACAGGATTCCCTGTTTCTATATACAGTACACATTACTTGAAACTTGACGAATATGTATACTTCTTTGGTGGATTTATTAATGACCACCTATCGAATGCTGTTTACAGAGCTCCATACAGTGATGTTGAAACAGGTTGGGAGCTTTTACAAAATGTCACAATTCCGGTTCCGCTCGCTGGTGGAATGACAGCAATAATCAATAATTTCTTTTACATCTTTGGCGGAATATCAAGCTTGTACAATAGTACCACAGGTGAATATAGACCAGAAGTATCTGATATCATAATGAGAGCCCCTTTGTCCAATATTTCTGACTGGCAAATAGTTCCAAACAGAAATTTGGTGACACCCATTCATACTGGCCAAATGGCAATTGTTTGGCCTCATGTATACATTTTTGGTGGTTGCCAAACTGTGTTCACTTCATCTATGAATATTTTCAGAGCTTTACTTTCTGATCCAACCACTTGGGAAATGACATTTGGTTTGTTGCCTCATTACACAGCTAATGCTGCTATTGTTTCTACCGGGGAGAATTTAGTGGTTGTTGGTGGAGGTGCATATCCTGAAAAACCAGGAGGTGTATTCATAGCCAAGGCAAACAAAGCTGATCCAGTAGGATCCTGGATGGCTGTTAGTGAAGTACTTCCAGATTTCCAGGCTGCAGCTGGTGCTCTCAATGGCACAGAGCTTACTCTGATTGGACATGATTTTAGAACAACAACAAATAATCTTGATGTTGCCAGTCTATTAATTGGTCAAACTGTTGAAATTACTTTGTTTGATAATTAAACTTCCATTTTGTGAATATGTTTATTAAGTAAAAGGTTACGAAATGATTATTAAATTTATCAGCTGTTTACTTAGTGAAAATTCGAAGTTGTAATTGGAACCTCTGGACTTTAAACATCAAATATTGACACTTAAGATTTAAGATTCAATAAAGCTGGTCTCAAAATTTATGAACATCAAGTGAACTCTCACCCATACATGTGACAGAGACAAGAAATTATCTTGGAAGTATTTTTTTCATTAATTGATTAATTGTGAGTTCCTCTTTTTGAGATTTCATTCTCAAAGAATAAATAGTAGAACCTAAAGTTTTTGAAGTTCCTTGAGTTGTTTCAAATCAAAATTTACATTATTGGTAGTTTGATGAGGTTGCTAATTGTGTTGGTTGCTCTTTGTTGTCCATTCCTCCATTAATTATGTTTTAAACCAACAAACACCATTCATCTAGTAAGGACATTTTTTTTGTTGGTTTTCTCAGTGGAAAAGGAAACGTACACCTTACCGTAGATCTAAAAATCCGCTCAGCTTGTTTACTCAAATTACAGTTATTTGCGGTGCACAACTCAGAAAAAAAAAGAATGATGAAGACCCTCAACGCTGGTTTGCGGTCTAAATTGCAATGTGTGTGTGTAGCTTTTTGTAGGTTGTATATTTCCGCTTACTATAAATTTTTCATAGTAATAATTTGCTTCACATTGAGTGTACATACATTTGATGCCTCAAATGATCAACAACAACATGCTGTTGAACTTGTAAAAGGATGGAAAGAAAAACAAAATAGTTACAATAGAGTTCTGGTTGGACTAAAACAACAAAAAGATGATTTTTACTCCTCAAAGATAAAGCAAAAGCTAGTGAATATGCAAGAAGCACTTGATGGTGCTTCAAGGATATTGGATGACTTGGGAGTTAATCAAACAATGTTTGATCAAATGGTCACATCAAAGAATAAGGACTTGATAAGAGCAATGAGCGTGGAAGTGGAATTGCGCAATGTCATTACCTTGGCTGATAACTCACAAAGAATATTGGGAGAGAATAGTTTTAATATGATTAATGTAAGTTTATTTTGAGCATTGACAATTTAGTTTTGTAAAGAATTTCACCGAAGCTATCTATGGAGAGGAATTATTATTCAGACAAAACACTTTGAACTTTTCAATGAACCACCAAATGTATTTCAACTCTAGACCAGGTATTTTTCCTTCCTATGAATATCATTCTTCTATTGTCAGAGTGAGAAACAGAATTGTTGCAGGTGCAAATCACGTACTTGTATTAATGCCTAATGGTAAATTGTACTCGACTGGTGTCTACAATAATGGAAATTTGGGAAGAACAAGTCAGGATTCTAGACTCCTCTACAATAACCCTGTTGAAGTTCTTGACGAATTAGAAATTCTTCAAATTGAAGCTCACAGAAATAGCAGCATGGTGTTGACTACGAATGGTCTCTATGTTTTTGGTTTAAATGATCGTTCACAATTAGCAACTGGTGGAACTAAATCTGTGTTGAAAGCAACAAAAGTTCGTGGTTTTAACTTTGACACTAAAATAGTTCAAATTGCTATGGGTAATTATGCTTCGTATGCGATAGATGAAAATGGAAAATTGTGGGCATGGGGAGCTAATGATCAAGGTCAAATTGGTGACAGAACTTGGGATGAAAAGAATAGACCATTCTCTGTTTATAGATACGGAGCTTTAGCAAATCAAACAGTTGTTAGAGTTTGTGCTGGAAATGGTAGTGTACTTGCTTTAACATCAACAGGTAATCTGGTAGCAATTGGAGACAACACATACGGTCAATTGGGTACTGGTGATTACGTTTCAAGTGGTGAGCCTGTAATTGTAAAGATGAAACCATTCCAAAATGAGACAATCAAAGAAATTCAATGTGGTATGTTTCATAACCTTGTCCTTACAGCCAGTGGTAAAGTTTTTGCTTTTGGTGGTAATATGTATGGACAAGTTGGAACTGGTAACACAACAAACATACCAATACCAACTTTGATTTCTGGTATTGACTGCACCGTAACCAAGATCCACTCAAAAGGTCATGTGAGTTTTGCTGTTTGTGCATCTAAACCAGGGTATTTTTATTCTTGGGGATTGAATGATATTGGGCAAACAGGTGCTGGACTTTCTTATGGATTAAAAATTCTATCACCAAAACTTGTAAAATACTCAGCTCACCCAATTGTAGATATTACTTCCAATGTTGATAATTCCTTCCTTTTTCTTGCTGATGGATCCATTCATGCCACAGGTGGCTGTTTTAATACCCAGTTTTTCCTTGGACAAGATTGCTTTGATGCATCTCCCAAGTACTTTTCCGAAACCGTTCTAACAAAGAAGTATGCTTTCTCTATTAACGGACTTTTCACTCAAGTACGACACCAAACCAATATGCAATTACACTGGTATCAGAGAAAACCAGTTTATTTCGAAATGGGTGATATTGCATATTTACTTCAAACAGAGAACACTCTTCCAACAAGAAGAAATAACGGGTTCAATATGTACACCACAAACGTTACAGCAAATGACATGGTATGGAAAATGGTTGAGTATAATGAAACTACCAACACTGGTTTCCCTCACTCTATTTATAATACACACGTCCTTAAACATGGTGAATATGTCTATTTGTTTGGAGGTGTTGTGAATGATGATATTTCAAATAGAATTTACAGAGCACCTGTCTATGATTTGGTTCAATCATGGGAATTAATTAATGAAACACTTCCAATTCCAATAGCATCTGGAATGCTTCTGACAGTAGGAGATTATGTTTACATTTTTGGTGGTATCATTTCTATCTATGAGTTCAATTCTACCGTCGATCTTGGTCCAACAATGAGACACAATGTAACCAATTGTATAATGCGAGCTTCAACAACAAGCATAACAAATTGGGAGATTGTACAAGATGTTATTCCCCTTCCCCTGCATTCTGCTTTTATCGAAGTGGTTGGTAATTATGTCTACTTGTTTGGTGGCAGCTCAACAGTACGAGGAAGTGGTATTAATATCTTTAGAGCAACATTACAATCTCCAACTGTATGGGAGATGACCTTCGGTCTTCTTCCTTATTACGTTACTAATACCGGTCCATTTTCCTCAACAGAAGATAAGTTATATATTTTTGGTGGTACAAACTCATCCACTAGTTCAACTGGGCCTTACTTTGCCTTTGGTAAGAAGAATGATATTATTGGATCATGGACTGCAATACCGGATACAAACATAGAGTTGAATATTATTCACAATTCTACACAATTTGATTGGTGCACCAAGTATCCATTGTTATGCTATCAATGTTCTAACCCAGATTATTTTTTCAGTGCTGTTACTGGGCACACTGGTCCACAATATTATGAGGCTACTAATCCAAGTGTCTGCTCTTCAGCTGGTATTTGCGTTGGTAATGATGGATGTAAATGCACTCCTGGTCGATTTGGTGACCGATGTCAATTTACAGGAATAGTGGCTTACAATAATGGCAGACAATATGCCGATGGAAATGTTGCTGAGTCTTGTGCTGCCTACAAAAATCCAACTAACACCTCTCGAGTATATCAAGGTATAATTGGTGATGGTTTCTATATTATTCAAATTATTGGAACAACAACACCAATTAAAGTATATTGTGACATGACTACAAATGGTGGTGGTTGGATAGCTTATTATACAGGTAGTGCTAACAAGCCAGTACATTTGGCTAAAGGATATCAAAACCCAGGTGAAGATGTAAACTCTGGAGATTACATCGTAGATCTTAGAAGTTTCTTTTTTACCCAAGTTATGTTTTCTAAAGGTGGACAAAGCGACTGGTTTACTTGTATTGAGTGTGGAAATGGTTACACAGTTGGTTATTCAAATGATGGTGCGTTGACTTCAAATAGCCTGGGTTCTTGGCGTGCCGGTGGAGCAGTTACTGGTACCTACCAGTTGTACATTGCAGACAATGCTCCAGCATACGCAGGAACAACAAACTCAGCTGCCTTCATGATGTACTATTCAACATCAAGTTATACATTAAACCCAACAAGTGGATACGATACCACCTCATACACAATTACTGGTTACAGAACAGATACTGGAGGCAAGATTACGAGAACATCAGTAGGTGGCAGTTCTATATATAATGAATGCTTTGGCGTTTGCTTTAGAGCAAACTTGGGAGGTTCTTGTGGTGCAGGCAGCATGACTGTTTACCTAAGATAGATCCACAATTTGTATATTATTGTAAATCAATAAATTCGTTATTGTAAAGTATAACACATTTCTAATTTTTGGTCCCCACCTTTTTCTAATGTTGAATAATCTTATTTATTATTGGCTTTGCTTATTATTTAAGAGTTTTAGTCTTTTGGCAGCACTCTTTCTATATAAATGTTCCAACTTGGGGTAAACTTTTGCTTCTTCACAACAAGTATAAACCAGCTTGATATCATGTTCTTCAACATCCTTTTCTAAATGAGATATTATTGTTTTCCAATCAGGAATGGAATCACTGAAATCCTGATTCAAAGCCTTTGTTCCTCCAAGAATAATGTACATTAGAATGACACTCTCCCATAAATAGCCTATAAGAGATTGCTTCACAACATTATTTTTGACATGTTCTGAAACTAATCTCACAGCAAAACATCCTGTGATAGCATGTAGGGTAGCAATGTCCATCTTGTCACACTTCAAATATAAGGTCAAAGCAGCTTGGCAAAGGTCCTCCAATTCAAATAATAATTGATTATGATCTCCCAATATCATGGAGCATTGTACTGCAAATTCTTTCTGATCAATTACATCACGAGCTTCTCTCATCAAGTTATGAATCAAGAATCCTCCCTTTTTTAATAAATCTTGTCTAAACTCATCGGTCAGATATTCTGGATGATTCTTTTCTGTTCTTTGAAGAATTTCAAGTAAGCTTTGAGGTTTTGAATCATCTGAAAGTGATTTCTTACCCAACGATTCAAGTTTTGGTTCAATATTCTGATAGGAATAAGCTTGATAGGCCAATGAATTGACAACCATCAAGGTATGGAAATTTTGGAGAATTGAATAACCTAACAAGATGATTGGATGAAAAGCTCCTCCAGAAATTCCACTTAGCAATTCAACAACTGATTCATGAGACATGATATTCTCGAACAGTTCCTTCTCCAAGTGCATTGGTAGAATTTCTTCCTCTGAATCACCTTGTTGGGAACTGTTCATGACTTTAGATTGATCGTGTTGAATGACGTGTAAATAGACTAGAATGTGCATAAATCTACGATAGAAGAGAAAATCTGGACGATTCACACTAATTCTTCCCATGAAAATCTTATCGAAAATCCAGCTTAATTCTTCCTTAATGAAATGATCGAGTCTTTCCTTTGAAAAGTCCTTTTTCAATTGAGAAAGAAAAGGTTGATAGGTTTCTTCTTCCCATTTTCTCAATTCTGTGTTTTGATATTTAGCATTAGGATCAATTGGTACAAGTTTCTTCAAGTGATGATTCACATTCTCCAAATACACCTTTCTATTAATAATTGGTTGTTCGAAATTTGCCTTAATGTGAAAGAGAGCTGACAAGACCATTGGTAAGTGATTACTCAATCCATCAGGGATCCTTTCATCCAATCCAAAACTAGGATACAAGTGCACACAAATATAATTCAACAACTCATCCATCCACAATGAATCATCTTGTGAGTCTGTGTCAATGCTTTCCTTGGACATGAAATTGGCGGGAAAGATTTCTTGCATTAATTGTTCACTATTCTTTGAAATTTGAGAAAGGTCTGGCATGTTGCTTGTTTTTTTTGAATTGTTTCTCTTGAGATTTTTATTTTTAGAAATTCTATTTATTTATTGAGGAAGATTTTTTTGGAGTTTTGACATTTTTGTAAGTGGACATATAAGTGCGTATTAATATTTAATTGTGCGCATTTGTAAAATTAATTGAAAACAAGAATGATTCTGTCGTGGATTTCACAATAAATGAATGAGTGGTGTCATCAGGTTGGAATATATTGTTTACATTATTGATTAATGCATTTTCCAATTCATCATTCCTATGGCACAGTCTCAAGGTTAATATTAAGGTCATATTGAAAGGATGGATGTAACCCTTAATAAGACCAAATACGACTGGGAACTCCAATTAGAAAAAATATTGGCAGGAAAAAATTACAGTGAAAATAGACTCCTAAAAAAATGCTCTGTTTTCAACAGGAGAAGGAATTTCCTCACAAAAAGGAGTGTATGATAATGTATCTAATATTTATTATATTTCTTTGTCAATATTTATCATCATCAACATCAACACCATCATTGGGTGGATTAATATTTATTAAGGCAGAACAAACAAGAGTCAATAAGAGACAACAAGATGATACAAGTTTTATCTATCCAACCTATACTTCGGAACTCTATGCAGGTAGAACTGATTTCAGTTCATCTATGGACATTTTCTTTAAACAAATGATTCCATCACAGGTGGATTCTAGAATTATCTACATGTCCTCGAAACTCACCAATTCAATCTATCAATATAATGACACTGATAAGAGTTTGATACAGATATTGCAAGGGAGCTATATAGAAGGGGAGGACACCTTAGTAAATGGTGATTTACTGATGGTTGAGAAGGAAGAAGTCAATTCTATTCAGTATGATTGTTTATATTATAATATTGAATCTAGAATGTGGAAATATTCAATGAGGGACAGAACATCTTCTCGATTAACTGTTTATGGATTGGAACAAGTTTCAAAATTGGGTGTCAATAGACCTTTCGGATTTTTGGATTGGGGAAAGAAGAATCGAGTGTATGGAGTAGTGGAGGGGAAATTATTTCATGTAGAAAGGGAATACAATTTGACTTGGAATTTCACACAAGTTAAGGAGCTTGATTTGGAAAATACTCAATGGGAAGGTTTGGCCATGCATAAAAACAGTGAAATTATGTACTTGATTGCAAATCGTACAATTTTCATGGTTGACATGAGCAAGGACTTGTTCATTAAGAAATTACAAACTCATGAAAGTCCCAAAATACCTTTTGCTGTTTATCACGATGGACAAGATGAGTATCTTTACTTTACTGCCAATTACGATTCGATTTTGGTAAAGTGTCCAACTAAGGAATGCGATAGTGCTCTACCCATCTATACTAGAGACGAAATGATTAGGTCAGGATGGAAAATATTGAGCATTCCGTCAGCATTTGCCATTACAAAAGATGTTTTCCTATTCAATTCGTATTTTCCAAGGAGGGATGATATTACACACCTTGCACTTTATTCAATGATGGATAATGTTGCCTATCCAATTTACTCAATGGATGGTCCTATTTGGAATGGTGTTAATGCTTTGAACAGTTCTATATTTCCAACAGGTAAGTTTACAAATTTTTGCCAAATTACTATAAATATACAGCGGTAAACTTACTAAAACATGCTGATGGAAGAAAGGAATTGCTTATTAGTGATTATACGAAAATTAGATCAATCTCAATGAAAGATAGAACCATTTCAGTGGTAAAGGTAGACAATTTGTGCACTTCTTTCACACCACAACTGCCTGCACTCTCCAATATTGGCTCTTCGGTCAACCATTCTGATGGCAGCTCTACCATATACGCTGCTTCCATTCCAGATACTAATGCACAGTCTTACTCTATCAAAATAGCATCTAATGGGCACACTACGTGGTGTCCTCTCTCAACAGATATTGAGAACATACCAGTGCCTAATGAGAGCCCTCTGAATCAATCCATGTTTAATGATCCTTCTGGTATTGTCTATTTGAATGGAGAAATTTATATTGCTGATACAAAATCCAATAGAATCAGAAAGATTACAAAAGATGCAAGAGTATTGACCTTAGTTGGAGGTGGTAATATTAAGGGAGATAACTTGACAGGAACTGATACCTATGCGAATGCCCCTTTCGGTATTGCTGTTTGCAATTCAACAGGAAACGTTTATTTTAGTGTTTCTAACGACCATTGTCTCAAAGTCTACTCTCAACAAACAGGTCTTGTTCAAAACCTTGCAGGAGATTGTGGAAAACCAGGAATATTTAATTTTCCAAAAGCAATTTCATTGGTGGAGAATTTCCTCTTTGTTGCCGATTCAATGAATCATAGAATTGCGAGGGTTAATTTAGAGACACGTTTAGTGGAGAGTCTAATTGGAGATGGACAAGCAGGTGAGACATCAGACGACAACTATAGCGTAAGATTGAATTCACCAACTGGGGTTCACTATTGTGATGGATATTTATTTGTAGCAGACACTAATAATCATAGAATATTGAAGGTTTCTCATATACTTGATGTAACAAGTTATGCATACGTTGAAGTCATAGCAACAGGTAAGTTAAAAATTTACATTTTTGGAATATTGACAAAATTACTAAAAATAGATGATGATGTGAAATTGGCATATCCATATGGTGTTCATGCTTTCAAGATGGGTTACAAAATGTTTTATATCATTACCAATACATATAACAACAGATTAATCTTTGCACAAGAAACTCCTTCAAGATATTTCACAGAAATGGGAAGTGGATTGCCAGGTTACAATGGAGACCTTTCCATATTTGAGGCAAGTCTTTTCAATCCAAAGGGAGTCTGGGTATCTGACAACATTATCTATTTTACCGATTCATCAAATAACCTGATTCGAAAAATCAACTTGTCTCGATTATATTTTATGGTTGAAACTGTAGCTGGTGGGCATGGTGATGGTGGCTCAATTTTGAATACTCGTATCAAGATTACAAGTTTCTCTCAAGCTCCTGGAGGGATTGTTGTGACTGATATTCAAAACAACCTGATCAGATTGATAAAACAAGATGGAACTGTCTCTACACTTGTTGGAAGTGGTGGCACACTTTACAATGGAGAGCTAATAACTTCCAAGATGGTTAATTTAAATTACCCTTTTGGAGTTTTTGTTTTCAATAATGAAATATACTATTCTGATTCCAAGAATCTGAGAATAAGAAAAGTGGATCTAGATGGAATCGTCTCAACTGTGATACTCGACGGTAGCTATCCTTCAGCTCTCAGAGTTAGACTTAATGGTGACATAATTTATGTTACTCAAACAGGAATTAAGATTTTCCATGCCAAAACAAGTGAATTCCAAAATATTGTAACAGACAGCAATTTTCTCAAAGCATCTGTTGAGTACGATTCAGATGATGGTTCGATTTATTATGCAACAGATACTTCTGTTGTCAAGTTGACTCCAAGATGTAAGAATGGTTATGTGTTGGATGACCAATTTTCTGAGTGTATTCCAGTATGTTTCGGATATAATCAATTGGATGTGGAACAAGTTTGTTCTGGACATGGATTGTGTCTAGAGCCAGATAACTGTGGATGTTTTGACCATTACACGGGTAATCAATGTGAAAATGCCAAATGTTTCGGTCTTGATGTTAATAATCCAAATATTTGTAATGGAAGAGGTCAATGTGTCTCAGTTGACACCTGTTCATGCTCCCAAGGCTATTCAGGAATTGACTGTTCCATTCCAGAATGTTTCGGAATCTCTGGAAACATGTCATGTAGTGGATCAGAAAGAGGTAGATGCATTTCACTCAACATGTGTCACTGTAATTTGCCTCATTATTCTGGAAGAGCATGCGAGTTAGCAAACTGCTTTGGAATTCCACAAAATGATGCAAAAGTTTGCTCTGGAAAGGGAAGATGTGTCCGTCCTAACGAATGCAAGTGTGATACTGATTTTTATGACAAGGATTGTTCCAAGTTTGATAATACGAATTGGACAGTTGGAGTTGTTGTGGGAATTACAGGCGGTTTTGTTATTTTGTTGATGATTGTTGGAGTTGTGTTGATTGTAGTGTTGAGAATTTATAAGAAACAAAAGAAAATATTGGACACTGACCTCGAATTGGATCGACAATTGTTGAGTTCTGAAGAAATCAATGGTTATTCTCGTGGTCATACTTCAAATTCAAGTAATAGTGTGGAGGAAGATTTTTATATCCCACTGAATCAATTAAATATGGACAAACCAATTAAGAGATTGGGAAGTGGTGGTATTGGAAGTGTATTCATGACAAAGTAAGTGTTAAATTTTGCCTAAATTCTAACTTTTTCATCAATCTTATTTTGAAATATTTCCAAAGATGGAATAATATCATTGTAGCGGTCAAAGTGTTTGATTTGAATAATGAAAACATTGGAATTGAAGATTTTATCAATGAGGCCTTATTACTCTCAAGACTTCGTCATCCAAATATTATTTCTTTTTATGGAGTTTCTTCATCTCCAACCAAAAGATACATTGCCATGGAGTGTATGGATGCAAGCTTGGAATCCTATATTCAGAAAATGCAAGCATTGCAGTTAAAGCTTCCATTCCGTACAAAAGTGAAAATTATTTCAGATATTTGCAGAGGTATCATGTATCTTCACAATTTACAACCAAATTTTATTGTTCACAGAGATTTGAAACCTGCAAATATTTTACGTAAGTTTATTTGATTTTTGACATGACTCTAATGTGAGTGAAATAGTTGATAAGGATGGCAATTGTAAAGTTTGTGATTTTGGTTTGGGAAGAGTTTTATCAAAAAAAACACTTTCGAATATTACAGCACAGGTTAGTACATTCAAACTATTTCGAATGATTATTTAACTGTATATAGATTGGCACATGTGCATACATGAGCCCAGAAATCTCAGGATTCTCTGGTAAGGATATTGATCGTTCACACGTTAAGGCAATTGATATCTTTAGTTTATCCATAATTTTCTATCAAATATTATTCGAAGTGATGGATCCATACTCGAGTCAAGATTTGAGAGTGGTGGAAAAGATTGGACTTAAGGAACCAATTCATTATGAATCTTTTTATCATTTGCATAGAGCCATTTGTGAATTCAAAGTTCGACCTTCAATTCCATTCAATACTATTGAGTCGTGTGTGGAGTGGTGTAAAGTTTATGATTTGGAAGAGAATGCAACAATTTATTGGAAATTATGTGAAGATGTTATAAAGGAATCATGGAAAGAAGAAGCTTCCGAAAGACCTCCTATTGAAAAATTGGTAGAAATTGTTGATTCATTGTAAACTGTTATAAATAAATATTTAAAAAAATGTCATCATTGATAGATTGTGACAACACCTCTCAACACTATGAATATCTCCCCGAACAGCAATTACACTCACTAAAAATCACACCAAATCATGATCACCAACCTTCTACAGCAAGAATTTCACTTCCCGTGATGAATACTCATGATGAGAATATTCAAATTGAAATTAATTCTGATGATTATAATATTGATGAGATTAGTGTCGTGTTCTCGGGAGGAAATTTATCCGTGAACAAATGTTACTTGAAGGTGAAGAAGAAGTGTAATGAAAGGTTTGTTGTGAAATTGAGAGAATTGGAATGTTGTGATTTGATAATTATGAATGAATCGAAAGGGAAGATTGTGTTGGAATATGATTGTTTAATATTAAATCGATTGGAAATTTCGAATAACCAACAAGAAGAAGAAACGGTAGTGGAAAATCATAGTGATGTTGATTTTTGTGAATTGATAATTGGAGACGGTTGTCAATTTGAGAATTATGCCAACTTGCAAGTGTTGAATTTATTGAAGGGTGAAGGATTGGTTAGAAATTTGGGAATGATGTTTTTTGGAAAGGATGTAGAAATCGAGTTGAATAATTTGGAAAGTGTTGGAATTGTCAAATTTCCACAATTAGAAAGTTTTGTAAAAGAATTTAAATTAATTAATGGCGAAAGTGAACAAAATTTTACAGAACCATTGCCTAGAGGATACAATTATCTCAACAGAGTTGCCCTTTTGAAGGGACTGATAGGGAAGAATACTAAAACCAAAAAACCACAAATTCTCTCCGACTCAATTCTAGAATATTTAAAGGAAAATCCTGTTAATTCATCAGATGATTTATCTGAGAAGGTGAATGAATATCTATTGAGAGTAGGTGGTACTGAGTACGTCTCTACATGGGTCTCAACTATTGCCCCGAATATTAGAAAAACACCATCCGCACAAGGTGAAATAAGTGAAAAATTAGAACCATGGACCACTGTTAATGTCAAATCGATTTATTGTGGAGCTGGAGAGAATGAATTCTGGGCATGCTTGGGAGAAGAGGCCTTTGTATCAACAGATTTTTTGAAAATTAAGCCAAAAGTCAATCATCTACTCTATCCTAACATGAAAGGGAGTGATTTACTATCAATCTATGGACCGAACGAACCATTCCTCAACGATAACTTGAAAAATCAATCCAATCAAGAAATCATTGTTGTAAATACTCCAATATTGGACAGTAATTTACAGTCTATTGGAGAAAAACTTGCTGGAGATTTGGTAACGGTTTATGAATTTACTGAAATTAATGGAAAATCACTTGTAAAAATATCTCCTGATGAGGAACATTATATTGAATCGGATTATCTTTCCTCTGAGATGGATAAGAATCTCCTCAATAGGAATATTCGAGCATTCCTCGAATTAATTGCCTTTTGTGAAGCTACCTATACATTCGGATACAATCGACTCGTGAATGGAACACCAACCACTGATCCATTCCAAACATGCTACTCACACGGCATTGTCAATATCACAAGTAATCTCAATACTCATCCGTTCATTCTCGTCTCCCTTAATGCCACTCTAAAATCAACAGCAGCTGGAAAATATCAATATTTGAATAGAACTTGGCATTCCCTCCCTAAAGAAATTCACAACAATCTCTTTACACCATATGGACAAGACAGAGGAGCCATTGCACTTTTAATGAGACGTGAAAGTCTTCAAGCCATCAAACAAGGCAATATTGAACTGGCCCTTAATTTATGTAATAAGGAATGGGCAAGTTTTCCAAACTCACCATATGGTCAACCCACTAAAAAGATGGAAGAATGCTTGAAAAAATATTCAGACTTTCTATCAAGATTACAATGAAAATCAAAAACTATTAAATCAAAATTTTTCAAACATCTTTTGCCCTCACATGGATGAGCACAAACGGAGAAGTAAAAATAAAACTTTAAAAAAAAATGAGAATCTTGTCCGTACTTGCAAAATCCAAAACTTTAATTTCCTTCCACAACTCGGCAGCCAAATCATCGTCATCACTGCTTTTCGGAAAACAAATAAAGAAAAATGGAAATTTAATTAAGAATATTCAATACAATTATCAACAGGAGAGAAATATATTTATTAGAACAAAGGAAACACCAAATCCTGCCAGTATTCAATTTTATCCTATGGAAGTGAAAGTGCTGGATGAGAAGGTGTATCCAGACATTTCTTCATTGGAAATTACTAATCCGTTGCAATCATATGTATCTCCTCTTGCCAAGACACTTTTTAAAATTGATGGAGTGAAGAGTGTATTTCTCTGTAGAGATTTTCTTACTGTAACAATTGATGATCCAACCAATTGGACCGATGTAAAACATGATGTATTCTCAAGTTTGAATAACTTTTTTGAGAGTGGAGGTATTGTATTAAATAGAGATGCTCAACCAAATCCTGATACAATGGTTCAGGAAGGAGATGATGAAATAATTATTGCAGTGAAGGAAATTTTGGAAACTAGAATTCGTCCTATGGTTCAAGAAGATGGTGGTGATATTGTATTTTCGAGATTTGATGAAGAAACTGGTACTGTTTATGTCAAATTACAAGGAAGTTGTGCCAGTTGTCCAAGCTCTACAGAAACCTTAAAGAATGGTATTGAAAATATGCTCATGCATTATATTGCAGAAGTGAATGCTGTAGAACAAGAATTGGACGAATTAGATCAAATTAGTGAAGATCAATTGAAAAAGACTGAAGAAAAGCTTGCCAAAGAAAAGGAAATTATTGATCATTATACTAAATAAATGAATTTTCTTTCTTGGATTCTTTTTAAATGAAATTTTAAAGGGTATCATTGGATTATTTAAAAGAGAAACACTTCCATTTTACTTAGAGTTATTATTTATTTAATTATTATTCAAAAAGAATTATTCTCGAGTTAAAGGTTTAAGCAATAAAGCAAACAGTTGTAATATCATCGAACTTGCCACCAAGTTGGCCAATCGCAACAGCGAATGGTGTTCTGGCCCATCTATTGAGTGCAACAGTTCTGGCTTCAAGAGTTACTCTTCTAGCCAACTCGCAAGCTTGCAATTCACCTCCAGGAGTACCTTGAGAAGAATTGGCAAGTAAATTATCTTTCATGTCCCATATTAAATTTCCAACAGATTCTGGGAAGAGATTATCCCAAACGCCATCAGTTGCCATCACAAGAACATCATCCTTTTCCAATTTGATTTCTTCATCAACAGCATGTTCTGGCAAATCATGGTAGGCGGTACTATTCCCTGGTGGAACAACACCAAGTTGGAATGGACAATTGAAATAATGTTGTTTTTCCTTAGTTTGGAAAATACAGGCTCCTTCTCTAAAAACTGCAAGGCCTGAATCTCCCAAGTTAGATGTTCTCAAAATTTTAGTATTCTTGTCGTAGGAAGCAATCGAAGCTGTGGTACTTCCAGCAAGAACTTGTCTTTCATTTACAATTAAATCATATGCCATTTGTAAAATCTTGTTTGGATTACTCAAAAGTTGGCTATCACCACCCTCACAAACAAGTTTGGCATTGTACATGAGCTGGTTACTGATGAGAGATGGATCAACTCCAACCTCGGCCCAACCTCCAACACCATCAGCAACACCAATAATTGTATAATTATCATTCTCAAAAGTGAAGAAGGCATCTTCTCCGCATTGTTCCTTATAATCAGAAGAATCTAATGATTTTGGTGCAGCAAATTTCTTTCCAACTCCAAAACCACATGCTTGTTTGGCATGACTCTCAATGGTAAAATCAAATTCGGAAGGTATTGAAGCACCAACAGGTTTTTCTTGTTGTTGTTGTTTTCTGTACAAATATTGTGGTACGTCACTAGTAGTGGATGGTTTAGCATTCTGAACACAGGTATTTAAATTATTGTAGGATTGGTATTTGAGTGGGATCATTCCTAGGAGAGATGAATGGAAATGTTTAAAAATGTTGTTAGTAGAGGTATTAGTTGTGGTGGTGGTGGAGGAAACTGTCCAATTGCTATTATTAAACAAGTGGGTTGGCAAAACTGATCGAACTAAACTATGACTATTACTTAAAGCCTTTGAAGCAAGACAAGTTGTAGTTTTTTGAAACATGGGTTCAGAAGCTTGATCTGATGAAGGTAAATCCGACTGAGAAGTTGTAGTAGAGGTACAAAACAAGTCCTTGTATTTTTTGTTTTGTTGTTCTGCTGCTGCTTCAGAGTGGATGAATAAAGTTGCTGCTGTTGTTGTAGCTGGTGTGTTGAGTGTTAAATTATTGCTCTTACTGCCTGCTGCTGAATGTTGAAAGGAGGAAATGGATAAATTATCTTCTTCTTCTTCAATAAAATCGAATAAATCTTCAATGTATTGTGGATGTTGGGAGTAACTTGGACTGTCTGGGTTTTCAAAAGAGGTATTAGATGGTTTTTGATTAATTTGACTTGTTGCTGCTTCAGAGGTAAAAGTATCAGCACTATTTGTTGCTTTTGTAGGGGTTAGCAAGGATGAGAATGGAAAACTATTTGAAGAAGGTAGAGACAATGATTGGTTTTGAGAGGCCACTTTCCGATATTGATTAAACTTAGCCTGAAGTGAAGAAGATGTTAGCTAGTTTTTTTTTTTTAAATTTAAATGAAAGATGGTAAAGTATGGCGCTTAAAAACTACAATTCTCTAAAAATAGAGTCGATTTAAGAGTGGAAAAACAAAAAATAGTGGAACTCAAGTTGATTGTTTTAGTTTACATTGAAAAACATTTTTAAGAGAAGGAGTTGAACTGTAACCTCATAAATTCCCCACCAGATTGTAAACATTAAGAAGATGGAGTTGTACAACAAAAAATATAAATATTAATAATTGCTTTCAAGAGGTGAGATCTCTGAACAAGAACAAACTTATGATGTTGTTCATAATAGTATATTTATTGAATTTTTAAATATCGATTTTATGCATTTTCATGGTTTTTAACAGAGAGCAGCAACAATTATGTTTACAATACTGTAGTTGAACGTTACAAATAAGGTGATAGAACAATCAACACCTGCCCTCTTTAATATATTAAACCTTCCTATTCGGAAATAGAATAAGCTCATAAAATAAGAAAGCACACGGAAGCGTTTACAATAAGTGTTGGATGCCACCAATCGCTTATTTACAATGGTATAATCGTAGATATTATATTCATTATCAGACATCTGTCCTAGTAATCAATTAAAATTGCTTGATGGAAAGCAATTACAAGCTATCAACATTGAAAATAATTGAATTTATCTCTTACGATTCTCGGCATTGCTAGGGCCCAAGTGTTAATTTATCTCTTTAAAGCTTGCCAAAACGGAATAATTTAACGCGTTGCATCTCTCACGAAAGAATATTCTTCGGACTCTTGTTTACACAACACCATAAAGAAACGAAAAATTTGAAAAAAACAACTAACGCATAACAGCTAATTTAACCAGTAGAGAGAGATTTAATTCCGCATTCAATATCACAATAGCAAACAACAACAACTAAAGCACACTCATTAGACGACTCTGAACCCTCCATCACTATTAGCTATCACAAAATGCTAAGTAACAATAATAATATCAAAGTAGAAGAAGAAATTTTGAATGAGTCCAATATTCAACAAGAAGAATCACTCTTCCTTGAAAAACCAAAGAGAAGACAAGGAAAGAAGAGTGTCAAGCTTGTAGAAGAACCTATTATTGCTGCTTCTACATCTTCAGAAGATACCAATAATAACAATGATAACGAAGAAGAAGAAGAAGAAGCAGATGATGAATATTCCGCAGATGACATCTCAGCAGGTACTCATGGTAGTAATCCTTCTAGACAATGGCAAAAGGATGACACTTTTAATAATCAAGCAGGTTATTGCATCTCTGTGGGTATTACTACCCGTGATGAAAGTTTACCAATTTATGACACTCCTTGCAAAATGTACTCTAGTTTACGTTACAAGCTTCAATATAAGTGTGTCATTGTCACATCAGGATTGTCTGCCAGTTCAACTCCTAAACTCTTAATGTGTCGTGTCACAGTCATTGATGAAGAAACTAGTAAGGAAATTAAGAAAGATAACAAACCAATCATTGATGATTCTCTCATTTCACTCAAATGCACAAGTACAAATGCCACTGCTGGTCAATCATTGGTATTTGAAGCCAATCACAAGATTAAATTCAAGAGTGTTTCATTCCATCATAATAAGAGCAAGTGGAGATTATTACTTCAACTCTTCTCTGACTCTAACCAAAGCATTAATACACCAGTACTTGTCATTAAGAGTGCTCCATTCCAAGTATACGCAAGAAGACCAAAGGTTTCTGAAAGAGATTCCACCAATGGTCTCCTCACCTCTACACCAGTTCCAACATCAAAGGAAGAAAAGAAACAAAAGAAGAAGAAGAATGAATTAAAAAAGAGAAAGAGATCTGCCTCAATGGCTAGTAAGGACATTGCTCCTCCAAAGATAGAAAAGCCATCCACTGATGAAGAAACTAATGCACCAACCATTCCAATAGTATCAACTGAATCTTGTATTGCAAGTTCATCCAAGGATGCTCCAATCATTACTGAACCAACCATTGCCAGCTCATCAACTTCAACCACCACATCTGATCCAACTCTTGTCAAGGAAGAACCAATCTCTCACACTGAAACCAAGACCTCCATCAAACAAAAGAAAAAGCTCCTTGATAACTTTTCCAAGACACTTGATACTCTCTTAAAGTTCCACTCAGAGATGGACGATGACAGTAAGAGACTTGCATTTGAAATGTTGCAACAAAGAATGTACAATCACTTTTATTCTGATTTGGTGCAGCAACATGAATGGATGGCCCAACAAATGGCAATTCAACATCAACACCAACAAATGCAAGATAACTTGTCGCCCCAAAATATTGAAACAGACCATGCTGTTCTTGAAGCTGGTTCTGCAGATGATATCATTGTTCAATGTGATAATGAATCTACCCACTATAATGACCATATGGAACATGATCACTTTTTGAACATGTGTGACAGTGGCTCATTCGAAGATAATATGATTTTACACAATGATTACCATCCATTTATTTAAATGACCCAATTGTTGGGTCATGTAATGGTGATCCACAATTTTTGTACAGTATATTGTTAACTAACTGAAATATTTCGGCCTTTTTCCATATGTTGTAAATAAACATGAGTATCCTTTTAATTATTATTAATTAGAACAATTTTTTTAATGCAATTGTAAATGTTTGGAAAGTGCATCATACCTTCTTAACAGTTCCAAAAACTTCTCTATTTCACCATTTATGGATCCTCAAATTTCTGCTTCCCACATCTAACAAATTGGTCTTTTTGCAATTCTATTGACAATGAAAGAAGTTGTTTCTAAAAGCTAGAAAATTATCTGGATATCTGAATATCTCGTTCATTTTGTATTGAATAAACTTCAATATTGTGCCATTCACATTGTCACAAATAACACTACTTCAAACTTTCTTTGCAGTGCTCACTCATGTTCATAAACAACCGTTTGAAACTTGAACAAGTACATGAATGAGATTGCAAGTCCGATCTTTATATTGGCAACTGAACTCCATGGAGAGTAGTATCTTGTGCCCGACCTTTCCTTGTGGAGAGACCAAGAACAAAGACCAATAACTTTCAAAAAAATGGACAAATTGAAACTCAACAACACTAATAGCTCAACATTCTTGCTACTATTGTTGTTTTTGCACTTGTTGTTTCTTGCTGCCCAACCAATTGTCCACGGTCAATCTTTATACCATGTAAAAACCATAGCAGGTAGTTATCCCTATGGTTACAATGGTGATGACATTGAACCTACCAAGGCAGAAATCACCCTACCTGATGGTCTTGCACTCTCTCCAAGCAACAATGGTGACATTTTCATAGTTGACAAGATAAATTGTCGAGTGAGACAAGTAGTGGCAAGTAGTGGTAAAATTAAAACAATTGTTGGTGTGGGTATTCCTGGTTCTGTCACGACAACTATAGCAACTATGGCTCGTTTGAATTATCCTAGTGCACTTGCTTTTCAGAACAGTGATGTCATGTACTTGTCTGATAATAGTCATGTTATTCGAAAGGTAGTATTATCTAGTAATTTGATTAGTACATATGCTGGTCAAGTTGGTGTACCAGGGAGTATTGGAGATGATGGAGTAGCTATCAATGCACTGTTGAATACACCAAGTGGAATTGCCATCTCTCCTGTGAATAATAATTTATATATTGCAGATACCTCAAATAACAAAATTCGTGTGGTTTCGTATACGGATGGTATCATTAGAACATTTGCTGGAGGTGGAACAGATACATCCACTGTGGTACAGGATGCAACTAATGCACAGTTTAACTTCCCCACTTCCATTGCAATCTCTAATAGTGGAGAAGTTTACATTGGCGATGACAAGATTAGAAAGGTGTTCAATAATGGCACCAGTGTACTTCTGTTCACTTCTTTTGGACTCTCTGGCCAGACTAATACAGTTTATGGAATGGCAGTATCTCCAATAACTGGTGCTCTCTATGTTACTGTTTCAGATAGAGTATACATGATTCAATCGAATGGAGTTGCAACATTAATAGCTGGATCAGGAGCTGGCTATGCTGGAGACAATCAATTGGCATCCAATGCCATGTTCAGAGTCACAAGAGGCATTGCTATATCCTCAAGTGGGGAGATTTTCATTTCTGATGGTGGAAATAACAGAGTTAGAAAGATTAACACCAACAATATCATCGCCACCGTAGCTGGAACAGGTTCCAATCTTGCCTACAATGGTGATAATATTGAGGCAGTGAAGGCAAAACTCTTTGGCCCAGAATCGGTTGCTGTCGCTCCAAATAATGAGGTTATTGTGGCCGACACAAGAAATGATAGATTGAGAAAGATTTCACTTGGTGGAATAATCACAACCATTACTCCAAGTTATAGTTCACCCAGATCTCCTCTCGTGCCCAATGTAGGGGAGTACTATTTTGTTGATTCGTCAACTGTGAAATATCTCATATCTTCTAGTGGCATTGTAATAACTAAAGCTGGATCTGGAACTACTGGATACAATGCTGATAACATTCCCGCTACAAGTGCTCATTTAAATTTTCCAAAAGGAATTGCCAGATCCACAAATGGAGATTTGTTCATTACCGATTCTGGAAATCATCGAATTAGAAAAGTGTTTTTAAATCAGACCATCATTACTGTAGCTGGTACTGGTACTTCTGCCTACAATGGAGATGGGCTATTAGCAACTAGTGCCAATATTAATAATCCATATGGAATTGTACTGACCTCTAATAATGAAGTTATTTTTTCAGAGTATGAAGGCCATCGAGTGAGAAAAATTCTCAATGATGGAACCCTCATTACCATTGCAGGAACTGGGGTGGATGGGTATAGTGGGGAGAATTTGAGCGGTTCTAATTCAATGTTGAGATATCCTGCTGGTCTTGCCATTTTATCCAATGATGAACTATTGATTTCTGATTCCCAAAACCATGCCATTAGGAAATTATTTAAGAATGGAACTTTGATAACCATTGCTGGTACTGCACCACTGTATGGATACAATGGTGAGAATTTGCACCCTTTGGAAACTCAATTTTATGGACCAATGGGTGTAGCTCTATCTGCTGATGAATCTAAAATTTTCATTGCTGACACAAGTAATGGAAAGGTGAGAGCGATCTCTTTTGGTTGTGACCTACAGAATCAATGTAGTGGGCATGGAGATTGTGCAGTGAACAATTGTTCGTGTTATTCTGGTTGGAGAGGAAGTTCTGATTGCTCTCTCTTCTCATGTGAAACATTGAATGCCTGCTCTGGACTTGGTACATGTGTGAGTAATAATACATGCTCATGTACTAGTGGATGGAAGGGAAGCCTCGATTGTTCCCACTTCTCATGTGAAACATTGAACAATTGTTCAGGGCATGGTGCATGTGTAGGTCCCAATACATGTTCATGTGATTTGGGGTGGAAGGGAAGCCTCGATTGTTCTTTCTCATGTGAAAAATTGAATGCCTGCTCTGGACATGGTGTCTGTGTGAGCAATAATACGTGTGTTTGCGATTCTGGTTGGAAGGGAAGTCTGGATTGCAATCTCCCTTCCTGTGAAATGTTTAAAAATTGTTCAGGACATGGCTCTTGTTTGAGTAGTAATACATGTTCGTGCTTGAGTGGATGGAAGGGAAGCCTAGATTGTTCCCTATTCTCTTGTGATGCTGTGAAAAATTGTAGTGGAAATGGAACATGTACATCAAGTAATGGTTGTTCATGCCTGGAAGGATATGGTGGATTGAGTTGTGATAATAGAATTGTTCCTCCTACCTATGTCTCTCCACTTGCATCCAAGAATGGTCCAGTTACTACTACAGGTAATTCTAACATTGGATTGATTGTTGGATTGGTTGTGGGTTTAACATTATTGGTATTGTTAATATTGCTTGCAATCATTGTTACCATCTGTCTCATTGTGAAATTAAAGAAGAAGAAAAGCAAACCACTGGTTACTAATGAAGAACCAATTGAAATGATAACAACCATTGATGAAAATGTTACTCAAACAGCCAATAGTTCATTACTTACCTCAGATTTCCCAAGCGATACCTTTAACAATTCCTATTACCAGTTGAATTCTTCCAATACTAACACAAGTGCTACTTCTCCTCCTCAAAACACAGATCATTCTTTGCTCAAAGATAGATACAAGATTCAACAAGTTATTGGTCAAGGTGCATTTGGTAAATGTTATCTCTGTTTGGATTCTAAAAAGAATGACATGCCAGTTGCCATCAAGACTATTAGTTATGATCAAAGTAGACATTCTAAAATTATTGATGAATGTTCCAAAACACTTTCATACAGACATGCAAATCTGGTTGAAGTATATGAATTCTTTGAAGCACAGATTATTCAATCTATTTGTATTGTAATGAAATTTTATGAAGGCGACTTGGAACATGCCTTGAAAGATTTGAAACAAGATGGAAAGATTGTCTCTGAGAAGATGATCATCTCCATCATGAAACAACTTGGAGATGGTTTGAACTATCTTCACCAAGAGAAACTAATTGTTCACAGAGATATCAAACCACGTAATATTTTCTACAGTAAATTGGACCGTGAATTGGATGAAATCCAAGTGGTTATTGGTGATTATGGAGAGGCAAAGGAAACTGGAGAAACTCAAAATTCAGTTGCAGGAACATTGCAATATATGGCGCCTGAGGTCTTTTCTAGAAAATACAGTTATAGTGCTGATATATTTTCACTTGGAGTTTCACTCATTCAGGCCATGGCAAATGAATCCTTAGATTTAAACATTACAGCTCAATTATTATACGATAAGGAAGAAGTGGTGTTGGACAGAACAATGGAACACTTGATATCAAGAGGTTACTCTGAGAAGCTTTGCAATTTTATTGTGACTATGGTCTCAAAGGAACCGAGTATGAGACCAACAAGTGCTGACATTCAAAATTTCACTCAAGATGATGGTGCCGAAAAGAGCATTTAATATTGTAATTAAATTATAAAATAATGGATCAAGTTTGTTTGGAATGTCATTAAAATTTCTGTTAATTCCAGTAAATAATCAATTCCAAGAAACTCTCATCTGGTTTTGAGTGATATGTTTGTTGTTATTAAGGTGGATTTTAATGAACTTTAGTTTCATTATTCTAATCTTGTGTACAAATTTCTTATTTTAGCACCCAACAATCATTCGGGTAAAATCAAAAAAAATGAAACTAGATGAACTTCCCCTCGACCTTCTTTTCATCATTTGCGATTTTGCCTTCATTCGCAACAATCCCGATTCTCGCCTCGAATCAAACATTAAAACTTTATGTTCGATGGATTTGATTTCATCAGTCCTGAGTAGAAATTACGAATTTAGGGGAAAATTGGAGGCAATTTGGAAAATTATTCTATTAAGTTATTTGGGTATTGTTTTGAATGATGATGAGCAGGGAACTGTGAATGTTCTACGATCAGGATTTTCATTCCAAGTTGCTGATTTTGAAAATACATTGGAGAAGGCTAGTAAGAAAACATTTAACAGATGTTTTGGGCTAATTAGAGAATGTGAGAAGAGGATTGGAAAGAGGAGATTTCAAGGTTTTGATATTGATACAAAGAGTGATAGAACTGTCTCAATTAGTGTTGTTGGAATGAGTGGGAGTGGAGTAAAATCCATGTTATATCGATATTTTGAAAATAAGTATATTGGAGATGATATTGGAATGATGGATGTGAATGATGATTACAATAAGGAAATTAATATTGGAGACAGAGTGGTGAATTTTCAATTCAGGAATGGAAGTGCTTATCAAGATCGATATTTAAGGGATAGTTAGTTTCATATCTGTTGTATGGTTAATTATTTAACAACATATTTAGCTGTTTTTCGATACTCTTCTGGGCATTTACTTGTTTTCAATGTTGATTCTGTTGAGGACTATGAAATAGAAAGCATGATTAGCACGGTTGGAAGAGTTCATGATGATGAGCTCATGCCCATTATTATATGTCTCAATAAGATTGATGTTATTGAGGGTCATCCAGAACTATACAAACTCAAACCAGAGTACCTGAAAGAAATTACTGAAAAATTATTCTATACCAATGTAGAAATCATTCCAACCAGTTCCAAGGACAACCTAAATATTTCAACAGTTATGGAAAAGATTGCTAAGAAGGCCTACTTTTACATTGATGGATTTGATTGTCTTCGAATGAGAAAACATCTCCAACTGGTTGTTAAGAAGGATAAAAAGATTCTTAGACAATTTAATAAGAAGTCAAATTGTATCCTTTCTTAATCCCAATTGGATACAATAAAATTAAATTATTGAATAAGCAAAACGAAATCGCCCACCGTGGGGGTCGAACCCACGACCACAAGGTTAAGAGCCTTGCGCTCTACCGACTGAGCTAGACGGGCTACTGTTAAAGGTCTTTTCAGTATTCATTCGTAAGTGTTCAAAAGAACAATCTGGGATCTCCTTTTATTGTTATTGACTTAATGTTAATAATTATTGCCACATGTTCCACATGCTGCAGCATTACCTTGCAATGGAGGAACGCCAGTACTTAAATTTCTTTTACAGTTTTTACACAAGGTAGCTCCACAAGATTTGCAACGAGCACTGTCGCTACTTCCACATCCACTTGACCAATTACACATTCTGATTTTGTTTTTTTGAGAAATTGAAATTGTTTGAGAACAAACTTGTTTATTCTTATACTTTTTTCAAAATCATGCTTTAGACTAATAGATAACATGGATGGCAAATAATTGGGATCAAAATAATGGATTGGTTGGTTAAATTGTAATAGTTTGTTGTAAACTAGATTCTTCCAGTTGAATTGGTAACTCTTAAACAATTCCTTACAAACATTGGTACTGCATTACAGTAAGATAAAGAAATATCACACAATGCAAGTTCTTATTACTGCAGAATTTCTCACATTTATCACGATGAAAAATGAGAAATTTTTTTTTTGAAAATAGGGGCTGAGCTGAGGTTATTATCTCTATGGTTTCAATAAATAAAACTTTAAAAATTGAAGGATAGGTAGAATAGATATCTGTCTTTGTATTTTTTAAATATCAAATATTAACTATTCGGGATAGAGTCAAAAATTAACCTCGAGTGCCGGGAATTGAACCCGGGTCGCCAGAGTGACAGTCTGGAATGCTACCACTATACCACACCCGATTTCACATTCTTTGTCATTAAAGTACGGATATATAAGTGTTACCTTAACCATTTTCCAAACTTGGTTTAACGGTGCAATAGAAAATTGGGAACACCCTCAGAACCATTTTTTCATCAATACCTGAATTTGTGAAAAAGATCAAAATTGGGTTGTTTACTTGGATTTTTTCTTTGATGTGGTGGTACTAGTGGATGAAGGGGTAGTTTGTGGAGGTGGATTGATAAGATTGGATAAAATTTGTTGGTCTTCCTTTAAGAGATTTAAAATTTCTACAGGTGGTTTCTTAGAGAACGCTTGTCCATTTCCCATAGATTGTTGTAAATTCCATAATTTCATTGCTTCTTGTTCACCTTGTTTTAATTCTCTCTCGACAGCAACAGCTCTTCCTGTAAAATGTTCAAACCATTGTTCAGATTCCTTGACTTTTGGATCATTTTCACCATACTTTTCTTTTAAGATCAAGTAATTCTTTCTCTCAAAAGTGACAGCATTCTTGTATTGTCTGAGGAAGTTGTAGGTCATGGCAATGGCATGGAGAGTGGTTGCTGATTGATCAGAATTTTCACCTAGAGTTGCATTATAAATTCTTAAACATTCGTGCAAGTACTTGAGAGATCTTTGCATGTCTCCCATATCTTGATACATCATGGCAATATTGAGCATGATGTGGGCAAGATCTGGATGATCAAATCCGCAGCACAAAACATGAATATATCTAGCTCTCAAGAAGTGTTTCAAAGCAAACTCAGCTTGTCCAACATTGAAACATAATAAACCTAAGAGTGAGTGAATTTGAGAAATGGTTGCACTGTCCAATCCCATAACTCTTCTGGAAATTAATAAGGCGTTATGTTGATGTAAGAAAGATTGAGGTAAATCGGAGGCATTAAATAAAATGGTGGCAAGGAAACTGAAACAGGTGGCTACTTCGTTATTCATTGGGCCCTTAACTTGTTGGAACATGATAATGGCTTGTGAGAGGAATTCAAAGGCCATTTCAAAATTTCCTTTAGTGAGTTGTTGTCTACCAACATCCAAGAGACTGTGTGCAGTCTTTGATCTTGGTGTACTGTGTTTGACAACAGGTTCAAGGGAAAGAATATCATTTTGGTTGAAAGGATTAGCAGTATTGAATTGGTATTCTCTCAAGAGAATTTGAAGACCAATCTTCATACAGAAACTTCTAACAGTAGCAATAGTCTTGAATTTAGTGATAAAATCATCTTCTAATTCAAATCTGTAATGAGTCTTGACACGTTCCTTAATGAGGGAGAAGAGGGTAGCTTGAGTAATGTCAGTCTCTTCGAGAGCCTTCTTATCCTTCTTGTTTGGTTCATGTTCATCAACATTGGTACCAAAGATGCAACACAAGAATTTGGAAATAAAGGTTGCCAAATTGGAATCTTCAACACTTCTCAAATACTTGTTATAGATGTGTTTGGCTGCTCTTGTAATCATTTCTTGCTTACACATCATTATAAGATGAGGAACAGAATGTTCCTTGGCAAGTTCAGCAATCTTACCTAGATATCTCATATTGATACCTCTTTCATGCATGGCATCAGTGAGAGTTCTACCATCAAATGGATTTTCTTCTCTGAGCTTGAATGATTGAACAAACTTTGGAAGGAGGAATTCGAGGAGGAATTTACCCAATTTTTGAACCTCTTGAATATCTTGATCAATAACTTCTTGAGAACCTCCCAACTTGGTGTTAGAGTGAATATCAGTATTGAATGCAATAACCAATTCATCCTTCTTTGTTTCTTCCTTCTTTTCCTCAGTTTCTTCCTTCTTTTCTTGTTGTTTACGTTTCTTTTGAGTAGTGACATAACTTTGAATCAATTCTGGTCTGAAAATGGCAATCTTATTTTCAAGGAAATTGGTGTCTCTTGGAGTAATACTGATCAAATCCAAAACATAGAAACGACCATCTGAACCAACAATACCCTTGCATTCGGATGGACACAAAATGGTATGTTCCTTTCCACTTTCATCGATAATGGTATGTTCCTTAATGTGGAGCTTTTCAGCAGCTTCCTTCATGAGAGAGTGGTACTTTGGATCTGTGACAAATGATTTTCCTTCATCAATAGAACCATAGACATGTTTAGATCCTTGATCACCTTGCAAAATACCTGGAATAATACTTTGAGCGACAACTCTGTAACCTCTATAGTCAACAATTGCAGATGCAAGAGTGTGAACACCAGGAACATCAGCTTCATTGAAAGCAATAACACCCTTGAGGTCATTATTGGCATTTTCATAAGCATATTGATCCATATCATTTTCATCCTTTGGTTCATCAGTATTAATTGAAAAACTAAAGAAGATATTGTTTTGAATATAGACGTGGGATGATTTTTTGTCAGTTGGATTGATTGGTGAGAGGCTCTTATCAACAACTGCCTTGGCACCTTTAACAGCAGCATCAACAAAATCACAATGAATCTTGAAAAGAGTTCTATCTCTAATCAATCTTTCATCCATAGCTCCTGAAGGGAGCTCCTTACAATTTTGATATTCTTCATTCCATTCTCTTTGTTGAATTCTTGGATCAGTTCCCAACATGGTAAAGAATGATTCTTCAGCTCTATTTGGATCATATTCGTGTTTTTCCTCAATATTAATCCACTTTCTGACATGGAAAGGAACTGGTGTGACCTCAAATGGATGCTTCTTAATTCTGGAACTCAAGAGTTTTGGGAAAGTGGCTCTGAACAATGGAGAAATGTCACAAATAAGACCAAGAAGTGTTTGATTCTTGTGTGGCTTGCTGGAAGGTAATGGATTGAACTTGATACCCTTTGTAGCATTCACATAGAATCCAGAAGGTGTGGCAGTAATGTGGAAAATTGCATTTTCCAAAGTTTCAATTTGCAAGTAGAACAAGTCACCCTTGATTTTTCTGTGTTCTGGAACAGGATTCCATGCAGAGAAGGTAATACTCTTGACACATTTTGGAAGTTCAGTATTAGAAAGCATGATGAGAGGTTCAAGAGAGCCAATTTTGAATGAATCGGCATCATATAAATTCTTTGTGTTAAATTCTTCTGGTGTTTGTGGCAATTCGACAACGCTAATCTTGTTTGTAAGATTTGGTTTCTTTTCATCGGAATTACCTTCATTGCCATTTTCTTCTTCATTCATTACCACAGTCTTTAATTCAACACGATCAATCTTTGAAGAAGATGTTGAAACCTTCTTCTTCTTTTTCTTTTTAGTTTCCCCAGCTGATGAATCTGTATTTGTTGATTGTGAAGATTGATGGGATGGCAGTGTTTGACCTTCTAATTGTAAAAATTCCAAATCACAATTTAAAGCATGACCCAAATCGTTATACAGTTCAGAATTCACAGATGAGAAGAATGAAGGGAAGGAATGTTGGTTGTTTTTGGTTGCAGAATGGACAATGCCAGTAGAAAGATACAAATCGTCAATTTTAGAATAAAGTAATTCTCTCAAACGATATACGTGAGTTCTAGCTGATTTGTTATCATATGGCAGTGTGTGCATATTAATTTCTACTCCATCTTTAATTTCAGGATAATCAGCAATGTCGGAAAAGTCATCCAAAGTCTTTCCTTTCACTGTGAATTCATAACTAGTAATGTAACTGGTCTCTACACATTCTGCTAAAAGTTGTTTAATTTCCAATGTAGAGTCACCTTTAGTAATTTGGAGTTTCAATTTACTACCAGTCAAAGTTTTGATGAAAACAGAGAAAACTTCTGCTTCCATAAAGGGTTGCTCTTGTTCTTGTTGTTCCTTTTCCATTTGATGCTCCACTTCTTGAACATATTGTTCCAAGTATTCATCCAAGTCTACACAATGTTGTCATGACAATCAAAAAATAAAAACAACCTACCTGCTTGAACCTTTTCTTCCAAGTGCATTGAAAAATCAAAAGACATTTTGATGACGAATTATTTCTATACTATTAGTTGAATGTATTTGAATCCGAAAGAACCCGACAATAATAAGGATGATAATGATGAAAAACCCAACAAAAAGTAATATGGTATTTTTTAGGGTTTCAAAAATCAACCAGAATGTGTGGTGTGTTTTGTTGAATTTTTTTTTCTTTGAGGTTTTTTGCTTCAACTAAAATTTTCTCTATCAATTTGACCGACATGATTTTGATAGAATCGAGCAGCAGAAGATATGAATTGCTGCTTCACACACTCAAGATGAGCCAATCGGATAGATGCTTGAGAGTAATCGGCACTAATTGATTTTCAAGTGGTTGCCTAAAGGGATTATTCAAGTCAATCAATTTGATAATAGTGATAAATAATGATAATTGTGAATAAACCTGAATTGTAGTCTGTCATTTTGAATATCATTGGATTTGCAATGGTATTTAATATTCACAGTTTAAGGGTAGTCAAAAATGCATTATTGAAAAATTGTCCTCGTTTCATTGAGCTCCTGATAACAATAGATTCTTTATACATAACAAACTTGAATACATCTCTGTGGAGAAATGGCCATTTTCACATATCTTCTCTTATATCTGTATTTGTAAAGTTGCTTATTCCCTGCTGTTGACTTTAAGTGTTCGAAAAGGTATAACATTTTTCCAAAATTAAGATAACATGTCACCTTAGTCACTCAATATGCATATTATTTGACTTTTTTCAAAGAGATTTGAGCTCAAACTGTAAGATCTGAAAATACAGGATTCTCAGTGCTAACCATGATTTTGCTTTTCCATCTTAGAGATCTATCATTGAATCTCCTAGCAGTTTGATAATTACAACATCTGTTCGTCTCTTTACCAAAACTTTCTCAACCAACATTGAATTAATACAATGCCACAACAGTTTAACATGACCAATTTATTAGATATTGAACAGCACATCCTGACTATGGAGTGGGTTAAAAAGACCATGGATTCTTAATGAATTGGATCTTATTGTTTTGTATTGTTAGTCATAACCAAAGAATCACTTGCATTTTTCATTCAACTTTTTGCAGTTCTCATCCAGCTGTCACCCTCAAAACAAACCCATCACACCGAAAAAGAACCTGACAGAATAGCAAACACTGCTTGGTTGAATGCAAACCAAACAACATATTTTCTGCTTGATTAGCTAGTAATCTCCCTCACTACCAGTCATCAAACGCTGAACCTCTTCAATTTCTTCTTCTTCATTCACAAACAACATCAATAGCAATCTGAGTAAGTAGGAGAATCATTCCCAAAGCTCTCAGTTATTGCATTTGGGTTGAAGATTCTCAGCAAGAAACTACGTCGAAAAAAAATCGCAACCGCCCTTTTACCGCCAACTCTCTTTCCAAACAACAACATACTTATTGTGTGTTCAATACTACTAGACTTCTTGGTACATTACGCAGCGAGAATCATCATTAGTAATAGACAATAATACATTCTAACAACAAGAGTAGTACATCAAGAAGAAGAAGAAGAATTTTTTCAATTCACTCTAGTAGAAATATTTGAAAACGTTTAATAGCCTGTGGCGATACAACTAAACCTTTCCCTTTTTCATAGTCAAAAGTTCAACCTCGGTTGTGTGGCTGTTCCGAAGATTCTCATCCAAGATCATCATCATCACTAGTAGTATCATCTTTTGAGGATCCATCATCCCCTTCATATCTTTATATTTATTCTGTTTATAGATATTGTTTCATACTGTACATATATTCCAATTCTAATTATCTGGCACGATCAGCATTGAACAAGTTAATTGATTATCTAAACTACCATTATCCCTTTTCCATTTAATCTATATCATCAACAAGATTATATATAACTGAAAAGAATCATTTCAGAAAAAAGTTTAAACATCTCTCGACTGTAAGTACAAGTTACAATATTTATTCATGATCATTTATTTCAATTTATTGAATCATAGAATATGACAAGCCTGATTGATACTGTTGAACAAGTTGTCTCCCCAACATCAACAACATCTCCAATGATTAACATACACTCAGCGTGTACTTCCTCCTGTTCCTTTGATTGCACAGCAGAAAGAGAAACAACATGCTATGAAGATGCCTGCTCTGAACATAGCTGTGGTGATCACCACCACGAAGAAACAAGAGAGCATGCACCAGCTACAAATATGCCTCTTGTAGTAGGCCCTGCTCTAGTTTCCCCGACTGCTGTTGCCAATGGCTGCAAATCGTGTTATACTAGACCACCACATTTGAGAGCCAAGTGTTGTGGACCTGGTAAGGCAAAGCTCTTTAAGAAAAAGTCAAAGGTTTTGGGAGCTGTATTGGCAGAGAGTGGAATTCTTTCTGATTTGTTAGAGAAGGAAAAACAAGAAAAGGATTCCCTCTCGAATACTGGTTCATACATTCACCTCACTCAATTTACATCTGTTGTTGGTGAAGAAAACAATTGTACAAAAGAAGTACTCACCACTACTTCACATAAGGAACACGTAGACGAGACATTGATAGAACAAGCCAACCATAGCAGCTTACCTCCACTGGTAGATGTTTCCACACATCAAGAAGCCATTGAAAAACCTTCGAGAATGAGATCCTTTTTGAGTGGATTATTACAGAGAAAACAAAAGGTTATGGTAACTCTGGGTTTTTCTGGTGATTCCTCAACAACAAGTATGGAAACAACTTCTGATTCTTCACTGACGACAACAGAAAACTAGACACTTCCTGATGTTAACAAGTTACAATATTCCTATAGTCAAATGACAATAGTCATTCTCGTTTTCCAATTGTGCTTCATAGCACTTCCATTAGCGAAACATTTCGATGAATTTGTGAAATGTCAAGATGGAAAATCCCTCCATTAATTTATTTAACTCCTAAATGAATGGCAAGTGCCATTACTCACCTCTCATAATAAATCTAAAAACCGAACGATTTCATTATTAAACAAGTCAAAAGTCTTGAACAAAATTCAATCTCTGCAAAGAGATATTGGAATATTAAGTTTATTACTGAATCACACTTTTAAGGTCCCACCTTTCAGTAGGAGGATAGTGGACTGCATGTGACTTTCCTACTTCAACTCGAGTTTTCAAAGTTAATAACTCTTCGCGTTCGTTCTGACTACAAGAATTGAAACATGTGGCATCTAGAACAATTACTTTGATATCAAAACCTCTATCTTCCATCATTCTCAATAATGAGATAATGTTTGACTGGTAAACATGAACCCAAACCATATTAATAATCAAATCATCTCTCAACAATGGAATGATCTTTTCAGAATCTGAATCAATGTTGAACAGTTGATAATGTGAAACGTAGCCAACATATTGATTTTCAACTCCTGGTAAAGTTGTTTGGAAATTGATTACCATTGTTTGTAATCCCGTCTCTGTTAAATCAAGTGAATTATTCAAAAAATCGAGAGATTTCAACTCGATAAAATTGGAGCTAGAATAGGCTCTCACATTAACTTCACTATTGGAAGGATCGAATATTAGGTGAGCATTCTTTAAAATCATTAACATTCCAAATGATTTGGTATAGGCATCACTTTCAATTGTTAAATATTTGAGAGGAATTTCTTTAGTTCTCTTCAGTAGCCAGTAATAAGAAACGAATCCCAATCCAAAAAAGCCAAAGGTATTAATTGAAATAGTGTCAAGATTACATTTGAATTTGTTTTCCGACTTCATCAAATGATGAATGAACATGGTATTGGTAACTCTATCAGAACATTCGTGGAATAGATTGTAAATTTTAGAAATGGACGAAAGGCTTCTAAATCCATGATATGTCTTGAATATTTTCTCCATAAAAGTGTGCATCTTATCATATGGAGCCAATCTAAGAATTGCAATCTCGCCTCTATTTGGCATTGTCAAGTTGCTAAGCCATGAGAAATTCGTAGAATAATGAAGAAAATAGTAGAATCTCTTACAAGTCAAAGAAATTGAGGGAAAATCTCTTGGAAACACTAGAAAGGAAAGGACATGTCCCATTAAATCATCAATTAGCCACTCTGGCCCAACTGAATACTCTTTCACTAATCTCACTGCATGATTCTCTGGTTTCTTTTCACTCATTTCGGTAATTCTATTGGAAATTTCCTCTTCCACACACTCAATACAAATAACAATCTTTTCGTCGGGTGCAAACAAATACATGAGCTCGTCAAGTTTCTCTTTCAGAAAATCGACCAATAATTCATTGGTTTCCTTTTTAAACTTTTCCAAGGTTAGCAATTTCAAACTGTTTTCATTTAAATTGAAATAATTATGCAGCACGTTTAATGCCATTCTCCATTCCTCTGCATTTGTATATCTATTTAGAAATGCAGTTTCTAGAAAAACCTTCTCCATTGACAACCAATTTTCACTCACAATATCATACATGTTAGATTGCTGATTGATTTGTGCCAATTCATCATCAATTATTTTCAATAATTCTTGATCATGATCATCAACCACTTCTTCTGCATTTCCCATTCGATTCCTTCTTCTTCTCCTACTATGAAAATAATAGAAAATCAATTTATGAATCAACTCGCTCACTAAACGATGACACCGAACACATTTCAATTGTGGCCAACAATGAATTAAACAGAGGGAGTAGTTTCCGTGAGCACATGGAGGACTATTACAAATGGAACAAGTGTATCGACGTGAACACATTTTTTTGATCTTGTTGAACAGTTTACAATGATGCTAATTGAGATGATGCTTCAAAATTATGGTGTTCATCACGAATATTAGTATTGTTTAAAATTCGAAAGATAATATTCGAATTTAGTTCATTCCGAAGTTTAGTTGTTATTATTGAAAATATAATTTATTTTCAATTCCAATCTGATGTTTCTCAATTCAATACCATATAATCCTCTCTCATTCTCGATATTAATAATACTTTAAATCTGTGATGAATTTAATCATAATAATAATATTAAATCTCTTTAAAGTTTTCATCAATGAGAATGAATTATTCTTCATGATGTTCATCATGATCATGTCCGTGATAGGAATTTGTAAATTCGCCCAAAGTTTTGAATACATTTGCAACGAGTTGGAAAAATTTAATAAAAATATCGCGCATTGCAGCTAACATTTTTTTTTCAAACCAAAAATCTCGGAAAATTGTAATATTTATTTCATTTAATTGCTTTACCAATTATCAATAATTATTTTGTGAATAATAACAGGCAAGTGAGAATGAGTTAGTTGGGTGCACACAACTAGAAGAAAACTTGGCCAAGTTCATTCACCTTCCAAAAAAAAAATGTCCTCTCTCAAAAAGCAGGAAGAAACTCTTTCCTCATCCGATGAAGAAAAGCTCTTGAAAGCCTTTCGTGAATACTCTGCAACTGTTTCCATCGATACAATCGATGGCCCAGTGGAGGTGATCAAAAACGAATATGCCAACATGGTGAACAAAGTGGCACATGAGGGAGAGCTCATGCTACAAATATTACCATATTATTCGGGCTTGTTTGATTACTTGCCATCTAGTTTGAAACAGGATAATGAGTTTAGGATGGGAGCTGTTAAGATTTCCACTAGTTATGCTCGAAATTTTTATCAGATTGATAATGTGGATATTTGTAAATATGTGTTGGATCATACGAAAAGAAAAAGATGGGACACTAGAAATGTATTGATGAGTTTTTCAAAAACAGTGTTGGAGAATGAGGATATTTCAAAGAAATTGGCAAAGAAGTTTCCAATGTTCATTAATCTTTGTCCAAAATTGTGTCGTGATGTAAAATTAGTCAAGATTGCAATTGAGAATGATGGAAGGGCTATTCGACATGCTTCGAGGGAATTGTTGAGAAATATTAACAATAGGCATTTGATTTTGACAGCTGTCAAGAATTCAAGAAAGAGTCTTTATTACGTTTTGGATTGTATTGACAGATCATTTGCAAAACATCCAATCCTCAGTAATGCTGCATTCATGAATTTCAAAAAGAGATGGTTATGTCACATAATACCAGCTAGCATTGAGGTTGAAATGAGAAAATTATTCAGAGAAGAATATTCACAAGCTGTGAAAAGCAAAGGAAATTCATATAAGGATCCATTGACACATGGAAAGAGTGGAAAAGCACTTCCAAAGGAATATTTCGAACAAGAATATGTTAATTTTTGTAATGAAGAGGAACAGTTTTTCAAATCTCATTTTCTCTATTGTCATGATAATTTCTTTGGACATTTTTCTGATCTCTCCATAACAACAACAACAACATTCGAATAAGCTGATTTTTCTATCATTGACAACACACTGTAAATAAAACAACAACGAGAAATATATTTTACAATTTATTAATCCTAGCGCTAGAGATCTCATTGCTGGTTAAAAAGATTTTCATCACTCCTTACTCCGGGTTAGACGAATCTAATCCCAATTGGAAACTAATCTTCCTAAACTCTAAGTAAATTGACCACCAAATCCTTTGGATCCAAATGGCCAACTGCAGATGTCATCAGCTTATGACCTCAAAAGTTCCATTCAAAAAAAACCCGCCAACGGTCACTAAGAGGATAAATTGCTTGGTGCAGAAGAAGAATATATAGTTTAAATAGATTACACTCCAACTCCCTATTATTTGTTTTTATAGGAGTGATGAAAAAGAGTAGAATAATGCTTCAGGATGAGGATGAATACTCCTCCGAATTGGTTCTAGAGGAAATTCCCATTCAGCAAGTGGGTGCTCCTCAGAAAATGTATAGTACAACAACAATGATTGGAACATCAACAAATAATCAACATCATCATCAGCATAATCATCAACATGATAATAGTAGCAGTAACATTGGTAACCATAGTAATATCAATAATAATAATAATAATTATAGTGGAATATTGCAGAGGAAGGAAAATCTTGTTGCATCTCATCATCAAATAGTAACATCTAATTTAATAGAAAATCAATCACAGATGCAGCAAATTCGCACTGTCCATGTCCATGATGAGGCCAGGAATGAAGATTTTTGTGGAAATTCCATCAAGACGACCAAGTATGAATTCTGGAACTTTATACCAAAGAATTTGTTTGAACAATTTCATAGATTTGCTAATTGTTGTAAGTTGTTTGATATTTCGAATTTTGGAGTTGTGAATGGAAATAGATTTCATGGCAATGGCCTTATTGCAGACAATTCCTGGGTTGTCACCAACTGGACGATGGACCTCTTTTGTGCCATTGAGTGTTGTCTTATTGTGCACAATGATAAAGGATGCCTATGAGGATATAAACAGAAGGATTTCTGATAGAGAAACCAATAATCGAGTGGCACATGTGCTTAGGAATGGAGTTTTTGTGGATGTTCCCTGGAAGAGTGTCAAGACAGGAGACGTCATTAAGGTGAATAATATGGAACAATTTCCGTGTGATATATTAATTTATTCTATATGCCCAATGGAGAAGAAATCTGGAGAGAATTTATGCTATGTGGAAACTTCACAATTGGATGGGTAGGTATCTCAAAATAATCGTTCTAATTAATCTGTTTATTATTCACAGTGAAACAAATTTAAAGATTAGAATTGCAAATGCAGAAACGAGCCGATTTACATCACCACTAGATTTTGAAAATAAGAGAATGAAAATTGAATGTGAAATGGCAAATAACAGACTGTACAAATTTGAGGGAACATTGACAATGGAAAATGGAAAGAAAATCTCCCTCTCTCCAGACAATATTTGTTTAAGAGTAAGTTTTAATGAAATTTCTCGAGCATGATAAAATTTCTTTAGGGGTCAAGTTTAAAGAATACTCAGAATATCATAGGCGTTGCTGTATATACTGGAAATGATACCAAATTTATGAGAAATACCAAGTAAGTACTTTATTAAGTTTATGAACTAACAGAGAAAATTAAGGAAAACTCCACACAAAATGAGCAATATTGAACGCCTAACAAATAGATTGGTGTTGATGGTTTTAGGAGTTCAATTATTTCTTGTGACTTGTTGTGATATTGGATTAATGATTTGGACTAGTGAGCAACAACCAAAAGCTTGGTACATTTTCCCAAAAGCAAGGGAACATGACATTGGATTTATATTATTTGGTGGATTTAAAGGATTCTTTACAATTTTGATTTTATTGACCAACTTGATACCTGTTTCGTTGTACGTTTCGATTGAAGCAACTAAATTGATTCAAGGGTCAATGATTAGTAAGGATCTAGAAATGTACCACGAAGAAACAGATACAAGAGCAAATGTAAGAAGTTGTGCTCTTAATGAGGATTTAGGACAAATTAATTACATTTTTTCTGATAAGACTGGAACACTGACAGAGAATAAGATGAATTGTAAGTTTTATATTATTAACAACAATCAAAATATGTTTACATTCTAAATTTTTTAACATGACAGTATTGAAAATATCAATTAATGGAAAGGTGTACGATATAACAGATCCACAAATAACAAATGGAAATTGGAGACAAACAGAGGATTCCAATGAAATTTTACAATTCCTATTGTTACTTTCACTCTGTCATACAGTTATTCCTGAGAGGTCTTCCAAGGAAACGAACGGAGCCCAAGACAATACCATCTACCATTCATCCTCTCCTGATGAGATTGCTCTAGTTAAGGCAGCCAAGTTTTTAGGAGTAGAATTTCTCGATAAGACCACACACCAAGCCAATGTGAAAATACTCGAAGAATTCACATTGAAATATGATTTATTGGATTGTATTGAATTTTCAAGTGAAAGAAAGAGGCAATCTGTCATTCTCAGAAATGAGAGAGGTGAAATTATTCTCTACACAAAGGGAGCTGACTCTGTCATGTTTCCCTTACTTAATCCAGAATCCAATCACTTGCCTAGTACTTTACAACATTTGGATAGATTCGGTTCTACTGGTTTGAGAACGTTGGTGTGCGCAATGAGAGTACTGGATGAAAATGAATATCAACTATGGCATGAAGAGTATGAAAAAGCTAAAACTTCCCTCGACAATAGAAAGGAAAAGATTGAATCAGTTGCCACAAAAATTGAAAAGGATCTTTTATTATGTGGAGCTACTGGCATTGAGGATAAGTTACAAGAAGGAGTTGCCGATACTATTTACAATTTGAGATTGGCTGGTATTAATATTTGGGTATTGACTGGTGACAAAATGGAAACAGCCATCAATATTGGCTATTCGTGTGAACTTTTGGGCTCATCTATGAAATTATTAAAGGTAGAAGGAGAAACCTATGATGCAGTGGAACGACATCTTACTCACTGCCTTGCACAATTGAAAGAAAGTACTTTTTCCAAATTGGATAATAGCGATGTCATTTCTTCAGAGTATGCCTTAGTAATAGATGGAGAAAAGATGGAATTGGTTTTTTCGCATCAGAATTTGATAGATTTATTCCTTCATGTCTCAATCAAGTGTAAATCAGTAATTTGTTGTAGAGTTTCACCAAAGCAAAAGGCAGATATTGTCTTGCTAATCAAGAATAATGTTGAAAGTGTCACTCTGGCAATTGGAGATGGAGCTAATGATTGCAACATGATTCAAAGTGCTCATGTTGGCATTGGTATTTCAGGATTGGAAGGATTAGCAGCCGTCAATGTTTCAGATTATTCAATTGCCCAATTTAGATTTTTGAAAAAACTTTTACTCGTTCATGGAAGATGGAGCTATAGAAGAGTTTCAAAATTGGTGCTCTATTGCTTCTATAAGAATAGTGTACTCTTCCTGACTCAGATGTGGTATATTTTCTTCAATGGATTTTCTGGAACTAGTATTCACGACAAGTGGAATATCACCATGTATAATTTACTCTTTTCAGGAATACCTATTGTTGTATTTGCTGTTTTGGATAGAGATGTTTCTTCAAAGAGTGCTAACATGTTTCCTGAACTCTACTTCCAAGGAAGAAAGAATAGATTTGTAAGTAATTTATATTGTTGATAATTAATCCCAATTAGTTCAATTGGAAAGTTTTTATTTCATGGATTGTTAATTCAATTTTCCATTCACTTGTTTGCTTTTTCGTTCCATACCTGGCCTTTGCAGAGAGTAAATTTCCTGATGGACAAGATATTGATGCACAAACAATTGGTATAGTGATGTATACCTGTGCTGTTCTTGTCATTACAATGAAACTGGCCATTGAAACCTCAACTTGGACCTGGATTAACTTTTTAACATATGGTCTCAGTATTGCTTTATGGCCTATTTATTTATTTTTCTACGGATCTACCTTCCAAATGTTTAGAAGAAGAGCTCCTATTGTGAATGAGTCATATGACATTTCTCAAAGGTATAGAATTATATTTACTGCTCAATTTTGGTTGGTTGTTCTATTAGTGGTAATTACTTGTTGCATTAGGGATATTTTCTGGAAGTGGTGGATTAGATATTTCCAAACTAAAAAATTATACTACCTTGTACAGAGTTTGCAACACGAATCCATTACTAGAGATCACATTGCTCACGAAATGCCATTCATTGATAAGGAAGAAATGAGGCCACCAACTATCTCCCTTAAATCGAGATCATTATCAACTAGATTATCATATTTTAAGGAGAAGGTATTTTCGTACTTTGGTACAGTTTCAAGAAAAAAGTATTCTGAATTTGAGTAGGATTAAATCAATTAAACTTTGTTTACAAAGCAAAGATGCACTTATTTAAACTTCTAAATCTCTGATCTTCAGTTAATGCACTGATCATTTTGGATATAAGTAATTACAACGTAGTTTAGAGGTACAGAAAATGAACAATTATTCTGAATTAGAGTAGAATTAAACCTTTACTCACTGTCATCCATTTCATCTTCTTTTTCCATAATAACATCAAAAACATTATCCTCCTCATTCAATTTCTTCTTCCTCTTAATGAATTTTATATCCTTTCTCTCTCTGTGAACACGATAATTCGAATAATAGCCCGTACTATTCCTATTCTTCATCATCATGTTAGCAAAATAAATTAAATTTCCTTTAAAATAATAGGTTTTCAAGTCTGGATTTCTTTTATCACGTAGATACGCTCTGTATTTTCTTTCAAGTATGTCACTAGCTTCTTCGTATATTATTGTTGGAGTCTCATTCGATTCTGAGTAAGACCAAATATACTTGCATAATTGCTTTTTCAAGTGTTTTGGATTTGTATAGGCATCTTGAAAGAAATTTCTTGTATGTGGATGGAAACTTTCATTTGTGTGAATGAATAAATTGCAATATAACTTACCTTCCAATTGATTGAGTTGTTGGATTAATGATAATCCATTCAATGTGAGATGCAAGGTTACTGATTGGATTTTTTGTATTCATAATATGTTCAATATCATTCAATGAGAATTCAAAATATGTTTTTCTTTTGTTCTTTTTCTGATAGTCAGCAACTGTCTGAAGTTTACGGTAGTAATTGGAGGTTGAATTTGCTCGTACAGGTACTTGTCTATAATCATGATCTTCAGAAGGGTCAATCATCTTCATTGTTTTCTCCAAATTGTTTTTACCTCCAATAGATTTAAATACAGCATTCCTTCTTCTATTATTCTTATAACCATGGATAGTTAGTAGAATTCTTGCTAGTCCAGTAACTTGCTTAATGTTTGCAATCTTCTTCTCCCTTGTTGTAGAGTGTCTTCTTGGGAAATACAAACTAATCCTATCATAAAGAACACTGTTAGCTAATTTCTTGTCATCGTACCCTGGACATCCTATTCTGAAGCCCCTTAAAGCATACTTAACAAGCCTTAACTCAAAAGTTGTAGATTGACGATCAACATCAACCAAATTACATCTTGTAGAAAGAGCAACAACAGCTCTTGGTAAGCAGTAAAGTTGATTTCCATCAAATCTAATGACATTAAATTGAATTTTCACAACATGTAAAGAAACTTACCCAACACAACAGGTGGGAATGTCGAACCCCATAAGTACCTCTGCAGGTGATTTGTATAAACGAGTAATTACTTGTACTGCAGGCAAGTTATCAAAATTGAATGTAATGGCATGCTGAGTTCTTGTAATGACAATATTTCCATCATTTAAATTCGTTTTGAACAGTTTGTAAAGATAGATTATTTTTTCTTCTGCTTGCTTTTCAGTAATGCCATAAAGAAACAAGTCGAGATCACTATTTTTCCACTGAGGTGATTTTCTATAGTAGGATTCAATATTAGAATATACTCTCTTTGGTGGTGGGGGCCTTGTACCCAAGTATGGTTCAGTTCTACTACTATTAGTTTTAAAAGAGAACTCCTCATCTGAACTAGCTGTAAAATAATCTTCATCTATTTTTTCTGAATTACTGTCATCGCTAGACTCACAGTCATCAAAATCCCAATAGATTCTTTCTCTTGGTTTTGGCTGTGAAGCATCGAACCAATCAAGAGGAATCTCTAATAAACAAGCCAGAATGCCACCACCTAATTTGTCTATTATGAGAAAAATTGAAGAAGAATGAATACATACCTGCAGCAAATACATTACTCCAATCCATATCCTTGAATAAATCTCCTGAAAAGACATTGAACTGAGAGAAGAAAACTTCTCTCGATTTGCAAACCTTAGGTATAGGTGGAGCTTGCAATCCAGAAAACTCATTCACCAACTCGGAACAATCAATAGGACTTTCAAAATCAAACAAGAGAGGAACATTTGGTTCAGTTGGCTCAAACATTTTCCTGGAAATATTCTCGTTGGCAAATACGTTAATCATGTGAAGATAGGGATCATTTAAAATTGGATTTTCTCTATCAGAGACGAACATTCTCCTCAAGAAATCTTCTTCTTGCTTGATTTTCAAATTATTGGAACCTATATCTTCTACAGGAAATCTTAAGGGGTCCAAGAAATCGACCAAGGAGTGAATTTTAAATTCAATAGCTTCCTTGTAAATCAACTTTCGTTTAGCAGCATCTTTTGGAATATTGTGAGTTGTACCATATTGTAAATACTGGAAAATGTGGTGAAATATTTCACCATCTCTGTCAATAAATATTTCACTAGTAATATCTTTCAACTCGGTGAGAATTGATGGAAAGACACTATCCTTATGAATGAGTAATTTTTCCATGCTGATTGTAAATTTGGTTCCTCTAACATTGAAAATGATAGGAGTCTTTCTAAGTGTAGATTCTTTTTCTTTTAGAAGTTGATCTTCCCTATTCAATTCCTCCTTCTTTTGCTCTACATAATCTTCCAAGATTTTCTTTTCTTGAATGGTAATGTTTGCAAACTTGTTCAGCCATTTCTCATCTTGCTCATCTTGATCTGAGCTCATTACATTTCTAATTTCCTTTGTTGTAGTACCTTGTTTGACTACTCCTTCCTCCTCCAACTTTTTCAATTCCTTTTGATATTGATTAATGAGTAAGGCAATTCTAGCGCTCAATTTACTAGTTCCAAAAAAGTCAGAATCTCTCAATAACTCTCTCAAATGAATAAGTGCACTTTCAGATGCCTCCTCCCACAGACCCACGTAATTAGTAGATCCAGTCCTCAAATGCTCCAACAAGATGGGAAAATAATCAGGATTCAACTCGTCCAATACAATAGCATCATGTTCACTCTCTCTATCAATTCCAACACCCGATGACAACATGGTCTTGAGCATATTCTCTCTCTTGTTAATGGTGGCAAGTGTGGTGATGAACAATTTTCCTCCGACCATCAATTTAATCACTACTTGATCACTATTTTCCAAAATTTCCTTCACAATCTTTTGATGGTGATCACCTTGATAGGATGAATCGTCATGTATGGTAGATTTAATTGATGATGACGAAGAATTTGAATTTAAATTATTATTATCACTATTATTATTAATATTGATGTTAGAAAACTTCTCCAACACTTCCAACTCTCTCCTCCTCAGTTCATTCCTCTCCCGTTCTCTCTCCAGTCCAATCAGTGCATCAATTCTAAACTTTTCCACTTGTTCCCTCTCCCGAATGTGTTTTGGTGTTTCAATTTCTTCATCATCAGCAGCGGATGATGCGAGTGAGAGCAAACTTTCTTTGGATGTTTCATTGGCGGGAAAATCTGTAAAGCGTTTTCTTTTGAGTGGTGTTTGTTCTTCTTCTTTAATGTTGGTATTGTTGTTACTGTTGATCATAGGATGGATTTCAAATATTGTGTTTTTGATTTTTTTTTGATTTGAAATTCTAATGGAAAGTGGAAGTCATTGATAATGTGTGAATTTTTGTAAAACCTAAAGTTTGGGAACAACAAAACTGTAGACGAAACTGTACTTTTGATATTCGAAATGCGGGTTGTATGGAGGAATTAAGGAATATTATTCGCATGAATCCTGAAATTATAACTGAGATTGTAATCATTGAAAATTCACATTCAAATAGAAAACCATCCCACCAAAAACATGCCAAGATTTCCTTAGCACCATCAAAAATCAACATGAAATACCACAAACAAACTTGATTATAATAAAGCACACACCATTACAATCATGCAGCTGTCAAACGTAATGACATTCGACATATCAGAAAGATCACTACTGGCAGGAAACCTCATCATTAAAAAAAAATGTCCAAAACTTTAATCTCTCTCTTCCTCGTTATTGCTTTTGCTTTGGTTGTTGCATGCGTGGATGTTACTCCTGAAGAATTGAAAGCAATATTAACCAACGTCCCAAAGGCCAAGGTCACTAACTATGCTCAATACATGAATGATGCCATGGATGAAGGTGATATTGATACCTGTTGTGAAATTGCTGCTTTCATTGCTCAAGTAGGTCATGAAAGTGGTGATTTGAATTGGTTTGTTGAATTTGCCTCTGGTTCTGCTTATGAAGGTAGAAAGGATTTGGGTAATACTGTCAAGGGTGATGGTGTTAGAGTAAGTGTTATCTTTTAACTGTTTGACTCTTTACACTCTATTCAATTATTATCAATATTATTAATGTATTATTAATCAATCGAATAATAATATTATAGTATAAGGGTAGAGGTCCAATTCAAATTACTGGTCGTGCTAATTATCGTGCTGCTGGTAAGGCTTTGGGTGTTGATTTGGAAAATAATCCACTCCTTGCTCAAGAACCAGTCATTGGTTTCAAGACTGCTGTTTGTAAGTTGTTTTTTCGCTAAATTTCAGTTTGTTGTAATATTAATATTAATATCATTATTAATATCTCTCGTTTTAAATAGGGTTCTGGAATACTAGAAGTTTGAACAAGTATGCTGACTGTTCTCAAGCTAACTTTGATATCATTACCAAGAGAATCAATGGTGGTTTCAATGGTAAGGCTGACAGAGATGCCAAGTTTGCTAAGGCCAAGAAGGTTTTGAAGTGTTAAATAAATCATTTTTAATTCTTTCAAAATAATTGAAAATGCATATCTGTTTCACAAAATGCATTCCATTTCAATCAATTAGGAATTGGAGTTGCATTCTTAATCATAAATGCAAAAACAAACAGCATGCATCCAGTTTGGTACATCACACTCTTAATAATTGAGAGTAATTAATCAAGAAGAAATGTTTAATGATGGAAGTAAGGTTCTGCAAACTTTCAATTAATTTTTTTTAGTTTTGAAAAAAAGATTTAAAGGCGGGATTAAATAGTATGCAAAAGGTTTTCAAGCGAGTTGAAAAATTCATCTCAACACCCCATTCCGATGATGATCGCTCAATGGTGGATACGGTCACTGAGAAATTGTATGAAGAATTGAAAAAGTGTTTGGAAGTGGTGGCGAAAACAAATGGTGATGATGGATTAAAGTTTGTAAAATTAATGATAATTTCAATGATTGCTCATCAGAGTGGTGATGGAAATAATCAGAAGAATAATAATAGTAATGGAAGGAAGGAATTAATAGGGAATTTAATGACGGAATTTGTGAAGAATTGTTGTAGGATTGAATTGAGAAGTGTAGGTAAAACACTCTTATTTGATGTGATGATAATATTTGGTTGGTTAATAATATTAATTGGAAAAGAGGATTGAAAATACATTTAGAAAATTAAATAATAATTGGGGAAATAATTCGAATGGGGAGAATCAAGAAAAAGTGGTGGGGAAATTATTGATGGATCGATTGAGTAGTCAATTGATTTTTAATTCGGCCAAGTTTCAGTCTTTGAATTTCTTATTGGATGAGTAAGTGAGTTGGAGTTTAAATTTATTGACTTGCAAAGTTCCAATTATTTATTATCATTATATGTGTATTTTCAAAATTTAATAGAGACAGATGCGAGTGTAAATATAATTCCAAGAGATTTGAAAAGTAGTTTTCAATTGTTGGAACAGTATTGTGAAAAATTTCACAATGCAGAACTGATTAATATATTGTACAAATTAAAAAAAATAGCTGAAGAACAAGAGTTGATAGAGTATTCACATTTGACAATTATTGAAACAGCCAAGATGGAGTTAGAGTGGAAGGAAATGAATGACAGGAAATCATCCTCTCAGAGGAAAATGGAAATACTTTCATCCTTATTTTCCAATGTAAATAGTAATTATTCGGACGATTCATTTGAGGAATTATTTCAAACTTTTGAAAAGATATATAGACAAGCAATTAGAAAAATAACAAAGAGTCAACCCACGAAAATTAATGAAAATTTGAAAAAGGGAATACTGACATTTGATTTCATTCACAAAATGGCTCAACATTCCATTCCATTTATCTCGGTAAATCAAGGCGAACTAAATTTATCCAAAGCAGAGGTAAACCTAGAGTTTGAAGAAGAGGATGAGATCAATAATTCTGATTTTATGACCAATCTCGGTGATACAACTCTACAGGTGTTATCAAATATAGAATCATACGTTGGAACGTCATTTCTCAACTATGAGAAAATATCTCCTGCCATGAGTGCTCACTTAAAACACAAATTTCTTTCCCAAGTTAGTGAAGCTTTAAAATATGAAAAGGTCAACCCTACACTTGAAAAGACACTTCCCTCAATAAGAGAGAAAACAGTGAAGAAGATACAGGACTCATTCCATGTCGATCCAACACTGAGCTTTGTTTTTGGAACACCCTCGACCGACAAGGATGGCAAGTTAATTACAAATAACAGTAGGAAAAATTTATTCTTAAAGAGAGACGATGTGAACACTTACTTGGAACTAGTGGACAATACCTTTATACAGGAGAATTACTATTCTATTGAAAATGATTCGATTATTGGAGAAAGCAGTAAGGAAGATTTGCTTGATTGTTGGAGAGCCGAATTCAAAACACGGCAACTCCATAGTATACCAGCAATCCAAATGAAAGACGTACTCTTCACTTCCTCCTTATTTATGGATCCTTTGAATATTGAAATGCTCATATCCTCGAACCTTGAACCAAAAAATCCAATTCTCCAATTAATTCAAGCTCAAAGTATATCAACACATGAGGATTACATTGGAAAATTGAAAGGATTATTCAAATATAACAACTTACAGTGGATGGGAACATATCATTCACAGTGCCTACGTGATTTTTTTGGAACTGACTTGATTGATGTTACTAATGTGAATAATGCACGATCTCTCAGCATGTCCATAGATTTGGATAATCTCTCAAGTATTGCATACTCATTTCTCAAAATCTCTGAAAATCACCGTAGCTTGTGCAATCAGGTATTTGAAGAAAATAATTCGAGCGCTCTATGGAGAGACTTTTACCTTGATAATTACCAAGTTCTAAACCCTATGAAAGATCTATCAGAATCCATTCTAGAAAATAGTATCCAGCACACAACTTCATTGAGAATTTTAAAAGAGATTGGAACCCACCAAAGTAATAATGAAGTGAGCAGTAATTGTGATTGGATTTCTCTAATGAAGTCTATAGCCAACAAACTCCATTTTAACAAATCTATATTCTGTAACTTTGTGGATGAATTGGATAAAGCAACAGTGAAGTCTAATTTTTTGGAATTATCATCAATAATAATGAAATTCTATTACTCAATTCATCAAGTAATGACAGAATTAGTTGAGATTTTGCAAACACAATCCATAAGCGAATTATTCATTGTTTTATTGTTAATATCCTCCATTGGAAACAAAACATACTCTATTATTGATTTCAGCTTTTCTAATGCGCTGAAATCTCGATATTTTCATACTCGGTTTGTTGAATTGATACTGCATCTGCTGCACCAACAAGATGATGAGTGCAAATTCCAATCAATAGCTAAGGACATTCAAATGTTATCATTTCTGAATGTATGCTTGATTGGATTTAGAGATGGTCTCTTCCTTTCCAAGATTAAAATTGCTAGAGCCATTTCTATGGAACTAATTTCCAATACTCAATCAATCAATAGATCATATTTAGAATCTCCAATTTTAAATATTTGCAAAATACGAATAGGAAATAATTACATGCTCTCAAATAGAACCACTGCAAGGTTACTAGTTTATAATCACTTGAAAATTGTGAATGAAAAGTCAAAAGAAATGAAATCCATTGAAGACAAACTACTTTTGGAAAATATGTTTGTGGAAAGCAAAACTCATGAATCTAAAACTACGAAAAGCGACAAGAACACTTTAAAAGGCGTAAATTTGATATCCATCAAGGATCAACAAGTTGTGAAAAACTCTTACAAATTTTTGGATGATCAGCTTAAAGAAATTATTCATGAAATGCGACCAAAATCACAAAAAAGTCACCAACCGATTCTAAATGATGAGAAGGATGACTTTGAAGACATTCTGGATAGTTTATCATCAGTTTGTGAAGTTATTATTGTACCCTCTGAAGATTCTGAGACTCTGACACGCTCTCCATCAAAAGTGAAGAAAATGCTATTGGAATCATTGCCCTCATTACTTTTTGAGATGTTACACACTTTTCCAGACTCTGTAAATCATTGGCTTTCCTTCATTGTGCAACAGACCATGTCATTTCTTAAAACTTTAGAGTGTTGTCAAATAATTTCACTCAAATTCAAAATTCATGGAGAAAAGTCTGTACAATTAACCAGTAGAAAGGTTAGCTTTGTGGACATTTCCATGTTCTTGGCCATGCAATGCGCAAACGCTTTATTTCAAACCATACGGAAGAATATTGAACCTTTTAGCAAGATTTTATTCGAAATGTGCCTCATTGTCGAAAACTTTCTCATTCCAGATAATGAAGCCAACAATGCCTCCCAAAACATTCAATCCTTGAAGGCCAAACTAGAGAAATACGCTCTCACAATCCAAGAAATACTGAAACCAGACTCTCATTACATAATTCAATCAATAAGAAATCAAGTTGGTCAAGAAGAATTCATTGATATTATCAATCATTTACAAGTGGAAAATGAGGAAGGCCTTTCCCAAATATTGGAACATGAAATATTATCCTTCACCAAACAACACATTATACAGGAACGTTTATTGGACTATCACTTGTGTATGAATCAATTTTATGGAGAATATTTGGAAAATATGATTCCTCTTGGTGAAACTATAGAGTATTTGAAACTTTCAATATACGAAACAAATATTCCAATGCCAAATCGTCATTATTGGAGAGAACAGCTCTTTTTGAGTTTGGATTTTGAAGAGTACGCAGAAATACTCCAACAAGTACTTGATAGCTGTCCTAAGGATTTGGATGAGAATGCAGAATCGAGTACATTAATTCTACTCCAACAATTAATTCTCGTGTTGGGTAATTATCCATTTCACAAGCTACTCACATCTACTGAGAATGATAGTATTCCCTATCTTCATCCGATTATTCATTCGTCAGTGATATCAAAAATTGCCTCTGATCCTCTCATTCAACAAGAAATTACAAACATGAAACCTTCACTCAAAGTATTGGTGGGAAAGTTATTTGATGCCTTGATTAGAAAGTGTTGTCAAGCCAAAATGGAATTCAACATGAACTATATCAAATCTGTCAAGCACGAATTAATCAAATCCTTACATGAATCACACAATTTAGCTGAAAACTATCGTGCATCCAATATGGTTCTATCAGATAAGTTACACAATTTTCTAATTAAAAACTATTCAAGAGGAGGAGAGGAATAAATGCCTCTCTATTTGCCATTATCGTATTACCATTGCTTATTAAATAACATATTTTTTATACATGCCTTTTGGAACTTGTGTATTGGAAATGGTTTAAGGGAAAATGCATTAAGACCAAATTAAGGAAGCCTTGTCGTGACCTAAGAGGATCGACCCTCCTCTTCTATTACAGTGTTTTTATGAAGATATTTGTGCGTGTTAAGGATCATTTTAGCAAAGGAATACTGAAAGTCCATCCTTTCCAATTGAACCAATGGTGCAGTTTGCAGAAGAACAAAACCTTGAGCAATTGATGGTAAATTTTGTTTATAATTTCACATTCTCACATTCACTAATCATGATCATATGTGCGTATGATGCTTCAACACTAAAATCTGGTTGATAGAATGAGAATTGAGCCATCAGATTAATAGGAAACCATTTTAGAAAGACCTTGTTGCAAATAATGTGGATCATTGCCTCTGTAAAGTTGAAGCAAGTCCTCCTTAACAGGGCTCTTCAAAGGGAACAGTCTCTTTCTCTTTGACTTTCTGACATCAGTCGAGAGAGCAGAGAGAGCTTCCAATTTTTGAATGAGACCATTATTTTCATCTTGTCTTGAAAGGATGGCTTGCAAAACGCAAGGATAAGATGTTGATTCCTCCTCTTCATAAACAATAGAATCATTCGATGAAGTATTGATTTTTGCTGATTCCTTCTTGATGGCACCTTCATTTGAAGGGAGAGCATCCTCATCTTCCTTGATATCTGTAGATTGCAATTTGTTTTCCTTACTCGTTCCTTTGTGGATTCTGTGGGCCAAGCTCGATGAGCTTCCACTGCTTCCAGAGGAAGCATAACCATTAAATGCAGTTTCTTGCATTTCTAAATGAGGTAAAGTATGAGATGATGCTCTGCCAGTATTACCAGATTCATTCAAAGCAGGTGATGAAGTTTCAAATGAACGATCGTCAGCAGATTGTTTCTTTGCAACAATTGGCTTTCTATTGCTACTGCTGCTATGATTACTCAGCTTTTCTTCATCACTCTTTTCCTCTTCTTCCTCCTCCTCTTCTTCTTCTTCAACTTCAATTTCTTCTTCTTCCTCATCTTCATCCTCTTCATCATCAGATGGTACTCTTCTCTTTACACTTGGTTTTGACTTTTTTCTCTTTGAGAAGGAGGTAGTCTTTTTCTTTCTCTTTCCTTGTGAACTCTTTGATCCACCTCCTTCTTTCTGTTTACGATGCTTGTACCATAATCTGTAGCATCTATCACATAATTCTCCTTGTGACAAGTCTCTTTCAAAGAATGAACAGAGCACATCTACATTCTTTGGGTGGACTTTGTATCTGCAGCTGAATATAGTTGGTGGGTGTGTTCGCGAGCACACAACACACATGCGATCTTTATGAGCCTTAGACATTGTTATCTATCTGTTCATGACGATGATGATTTTGATTTGGTGTTGTATGGAATTGATTTAATGCATTAAACATTGAAATCCATCATTAGAACATTAAAAAGATATGCAATACCTACATGATGATCAATGGTAATAGTATTAAACAACTTTCTCTCGTAATATACAATAATATCTCTCGAATATAATGCAAAATGCAAATGCTATACAAAAAAATCTATCTACAAATTCTACTTCTTCTTCAAAAGACGTCTTTCCCTTTGAGTTGTATCAGAGCAATATAACACAATAGCAATCCACTGTATATGAAATGTTACTTGTTCTTCAGCGCGTTTCTATCAACGTGTGAGGGAGACTCCAATTGTGTCTTTTTTTTAATGATGATTTTGGCTAATCTGGGATGATTTGGTGTGTACCTCTGAATTGCTGAACAATTTCGCTGCAAGCGCGCTCTTCTCTCAGCTAAGTTTTTCTCTCGGCGCACCAAGTTGTTGTTGTGTTGGAAATGCATTTTGCATGATGGTTGTTGTGTTGATGGCAAAAAGCATCAATTTACAAACTTACACGGATCGTAAAGTTGTTATAATTAGCCATTTTTAAGACGCTACACGCACCTTTATCTCCTAAAGATTTCATCGAAAATTTGATGGCTGCAGTTAGACTAGAAATTGGTGCAGCATAATTGTTGCACACAGTTGATATCAGAAAATGCATTCCAGTTGAATGGATAACAAAATGCATTTCTTGTAATTTGGATTCTTGGAGAAAGAAAAGTTCTCGGATTGAATTTTGGTCCGGCCTAATTGTTTTGCATGACAGGTTGGAAATTTCAATGGAAATAGTGTCGTTTTGAAATTGTTGCTTGCATTTTCAATGCATGACTTTCACTGCATGATAAATATCCATATGCATGATTCGTTCGTCCTCTTCTATATTGTATTAATAGCAGTGATGCACTCATTTTGATTATTAAATGGAGTTGGATAATTTGCATTTCAATGGAGAACCAATCAGGTAATCATGCAGGAAATTTGGAAGTTTTCAGAGTGGTTCACATTGCGAAATATTCTCAATGCATTTCTTAACTGTTGTCATGCATACCAATCTCCAATTCACAATCAACAAACAACAAATGCATGACGATTTTTGAATTGTGGCCAGACCTCGCTTATGGGAAATTCCAATACCGTATCCTTTAGTTTCTTTTTTGGCAAAATATTCAAAATAGTTGTCAAAAATCAATTTCGGCAAATGACCTACAATATAATCAATCTCTCATGTGTCTCACTGTTAATTTGGAAAACTAAAAGCACAACGCGTAACCATGTGAAATCGTTAGTATTAATCAAAACAATCATACAAAAACGAAGAGCCTGGTATTATTATCTTTCTCACTTTTAAATGATTTATGTTTAATGTTGTCCTTGTCATAAATGTAATTTTAAATGTTCGGAAAAGATTTATTTACATTTCAACAGAAAACAATCATCATTAAAAAACCTAGTTGGTTGTTGCTTGAGGTTTTTGCATTTCAACATCTCTGGTCACTGAAACAGTTGAAGCATTGGATGCAGCCTTGTTAGAAGTACACTTCCACAAAACAATAACAACAATCAATGCAATCACCAACACTACAATAATTGCAAAACCAACCACTGATGCAATAATTGCTCCAATATCTCCTGGAGTTAACGTAACACCAGTATTATCAGCATTCAAAGCTCCGGTTGCTTGGGCTTGCAATGGTTCGGGAATGAAGATGTGAGTTGACAATTTGGTGAACATGACTCTTTCCTTCTCAGTTTCAAAGTTTGGATAAATAGGAAGCTTAATCTTCATAGTTTGTGGATTTTCGAGGACAACCTTGTGCTTATTAAGAGAAACACTATATGAAAGCATTGGAAGAATGATATTATTCCAGTTGGAGTGTTCTTCTTGTGTCTTGATACTGTTAATGAACTTGACAAATGAGTTTGCATTTCCAATATAGTGTTGATTGAAAGTATATTGAGCATCATTGACAAGGACACAGAGGTAAATATTGTGTTCCTTTGTCAAATCAGAGAATTCCAATTCATCAGTATATTTTCCTTCATTATTGGTAAACTTGATTGAAACAGTAATGTTTTCATTCTTTAGTTCACTAAAGTGAATAGTTCCAGAGACTGTGTCTTGTAAGTTTCTCATGACAGCCCTAGATTCTACACGCATATAGACGGTTCCTTCCATGAGACCAGTATTGGATTGCTTTGAGAAGCCAAAAACATTGGTTCTACTCGACTTGGAAGTGTAGAGACTTTCCAATTTGTTTTCTTCAGACTGCAACTTATAGCCAATATAACCTTGAGTAGAATTTTCCATACCAATAACCATACCTAGACTACCGAAAGAGTTTCCTCTGTCTATGGCCAAACCAAATGGTGAAAGAGTTGAGTATTTGAATGACGTGTCAGCAGTTAAATCTAATTGATAGATTTCTAATGGTTCAATAAGGAGTTCTAATTCTGCAAATGATCCCGACACTTCAAGGTAAATAACCTTTGGAATGGAATTCAATGAGTTTCCAGTCTTTGACAAGGTGACAGCACTGGTCATGGCAATCATTGATGCAGTACTAAATGATGAGCCAGTCAACATTTTAATGGTAACATCAGCATTCTTAGGTAAGATTGGTGTTACGACAAATGAATGGAGGGATTGAGAAATTCCAGTATTTGGAACATACATGATAGCAGTTCTGGATTGAACACCATCAAAGACATGTCTAACAGTCTTACCACTGTTACCCTTATAGACTGGGAAGACAGTAAGTGTAGAATCGCTTCCAGTATAAGTGAGGAATAATGGGAATGAATTGGCTTTAACTTCCAAAAGATTTCCAACAAGAGTTCCATCATTAAGAGTGAGTTGACCAACTGATAAGCTAAATGACAAATAGTCTGGAACAATAGAAGGAATATCAATCAAAATGAGACCTGATCTAATCTTTACAGATTTTCCGAATTGAATAGAACTTCTATAATAATTGAAATTGACTGAAACTTGCTCTGTTTCTTCCTTACTGATAATGACCTTAACAATGTTAGTATTTTCAGCGACAAGATTTTGGAATGGAATTTGAACACTTTCTTGAGAAATTTCATAAGAAACAGAACCATAAGAAATTTGACATGCAACGGTAAAGCCCAAATTCAAAGTAATGCCATCATAGTAATCAAAGTTATCGGCGGCAATTGAGATTTGTCTGGCAACAATTGTTGAATTATCAGTGATAGTTTCAACAATATTCTGCATTTCACTCACATCATAGATATAATCAATAGCCATAGTGTTTTCAATGGATCTTCTTGACTTTTTCAAGCAGATACCACACAGTGAGCTAATGGCAGTTTCAGAAACAATTGGAAAGTCGTAAGTATAACCGTCCCATATGGTATAATCATACAATTCAATTTCATCAATACCAACTTCACCATCAATACCCCAATAGACATTCATACCAAGTTTACAACCTGATTTTGGATTAGTTTGAGTTTTGACATTAATGTATGGATTAATCTTAAAAATAATTGGGAATAATTCATAGAATGTAATATATAGAGTTGGTTCAAGAGTTGCCTTAGCTTGAGTTTGAAGAGAAAGATATTCACTCACTCTGAGACCACCACTAACTGATCCACTAGTTGTAGTCTTTTTATGGTTTCCCTCAATATATTCAAAACCTGCAGAGCCAGATCTTGTATAATCGCTTGTAAAGCTGACAGATGCACTGGCCTCCAAGTAGATTTTCAAACCGACTCCCATTCCAATTGCCATCTCAACAGGCAAAGGTCCAACAGCAAAGGCAGCAGTGTAAAAGTCCTTCTTCTTCATCAACTCAAATTCTCTTTCATATTTGCCTGTGGCCGTAACCTTCAAAGTTGGAAGTGTAACTCTCAAGGCATAAAAACCAGTACCTCTAGCAGTGTCTAGAATTTCCCATGGCATGTCAGTTTCAATGTATATATAATAACCAGCATAGAAACTAAAGAAACAATTGGTACATTCAAAGGTAAGGAATGAATAGGACATTGTAACTGACGATTGATCATAGGTAGGAATATTATTTGTGTAGAGAATCTTTCCCTTGCTATCTCTTTTCACATTCCAACCAATTTCAAATGCCTTATCATTGCTAGCAGAGCCAGAGAATCTTCCATTCTTGGCAACATAACCTAGTGGTCTACTCTTTAATAATTTGAGTTTTGAAAAGACTTGGAGGAGGGATAATTTACCAGTTTCTAATTGGAAATAAGTAATGCCATTCTCCTTGTTGTAAATCAACTCTGATTTGGTGACTAATCTGTAGAGAACTTTTTCATCAGTCTCTGCTTGATCATTGAGAGAGTGATCATAACAGGCAAAACTCTTCTTGCTTGAAACAAGCAAATTTCCAACAGCAAGATGATTCTTCATCATTTCAACATGATTTGGAACAGAGGCATCTGGTCTAATATACAAAATATTCCTAGTACAACCAATATCCATCACATATGGGTGATAGTCAAGATTGTAGGTATCAAAGGCTAAAACAGCATCATACATGAATTGCTCAGAGCTTGGGGTTTCTTCAGTGTAACGAGCATTCCAAGGATTCTTAGAGGTAAAACGTTGCTGGGCCTTATTAAGATAGGGAATACTTTGAGGATTTCTCTTCGAAATAGATGGTAATGTTCTACCATTCTTGATTCTGAAGAGGAAATAATCTGAGGGTGTTTCAAAGTTTGGTCGTGTTGTCGTGCTTTCAGCTATTAAGAATCCCACTAAAAAACAAGTTATCCACACAAAGAGGATGGATTTTAGTAGAAGCCTAATCATTTTTTTTTAATTGTTAAATGATGAACTTGATGAGGAAGAGACTGATTGGCGCGAGTTTGAACCGTAACGATAATTAATCTTGTTTGTAGATGAAAATATTATTAAGGAAGAGCAACAATATACCGTGGTAAAACTACCAACTAAAAGGCATAATGTTTGATGGAGACATTATTGAGAAGTTAATGTTTGACAATGGAAAAAAGGAATATGTTTATTAGTGAAGGAAAAGAGTAACTATAAGTACAAACAATAATGCTATAATATTACAATAGTAAGACAAGCTAGCTTGAGAGATGATTGTTTTCTGCTTGACCAAAGTTGTGAGTGTGTAGGCACCAGTACTGCTAATATCTGCAACAACAGAATCTTTAACAAAGGTTCCAACAGTACATCCAGAATCTGTACTGAACACATCCTTGCTATCGTCATACTTTTTACAGATGAGCTCTGTATTTTGAGGAAGGGAAGTTTCATTCTTCAAAGTTTGCATTCTCAATTTTACAAGGTTGGTATTTGAAAGCTTGAATGGAGAATAGCTATTTTCTGGAACAATGTTAAACTCAATTACCTTGGTGAACATATCAAAGTCAGAGCCGAGAGAGAATTTAGAGACAGCATTTCTCTTGTCATAGATCATAAATCTTAAACTGGCGGATGCAACGTTTGGAATCAACTTGGAGAATGTAGAGGAGAGTGTGATGGTATTTGAATTGTAGAGAATGTCATAGAAATTATTCATACTTGGGGAGGAGAGCTTTCTACTATATCCAACAACTCCATTACCAATCACAACAGAGGCAGGCATATCTGGAGCATTATTCTTTGTTGAGGCTGCTACAATATTAGTGTAAGTAACGCCTAAATTCTTTAAATCATCATCAGTGAACAAATTCAGAGATCTTCTACGAGTTGATACATATCCAGAAAGAGCATTAGTGGCAGCAATAACACTAGAAATAGTGTTTAAGTCAAAGTTAACACTTTTAACAGAGGCTACAGTCTCAGTCGTAGATGCAAGTGTGGAAATGATAAGAGAGGTTGTCTTATCTGTAATAAAACCTCCAGTGACAGCTGGAATAGCATTTGAAATAACAGAAGCTGTTGAGATTGCAGAGTCGCTTGTTTCCGGAACGAGACTACTTTGAGAGGATTTGGTGGAGATTACAGCCGAAACTAAATTATTGGCTGCTTGTGAAATCTTCTCCTTTTGAGTTGCATCCAGAGAAGAGCTTGTTACAGATCCAATTACCAATAATGCATTTGATGCATCAGTGGAGGAGATGGTGGCAACTTGTGAGCTGATAGAGCTCAAAACTTTGAATGTTTGCTCGACTGACAAGTTTTCCACTTTAACCTGCAGGATAGATTCTGTTGAGGCACCTTTGGCATCTGAAACAACAACCTTAACTGGCACCTTGTAAGAATTTGAAGAAGATCCAGAGGCCAGTCTCACACGAATTGATTTCAAATCAACAACTTTTTCCGATAGAGGTTTCCAATAGGTGCCATCATTGAAGAAGTATTGATAAGAAAGAGGGGCTTGAGGATCATTCCATCCGTTACCACACTTTAAATCAAATTCGTCCAAAGAGTAGCCACTTTGTGGGAAAACCTCAAATACACCTCTAGTTGGTGGGAAATTGACAGTGAAAGAGATTGATGCAGAACCATTCTTATTTCCATCAGTAATCAACAAATCAAGAGAAATTGTTAAACCTGGAACAAGACTACTCTTTGGAATGATAATATAACTGAGACTTGTCTCCAAATTTGTTAAATCAAGGTTAGAAGATGTCCATTTGTATGATGGGTTGGATAAGGAATCCAAAAGGTTAGAGTTGAAAATTACATCCTGACTGCTGTCAACTGCCGATAAGTCAATACTTTGAGAAATACCTTGAGGCTTGGCAGAAATAGAAGCCTTGATAATCTTATCCTTTGAATCTGATAAAATTGTAACCAATAACACCTTTTGAATGCTTCTTGAACCTTTAGAGTAGGTTGCAGTGAAAGAATATTTTCCTGGCTGAAGGAGTTGACTGAATGGAGAACTCACAGAACCACAACCAGTATTGGTGGAAATCTTAAAACATGCAATTGTGAGTGAATCAGAATCAGAGGTTGCACTTGGATCATTCTTAACAGCAGAAAACGAAACAAGTTCGTCGTAACCTTGAGAGAAGTCGGTTACATTGAAAGATAATTCTAATGGTTGACTAATTGCCTTTACAAGGAAAATTACACTAGTTTCAAGAGCTTGATCGGCAGTAACGGTTGCCTTAAAATAATAATTTCCTTCCTTCTTAATTGAAGTATAGCCAGAGCCAAAAATGAGCATTCTATTACTTGTGGAAAGTTTGAGAGAGGTGTCTACAGAGTTCAACTCAACTGAGTAGCTAACTTTCAGCAAGCTAGAATTTCCGCTGTAACATGATGGGAAAGTGATAGATGGGACAATAATGGAAGAGCCTCCAATTAACACTTGAACTTCTTCTGGAATATTTATGAATGGAACAACTGTAGTAACAACAGAGAAGGACAGAGTTTGATTGGAAGAATAACCAAATTGATTTGTAACCTTAACTACAACTGAGTAACTTCCAACATTGAGTGCATTTGCTTGTATTGTAACAACAGATGTTTTAAGAGAATTGATCATATTGTTCAAAGTGGCAGAAGATGATGACCAAGAATAGGTCAAAGCTCTTCTATCAGAAGATGAAGATGAGGAAGCGTCAAAAGATACCTTATCACATGTTGAAACAATGGACTTATCAGACTTCAATACAGCATCTGGCGGATTAGAAACAAGTGAACCAGTGGAAACAATCACACTAACAAAATTAGTTTTCTTTAGCAAATCAGAATAGAACATTAAGGTACTTCCAGGAACAATTGTTGTACTTGAGCCTAAAATTATTTGGAATGAATTTTCAGAACTGGTATAAAGACAAGAAGCATCACTACCACCAATCAATGGAAGACTCTCTGCTGCAATGAAATAAGAGCATTCAAACTTTGTACTTATTGGAGAGTAAACTGTACCAGTAATTACATCTCCGTTCTTATTGAAGGAGAAAGAAGAAACACTCACAGAATAGTCACAATTTTCTCCATACCAACCAGTTTGACAAGATGAACAAGTTTTTCCAGAGAAATGACCAGAGCAAACACATTCTCCCATAGAATTACAATTTCCATGAGATGAGCAATTACGGGCAGGAGTACAAACATTATCGCAATTAGATCCAAAATATCCTGCTGTACAGTTTGTGCAAAACTCGCCCGAAAAATTATCAGAGCAAATACAATTCTTATTGCTGCCACAAGTTCCTCTTCCATTACATGTTTTTTCAGCACTGCATGCTGCTTCTGTGCAATTAACCCCTGAAAAGCTTGGATTACATTCAGTACATTGTGAATTTCCATTCCAGTTGGAAAGGCAAGAGCAAGTATCTACAGCAGTGCAAGAACCATGGCCTCCACAAACGCTAGATGAACTCTTGCTGATTCCATAGCATTTGAATGAATTGCATGTTTCACCTTCGAATCCAGTTTTACATTTACATTGATTTGGAGAAATACATTCACCTTGACCACTGCAAACATTCTTATCACTTGATGGAATATCAAAACACAGAGGAACTGCACAATTAGAGCCATAATAACCAAATACACAAACACATCCAGAATCTGTGCAATTTCCTTTAGAGTTGCAAACACTAGAATTATCAGAGCTAATCCCATTACACACATATTTTGGAGCTGATGGGGATGAATTATTGTTTGAGTTAGTGCTATTTTGTGGAATTGTTGAATTTTCATAAGTTGAGCTGTTTGTTATTACTGTGCTGTTGTTGACAGTCGTATTAGAGTTATTAGAGCTATTGTATACATTAGTATTATTTTGAATTACTGTTGAGTTATCTTGGATTGTATTGTTCCCATTGGTTGTGCTATTGGAAGAATTTGTGCTATTAGATGTAGAATTTCCTGATGAGGTATTGGTAGAATTGTCAATGCTTGTATTATTCCAAGTGGTACTATTGTCTGAAACTACAGGATTGACTGGATTAGTGGTATTGCTGTTATCTGAAACGTTGTGATGTACAGTGTTGTTATTAGAAATATCAGTATTGTTGGTCAATGTACCATTTCCATTTAAGGTACTATTATTGGTGGTTGCAGAGTTGTTTGAGGAAGTCAAACATGTGCTACCCGAGAATCCATCATTACAGACACAAGTATTAAAATCAGTACATGCCCCATTTCCATTACACACTTGGCTACTAGTACTTGCTACCCCAAAACATGAGGTCACATTACAAGAAGCTCCTGTAAACTTGGAAACTTTCAAACCCATTCCTGATACATCAAAGGAAAGAGGGCCACCAACTGCAATAATAATACTCCATTGCTTGATGAAAATACCAACCTTGTCATAAACTGTTGTTGTTGGAACTGTTCCATAGTGAATCCAATCAGTTCCAGTGGCAGTCTTGTAATAAAACTTGTAACCTAATGGATTCTTTCTAACAAGAAGAGGTGCATGAGTTTGAGAAGATGAAAATGTGAAGGGACCATCTGAATAGTGATTAATCAAATCTTCAGGGAGAACATCACAATACTTTTCATTATTGACAGCTATTGTCAACTTTGATGTATCGGTTGGACCACTTCCAATGAAATAGTTGGCATTATTTGGATTGAGGCTATTATTTCTCCATACAACCACACCAATATGAGTTAGGCCTCCTCTAGCTTTCATGTCAATAACAGCTTCATAGGACCATTCATTGAAAATGCTTCCATCTACATTTCTTGGTACATCATTAAGGATTAATTCACCTTCCATTCTGTTACACCACCACATATCTTGTGCCTTATTCTTAGTTGAAATCGATATGTTTGGATAATTTCCTTGAATCCTATTCATTTCATAACTATTGAACAATGTGTTTGGGCTTGGATCATAGAATCTCACTCCCCAACCAGAATCAAAGTTTTGAAGATAATCGACAGCTTGAGATGAATTTGTTCCCATACAAGAACAAACATCTTGAGAAATACACGATCCCCTTCCTGAGCAAACACTTGAATTGGAGGCTGCAATACCATAACATGAAATCTCTGTCGATTCAACAACCTTAATATTATTGAATATAATAAAGCCAAGAAGGATATTTAGCAAGGTCACGAAGTTAAATAATAACCTAAAAGAACCAGTTATTCTTCCCTTCATGATGATGAATATGTATTAATCTTGAGGGTATTTTTTACTTTTTTCTGGTTGTTATGATGACGCCTTAACGTTCATTGGTGGGAAACGAGAGAGAGGAACTCTTCATAAGAACCGGAATTATTTAACATGTTTGTAAAATGGTAAACAATTAAGGGTGGGCGAAGAGGTTTTATCATACGCACTTCATTGTGAGAATCTTTTTAATGGCATGCAATCATGATATATTATAAATAATAGTTACTTTTGTTTTTATTTGCCTTATACTATATAATATATTAAATACTACCACTCTCACAATTATACATTCCGAACCAAATGGAAGAATTACAAATCATCATTATTTAATTGTGAATATTGTGATGGTGATGAAGAACCTCTTGAACGAGCAGTTACAATAATTCTATTCAATCCACAACAACAAAGAGGCAATAAACAGAACAATAAAATAGCTCCACTAGCTCCAATCCAAGATCCGATAATAATCTTTTGATTTGTTGACTCCTCAGTGTTACTGTTAGGCTTCTTGATATTCTCACTCAGAGCCAATGAATAAATAACAATCAGTGCAATGGTTGCTCCCATCGAAATTAAAATCCAAATCATCCAATGGAAAGCACAACCAAGTAAATATTTGGAGAGTTTTCCTGGTTCATTTCCGAAACAGTCAATCACAGAAGCAACACCAACTACTCCAGTCAAGATGAAAACAGAGAGTGCAACATAGGTGAGAATGGTGAAGGCAAGTTCTCCACCTTCTGGGTGATAGCCATCTTTCACTTGGAGAACAATTTGAGCAATTAGATAACCCAATGATGGGAGTAAAAGACCGATTGAGCCTATCAGTGTGCAAATGATGGATGCTGCAGAGGAAGAGACGGCCATATTGTGTTTTTAATTTTTTGATTGTGAAAATAATTGGCTGTCAGATGTTATGATTATCATAATCGCAACGAACTTCTTGTAGAGATATTCTTTGAAAAATCCTGCTATTATTAACATAATCGCACTTTTGAGGCATGTAACAATTAAAGAATTTGTAAAACATTTAATTATTATTTATTGGAATTCTTCTAAAGGTTTAGTTTTGCATTTGGTGTTTATTAGTTTTGCAACAGTCAACAGAACTGGAATGGAACTCATCATTCACAGTAATATTACAATGAATATTGACTACAGATTGGCTCACAAAAATCAATAAATGATTTTTGAAGGATCTTATTATTGGCAACTGCACTTGGATTCACTGGACGGCAATCATCAAAATAGCTACCAGAGATGGATTTAACATCTGGGGAGCATGCCAAATGAATAGTGTTTTGAGATCCTTGTTTAACATTCTTGAAGAATAATAATTCAGGAATTCCCAAAAGCAAATTAATATAGAGTGGGGCCTCCCTTGTAAGCTGACTGGAAATGGCTCCAGGATGACAACAATTAATGGTTACCTTACAATTAGGAGTATTCTTAATTCTCTCATTAAAGTGATAGGTTTGATAAATGTTGAACAATTTGGACATGCCATATTGCTTGTTGGTATCTAGAAGGTTCATTGTGGAAAATCTTTTGGTTGGTTTGATTACTCGATCTCCCATTGTGTAGGTATTTTGTTCCTTATCGAAAAAGTCAGCATCACTAACAAATGAATGAGCCAATGAGGCAACAATTACAATTCTTGCACCATTTGGATTGCTATTCAAATTGTTCCACAATAGCTCAATCAGTAAGTGATGTCCCAAGGCATTTGATTGAAACATTTCCTCATATCCTTGCTTGGAAAATCTCAATCCAAGTGCAACACATCCAGCATTATTAATCAACAAATCCAAAACCTTTCCCATTTGAAGAAATTCCTTAGCACATTCTCTAACACTTTCCAAATCATTGAGATCCAATCGGATGAAATTCAATGAACCTCCTTCTAATCTCTTCTCTCCAACAGTGTCTTGAATTTGTCTGATTACTTGTTTGGTTTTTTCTGCATTTCTACATGCCAAGTAGACACAAGCTCCCTGTCTGTACAATACTTGTGCAGTGTAAACTCCGATACCAGAAGTTGCTCCACTGTGATCATCAAATGATCATACATTATAATAACTGTTATTAAATAATCAATATATTACTGTATAAACTCACGTAATCATAACAAGCTTTCCTCTCATGTCAACTTGTTCACCATTTGTTGAAACACCATTCACTACAAAATATTTAAGAGCAGAGTAGGAGGCCAACAGGGCAAGTGATGAACTGAGCGCGATAGGATGTTGAGTCCACAATGATTGAATGGAGGAGGTGAGAGTTTCAAGTAGGGACATTTTTTTCTGATTGGTTGACTTGCTATTGCGCTAGCATTAATATTGAGGACTATTATTGGCAAAATATGATATCGGTAGTGGTCAATAGTAAAATTTGATGAGAGTGGGATTTGAACCCACGCCCTTGCGGAACACGGCATTAAATCATACCTTAACGTGTCGTCTTAGACCACTCGACCATCTCACCCTTATTGATGTGGATTAAGGCACTTTTATCGTTCACAAATCACTAAATTTATTTTTAATTATTCCTTTCTTAATTTTTCTAATTATTAATTATTCCCTTTCTTATTTATTTTATTAATTATTTAATTAATGTTATAAATTTTATTAATTTTAAAAAAATGGGTCAAGGATCAAGTCAATCAACACCTCGTCTCGAAGACATTCTCACCTCTCCCTCACAATGGTTCTACTTTCGTGATTATCAGGCTCATGCAACATGTTCTGAAAAGATTCGCCTCTATAAAGAGTTGAACAAACTTGTTGATTTACGAAGTGGTGTTGATGGTGATGAAGAGTTTCATGATGATGGTTCCGACGCACATAAAACATATCATAACAAATCTGTAAATAATTTATCATCGGAGGAGAAGAGAAAAAGTAATCAAAAATATGAACAATTGAAGGATTTAATGTTAGAGAATGCATGTGTAATGTGTCAGACATTTTCGGGAAGGATTGAGGAAGTGGAGAATGAAAATAAGTTGAGAGAATGTTTTGGTGATGAATTGGTGGATTGGAGTCAAATGAAGAAGAGGAATAATGAGGAAAAATTTAATGAAGAGGAACAATTGTTGAGTTTACCAATTTTACCTTTGGATTATGATAGATTATTATATTGTTTTCAAAGTAATAATGCAACGATACCAATGTTTGATGCATTGGCCAAGCACAAATCATTCCTGACACAGAGAGGATCTTTACGAGAATTATTTCCACACATTACCAATAATTTGAGAGAACAAAGGCCTATTGCTGAATTATTTTCGATTAAGAATACACCAGAACATAACTTTTCATTGTTGAAAGACTTGTCTAATAAGCAAGCTTCTAAAGAATTTCAAGTTTTAGATAGTTGTATCAACAAGTCAGAAGCTCAGGTCAATCCAAACAGTACAAGCTGTTTGGGTGAAGCTTTAATTTATTCACATGCAGTCACACCAAAATTTTGCCAGAGACAAATTAGAGATTGTCTCGAGCGAAAGATTCCTTCGTTCGTTGTCAATGGTTTGGATGATGATGAAGCTTGGGAACACTTGTCAGTCATTGACTATACACAATGTTTGTTGAATAGGTCTAAGAGTATGACCTTAAATGAGGCTCATGAATGTTTCGATAATGTGATGGATTTTATGGGTGAACAAATATTGAAAGAGTAAATATTAATTTCACAAACATTTCCATCACTAAATGTAGTTTATTTGAATAATTGAACAGTTGTCATTTCTCTGGTGGCTTGAACTTGCTTGATAATTCTAAATTCCTCTGTCAAAACAAATCTAGAATAGGTATCCATCAAATTGTAAACAATATCCGTCATTAGATCCATAATAACCTCATTGGTGGCAGTCTTTAACTCGGCAACTTCGCTTCCATTGAGAGTATTAATGTTAGTATTGAGAAGAGTATTGTGGAGAATCAAGTACTTTCTTCTCGTGATTGAATTGATATTGACAGACATTTCAGAAGAGGAATCAATGTGAGTTTTGAAAAGTTCATCCATCTCTGTAACAACCCTGTCCCATTCCCCAATATTCGCATTTGAAGGAGAAATGACATCTGAAAAATCTTGCTTGAATTTTTCCAAACGAATCCAAATAATATAATTCTCCAAACTCATCTCAGTTTTGGTGTATTGACGGAATAATTTCAACAAGTACTTGTTTTGTTTGAGAGTCAAAACCTCAAATTTTTCATCAAACTCTTGGAAGGCATTGGCTTGCTTTTTAGTGAACCATCCTCCCTTAGTAAATTCAGTCTTGAGAGCCCAAACAACAACAAATCCACCAAATGCAATAATCAAACAAATAGTCATTAAAGTTTCAAACAAGAATATAACACTATCCATCATGTCAACTATGTCGTTATTGGTAGAGTCGCCAGAGAATCTCAAACTCAAAGTTGAAAAACCAACCAAGTAAGAAACTATAAAGAAAAGCATTGCTGCCAAATAAAAGATAACCTCCGTTCTGAACATTAGTACATCATTTGAAATGAATGTTTTGAAAATGGATCCTAGTAATCTACCTCCTTTTGCAAGCTCCTGAGAAAAATTATTCTTGACGAGTGCTTGTTGGGAATTAGCAGTTGAAGAATCGATTACTAATGAATTCATTTCCTCAGCAATATCAACAACTTCATCTGACATTTGTTTGTTTGACTTTTCGAGAACTAGATCAGTAACATAAATAGCAATAATCACCATAGTCATTATTATCAACAAGATGAAAATAGATACCGTTGAAGCAGTTGAGAATTGAGCAGTGGTAAGTGAGCTATCTCCTCTTAAAATAACAAAAATGGAAAAGTAGATGAGAAAAAGTACTCCAGTAATTATGCTAGTAACGACAAGGACAGTCTGCTTTTTCAAAATATTCAGATACTTGACCATGGAATCCTTCTTGTTTGTTTCTATTGCTTTCATCATCCACTCATAAAAATACCTGTGAACTAGATATCTGAGTGACATTATCATGTAACACCAAATAGCAGCAGCTCTCATCGATGTAGAAATGACAGTGCAAATAGAAACCATTAAATCCAATCTCAATGAAGGGAAATATGAGTAATGGAGCAGGATTGATTTGGAAAATATTCCAACAGCTAAATTTTCAATAAACAGAGAGGCAAGAGCCAAATGTGGGGTAATGTATCTGGACTTGACAGGTTGTTTCTTCCTTAATATAATTAACAACGCAAATATTATGCCAATAACTACAAGAAATATGGAAGAAATGGCAATATTAGCAGTGGAGAGAGAATCATGAATACTCCTATCATTCCTCTTATAGGGAGCTTCTGAGAAATCGATAAATGCTGAGAACCTTGTTGTGTGATCACAATAGCATGTCACCGTTCCATTACTGTATGAGGTACTACAACCGTTTTGAAGCCATTTCATTTCAGTTTCATTCCAATATCTACAGACATAGGTCTTGACAATCTCTGGGTTCGAAGAGTTACTGTTAAGTGTGGAATTGATTAAGGTTTCATTGATAGTCCCCTCATCAATGGTAAAAGTTAGGGTGATATTCTCAGATAGATTGTTGAGTGGAACATAGGTACCACTTACTAGGGTCTTGAATTGTAAAATTTTGGCACCAGGAAAAGAAATAGATTGATCAGTGAAAAACTGTTCAGGAGAGGATTCAAATCGAACAATGCCAAAACTAGTAGCAGAAGGTCCCAACGCAGCACCAATAGTAGAGGGAATAGCCACACTGTGAGAGGCATCAATAGGGCTACTTCCTCTATTCTCATCTAAAACAACGAGTACTACAAAGTTTTTCGTTTCAACTTTGACTGGTTCTTTTTTTCCCTCATTCTTATTGGAGATTGCAATAGCAGAGAGTGAGCTATCAATGGCCTTTTGCATTGTTTTCAATTCGAGTGACAATTCCACAAGGTTAGAGGCAATTAGTAATAAATTAGTGGAAATATTGTTGATGATGATGGTAGCCGAATGTAATTTTTTCAAAGTGTCTGAGAAATCATTCACTGTTTTGGAAATAGCTTCCTTGCCAGCTTCTGTGAGATAGTTAGTATAGACAGAGTCGGTAATAACCAATAGAGTTTGGGTTAAAAAGATACTCTGTTCAGTGGTAATGTTTGAGGTCTTGTTTGTGAGGGTACTAGCTATAACCTCAATCAGTTCTGTCTTGTTGGTTACATTTTGTAGATTGTTAGCAATTTGATTAATAGATCCAATATCTAGCTCTTTAATCCTACTTGGATTATCCGTTACTTGTTTTAGAGAGAAAACTGATATTGACCTTGATTGAGAACTATTACCAACAATGATATCATAGTTTCTATCAATAATTGTGGCTTCAATTGAATATTCTCCAACAGTTAGAAGTGGCAATTTCCAGGTTAGAGAGGTTGTGTTTTCAGAGTAGAAATAATTGCCATTCCTAATTGTAAATGTTATAATCAAGGATTCCTTCTTATTGTAATAGGTTGTAAAATTAGAGTCTGCAAAGCTTAAAATAACATGAGTGTTGTTGGACTGAGTATCCAACATGGAGCTATCTGTCAATGAGAGGATTACGTTCTCACCAGCTATTAACAGTGCTCCACAATCAAAACCATCGCTATTAGAATTGCAACTACAAACATCTAAAATCTGGCATTGGCCCTTTCCTTGACAGACATCTGAGCTATTGGACAATATCGAAAAACAACTAGTCAACCCACAATTCGATCCAAAATGTCCTGCAGAACATGAACAAACATCTGGAAGTGTGCAATTACCTCTCCCAGAACAAACCAATGAGCTCTGATAATCCACAGAGAAACACGAATAGGATGAACAATTAGAATCATAATATTCACTCTGACAAGTACATGAACCATTGGCCGTACAATTTCCACGTCCAGAACAAACAAGAGGTGATTCCTGTGTCAATGAATCACAAACATACAAGTTATTGCACTTATTTCCATAATAACCAACACTACATGAACAATTGTTCTTGGAAATGCACTTTCCATGACCAGAACATACAGAAGAACTTGATGAAGACTGTCCATAGCATTTGTAATTATCACCATCATCGTCGTCATCGCCTTCATCGTCATCACTCTCGTCTGATATCGAACGGGAGTGGTGGGTCTTGTCTCGATAAATTATGTTGTTGTTGATGGTGGGTATTTCTTGGCCCTGTACCAAAATTATCCAATTAGAATTGTGTTTGAGAAACCTTCTCGGTGATGGCAACACATTATTATTATTATTCGAAATTAATAGATTCCAATAATTACTATTCGAAAATACATCCGATGAAATTAGCAAAAAGCAAACAGACACTATGAAAATTAGAACAACACATAAGTTCCTCCTCGCCGAATAATTCCAACATAATTTTAAAACTGATGATATGTAATTCTCCTTCCGCATACATGATAATTTCCCCTCCAAAATACAACAAGCATCATCTTCCGTATTACTTCTAACAAGTAGCATGATGATATTTTCTACTTGGGAATGCGTGATAATTATTTTGATATTGTTTTTTTTAGTGAACTTGAAAAATTATGGAAAGGAAAACCAAGGATGGATCTAGAAAGCGTAGTGACATTGATAACTGCAGTAAATTGTTTCATAACATGACTCTGATATTATTGATATTATTAATAGAATTTTGATATCTTGAAATTGGCCTATCTGATTTGAAATTTTCAAAACTTGCATTCTTGGTCTTGTACATTATCTTCAACAGAATACAACTGTCATAAGTCAAACATCAAAAAAATGGGCAATGAACAATCAGCACCAACTTCATCAGTACCAGCAGGTACAGAATTAGCTACAATGCCAATTCGTCGTAACACAACTAACTATGCTTCCACAGCTGGCAGCTCATCCATCACAGCCTCCTCCACAAACAACAACCTTCTCAACAATAGTACTACATCCAACAATCACGATCCTAACAATAATTCAAATAATCAAAATAATGGAAATTTCCTCTCCCTCCTCACCACCTCCCAAACATTAATTTATGGCTATGCAAACAATGCCTCCCATCAAGTTGATCCATTCCGATCCAATGTAAAACAATTGGCCGATTTAATCAGACCAAATGCTCTTCAACTCGCTCCTCAGGAAGGCTTCTTTCATATCAGCGTCATGTTGGATGAAATCTGCAAGACTCACGAAGACATTTTAAATAACTATCGTAAATATTTGCCACTGGTAGAGTTTGCATTGAGCGGGAAAACTGAGAACAATGTATTGTTTGGATCAGGTGGTGGTGGGAGTATTTTTGGCGCCACTTCTTCATCTGCCTCCTCTTCAAAGGAAGCCTTTGAAAAATTGTTATTCTCTCTAAAAAATCACATTAACAATACGAGGAATGCTATTGAGGGATTGGTTGCTGCTTCGGAGAGTTATGAGAGGAGAAGTTTAAAGGCTAGTAATCAATCGTCGCATTCTCAGACTGCTTCAATGGTTAATTTGTTACCAACTTCGGGAATTACTTCGTTTGATTGGTCGACAATTGCTAATAAGAAGGTAAATTTTGATTTTAATTGATGATTAATAATTTTAATAATTATTCAATAATAATATATATATTATATTATACAAATTTAATACAAAATTTTGGAATTGTTATTGAATGGATAACATACAAATATTAAATTATATTGATTGGAATAATTATTTAATATTTTAGAAATATTTTCAAATTAAGGATGAAATTGAAATATTGCTAACATACCACTTGGAAGAATTACGTGGATATAAAGAAATTGTGGAAAAGGCTAATGCAAAAGGAGATACAGAAGTTAATGTAGCAACTATAATTTCTGATGAATTTGCTGCAGAATTTTGGAAAACTAATTGTGGAGCTAATGTATTTTCTATTGATAAGGAAGCATTTATTGACTTGTTGGATGCTAACTTTCAGGGTTGGTCTAAACGTGTAAAAAAAACATGGGTTGAGGAGATATCAGAGCTCATAGATCCAACCTGTGACAGTGTTGTTTCCATTGTAGATTTCAAAACTGTTTTACAATGGTTCGGTCCTTTCACAATTTCCTTCTTTACACCTATGGACAGTTTTTTAGCCCAGAAACATTTTTGGGGAAGTATTTCATCCATGGAAGCTCAACACTTACTTGATTCCCAGGAGCCTGGTACTTTCCTCATTAGATTTTCTGAAATTGAAGCTGGTGCTTTTTCTATAAGTGTTGTAGAACAAGAGAGTGATGACAATTTAGGTCTCTCAGGTGGTGAATCTACCATTTTCAAGCAAACTTCTCACTTTATATTGAGAAGGAAAAAGGAAGACCAAAAATTCCTCTTTATTCTTTGTGAAAATGATACTGAATTCAAATGTGAAACTGTTGATCAATTAATCAAACAATATCGTTTGACATTTAAATATCCATTCACTGATGAAACTCAAAAATTAGAAGTTAAACAACAAGAGGACGAGTTGGACTTTTTCAATTTTATGAAATCAACAGCTGCTCTCAGTGCTCTTGACGATGATGAAGAAAACTCAAACTTTGTAAAATTCAGAGGAAGAATTGTTGACAAGTCCATTGCCAAGCAAAATGAAAAAGTTCCTCCAAACTCTACCAAAAAGACACCAACTTCAGCCACACTCAGCACTCCAAAACCATCTGGTCACAATAGAGTTCTCTCAACAGCTAGTAGTAGTGGAAATTCTTCTCCAGTACCAAATACTCCAACTACCATTGCTGTAGCTTCACCGACAACCACTCCTTCTACCACTCTTCCATCTGATAAGAATATCACTACACCACAACCAGCAGCATCATCATCATCTGCAACAGTTAGTAGTAGTGCCAATTCTACCACCAGTAGTAGTAGTACACCATCAATAGATGAAAATAATATTGCTCTTGAGGAAAAGAAGCAATAATTTCAAGATTAGTTTGATTTAATTGAATCATTAAATCTTTAAATTATTATCCACCATTTTATAACTTTTCTACAATTTTAGAAATGAAATCAATCTGGATTCATTGGTAATACATCATAAACAAGCTAAATATGCTATTTGAGTATTTGGTTTATTTCAAGAAATCACCAAACAACTCAACATACCATAAATGGTTATTCATTACAAAAAGTAATTCATTTAAATTTAAATTTGCTTTAAAACCAGAGAGTCACCATCCACTTGAAAACAATAAGAAAAAAGAAATGAAAGTTTATTTTGCGCTTTGCATTGCAGTAGTTTTGTGCCTTGTCAATTTTGGAATCTGTCAAGGGGATCGTTACATTCCAAGTCATCCACTCGATCAGTACAACAAGCCAGCAGACAACAAACATCAAGCACCAAATGCGCTTCCATACTATCCGTACATGCCAATTTACATTCCACAATTTAAGGCACCAGAATATAAAATTCCTGAACCTCCAAAGTATACCATTCCAGAAGCTCCTAAAGCTCCTCAAGCTCCATGGAATTATCTTCACAATGCTCCAAGTTACTATGCTCAACCATTTAATTCAGAAGAATTTAAAAAGTACATGCCAGATTGGTTAAATGCCAAACCACTCCATGCTCAACAACCAAAGGATTTCCCTAAATTCCCTCAATTCCCTCAATATGCTGGAAATCAACATCAATATGGACAACAATATGCCTCGCCTTATGCTCCACAAGATTGGAATGAATTCTTCAAGAAGCAATACCCATGGACTGAACAATACAATGCCTTCCCTTGGAGCACTCAAAAACAAGGTTTTGCCAAACCATTGAAATCTGTTGGTTCCATTTCAGAGTCTGACAATAATGTTAGTGGAGATGAAAGCGAAACCATTTAAAGATATTATCGTAGTGATTAATGAACAATTTTGTTAAATAAATTAACCTTAAATGTTTGTGATTGAAATGTTAAAGCTTTTTCTTTAATATGTTATAGCATCCTCAAAACAAGTACCGCTGGAACATATATAGTATAGGCCTAACTGTAACAACCTAACTTTATTTGAACTTGATCAATACATTATTGGTCATCATCGCTCTGTTCGTTCTGGGATGTCAAGTTGAACGTTCACAAAGTGAATTGCTTAGTAATCATTGTGATGCATACTCTCAAAAACATCACTATTATACCTCAGAGGTTTATGTTTGCTCGAACATTTGTCTGCCTTATCAAAATTGTTGACAATTTCTTATCAATGTTGCTTTTTTACACTTCGTCATCAACATCATTTAGCTCCATTCCATTGGAATGTTTTGGTTGGGTTGGTTGATAAAAGTTACTAGTAACATCTTGATTCTCTGGATTAGTAATGCATAGAATTGGAATTTCACAAGCAAGAAAATATTCTGATGAGGTGGAGCTTACACAATCTGGATCAGAATTACAATTCTCAGAATCTTCTTCTAAACGAGTTAATGTGTGATCAGTTTCATCATTAAAAGAAAACGTACGATCTTCTTCGATAGTCTTAATAGTCAACGCTTGTGAACCAACAGTAGACAATGTTGTTGTTGTAGAAAAGAGAGATGAAGTTGATTGTGGATAAACCTTATTATCTGACTTGTTTCTGAGAGATCCTAGTCTTGGCATGGAGAGACCTCTCTTTGGTTTTGAAGGTAAATTATCAAGGGAGGATGTGGTGGAGTGTGTTGAAGAGATGGTTCTAGCAGTGGTGGAAGTACTAAGGAGAGATGAAGTTGGTCTATAACATGTGGATGAGGTGGAAAGTGTTCTCGAGGTGCTATTAGTAGCAGTATGTGTTGTAGCAGAGGAAATGGTTGAAGAGAGTGAATTAACCTTAATAAAGAAGGCAGGCTTGGCACTTGGTTTACGAGTCAGTATATCGACCAGTTTGTTTCCACTCTTACTAGTTTCATCATCCTTCTTCAAACTCTTCTGACTTGTCTTTTTGAGGCTTGATGATGACGACGATGAATCACTTAGGACGGTTACTGTCGTCGAGGTTGTATTTGAATTTACAGCTGAGTTTCCCATTTTCCTTAGTCGAGAGAGAAACAATGTTATATGTCTATTAAATATTTACACGAGGTTGAGAGGTTTGTTATTTTTGAACGTTTACGTTACGAGTATATGAAGTAAACGTTGTCGAGGAGGTTCTTGTGTTGTTATTTTTTTCTTAGTGGGAGTTTGCCTGCCCCAAAGGGAAGCATGTGCTCTTGTTGAACGCAAGGCGAATTGCATTGATCTCTTTTTGAGGTTAAATAGCTTGAAAAAAGAGATTTTTTACTGCAACGAATAAGGAGTCGAATACAGTGATTTTATAAAAGAAGCTAAGGAAGATGAATAAGGTAAATGCAAGGAATTGTTTTCGCTCTCGTTATTTTTTTAAAATATTCGGTAGAGTTTGTTATTCGTCCAAGTTTGGGTCTGTGAGAAACAAACATGTGAATGATGGCTCATCAGCTCAAAATCCAACCTCTGCAATTGTTGAATTATTCTTGTTGGTGAAGATATTGATGATGAATTAATAATGTATCCATCTCCTTAAAGTTAGTTAGCTTGTTCCAAAGAATCAAAAGAATAAATTGCTCAGAATCATCTCTGTAGTGTGGCTCACAAAAGCTGTATTGATTTTTACAGTTTCTGTTGAGGGGTTTGAGGAAGGTCGTAAATGGAACGAGCACAAGAAAGTAAAGAATTTTTTCGATAATCTCTTTTTACCTTGTTTGAGTGAATATCACGCGCAGCTCAATAACAGAGATTTTTCTGTATTATGTACAACATTGTTTTCAAGGCGAACAAAAGGTTCATTTGTAACAACTCGCTCAATTCATTGGTCATAATTTGAATTCGGGGAATACTCTTCAAAAATTAGTTTTCAAATCTAGAAACATTTTCACCTGGTGCCCAACTCTCAATATATTTAACATAATTTTGAAAGGTGAAGGTAAGAGTTATAACTGTAAATAAACTGTAAACAATTTTTTTTTCTTTCCTTGTCGAATAGTATCACGCCAATTTATCCATTACCTCCATACCACAAGGTATGCACATTCATTGTAAACTTTTGAAACCCTACATTGTAATTTCTATCTCAGAACAAAATTATTGTCCTAATCCTCTTCCAGGCCTGATAGTTGACCTGAAAATTGAAATGAATCTTCAAACAAAACTCCGCAACAGAAACTTTGTGCTTCTCAAAATCAGCGCCTTGTTTCAACAAACACAACAAAAAAAATGCAACATCATACCGTCAGATTATACTCGTTGCTGCTCATGTTGTTGGTTAGCACAGCGTTGATATGTTCGACATGGACTTTTTCAGCAGCTGTAGAAGGATCAAAACTACCAAGAATAACAACAACAACTATGGATTATACTCCATTATTTATGCACTTGGCATTTACATCAGTGCCGACTGAGATGGTGGTTTCATTTCATACCAATGATTATGATGAAAAGATTTTGGGTAAACCTTTTGTAAAATATGGAAAGGAGGATACATTAAAGATTGGAGCTAAAGTTTCGTGGATTGGAGCTGTGATTACTCAATATGGTGATGTGAAACATACTGGATACGATTTTAATATTTTAATGAAGGATTTGGAATATCAAACCAAGTATTATTATCAAGTTGGGTTTTTGGGAAGTAATGTAACTTCTGGTGTTTATAATTTCCATACCAGAACTGATCCAAGATCAATTGATAGTTTTGAAACTACAGTTGTCATGTATGGAGATCAGGGAACAACCAATTCAAAGTATGCCATTGCTCAAGTTGAGAATTTTATTCATTCTTTTTACAATGACAAGTCGGCAAAGAATATGTTTATTTATCATTTAGGTGATATTTCATACGCTGATGATTGGCCTGGAATTTTATATCAAGTAATCTGGGCTCGTTATTTAGACATGATGTCAAACATTATGCCATTTGTATCTTACATGACCTTGCCTGGAAATCATGAAAAGGGACCAAAAATTCCACCTTATCATTCCTACGAAGAAGGATTTGTTGCTTACAATCATAGATTCTTCATGCCACTCAGAAATGATTCTCGCTTTGGACATAACATGTGGCACTCTTTCCAACATGGTCCAATTACCTTTGTGAGTATTGACACCGAAACCAATTTCCCTCACAATTTCTATCCTGAGTACGATTTTAAGGGAGATCAAATGAAGTGGTTAGACGAAACTTTGAGCAAAATTGATAGAAAGGTAACACCTTGGGTTATAGTTTTAGGACATAGACCAATTTATACTTCAAAGCATGGATTTAGTAATGCTGAAGGTATTCCAGAAGGTCAAGCCATAATTGTCCAAGATGCATTTGAAGAAATATTGTACAAGTATCATGTTGATATTGCCACATTTGGGCATGTTCACTCGTATCAGAGAACTTTTCCTACGTACAAGTTACAAGTAGAAACCAAGACTAATTATCACAATTTAAGATATCCTATTCACATTATTAATGGAGCTGGTGGTTGCTTGGAAGGAATTACTATTTTCATGCACAAATATTCACCTTGGAGTGCAAAAATTTTCAATGAAGATGAAGCATATGGAATTTTGAGAACCTCCTATAATCCAACAACCAGAGTACACAAGATTACCTTCAATTTGCATGCTGCTAAAACTAATGAAATTGTAGACACTGTAACAATAACCAAAGATGCCTATTAATATATTTACTGAACTAGTTTCATCTCTTTTTGATGAACAAGTAAATTGTCAATAACTTTATTTTGTATTGATTTTTTTTGTGATAGGTTCATGATCTTAAACATCTTGTCTCTCAAGTAAATCTTTCTAATTTAAAGTACTATAATTTACTTTTGCAATGAATCCAACTCTCTAATGTAGTCATCAATTTGACTGAGAATAATTTCCTTTTGTCTTCTATCCATAGGTCCCAACTTTTCCATATGTTCAATAAATTGAACTCTCTCATCAATTTCCTCTTGAACTATTTTTGATGGAATGAATGTATTGAATATTATACTTGAAATAACACTTACTCTCTTCAAACCTGGATTTTTGTTTAACCACAGGCTTGTTGGAAGGAACGATTTGCTTATCAATTCTTCCTTTGAGTACTGCTTGAGGCACATTCTTTCGTCCTCCAAATTCGTTATAGGTGGCCAAGATATTCTTCTCTCTATCTCTATCTACAGTTGGGGAAGGTCTAAACACTTCCTTCTGAAAGAGAGACTCCTCAAACATTTTCTTCTTTGTTGTAAATTTCCCTCTATTCGTATCAGGGAATATATTCTCCTCCTTCTGTCTCAACTTGTAAGACAACATGGCATCATCAATAGATTTTTGTTTCGAGACGGCAATCCCAGTGCTCGGAAGTGATGATTTATACTTGTAAGACTCCATAATTTCCTTCTTTTGAAAATGACTCAGCTTGGCATCACCCACCATATCCTTGATCAACTTTTCCGTATCATATTTCGATTGCATCTTGGAGGAGGTCGTTGATGATTTTGTTCCCTTAGAGAATGACATTTTTTTTAATTGATTTTTCTATCAAAAAGCAGTACAATTTTGGCGGGAAAGAAATGCCTCATTACCATTAACCTCAACGCTTAACTATTCTCATGAATGGAACAATTCAACTCATTAGCAATACCACACGAACTTGTAAACTTCATATTAAAAAAAACAATCCAATCCCTGAAATTTCAGTTGACTTCAGTGCAACATCCACATGCCCTTCCAATTTTTCATCAACAGAAAAAATGATTGACATTTGAAATTTAAAAAAAAATTAGCAGCAAAGAGAGCCATTTTTCCTTCGAGCCTGCTGCTACTCGCCTCAAACACAAAAAAAACCCGCGCCTTTTTATTTCCAAGAGAGTGAGTTCTCAGAGCAAATCCATTTTGGTCCGTACTAATACAACAACAAACCAAACAAACAAACAAACAACAACAACACATTATCAACAGCAAGGTTTAAAAATTACCTTCCCGTGAACAATTCAACTCATCAACTCATCAACAACAACTAACTTGTAAAAAACCAAGAAAATGGGTTTAGTAAATAGTCGTCCAGAACATCCGCACAATCCACCAAGTAAACCACCATCCAGAAAGAATAATCATCTATCTGATGATGATATGGTCATTAAGAAACTCAAGAAGGGTAATCGTCAAGCACAGAATATGCCAGAGGAGGAATTGAGAGAGTGGGCACGTTCATTGTGTAATGAAACTGATTTGAAGGAGTGGTATCTGAATCCGGAATTTGCTACCACTGTTGAACATTATGAAAAGTTGGAAAAGGTTAATGCTGCTGCAGTCAATGCTAATTCATCGTCAACTGGTGCAAGTGTATTTTCAAGTACGAGTGAATCAGCCGAAACTAAACCAACTGAAAATGGCGAAGCTTTTAATTTGGACGATATTGATTTTGATTTGGAAGATATTAGAAAGGATGCTGCTCAACCATTTATGCAAATCGGAAAGAAAATTAAGATCAAATTGATCATTGCTGAAATTTGTAAATCTGATACACAAAAGGCTTTGAGAAAAATGTTGAGTCCAATTTTGACTAAATTGGATTACCAACAACAATTTGGTATGTTCCACTCTGCCCTTGTTATTGGTCCTTGGTATTTAGAGGTATAGTATTTATTCTAATAGTTTCTAATAATATTTTTTGTATTCGATTCTTGTCATGAACATATTAATAATAATAATAATAACAACAATGAAAATAGTGGAACAACTCATCCTTATGTATTCCTAGAAAGTGTTATAGTAGTGCTGCCATGATTGCAGCTGATTTGGAATATCAAGGTGTTGCAACATTTGACTTGACGACAACTATTGAAAAGATTAGTAAGGTTATTATTGATTGGAATGTAAATAAGGAATATGACCAACAAAATGCAAATTGCCAACAATTTGTTGATGACATTATCAAAGCTTTGGATGTTCCTGTTGTTTTTACTGGTGTTTTAGGAGAATATTTGAATAACTTGAGATCAAAGGGTGAATGTAAAATATTCTTCCCAGTGAATGAAAACTTGAGAGAAAAATTTGGTATCAAGGAATCTCAAGTTGGATTCAAGACCCATGCCGAATTGGATAAATTTGTCAAGGATTTAATCGACAAGGAACCATTGTTTGAACAGGATTATCCTGAGGAATGGAACTTGTTGAAGAGTTTCGACAGAGCTTTCTGGTTACGTCACTTCCGTCACGATAAAGATCCAACATACCAACCTCATGAATGTCCTTTCAATGATCCATCTGTGACAGCCAGCTTTAAGAAAGAATGGTTCTAAACAATGTGTAACATTGCACGTGTTACTGAGCTTGCTGTTCCCAATTTCATTGTACTACTGTATTTATATCAAGTAAATAAACATTAACCTCAATAATATTTCTTTACCTAAGTTGTTACAAAAATATTCTTAAATGGATGATGCAAATTGATATAGTGATTTGATACTTTGATTAATGGTGATTGATGCCGCAACCGGTAGTTATCTTCTTTCAAAACAACACTACAAAAAAATAACTGTTCTTCTATGAGGATTTATTGCAGCTGTTACCATTACTTGATCTGTCTAATTTTTCTTAGTTCAATATTAAGGAGCTCAAAACTGTCATTAGTCGATTGCCAAGTGACACCCAACAAAAATTTTGTTAAAGCAATTGATGTTGCCACTGCCATCTATACTCGTTCTGATGAATGGAGAAGAACATTGGAGGATTATAAAATCATATTCAAAGCACCCGAATGTTCATTGACTGCAAAAGATTTTCCATCCAATTTAAACTTTTCAAGAAATTACATGACAGTTTGTGGAGAAGTTGAGGCAATATATCCCTGGAAATATGTTCATCATGTTTCGGGTGAGCTACTTGTAAAAACAATCAGGGAACAATATAAACTTCCCAAACTGGATATGGTATTCCTTAATATCAATACAAGTGAGGGTTATTTCTATTCAATGAGAAGGGCTGTCGATTCAGGTAAGTAATTATCATTATCAGCGATATTAGAAGCTCTGATTCAAGGATATTGTGACGTGGCAGTGGCTTCAACAAATTGGGATTCAGAAAGAGCCAAGGTAGTTCATTTCCAATGTAAGTTTTCCACTTCAAGTTACTAATCACCATGTCATATTATTAATAATATTAACAGGTGCATACGCCAGTTCATATTTTGGATTTGTTCGTTCTGAGTTAGATCCACAAATTAAAGTAAGAAATGAAACTGATTTAAATAGACCTGGCTTCAATGTTGTTGTTTCGATAGGAACAATAACAGACACGTGGGCCACAAACAATCTCAAAAAAGCAAACATTATAAGGCTCACTACGTATGAGGAAGCATTTCAAATGATCCTACAGAAACAAGTTCACACCTTCATTGCTGATTCACTCGATATGTTTTTGTGGTTATCTCAAAACAGGAACAATTGCTCCACTTGCTATGGTAAGTCTCACTCGATTAGCTGATCTGTTAACAATCTAATGATTGAAAGTAAAAGCATTTGGTGAGAATTTGCCATTGGGCTCCTTTGTATCCAACAATTTGGTTGATACATCATTTGCCTCAACAAATCAGACAAGTATTTTCCTTCCTCTCTTCTTCATCATTCTGACCACCATAACCATTAAATTTATCACTTACTGATGTTAGTAAACATGTTGGGCATTTAATTTTAAAATACCTCAATACTTATCTCTAAAATCCCATTAGTTTTGACAAATTTAATTAATGGTGATTGATGGCTCATACAATTGCTATATCTTCAAACTAGCAAAAAAAAATCCCAATATACTAAATGAGGGTTCATTCTAATTTCATCTATTTCGTCATCATATTTTTTCTTAGTTCATTATTAAGGAGCTCCAAACTGTCATTAGTCGATTGCCAAGTGACACCCAACAAAAATTTTGTTAAAGCAATTGATGTTGCCACTGCCATCTATACTCGTTCTGATGAATGGAGAAGAACATTGGAGGATTATAAAATCATATTCAAAGCACCCGAATGTTCATTGACTGCAAAGGATTTCCCATCCAATTTAAATTTTTCAAGAGATTATATGACAGTTTGTGGAGAAGTTGAGGCAGTATATCCCTGGAAACATATTCATCATGTTTCGGGTGAGCTACTTGTAAAAACAATCAGGGAACAATATAAACTTCCCAAACTGGATATGGTATTCCTTAATATCAACACGAGTGAGGGTTATTTCTATTCACTGAGAAGAGCTGTCGATTCAGGTAAGTAATTCTCATTATCAGAAACAACAAGCATATCTTTCCTATCAAAGGATACTGTGATGTGGTAGTGGCTTCAACAAATTGGGATTCAGAAAGAGCCAAGGCAGTTCACTTCCAATGTAAGTTAATATAATTGTTAATTCCTCTAATTTCAATAGGTGCATACGCCAGTTCATATTTTGGATTTGTTCGTTCTGAGTTAGATCCACAAATCAATGTAAGAAATGATACTGAAATGGACCGTGCAGGCTTCAACGTTTCTGTCTCAATAGGAACAATAACAGACAAGTGGGCCACAAACAATCTCAAAAAAGCAAATATTATCAGGCTTAGTGGATATGAGGAAGCCTTTCAAATGATCCTGCAGAAACAAACGCACACCTTCATTGCTGATTCTCTCGATTTGTTTTTGTGGTTATCCCAAAACAAGAACAATTGCTCCACGTGCTATGGTAAGTCTATTCAAGTACAAAACTATATTAATATTATTAAATTAATAATTAATGGTTAAATTATTAAAATTAGTAAGAGCTTTCGGAGTGAATTTTCCAATCGGTTCCTTCGTATCCAATAATCTAGTTGATACATCATCTGCCTCAACAAATCAGACAAGTATTTTCCTTCCTCTCTTTCATGTCTTGATCTACATCACTCTCATCATTTGCTTTTAAATCATTTTTTTAATTGAAAAGCAAAAACATTAAATTCTTCCATGTAAAAAATTGAATGAATTGTCCTTATATGTAATCATTATTACATAGATTAAGCTCTCTTCTTAATAGAATCATGATAATTGAATTTGGATTTAGTTTAAAAAATGGAAAAACAAGCATTTGTGAATGTGCAAGCAAATTCACTCGAATTTCTTGCTAAATATTTGGAGGAAAACAGACAAACTCCAATGGATCATGTAATTATTAATAATGAATTATATTCAATTATAGCATCGGGAGGAAATAGAGGGTGCACCATTTACAAAACAACTAATTTTGAAAGCAGCACCAAATGGCAATCCACCTTGATCGGAGAATTTGAATTAATTAAAGAGAATCAATCTGATGATGATTTATCCCAAATGTATTGCCTCTCTATTGATAGGAATATTTATATAATTACCATCTCTAATAATTCAATGAGTCGTATTCATCGAATTTCTATTCAAAAGTCTGATGAAGAGGAAAATTATGTGGAAACCTTGTTTGAGGATAGTGGTGGTGATTTTATTGGAATTGATCCAGGGCTGATTGCAGATTCAAAGAGGAATTGTTTATATTTCATGTTTGGATTGACTGTGGCTGATTCGGCCAAGAAGAATATTACCAGATTTGATATTAATACTGGATCTTTTTCTGTTATTGGTGAATTGGATAGGGAATTCTACTGTTTATCCTCAACATTTTGGAAAGATAGATATATAATCTTAGTTGGAGGTCTAACAAATTTGACACCTTCATCAGATATTTTGGCTTTTGATGTTGAACAAGGAATTTGGAAGCAAATCTATAGAGCTAAATCAATGCCAGTAATTTATCCACGATACATGTCAGGAATTACAATGGTTTCCAATAATTATGCATCTCAATTTCATCCTGAAATTCCAAAAGATTCCAATACTGATACGATATTTATTTATGGTGGATTTTTGGATTATGAAGTGGAAGTTAGTGACCATTCAAGATTTTTCATTAGTAGACCCTCTCACGAAGTCATTCTCCACTATTTGAAAGAAAGTGAATGGATCGATAATATGGAATCTGATTGTGAGAAGAGAATCCCAATCAGTTTGACTGATATTTGTACACCAGAAGATAGAAAACTTGAGAAACTACACATAAGAAGAATAAAAAGTGGCATAGAGGATGACGATGCAGAAGACAGCAATGAATTCAAGATTTTACCCACTTGCACATTTTCCACAATACTCCCTCTGAAAATTAGAGGAAGGCAGGAATTATTAATTTTCAGAAATACTGAACAAGTCTTAAAAATTCAATTATTCCACAATAATCCATTCCACAGAGAGTCGATGAATAAGAACCCAGATGTCTCAATTCTTTTTTCAGAATGAACATTGTACAACTTCCGTGTTGTAATGTTGGAACTAGGAAAAAGCCAAAAAAAAATGTCTTTACATGATGATGATGAACCTGTTACACTTTTCCTAATTGATTTTAGATCGAGAACATTGAATTATTGTATTAATAATTGTGATTATGCCGATGCAGATGAAAATAACAACATTGCACTCATTCAACAAGAAATGGAATGGTTAAAGAAAAGCTTTAGAAAGCCAAAAACTTTATTTTCCTATCAATTCGAAAATCCTCCACGAATTTCCTTACCAGAAACTGAGCTCCGATTTGATGTTAAAATTTCATATAGATACGATTGTTTGATTGTTATTGCATCAGACATTTATGTTTTTGATCGAAAGTCGAAATTATTGATCAATTCTTTTAAATTTGCAAATGTTGTGCTATCAACTTTGGATGATGAACATGATGAACTGTACGTCATGATACCAGACCGAACAAATTACAAAGTTGAGAAGTATTCATTAGGACAATTTATCAGAAGCAAGGAGAAGGAGAAAGCACAACCAATTTGGTCAGTAACTGCATGCTCTAATCCGTATGGTGCTGTTGTGTTTAATGGTTTGGAGCACAGATATTTGATTATACTTGATAACTCCAGTGATGAAAGTAATTTGATAATAGTGGATTGTGAGGATGGATCCTTAATTGAAAACACAATTTTTACAGTTCCTCCGAATGGCTATTCGCTAGGAATGATCTCAAGGAAGGAAATAATTGTTGGGTGCTCAGATATTATTGGAATTTATGAAATTGATGAGAAATCATTTGGTGCCACAAGACAAGCTCTCAATTTGATAGTTTCTGCATCTATGAAGGACGCCACAGAATTCTATTCAATTATTCATGACGAATTGAATCGAAAGATTATCCTTTCAAATGCTGATAGTAACTCAATTACAGTTATGAGGAGAGACAATTTAGAAACAGTACAAACCCATAATTGTGAGGGCTCTGTACGGGGTGTTTCAGGATTGTGTTTGGATGAATATACGGGAGAGCTTTATGTATGCTTTTCAAATGGATTGTTAATATACAAGTAGATCAAGTTAAACCCCTTATATCTGATAATCTTTGTTTCTACATTTCCAAAATAACCTCTCCTGCATTTCTCTTTCAAATTGTTTGGGTTTCCTATTGCCATGCAAGAGACAAGGAGAAATGAACGTATTTTTCGAATTATGATCTAATTATTACAGAAAGGACATTCCATTAATTTGGCATGAGCTGAAGAAGATGGTAAACTCTATTGTTTCATATTATTTGAATTTCGCCTCTCAGGTTGATAACGACTCCTGTTGCTGACTTTCCGATAGATGGACGCCATTTTAAAGATATTTCGAATTTGATTGATACAATCAGTTCTAGTTCGCATACTTGAGTTTACTAAGATTACAACAATTATAAAACAACAAAGGAACACAGACACTGCCTGTAGCACATCAGAAGCATGATTGATTCTCTGAGACAACATTAATAATTAGGTTTATGGCAAACCAGGCCAATCCTCTACATATTGGATCTTAAAATCTGGCCAATCTTCAACAATTTGAATCTTATAATCAGGCCAATCTTCAACAATTTGCCACTTTCCAACACTATCTGGCCAATCATCAACTTGTTTAACCTTGAGATCTGGCCAATCTTCAACAATTTGAACTTTGTAATCTGGCCAATCTTCTACGAATTTGATTTTGCCATAGATTTGGGCAATTTGATCTTTGGAAATGGTCATGATATTGATTGTGAAATTTGATCAGAGCTAAAAGCGAATGGAAATGTTATCAAGTGAACGACCTTCCACAATTTTTTTTAAGTAATTTATTTGGAGAAATGTTTTCTGATTCAATTGTTTACAATGAATTTATTTTTAAAACTACCCGTGCCTGAACAATACGCCCTTGAATTGTGTATGGAAATAATCTGTCGTATCTGTTTGGAATTTTGTAAAAATCAACAACTTCCTTATCAATTTCTATTTTGGATTCATCTTCGAGTAATTCTATTGCTGATGGTCTCTTATCAACTTCCTCTTCGAGCATTAAAGGAAGAACTCTTTTGATGGTTTCATTTTCAATTTCAAGTTCGTTCAAGCATTGAACTACATTCGAATGATTTTCTAAATTTCTTACTCGTTTTCTAGATAAAACTTCCAACATTACTAATCCTAATGAGTAAATGTCACTTTCCGGAGATTCAACAATTCTGGTTGTCATTAAATAGATAAAAAGACTACAGCACCACAGGTTCCCAAGTTGTCTCCAACCTCAGTACTGATGTGGCTCGACGATGCTTAACTTCTCAAATCGGACGGGATGAGGTGCATTCATCGTGATATGGCCGTAGCCATTCATAATCTTAAATTAAGGTTTATTTATCGTTTTTCAGCTTTGTGTAGACACTAATCATCATCTGGTCCAATTTCAGTTTCACTCGACCACAAAAATAAATTATCCTTCAACAATTGTAGTATCAGTACAGCATCCCTTTCATCACCATATTCATCTTGCTTTTCCAATAATTCCTCAATGTGTGTCATGGCTAGATCGAATTCTGGACGTGCAATACTAATTGCCTTTCCAACATCAAACATTATGTCAGAATAAAAATATGAATAGTTTAGAATAAGCCCCAATCTAATAGAATTCGTGCAAGGTAAGAGATTGATCAGCTCATATGATTTTTCATAACTTTCCAAAGCTTTAGCTTTCCAATCTGAAATTCTAAATCTATAATCCACATTGTAAATATATTTGAAAAAATCTCCTTTAACTTTCCAATAAAAAACAGAATCCACCAATGACAAACTTTCCACCTTCAAAACTTGATCAATAATCTCATTAATTTCATAACAATAGTGCTCTGTTTTTTCCTGAATTTCTTTCACAAATCTTTCACACAACCCAACTTGCCAATCTTCTCCCTTATTCTCATGTCTACTCTGCACATTCACAACACTTCTAAAAGCCTTACTATAATCATATAATACATTTTTATAGGCAACCACTAATAGAGATCGTTCCTCAATTGTGGGAATGGGTTCATGAACCGATTGAATAATTATTTCCAAGATTAAACTCTTCATTTCCGAAACCATATCTTGATCATCAATATCATCAAATATATCAATTATTATTATCATCATCAATTATTATTAATAATAATAATTAATAGCAATGATGATGAATTATTATTATATTGGATGTTTAAATATCATCAAACTCACCTTCATAACGACCTGCTTGTTCACATAATTTTGCATTGAATAATTTCTCATTCCGAGAGGCAATGAAAGGTTGTTGTAATGATGGTGATAAAGACATTTTTTTTATTAATATTTTGTAAAGAATTGAAATTACAATTGCAAACATTTTCAAACAATCAAGAAAAATTGTAAACAGAAAATACACATGTTAAAGTTTAGTATTGAATTACAATAATATTAAAGAATGTTACAATTTGCATCACAAAGTTTGCCATTGAAGGAATTTACTCCTTCAGCTAGTTCTATTTTACAAAATGGAACCTCATGATTGAATTTTATTAATTTTTTAAAAGGAATCTTAAAAAGTAATTCAATAAAATTTAGTCCTTAATCTTAAAATGGAATTTCGAATAAAAAGTAAACTAAACTTTTTTCCAACAATTTTTTCTCAATAGTACCTAGGTAGTGACAATCGGAGCCTTTCACCTCCATTTATTCTAAATCTGGCATAAAACTGTTACACTCCTGTCAAAATTCAACGTTAAAAAAAAAATGTCAACAGTAACCAAAGTCAACTCTCTGTTGCTTTGGGCTCAGAATGCCACAAAAAACTACGACAATGTAGAAATTAAAACCTTCTCATCGCCTTCGTTTGCTAATGGCTTGGGTTTTTGTGCTATTATTCATCACTTTCGTCCGGATTTAATTCCCTATGGTAAGTAGTGATGATTTTTTGTATAAACCAAGTTGTGTTGATTTTTGTGATGATTTTTTGTGTTGATTTTATTTGAAATGGTGATTTTGTGGTGTGATTGGGTGTGATTCATTTCGGATAACACTTTCGAATATGTATTGTTTCGAATACAGATACATTGACCACTTTGAATGCCAAACACAATTTAGATTTGGCTTTTAGAGTAGCAGAACATGAATTGGGATGTACACAATATTTGGAAACAGAAGATTTGTTAAATTGGTTAGTAATCAACATCATCATTGTGAAAAGTATTAACAAACTTTGGACGAAATTAATTCGAAACTTGGGGAAAAAAACAGTGCTCGACCAGAACCAAAAACCATTCAAATGCAACTCAATGAATATCGAAGAGTTTTAGGAAGTGCCAATGAAATTCATAAAAAGAATTCTGATTTTGGAGATTTAGTCAAAGATTACGAAGATGCACAATCATTGAAGAGATCGGCAACAATGCCACCAAAGAGTTTTGAAAATCCGAATACTTTATTGAATTCTTCATCGTCTTCCTCTCCTCAGGGAGCTTCATCTGCCAATTTGGGAAGCAAACTTTCAATTCAATCGAGTGGTGGCAGTTCAGATGATCCAAAGAAGGGAATTGTTGCAAGACAGAAAGAGGCCTATTTGCAAGAAACTAAACCATCGATTACCATTACGAGTAGCTCATCTCAATTTGATCAATTAAAGAATATGGATGATGCCAAGAAGAAAATTAAAGAATTATACGAACAAGTGTCCAGTTTGAGAGATGACAGTGATAGTATTAGAAGGGAGAATAGTGATTTGAGTATGAAATTCAGGGAAGCTCAACATTTGAAAGATGAAACTGAATTGGTATTTAAACAACAAAATGAAAATCTCAAAAAGAAAATTTCACAACAACGTCAAGAAATTGAGGACGAGAAAAATTCCAAACTCTCACTGGAAACATCAATTACCAAATTGAAACAAGAATTGGAAACTTTGAAAAAGGAAAGCACTGAATACAAGAAGAAGATTGAAACTTTGGAAAAGTTACAAGAATCTAATAAGGAAAGTTCTAAATCTGCTTCAACTGATCTTCAAAAACAAGTTGCCGAGCTCAATAATCTACTCAAACAAAAGGAACGTGTCATTTCTCAATTCGAAACTGAAAAAATTTCAACTTTCAAGGATTTACAAAACAAACTTGCTGAAAAGGAAAAGGATATTCAAAGTTTGAAGAATTCTCTTAAAAACCTAACAGAGGAAGCTGAAAAGACTAAGATTGAAAAGGAATCTTTAATGAGTGAAATGAGTCAACAAGAAGGACTTTCTGGTGAGCTCAGCAAATTACAAGACTCACTGAAACAAATTACAATGGATAAACAAATTGCCGAAAGAAAAGCTCAAGACGTTGAAATGCAAAGAAATGATATTACCCAAAAACTCACTCAAGTACAAAAAGAACTTGAAGACTCCAAAAAGAACCTTTCTACCAAGTTGACCGAATCTCAAAAATTAGAACAAGAATCAAAGAGTTTGAAAGAGCAAAATTCAAAACTCTCTCAAGAAATTTCAGAAAAAAACAAGTTACTCGAAAAGGAAAAACTCAATTTGAAGGAAGGTAACGAAAAGGTTCTCACTGAAAAACAAAAACTTGAAAAGGAAGTTGAAGATTTGAAAAAGCAAATTGCCAAATATATTGAAACTTCAAAGGAATTGGATAAGGCCAACAATGAAACCAAGAAATTCAGTGATATGGTCAACAAGCTCACCACCGAAGTTTCCACACTAAAGAAGGAAAAGGAAACTCTCAAATCAGAAAAGGAAAATGTTGAGCTCTCAATGAAACGTCAAGCAACTGAACTAGAGGAAAAGTATCAAGAAAAAATCGATCAATTTTTGGAAAAGAACAAAATGTCCTCAAAACAACAACAATCAGTTCTTGATTTACAAATTGAAGATCTCAGAGATCGTATTGAAGACCTCAAGAGAGAGAAACAACTCGTTAAAGATGAGCTTAATCAAGTAGAAAGTGCCAAGAATCATGAGATTACAGAATATAAGAACAAGATTAGTCAACTTGAATCAGATCTCTCTAAAAAGTCCTCTGTCTCTCCATCCGTTGCCAATTTACCACAACTCATCGAACAAGAAAGAAAGGAAAGATTTGTTTTGGATCAATCCATTCTCTGTTTTGAAAATTGCACATTCTCTAACCAAATTCCAACACCAGTCAAGTCCATCTATCATGCTCTCAATTTCTGGTTAGAATCTAGTGAAACATTTGGAGTCAATCTTGTCAATTCTCTCAGTTACAAGTTTGGTTCTTACATTACCTATGATTTACAAAAATCTGCTTACTGGCTCAATGTCATGATTAGAATTTTACACTTGTTGAAGAATGAATCAGAATATGAAAAGAAGATCAAGTCCATTCTCAAGAATAACATTAACGAAAAGCAATTTACTGCCCTCACCACTAACGAATCAATTACAAAGAAATCAGAATTCCTTGTACTTTCTCATTTCTCACTTTCTAATGATGGAAAAGTTCAACAACCATCCATTGACAAGTTTTTAATTTCTCTCTCACAACTCATTTATGATTCCTATTTTGAAATTATTAAGAGTATGCTCTTGAAGGCCAAACCTTTGATTTTAGAGAAATTGTTTGGTGTTACAAAGAATAATCCAACTCCAACCTTAGGTAAAGTTAGTGGAGATGTCAAGATTGATGTAATTGTAAAGAATATGGCTTCATGGATGGATCAAATTAAGGATAGTTATTTGGATGCTCGTTTGATTATTCACATGTTTGAATCTTTGGCTAACTTGATGGATTCTTACATCTTTAATCAATTTATTACTTTTATCAGTTCTGAGAAGGAAAAGACAAGAAATGCCAATCAATTAAGAGATTCCACTATGAATCATGCCATTCATCTCAAGATGTCTGTTTCATTCTTGGAAAGTTTCTTCTTTGAGGAGCATTTGACAGCTGGTCTTGATATTCAAAATCTTTTCCATCAAACAAGAGTATGTATTTATTTCAATATCATTATTTACAATTAATTCCAAAAAATTAATAGGAAGCTGCTGATGTTTGTGTACTAGGTCAAAAAGATTTACTTCAAAAAGGAAATGATTTACGTGAAATTGTCTGTCCTCATTTGGTTACTTCACAAATCTCTGTCTTGCTATTGGAAAGTACAACTAGTGCTCAAAACTTGGTTGTTCCAACTCTGGCACCATGTGGATTTACTGACCCAACTACTTTTGCTAAACAAACATCACCACTCTTTGATTTTGAATCCAAATTTATGACAATTCAATCCTTACAAACAGTTCAATATCCATCCATTTTTGATAAGAACAGACAAGAGTATCCATTCCTGTATCATTTGGCAAGGAAGAGTTCAACATCTTCTTCGACAGCAACAGAAGAAGAGGACGATGTCAGTAATTCGTCATGGACTTCTCCATCCAAACAAAACATTCTCTCCAGCAGCAGTTCAGCAACATCATCCACCAACTCATCTCCTTCCTCTTCTACAAGTCAACAAGAAAAGAGAAGAGGTCAAAGAATGGAAAGATATCAGAAATTAGATATGAATAATGGACTTTTCGAATAAATTTGATGTTAACATAAATCTCAGGTTCTACTATTAAATCCTAATTTAAATATTAATCGAGTGGAATGATTATTTACAAGTATTTGAAAATGATTTATTCTTCTTTCTTTTCTTCTTCCTTCTTTTCCTCCTTCTTTGGATAGGCCTTTTGGGCTTCTTCGAACTTGGTCTTGAATTCTTGAGCAACTAGAGGAATTGTTAATAAAACAATTTAAACATGAGAGAAACTTACTTTCACTAGTTTGGAAACGAATGGCAAAAGTTTCAACCTTTTGTTCGTTATCGGCAAAATCAGCTGGGGAAGTATAAACCCAAGCCTTGTCGCTACCAACATTAGGAGACAACTTGATTTCTGGGAAGATCGTATGGTTAGCACAGATAGTCATGATCTTGTCTCTTCTCATCAAAGCTCTGACTCTCTTGTCAACCTTGTGTTGGAGGAATCTCATTTGACCAACACCACGTTCCTTCCATTCGTTGGCTTCACTGTCGAATCTGTAAAGCTTAGCACGACTAGTAAATTTCAAATCCAAAATTTAATTTGTTGTTGTGTGATGAATAACAAAATATTAATAATGTGATCATATTGTTCAGGTTATTGTTGTTGTATAATAGTAATAATATAAATAAAAAGTAATCGTATAATATTATTATTATTAAATTTGTTATTCCGTATAATTCATCATCCACACGATTAGCACACACAAAGGCTTCAAAAAAAACTTACACATTATAAATTTCTTCTTCATCATCATTCTTTACGGAGACATCAACAGTTGGGAGGGCATCCTTGTCAACCAAAGGAGTGAAATGAGCCTTGCATTCTTCTTCCTTGGCGAATTCAGTAGTTTCTTGTGAGTTATCTTCAGTATCAGACATGGTGGTGTTGGAATATTTTTTAAAATGCTGCAAAAATATTTCGTGTTCCTTCAAAATTAAAAAGGAGGGAAAATTTTATTGCTTGTTCCCTGCAAGAGAATTCCGAGCAAAGGTTGAAATTTTTAATTTTTCAATATGAACAATAAGGAAATTTATTAAGAATGATGAAAATTATGTTATTGAATAATAAGAGATGGAATAATATTTAGTTAATTTTAATAATCATGATGAAGAATTTAATATTTAAAAAAATGATCAAAAACAAAACATCACAAAGATTGCTGTCGGAAACTCTTCATGATAATCAAAGTTTGCAACAGACAAGAGATGAGGAAAGGAATGAAATATTATTAAAATCACATGAGGATTTCCTATCGGAAATGAAGGTAAATCAAGGATTGGGAGTATTCGATTTTTGGCAAACTTGTTTGGAATGTGTTGCCATTGCTTTACAATTTACTTGTTGTTGTTTATTTTGTATTATATTCTATATAATTTATAATATCGAGCCGTATGGAAATTATCAGGATTTGGAAATGACTTTGTTGATTGCTAATTTCATATTAATTTTACCTTTTCTCTATATTCATCATTCAAGGAAGAATCAGAATGGCAGTAGAAATTCATCATCATCGTCATCATTTGTTTATTCGATATTTAATTGGATCATTGTAGTGTTGATCTTGTTGGGTGCAGCACCCATTTTGAGAACACTCACTCTCCTCTATTCACAAGATACCATTATTGCATTGGTTTTCTTTTCATTCCTTATTCACTTATTTACTCATGATTATTACTTTGTGAATGGAAAATCGAAAAAGTATAATTGTTACTTGTCGCTGAATTGTGTGATTTTTGTGAGTGCATTGTTGGCTTCTCGATTGAAATATTCATTGGATGCCTTTGTAATTTTAATCATTGCCATTCAAATATTTCTATTATTTCCATTCTTGAGATTTGAATTGAGAAAGGAGGGAAGAAATTTCGCATACGTTTCAATTTTTATTGTAATTGTTGCAGTGACAGGAGTTTGCCTCTTTTACTTTGTTCAATCCATTTTCCTCTTCTTTACCTTTATCCTAATCAATACCATGTTGGTTTTCATAATGCCTTACCTGTTTGTTCTCTCTCAAACCAATTACAAAAGGTATGTTACATAGTATTCCAATTTTTCACATTCGAAATTTCTTAAAATCATATTAGAGTTATATCTGGACCTTGGGATGAAGCTGTTGTAGCACCTCAAGAATATGAAAAATTAGAACAATACCTTTCCACAATTACTCCAGTCAATATTCAAGACTTACCTCAGAGAGAAGGCTCTGAATAATTTGCAAAGCCTTTTTATGATTAATTTCACAAGGCTTTTTTTCATTTACAAAAAAATGTCTTTAAATCATCAACAGCATTATCGGAAAGGAGAAATCATCACTAACAAGAAACAACAGAATAATAGTAGTACTAATTCATCAGTCTCTTCTCGGAAGAAGAGAAACAAATTATTAAAGAATTTATATTATCGATCAATAGATGGAAAATTCCAGGCTAGATGCAGTCCCTACAATGTAGGAAAGTCAGTCATGCAAGTACCTATTAAATTGTTGGAAGATGAGGAGAAGATTCTGAGGAGGAGTGTTTCTCTTGGATTCACGAGGAATGGTAATCATTTGGTTGCCTATAGATTGGAGGATGATATTTATGATCAGGAAGATGATATGATTGAAGAGGCTAACAAGCTGCTCTATTTGGTATTCTTTAAATTCGAGGTTGGAAGTTGTTTGGCTATTGATAGCTGTTTCCAGATTGTCACAAACAATGTGAAAGATCTACTTTTTCCTCGATATGAAGGTAATGCTAATGAAGTAACAGTTAAAGTTGATAGCATGGGTCAGTTACTGTCAAATCCAGGAAAGAGAAGAATTGTAAATAATAGATCAGTTTCATTGGATGATTTTATTCCAAAATTTATTGTTCATGATGTACATTTTCATTTCACAGAGACGATTGGTGAGGATGTTTTTCTGGTCTACCAGTATGCTAAAATGACTGCTGAAAAAGTTTATTTCATGTCAATAATGCCAAATGTATTGAATGTGAGAAGAGGAAATATCTACTCCTTGGCTATACGGTACAATGCCTCTACCGATGTGAATATCAGCATTTTCAACGCAAACTTGAATTTGGCATCTCTAGAAAATAACAGGCACTTGATATCTATTCTCACTCCAACAACTGTGGAATTATTTATTTTCGAGAGTATGATAATTGAGGAAAAGTATGAAGTGTTGGACCCTTTTGAGATGAGTAATAATAATGAGGATGAATTTGGATCAATTCGCAAAGGACTCAGTGAAACTATTTCACTTAGTTATATACCAATTATCAAGAGAAGTGACGACTTGAGGACGACTTTTATCAGGACTAGCAACTTTTACCATCTCAACATTGAGGAATTTCTCTCATGTCAAATAGATCGAGATCAACGAATTAATGACTATAGCTTTAAGGTAATCAAATGTGAGGATGTATCAGGGAAAGTATTCCTCCTTATAGCAGCCGACATTGCCAGATATCAACACATGCAAAGGATGATCTATCATTGTATCATTGAGCCTGTTGACACTACCAACAACCAAAGACCATCCCTTAAAATCATCAACAAGCAATGTGTCATCGTTGCCACCAATTCGCCCATTCACCAACTCGTTCAAAATCTGTGTTTCATCTATTTGAAAAAAGAAATTCCCAAAGCTCACATCTACTCTTGCTTTAACAATGAGAATCTATTCACAACAGGAACATCCACTTCCATTCTTTGTAATCCGCTTCTTCCCATCTGCCTCACCAACACTTCTTTTACCTCAACAAGTAGTAACAATCCACCAATCAACAACATTCACAGAATTTCATCTCAATAATTTTGATTGGCATTCGCTTATCCAATTTGACCTCAAAATGTCAATAAATAGAACCAACAATGTATTGTAAATGGATTGGATGTTAACTCTTCCAATCAATAACAGAAAAAAATGCTACAACACAAGTTCATCCAATCTTCCAAGAATTTGATCAGCAACAATCGTTCCCCATCACTGTTGCTCTTCGGAAAGAATATTGCTTTCAAGAAGGATCAATACAATTTGATTGATCAAAGCAGAGGATTTCAATCATGTTTGTATCGTTCTAATGGTGTTTCTCCACTTCCAACAGCTGTTGCACCAACAACCTCTTCACCAACAACAACAAATCCTCCGGCTATTGCTAATGCTATTAGTACTGCAACACCAACAGCACCAGTTACTGTTGTGCAGACATCAGTGGTCGATGGAGTTGTTTCATCTACAACTACATCATCATCAGTGATCTCTTCAAGTAATTCACAACCTAATGCTGCCACTATTGTAATTATTCAACAACAACCAGCAACATCAACAACAAATGGAACAAGTGATGGTGTTACATCTGTATCATCCGATCAATCACAAGGAGTTCTTCCTTCCACCAGTACCAGTCAACAGCAAACAATTATTCAAATTGATACTCAAGTATTTTCAAAGCAAATTGAACAAGCTGTCAAACAACAAATGAAACAAAGTCTTTCTAAACATGCTTATGAACCTACTGGAGAGGAAAGTTTTGAAATTATGGAACATTTGGAAAGAGAAAGATTGTATGAAGAAAGTAAAGGAAAAGGATTGATTTATCAATTTAGAAGATTTATGAAAAAGAAGACGTCCTTATTGACAAATTTATTGGCAATTGGTAAAATTTTACCAGCAAATGCCATCATGTCTCTCTTCTTTTCATTCCACAAAATGGAACAAAATTATAAGGAAAGAATTTTTGCTCAAAGAATTACAGCAAGTTTGAATTTCATTGACAAGAAGTCAAACACCTTCAAAATTAGAAATATCTTCTGTAAAAACTTGGATGAAGTTGTGTTAAATAATCAAGCAGTAGTTCAGGTCATCCAAGAAGCAGCTTCCAAAACCAATAAGGAAGCACCAATTGTAATTTTACCCGATGAAGGTAAGCATTCATAATTATTAGAAATAATTCATTAATATTATCGAAATGCATGTGAAATTATTTAAAAATCAGATAAGTGGTTTATTTTGAACCTTGTACAATCATGTATTTCACAAAATGTTGCTTCTGGATATTTCAGACAAGATATGATGCTCAAACATCACAGTGAATGGTACGTTTAGTTTCATTTTGTCTAACAGTATTAATTTTCTCATTCCTTTCAGGTATGTTTTTGCCATCACCAATGAGACAGATGTGAGCATTAAAAAGATGAGAGTTGTCATTGCGCAAGAGAAACTCTTAAAATCAATTCATGATGGAACTGTAAATCAACCAGAATTTGGTATGTACTCAATTCATAATAATGGAATCATATTTAAACTTCTCAATATAGAACATGTTTATGGTGAAATTAGATGGAATACTGTGAAATTAATGTCAAAAATGTATCATGAACAGTATGACTCGATTATGGAAAGTAAGTAGATTCAAATTTCACAAATAGTGACATGACACTCTATTCACACAACAAATTATTTTACAATACTCTTGAATATGAAACTTTGTGTGTTTCAAACAAAGTCTTTTGTATTAATTTGCTTGTCGTAAATTTTGCTTTCCATTGCTGGAAGATGTCTCTTCGGGGGTTTGGTTGTCAAATTAAACATGACACGAGACAATGAAAAGTGTGCACGCAAAGGCGCAAATATGATGTGGAAAATTCTTTTGAAAGACGTTAAAATGGTCCAAGCACTTATTCGAAACCCTTACTACTGGTTAAGGAGGCAATGAATTGTCAGCTTGTCAAACCGTTTGGTAAGGTTTGGCTTTTGCGTGATGGATCGTTTTGCATATTATGCGAATAACCATTCAAAAAAGAAAATCTCAAACACTTCCACTCAAGGTTTTTATTCGAAACTAAACTTCTACCGACTCGACACAATATGAAGAGAAACAAGGAATTTTTTCAAACTCTCACCAACGACTTTCTTTCACCTGGCACATCTTCGGCAGCCAGCAAGACGAAACCTAAAAACTCTATCGAAAAGCAAATCTTTACTTTCGAATTGAATAATAACAATACCAGTATTTCGAATAGTATCGAACATGTTGATTGTACAACAATGGTCGATAGACTCTCCATGCCATCATCTCCTTCCAACTCTAGCTCTTCATCATCCTCACCTAACTTTAAAAGCTATTCGAAACTTAACAAGCCAAAATTAACACATTGTCTTTCTAACTCACCACTCTTACAATCTCCACAATCACCAACTGTGAAATCTCCTGCTTCTACAAATAGCCCTTCGAATAACAGCAATTCTTCCAGTGATTGGAAGTGGAAATCAGAAGATGGTATTCGAAAGAAGAAGAAATCAAGAAAAGATTCATGGGTGCAAATGGCATCTCGAGTGATTGTTCACCAAGAAGAAAACAAATCAACAACATGTTGTTTAAATAATGTACATAAGAAAATGGAAACCTCACCCCTCTCTAATTATATAACAAATGACATGTCAATTGAACCACCAACTATTGTGATAACAAAACCAAATAGAATTGTAAGAACATCAATAAAAATATCAGAACTGTTGAATTAAAGGTTAAAAACTTTGAATTATTATGAAATTACACAATGTACTTATATTGTATGTCAATTCTCGAACTTTTAAAACTAATTCGAGCTTATTCTCAAGTATTAATCAAAGAACATAATAGAAATGATCTTTGTTTTCCTTAGACATTTAATGACAAATATTGTAAAAAACAGAGATGGGGCAAGAATCTGGTTTTTTATTAACGGATTATTAAAAGTACTTTAGACTCTATTTACAACAAGATTCCAAACAATGCCAAAACAGCAATGACAACAATACTTCCAATCTTGACACTACTTGCACTTGAAACAGTTCCTGATGCAGATTTATCCTCAGCACCTATTTACATTCAATTTTCAATATCAATTTTCATATTGATTTCAACAATGTTAAATATTAATATTAATTATTATACTTACCAAGAGAAGGATCCCAATTCAAATTATCAACTCTTTCAGTCAATGAAGCATAAAATCTAACAACACTTGCAAATGTTAAATCCTTCTTCAATGCACTTGTTGCAGCATTAAGTGAAAAATCAGATTTCAAAGCAGTTGTCACCAATTGACTCTTTGTAATTCCAGCACTCAATGTACTATATTTGGAAACAAAGGTTTGGAATGACAAGTATGGATTTGGTAATTCAAAACCGTCTGGCAAATTCCATGAAGAGAAGAAACTTGTCTGATTGAATTGAATGACTTTTTGATCTGATGTGGCTGTGTCTGGTCTTTCTTCAGCCAAAATGTTTCTTGCACGTGGTTTCTCAAAGATTGCACCTCTGAATGCAACCAAAGTGCTGATACCTAACTTGGAATTGGCATTGGAATATTTAATTCCAGTGATTTCTAATGAAGATTTGAAAGATGAAGGGACCAAAACTTGAGTGACAGTTCTACTGACAAGTGTCTTGGATTCAAATGAAACTTCATTAGTAGTAATGAATCCAGTGAATGTAACTGTACAGAAATTAGGAATATCAACACTTGAAACAGCCTTATACACAGCAGCACTTCCATCACTTGTCAAATCTGTCTTGGTTACAGAAATAACCTTCCATGACAATCCAACAAGTGAATACTCCTTAACAATTGAATCAGCAGTATTTGGTTGATAACCAGGAGTACCATCATTATCCAAATACTCAAAAATCGAATCAAAACCAAAAGCAACACCAGTATCAATATTAATTGTCAATGGAGCCAACTTGTTTCCTAATTGAATTTTGAAACCAGCACTTGCTGCCATTTTAATCATTGGCAATGTAGCAACTGATGCCTCGAACTTTAAGCCAGTGAAAGTGGACAAGGATGCCTTGGTAGTGACATTGAAATCACATGTGGTTCCTGAAGTAAATGTCACTTGATTGGCTGGAGTAGAGTATTGAACATTTCTCTTACATGAGAGTGAAGTTTGACGGAATTTGAGAGAAATCTCATCCAAAGCATGGATGAACGGTAAAAGTGAAAACACCAAGCAGAGTGTTAACAAGATATTTTTACAGATATAAAGTTTCATTTTTTTTTTGATAAGTTTTGGTCAATTGTGATTTGGAAGACGTTGAAATTTGAAGATCTCAAGAATAGTGTGACAGGTTGGAAATTTGCGCTTATAAAATCGGTAGATAAGTGAAATTCCTTGAGTTTCGAATGCAGAGTTGGAGAGTTTGAAAAGTTTATTCTATAACGAGATGTGATAATGTTAATTTTCCTTGAGTTTACAATGAGGGGTATTGTTGGAAGGCTTTTTTGTAGTATCGAGGAGATCCGGTTTGTCCAGAATATTCGAAATTATTGGATTAAACATTTAGGTTTACCATTATTCGAAACTTGAGAATCCTGTAAAAGACAGCACTTTACAATCAATTCTTTCAATTCTTCAATTCCCACCATTTTCAATGAAGAAACTTCTGTAAATGATAAACATTTCAATTCTCTGGCTAGATTTTCTCCTTCCTCATACGAAACTATTCTTGGTTTTTCTTTCGAATAAAAATTTTCTCCTGGATTATAATTCCTCAAATCAGATTTTGTTCCCAACAGTAGAATTGGTGTTTTTGGTGAGTGAAGTCTTGTTTCCTCTACAAAAGTATCCTTAACTCGATGAAAGCTGTCTAAATTGTAGATACTGTACACTACAATGGTAAGATCTGGTGGAGGAGAGTAGGATAAATATCTAATTATTTCATAATCATATCCTCCAGCTGTATCTCTCATTTGGAGTGTGAATGTTTGATTTTTGAGAGTTACTGGAATTGGATGTTCACTTTCGAATACTGTTGGGATGTATTCTTGTGGAAATTCATTCATGGCTAGTACTATTTGCATTGAGGTTTTACCAACATTTGATGATCCAATTACGGTAATTCTAAATTCATGTAAATTATTTTCAGTTTCCTTGACAAGTTGTTGAATGTCTTGTTTTAAAATTTCCTGTTTTGGCTTGAATTGAAATTCAATGAGGGTTTTAATTCTTCCCAGTTCAATAATGTGATTTTTGGATTGTTGATAAAAAGTTCTTGAATGTAAAGCAAGATTGTAATAATTAACTCCACTACGTCGTGGGCTCACATTTTGTGATTTGCTTAACAAGAACTTCTTCCATAATTTGTCCTCAATGCTTAGTTGACTAAGTTGACAGTCTTTTCCAATCAATTGAACATTATTGAGATCATGAACTGGTAAATATTCCAAAATCATTCTAAAAATGTCTTCGTTTAGCATTGATAACTTTCCATTATTTTCCTTTGCATTGATATTTGAGATAGATTGTTGATATTTTCCTCCCCAGACAAAATAATAAACCACAAAGGTTAATTCGTGGGGTGTGTAAATGGTCAATGAATGGAAAACAGGTCCAAATTCAGAATTATTAAACACTCGAGAGAGAAAATGAAAGTTTTCTTCTCTCCACTCATTCTTCTCTGAGAGGTTTAAACTATGTAGAGTGGTAAAATCATGATTTGAATTACAACCACCAATCAAGAATAGCCTATCGTTTTCTATCCATGATTTGTGACCATATCTTGAAATATTTTGAGGAATTTTCTTGATTTTACAATTCAGATACTCAGATTCTGATAAATTTTCTAAATCAATTAGTAAAACGTCATTGATTGGAATATTTCCACTTTGTTTTCCACCTGAAATGATCAACAAATTATTGTAAATCAGTGAGGAATGAAAGTATCTCCCCAAAATTTCATTATTTTTCCTATTTTTTAAAGACCGACATTTCCATTCGAAAGTTTTCAAATTTAATTCGAAAACTTGATTGGAAACAAATCCATCAGAATCATATCCACCAAATATAATCATGGAATCTTTGTAAATCTCAGCAGAATGTCCAAATCTGGGAGAAATAACTTGATCATTCACAGTTGTTAGTTTCGTCCATTTTCCAACAGATTCCTTTGAATTAAATTCGAATTGCCAAACATCAGCTAGATATCCATTCGATTTACCACCAAATAAAATCATTTTGTGATCATGGGAGATTGCAGAATGGAAATTTCTTGGAGATGGTTTTTCACCTTCCGATAAAATTATTGGAATGCAAGATTCTGATGAAATTTCATAAACTCTCAACTGATCAGAGTATTCGTTTTGATTGGCACTTTCGAGTAATCCACCAAAAATTAAAATATATTCATTGTTGATATTGACGGATGTGTGACCGATGAGTTTTGACATTTTTTTAATAATTGTTTTCCTGTTAAATAGGTAAAGATGAAGGTTCTATCAACACATTCTTGTAAACATTTGTGTGAAATCGGGTGTGGTATAGTGGTAGCATTCCAGACTGTCACTCTGGCGACCCGGGTTCAATTTGTTTTGTTAGTGTGTATGAGTTAGTAATGAATGATATCGGTTAATCCTTATTTGGAAATTTCATTCCCGGTACCCAAAGTATGAACGAGAGTTTTGACTATGTGAAATCAAATTGTTTATTGCTCGAGTGCCTTTTGATCAAGAAGTTACAGTTATGAATAATTATCAAGAAATTCAATTCCCGGCACTCGAGTTTAATTTTTGACTCTGTCTCCAATTTTTAATATTTGATAATTAAAAAATACAAAGACAGTTGTCTATTCTACCTATTTCTCAATTTTTATAGCTTTATTTCTTAAAATCATAGAGATAATAACCTCTTCTCAAACCCTATTTTCAATTTAAAAATTTCTGCTAATCATGCTTTATAACATGGATGGATCAAAATAATGGATTGGTTGGTTAAATTGTAATAAACTAGATTCTTCCAGTTGAATTGGTAACTCTTAAACAATTCCTCACTTGCAGTAAGATAAAGAAATATCACAAAATATAGTGCTCACTACTGAATTTCTCATTTATCCGATGAAAACAATATATTGTTGATCAGTTTTTAATGAATAGTGAAAGGAAGCGAAATTACAAACATGTAGCCCGTCTAGCTCAGTCGGTAGAGCGCAAGGCTCTTAACCTTGTGGTCGTGGGTTCGACCCCCACGGTGGGCGATTCCGTTTTGATTAATTCTTATTTTGTGGAGAATAGAACTTTTTATGTGGAATATCAATGTCTTGAGTTCACTCACAATATTCTGAATGCGTGTTTCTTGATTATTTCCAATGGAATAAACTTGAGCCATTATTTTATAATTTAATTACAATATTAAATACTCTTTTCGGCACCATCATCTAGAAATTTTGAATGTCAGCACTTGTTGGTCTCATACTTGGTTCCTTTGAGACCATAGTCACAATAAAATTGCAAAGCTTCTCAGAGTAACCTCTTGATATCAAGTGTTCCATTGTTCTGTCCAACACCACTTCTTCCTTATCGTATAATAATTGAGCTGTAATGTTTAAATCTAAGGAATCATTTGCCATGGCCTGAATGAGTGAAACTCCAAGTGAAAATATATCAGCACTATAACTGTATTTTCTAGAAAAGACCTCAGGTGCCATATATTGCAATGTTCCTGCAACTGAATTTTGAGTTTCTCCAGTTTCCTTTGCCTCTCCATAATCACCAATAACCACTTGGATTTCATCCAATTCACGGTCCAATTTACTATAGAAAATATTACGTGGTTTGATATCTCTGTGAACAATTAGTTTCTCTTGGTGAAGATAGTTCAAACCATCTCCAAGTTGTTTCATGATGGAGATGATCATCTTCTCAGAGACAATCTTTCCATCTTGTTTCAAATCTTTCAAGGCATGTTCCAAGTCGCCTTCATAAAATTTCATTACAATACAAATAGATTGAATAATCTGTGCTTCAAAGAATTCATAAACTTCAACCAGATTTGCATGTCTGTATGAAAGTGTTTTGGAACATTCATCAATAATTTTAGAATGTCTGCTTTGATCATAACTAATAGTCTTGATGGCAACTGGCATGTCATTCTTTTTAGAATCCAAACAGAGATAACATTTACCAAATGCACCCTGACCAATAACTTGTTGAATCTTGTATCTATCTTTGAGCAAAGAATGATCTGTGTTTTGAGTAGAAGAAGTAGTAGTTGTGTTAGTATTGGAAGTATTGGAAGACAATTGGTACAAGGAATTGTTAAAGGTATCGCTTGGGAAATCTGAAGTCACTGATGTACTATTATTGGCTGTTTGAGTGACATTTTCATCAATGGTTGTTATCATTTCAATTGGTTTTTCCTTAGTAACCAGTGGTTTGCTTTTCTTCTTCTTTAATTTCACAATGAGACAGATGGTGACAATGATTGCAAGCAATATTAACAATACCAATAATGTTAAACCCACAACCAATCCAACAATCAATCCAATGTTAGAATTAACTGGAGTAGTCACTTGTCCATTCTTGGATGCAAGTGGAGAGACATAGGTAGGAGGAACAATTCTATTCTCACAACTCAATCCACTATATCCTTCCAGACATGAACAACCATTACTTGATGTACATGTTCCATTTCCACTACAATTTTTCACGGCATCACAAGAGAAGAGGGAACAATCGAGACTTCCCTTCCATCCACTAGTGCATGAGCATGTATTATTACTCACACAGAAACCATGTCCTGAACAGGCATTCAATGTTTCACATGAGAAGAGAGAGCAATCAGAACTTCCTCTCCAGCCAGAATAACACGAACAATTGTTCATTACACAATCTCCATGTCCACTACATTGATTCTGTAGGTCACAACCAAAAGAGATTGCTCTCACCTTTCCATTACTTGTGTCAGCAATGAAAATTTTAGATTCATCAGCAGAGAGAGCTACTCCCATTGGTCCATAAAATTGAGTTTCCAAAGGGTGCAAATTCTCTCCATTGTATCCATACAGTGGTGCAGTACCAGCAATGGTTATCAAAGTTCCATTCTTAAATAATTTCCTTATGGCATGGTTTTGGGAATCAGAAATCAATAGTTCATCATTGGATAAAATGGCAAGACCAGCAGGATATCTCAACATTGAATTAACACCACTCAAATTCTCCCCACTATATCCATCCACCCCAGTTCCTGCAATGGTAATGAGGGTTCCATCATTGAGAATTTTTCTCACTCGATGGCCTTCATACTCTGAAAAAATAACTTCATTATTAGAGGTCAGTACAATTCCATATGGATTATTAATATTGGCACTAGTTGCTAATAGCCCATCTCCATTGTAGGTAGAAGTACCGGTACCAGCTACAGTAATGATGGTCTGATTGAAAAACACTTTTCTAATTCGATGATTTCCAGAATCGGTAATGTACAAATCTCCATTTGTGGATCTGGCAATTCCTTTTGGTAAATTTAAATGAGCACTAGTAGCAGGAATGTTATCAGCATTGTATCCAGTAGTTCCAGATCCAGCTTTTGTTATTACAATTCCACTAGAAGATATGAGATATTTCACAGTTGACGAATCAACAAAATAGTACTCCCCTACATTGGGCACGAGTGGAGATCTGGGTGAAATATAACTTGGAGTAATGGTTGTGATAATTCCACCGAGTGAAATCTTTCTCAATCTATAATTTCTTGTGTCGGCCACAATAACCTCATTATTTGGAGCGACAGCAACCGATTCTGGACCAAAGAGTTTTGCCTTCACTGCCTCAATATTATCACCATTGTAGCCGAGATTGGAACCTGTTCCAGCAACAGTAGTGATGATATTGTTTGTGTTAATCTTTCTGACTCTGTAATTTCCACCATCGGAAATGAAAATCTCCCCACTCGAGGATATAGCAATGCCTCTTGTGACTCTGAACATGGCATTGGATGCCAATTGATTGTCTCCAGCATAGCCATATGATGATCCAGCTATTAATGTTGCAACTCCATTCGTTTGAATCATGTACACTTTATCTGAAACAGTGACATAGAGAGCACCAGTGATTGGAGATATTGCCATTCCATTGACTGTATTAGTCTGGCCAGAGAGTTCAAAAGTAGTGAACATGACTACACTGGTGCCATTATTGAAAACCTTTCTAATCTTGTCATATTCTCCAATGTAAACTTCTCCACTATTAGAGATGGCAATGGAAGTGGGGAAGTTTAACTGTGCATTAGTTGCATCCTGTACCACAGTGGATGTATCTGTTCCACCTCCAGCGAATGTTCTAATGATACCATCCGTATACGAAACTACACGAATTTTGTTATTTGAGGTTTCTGCAATATATAAATTATTATTCACAGGAGAGATGACAATTCCACCTGGTGTATTCAATAGTGCATTGGTAGCGACTCCATCATCACCGATACTCCCTGGTACACCAACTTGACCAGCGTATGTGCTAATCAAATTACTAGATAATATGACCTTTCGAATAACATGACTATTCGTATCAGACAAGTACATGACATCACTATTCTGAAAAGCAAGTGCACTAGGATAATTGAAACGAGCCAAAGTTGCTATAGTTGTCGTGACAGAACCAGGAATACCCACACCAGCAATTGTTTTAATTTTACCACTACTTGCCACTACTTGTCTCACTCGACAATTTATCTTGTCAACTATGAAAATGTCACCATTGTTACTTGGAGAGAGTGCAAGACCATCAGGTATGGCAATTTCTGCCTTGGTAGCATCAATGTTATCACCATTGTAACCATTGGGATAACTACCTGCTATGGTTTTTACATGGTATAAAGATTGACCGTGGACAATTGGTTGGGCAGCAAGAAACACCAAGTGAAACAAAAACAACAATGGTAGCAAGAATGTTGAGCTATTAGTGTTGTTGAGTTTCAATTTGTCCATTTTTTTGAAAGTTATTGGTCTTTGTTAACACAGTATCTTGGTCTCTCCACAAGGAAAGGTCGCGGTACTCATCCAAGATACTACTCTCCATGGAGTTCAGTTGCCAATATAAAGATCGGACTTGCAATCTCATTCACGCATTCATGTGTACCTGTTCAAGTTTAAAAAAGTGTTGTTTTTGAACATGAATGAGCAATGCATAGAAGGCACAATATTTAAAATGTTTGCGAATGATTCGTTTCAAAAAGTGATCATGTTCATTAAAGTTTCATTGTCACATTGAACAATGATAGTATCTGCAGAACCAACGAATGGTCTGTTTCAAATATTTGTTGCACCAAATCAGAATGGTAACATTTTCAAATGCAAGTCTCTTACTGTCAACATCGTCCATCTCTCAGTGGACCTTAAGAGAGTATCAATTCGTGCCTTGGAAGCTTTTTTGTTTGGATGGAGGTCTTGGTTTAAGTGTGGGAGATTGTGGTGGAGTAATTGAGGAAGAATCATTTGATACTATTGACCTATATTTTCTTTATAAAAAAATGGCAAAACACAATCTTGCATCTCTTCCACAAGAAATTCTTCGGATCATATTATCGTATCATGTAATAGGCACATGTGGAGAATCAGCTGATTCTTCTCGGAAGGAAAAAACAACAATTTCCATCAATCAAGAAATTAAATTTATGACCAATTTTCAATCGATCAGTTCAATAATTAATAGCAAATTAAAGGAATATTTTGATGATTTTTGGAGTGGAATTTTTGAACAATATTGTGTTGATGAAGAGGAGAAACAGGATCCTAAATTTCGAATAATGAAAGAGAAATTGGTAGAAATGGACGAATTAAAGAGAAAGATTCTTTTAATTCGTTATATTGCTCCGATTATGATAAAACACGAAAAGATAAGAAAGACATTTAGAGATTATTTGAGAATTGTAGTATTTGGTGATGAAGCAGTGGGTTAGTTTATTTGAAATTAATTGTTTCTAATATTGAAAAGGAAAGTCCAGTATAATTCTACGTTTCATAGAAGGTGAATTTAAAGAATGGGATCCAACTGTTGAGGATTTTCATTTGAAATCTGTAAAATTTGGAAATTCAACAACTAATCTCGATATTCTTGGTGTGGGTACGTGAATTGAAATATTTCTTTTTAACAATTCTCGAAACTCCATATACGGATAGCTGGCCAAATGGAACACAACTCACACAGCATTAGAAATGGATATCTGAGTCAATGTGATTGTTATCTGGGTGTCTGCTCAGCAACCATCAAAAATTCAATGAATTATATAGAAGAAAACATTCAAGATTTAAATAATTCTAAGGATGGGCCCTACACACCAATCATTGTTGTGTTAAATAAGATGGATCTTATTGAGAATGATATCAATGACAGTTCAGATCGGAAATGAACAGAATTATTAAGAAAAATAATCTTGAAAATGTTTTCACTGTTGAATGCAGTGCCAAGACAGGCGAAAATATTTCACTAATATTTGATGCATGTATTCAAATGTATATTTATGAATATTTGAGAAGAAAGTGGTGGAATCTTTTGGAAAATGTCGCCAAGTTTGACTCTAAATATATTGAGCTGTGTACTGCTGATCCTTCCAAGTCAAAGAAAAAAACTTGCCTCCTGAACTAGTAATTTTAATGGTTTGTAAACTTGGAGATTGAACTGACAGTTTGTTAAAAAAAATGATAATTGACCAACACCAAACTGCACCTCGTTGGATTTGCAACAAGTGCCAAGGATTCATCGATAGGGGAACAATCCGATACGTCAATACTGATGAAAAGGACTTTGACTTGTGTGAAAATTGTTATCACTGGTGTTGGGAACAGTATCAGAAGAGAAAGCAACATAATACAAATTCACAATTTAATTCTCTTGATGATGATGGTGATGATGATGTTGGGAATAACACGGAAAATAACAAAATATTGGACATGTTCTGTAGGGATTTGGAATTTATTGTACCAACCAAGTATCACTATTCTGAAATGAAAGGACGAATTAAAAGTTCCGATCGGTTTAATAGTTCTCTGTTTAGATCATTTGTTGAATATTCACTCAATCCTTGCTTTGGATTGTTGAAACAAGATGATGGTCCCTATCATTTTCAAACCTATGAACAGGTATTTCATTTGATTTGTTGCATCAGTATTGGATTAGATCAGATTTTGAAACCATTAATACGAGTGGGAAAGAGACAATTTGTATCAATATGTGGAAAGAATAATTTGTATTGGTATTTGAGTGATTATGCTTGTTTCTTTAGGGGGTTTGTGATTGCCCCCATTCATTTTGCTCAATCATTTGAGGAGACGAAATATTGCATTGAACTGACAGAGAGTCAAGTTGCTATTTGTACTGAAGAAATGTTAGATTTATTCATTAGAATTACCAAAGAGTTGGATATTGTGAAATATATTATTGTAATGGATGATACAGAATCAAAATCAAGAGGAAAATTTACCAATCAAAGAGGAACACAAGAAATTGAAATTATTCCAATGAATGACATTATTGACGCTGGAAAATCAATATTGTGTGAATATTTGAATGAAAAGAACAAACCAAGAACGAATCCATATCCAGAACATTATGAAAATCACGAGACAATCCTTGTGACTCCACCTCAGGACAAGTACGATCCTAGAAAGATGTGGATTGGAGTGGAACATGAAGAATTTATTCTAAATAGGTTGGATAATGAGGAGGATCTAGTGACTCTTGTTTTCACAAGTGGATCCACTGGTATTCCAAAAGGAATCATGATGAGTGATAGAGCTTTGAGAAAGGAAGTACTCAGTTTAAGGATAAAAGATCCTAAAGTTCGTTTCTCTTTTTGTCCACTCGCTCACATGAGTGATAGAAAATACACCCTATTGGCCATGTGTAATGGAGCCAGAGTTGGAATATTTACTAGAGAATTTGTTCACATCTTTGAGGATATTCAAAACTGCAAACCAGTTGTAATTGCATCCACTCCAAGATTATTCAATGTGCTGTACGATGAGTTTAAGAAAGTAGTCGAATTGGAAAGAATTCGTTGGCTTTCTTCCACTGAAACTGGGAAACCAAAAACTGAGAAGGAACTTGAGGAAAGAACCATGCTTGACTTTCAATACATGCTTGGTGGGCGTGTTCAATCAATTATTCTTGGAGGGGCTTCTTCTAGCCCACAATTAAGAGAATTTTTGGCAAAATGTTTCCAGTGTAAAGTAACAGATGGTTTTGGAATGTCTGAAGCTGGAGGAATTATGAATAACAATCGACTCAACACTAATGTCGAATACAAGTTGATTGATGTTCCTGAATTGAGCTATTTCACAACAGACAAACCTTATCCGAGAGGAGAACTTTGTGTCAAGACAAATTACATGTTTATTGGATATTATAAGAATGAAGAGCTCACTAATAATGCACTGGATGAAAATGGATGGTTACACACCAACGATATTGTTGAAGAATTAGGACCAAATCAAATCAGAATTATTGACAGACTGAAGAATATTTTCAAATTGAGTCAGGGTGAATTCATAGCACCTGCCAAGATTGAAGATGCTCTCACTACCTCTAAATTTATTTTCCAAGCTTTTATTTATGGCAATGTGACAAAGAGCTACTTGGTTGGTGTCATTGTTCCCAACAAAACAGTTTTAAAACAGTTTGCAATTAAGGAAGGAATTATCAAACCATCAGCCGATCACCATCTCCTAAATGAAGAAGAGAAAGAAGTATTGGCAAATAATGAGCTGATCAAGAAAGCTCTATGTGAAGAGATTGAGAAAGTTGCTGTAAATTGTTCACTTTTGTCTTACGAAGTTCCAAAAGATTTTATCATTGAATTTGAACCTTTTAGTGAGAAAAATGATTTACTAACCTCCTCTATGAAGGTTAAGAGATTTGGATGTGAAATGAAATATAAGGAACAATTGGAGACACTCTATGAGCATGTAGATAGAAATTACAAGAGAAAGTTGGACGAAGATTTGATTCGTGAATTGTTAGTGAACTCCTCATCAGGCTCAGAGGAATCTGCAGATGGAAATATGAAAATTATTGACAGTCTTCATGCAGTTAAATTTTCTGGAATTATGAAACAAAAATTCAACATTGACATTCCACTTTCATTGATATTTTCTCAAACGGATAGGAATGTGGAAAGTGTAGTGAGTAGAGTTTCAAACTTTGTCACAAAAGGCCAAACTAATCAGCAATCGTATGACTGGAAAAAGGATATTCTCTTACCACAAGAACTTCTCGATGAAATTACTGACATTACTTCAAAAGGAAAGCAGAAATTCAATAAGATATCAAACCTAAAGAAGGGTATTCTTCTGACTGGCTCAACTGGATTTTTAGGTGCCTTCCTATTGAGAGATTTATTGGAGAATTTACAAACAGCTCAGGAGCATGTGAAAATCTATTGTTTGATAAGAGAAAAGAATCAGCAACACAGTTTATTCACTAGATTGAAGAAACATCTTGTAAAATTCAATATCTGGAAAGATACTTATGAAAGGAGAATATCTGTCATTAGGGGAAATTTACAGGATGAGAATTTAGGTCTCTCTCATGAGGAATTCAACAAATTGGCTGGAGATGTTGACATTATTTACCACAATGGAGCATATGTCAACTCAGTCATGTCGTACTCTCAATTATTCTCTTCCAATGCTGGATCTACGTACTATTTATTGAAACTTGCTTGCCTGTCATCAAAATTGAATATCCAAAATGATGGAGATTCCTTAACACCAATTATTCTCGTTTCAACTGTTGGTGTTGTACAATCTGCGTTGTCAGAATTTGATCTACCAACCAGAAAATCTCAAGTTAATGATAACCCTCAGGAAACTAAAGAAATGATTAGCAATCATGTCGATCAAGTCATTGGTCAACTGAAACCAATTATTGAAAAAGCAGCTGGGTATAACAGCACCAAATTTATTGCAGAACAATACATTCAACAAGCAAGGTTATTGGGATATCCCGGTGCCATCTTTAGACCAGGAATGATTGGAAGTGATACTGAGAATGGAGTTTCGAATTTAGAGGACTGGGTCAATAGGTTGATTCTGGGATGTTTCGAATTGGGTTGCTTCCCACAAACCAAAAAATCTCTCAATGTCATTCCTGTGGATATTATTTCAAGAGTGATTGTGGAATTGACACAGAATGAGAATGTATTCATTGGTACTTTACAATCCAATCCAAACTATTTGATTTATGAGGTGGCTAATCTTTCTCAATATGAAATTCAAATTGATAATTTACTTGGCATCGCTGCCACAACTCTAGCGAAATTGCTAAACAAGAAACCAATGGAAATGGTTAGCTACACTAAGTGGAAACAAATACTGAATGAGAGAACATCAACCGAAGAAAACGAAATGTTATTGATTTTGAAAACTCTCTTCAAATCAGATACGGAATTTCTAAAAAGCATAAACAAACTCCAAGACAACCACATTCAGAAAATCATTGAAGTTCTTTCTAGATCAGAAAGCATACAGTGCAGAGAATTAGTTCCTAACAAAAATCTAAACCAAAACTATCTTGAAAAACAAGCTCTATACCTAGTCCAGAGTCTCAAGAAGAAATTGGGCGAAAATTTATAAAGTTTTAAGAAAAGATAAAGTTGCAATATGTCTGAGTTTTCTGGATTTTCAAAAAGTGAAATATTCCGAATGTTAAATTGAAATACTTATTACCAGGTTAGCTAGCCATAAAATTTGTCATCATACATGCTCGGAATTTGACAAATACTCAATTTTACTCTGATTGAGATTTCTTTGTGCAATGATTTTTCAATTAATTAAAAGAGTTAGGTGGCTCCTAATCTGACGGTTTGTGCAATGTCTGATTGAAACCAAATCAAAGTGAGCAATTAAGCTCAAACCCTGATCCCTACAAAAAATTGAGTTAATAGTAGATGCAACCCGTGAGCTGCTTTCAGCTATTAAACTGAAAAGAAAAGATACTACACTCGATCAAAGCCAATTGGCCGAGAAAGATGGTTTTGAGAATTGCATAAGGAACAGAGTATTTATTCTGTTGGTTGTGGAGTGAAGAATGGCAAAATGTTTGTGGTATTTTAATAAATTTTAATGCCTTGTTCGACTATTGATATTGAACATGTAGCGAATCTTAATAATCAATATTTATGATGGAGCAGTTCAATCAGAACTTGGAAAGAATGTGAGAAGCAAACTTGACTAACAATTAAGGGGGATGCATTGATAAGTAAAACGTGAACTAGTGAAAAAAACAAATAAACAAAAAGACTACAGCACCACAGGTTCCCAAGTTGTCTCCAACCTCAGTACTGATGTGGCTCGACGATGCTTAACTTCTCAAATAGGACGGGATGAGGTGTATTCATCGTGATATGGCCGTAGCCATACATACTAATAAAATATGAAATAAATGAATTCACAATAATGACATTTCAAAATCCTTACTTCGTTTCTTAACCTTAGTAAGAAACAATCATTCATTATTCTCATTAATGGATTATTAAAATTTAATAATAATTTTCTTATGTTGACTCTTATCATATTTGGTAATAGTAAAACAATTAAATTGTTTCAAATTGATTGTTAACCATTCGTAAAATTCTTTAAATTGACAATTATTGGAATCATAATCACCATACAATTCCACTATCAAAGTGGTCAATTTTGCCAACTTGCATACCTCCTTTCTAAACTTATCTCCAAAAATGTATTCCCACTCAATTTGATTTACTTTGAGAGTTGTCAAACTGGTTAACAACCCCAAGTTTAAAAACCTAAATTTCACTCTCGACAGTCCAGGATAAGTTGGTATCGTAAACTCAAAATATTCCAATTTCTCAAGCTTTGAAAGATGAATTAATGGAATGCAATCTGAGAATGTCAAAGATTTGAGTTCAGGGAAACCTTGAATCATTTGAAAATCATCTAACAAAAGAGTTTGTAGTTTCACTCTGCTCAGAGTTTTAGAATTTGATAATTGAATTATGGATTCCATATCAGATCTGTTAGTATCAATGATTAATGTTTTCAATTTTGGAAATTCAGAAAGAGAGGCACATACATCAACCATGGAATCATTATGGTTATCATGTTTGGCATCCAGAATTTGTAGTGTTGTTAAATTTTTCAATTGTTTCAAACTGTCTGCTTTTTCCAAAGTCAATCCTCCATAAAAACTTAAATATTCTAAATTGGGGAAATGCTGAATATTGTCTAAGGTACTCCCACATTCATATTTACTCCTCAATTCCAATTTAGTGCATTTATCATAAATTTGATCAAGTTTAATTTTATCCATACCAAAACAAAAGATATCCACCAGTCTTAAATGTTCCACATTAGGAAATAATTTTAAAATAGGTTTCAATAATTCTAGATTTCTTGGCACATCCTCAAAATTTACAACCTTGATAGAATTAAAAAGATCTTGATTCCTCTTTGATTTTGCTGATAATTTCTCAATCTTGTGGCAATATGCATTCACGAACTTTTGTTCAATTTTTCTTTCCTTAGTTAACTTGGATCTATCAAAGCTATCACCATCACAAACTTCACACTTTTTCTGAAATATCAGCTTTTTATCCGAAATTTTAGTAATTTGATTCAACAGTTGAGTTTCCCAATATGGAATATTAGAACTATTCAAACTTTTCATTTTCCATAACAAAAATTTAACTCTCGCCATATTGGAATTCTTCCTACACTCATTAACAAGTCCAAATTTAAATATAAATTTAATTCTTCCATCGGAGAGAAATCTTCCAAACCAATCCTTAATAAACAATTTCCAATCAATTACAGATTCATCATTAAACTCATCAATACAAAGCGTCGAATTAATTATTACATTCCCACAAAATTCCAAAATATACAAGACACAATCGGAGGGAAGCCTAGCAAATTGTGAGGCAATACAACGAGAAGCAGAAACAGAAACAGAATTTGATGATCGCCTTATTCCGTCTTGTCGTTTAATCAATGCTGCGGAAGGAGTAGAAACATGCCGTTTCGAAGTGATCCTATATGATGATGTTTTAATTGGTGATGAATTGGAAATATTCATAGTCGTGGTTGTATGACTGTTCATTCCTTCTTTAAAAGATTTCATTTTTTTTATTAAAAAGAAATTACATAATTAATTCAAGTTTTATATTTCTCATGTACTTTACAATTAATTTGGAGTGATAGAATTAGTCCAGATAGAATGAGTCAATTAAGCAAGTTGTTTGAAGAATCTGTTCCACATTGCCTCATTTGCCTTTTCTAAATCAATTTTTTTATCATCTTCTTCATCTTCTTCTTCCTCATCTTCCTCGTCTTCATCTTCTGCAAAATTGGAATTATTTGAAAGACCTCTACACTTGTGCAGTGGTTTCTTTTTAGCACGAAATAAATTAGGTTCGTTTCGGTCGATATATTGGTCTGCTGCCTCAGATAATGAGACTACTTTACAAAATCTATTCGTGTTCTCTATCAAATTGGAAATACTCTTTGAATTTTTAAATGGTAAAACGTTTAAACTTCCATTATTGGTGGAAACTTTTACAAAATCAAAGAATTTTTCAGACTTGTTGTAAATTGAAATTTCAACTTGTGAAAAATCTGTTGGATCATCTGGTTCGGAAGCATCATCTTTTGAAGTGCAAATATATTGATGAGTCAATTGGGGTTTGAATATTAAGGGAAGGGATGGCTCAGTATTAGAAATCATCTTACAAATAGAATGAATGAAATCTCTCAAAATAATGGGATCCTTTTCGATTGAAATAATAATATCATCATCATAGATCCATCCATCATAATTTCTAATTTTGGATTTGAATATTGAGGTTTCTTTGGAATTGAGCTGGACGACTTGTCGAATAATAAAATCGTCATAGTTTCCTCCAGGTTGACGTCTAGAGTTTCATCTCAGTAATCATAAAAAAATATGAAACTTACTCTAATACTTTAAAATCAATTATCATCTTGATATCAAGAGAATCTTTGAATTGTTTCAATTCAGGTGACAGCTTTTCACTCAGTAATAAGCTCAATCTTGGTTCAATTCTCTTTCTTTTGAAATATTCCACAAATTGATTAGAACTCAAGAGTGTTATAATGAGTTTTTCGTAATGAAAATCAAACTGTTTACAAGTTACTGCCAAATTGACCATCGAAGAACCATCTAAAAATTCACACACATGTGAAAATTCATCAAAATTCAATTTCAAACCACATTTTCCACTCAATTGAATTTCCTCACATTGTGCTCTAACAACTTTGTTTCTTTCAAAGAATCGATGCAACACTGTTTCATATTGATCATGATATTTTCTTACCTCATCCTCCTCAAAGTAATTCCATTCTGTGTAAATATCACCACACAAACCGAAAAAGTAGTACCTAGAAGGATCTGCAGTGTCAGAAACCTCCGATGCTTCAAGTTGTAATATTTCATCAATTTGATCATCATTTAATTTGTGGCCATATTCGAGAAGGGCTTTTCTAAAATAGAGGTAGAATGGAGTGAGAGGAACTACGTGTCCATTGATGATGATTGGAGTCGGCTCGGTTAATGTTACGAGAGTACGTTTACGTCTTGCCATTTTTTTTAATAAACTTTACAATGACAGTGAAAATCTAGCAAAAAAAGAAAGTTCTCTTTAATGATCAATTCCGATAATATTCTATATTTTCATAACATCAAGAAAACCATCTAATCTACCTAATATCTTAAAAATATAATATGAGAGTTTATTTATCTCTGGCTCATTCTTTTAAAACCCAATTTGAAAGAATATCTGGATCTACAGTAAGCAAATCATCAACAATTTCTCCTGCCACCACTTTTTTGAAATATGGAATGGAAGTGACTTTACATTCTCTGAAAATGTCCAACATTTCATCATTATCCAGTTTGTAAAATTTGAACTTTGAATTCAAATTGGACAATTTTCCAAATTGTGGAGAAACCATTTTACAAGGGCCCTAATTAGATTTGTACACAATTTAGAATAACTACTTACACACCAGGTTGCTGTAAAATAAATAATTGCATTTTCTTTTGAAGAGAAAATAGCCCTAAAATCCTTTTCTTCTGTTATTGGAACTGCCTTACCCATGATTTTCGTTTCCAAGTCCAATTTTAATGTTATCAATTCATTAGATTCTCTCAATTGTCCAACAAGTGTCATGACTTTCTCAATAGATCCTTCCTCAATATTTAATTCAATGCTATTTGATAATGTATTGACAAAATCAATGCATGATTCTGTTCCCTCTCCTTCTAAGCTCGTTATAAGTTCTCTCACCGATGCAACAATCTTTCTTGATTGTAATTTTGAAGAGTAGAATTTATCAAACTCCCTACATGGTTCTATATACTTGTCTATTGGGAAATTATTGGCACAATTCAAATGCAAGAATGTGAGTAGCTCTTCAGTTAAAACCTCTTCTCCACACGATAATAATTGTCTTTTTAAGGTTGAATCTGATCGAGACAACCGAAGAACTGGAATATAAGGAAGATTAAATTCATCTGACATATCATTCTTTTCAATGTCCATGCAAAGAATTTGAATTTTCTCTCCACCTTCTTCAAGTAGTTGAGCCACAAATTCTATTACTGGAAATAAATCATCACAAGGCTCACAATTATTAATATAATTGACAACTAACACATCCATACTTGATTTCCAAACCAATTCATCATATGCAGAGTGAACCAATTTCTTCAAACTCTTCCAACCTTCAAGTTGATCGTTTAGAGATCTCTTCTCGCTCTTGTAAAATACCTTCTCCTCTCCAGATCTGATTCTATCAAGCCAACCCAATATTGGTTCAATCTCAAAAGTACCTCTATACAAAAACTTGAACACTCTCTTTGAAAAATATCTATACAATAAGAGTGCTGGTTCGAGAAGTTCAGAAATACCAAAACACTCTGGTAGATTATCCGACTCACTCAGAGGAGCATTAATCCAAACAATATCAACAACATTGGTTTCTTGGGTATCCTCATCCAACAACAATTCCATGGAGAATAATTTCCTTTGAGTGGCCTCATCTTCCGATTGTAGGATGGTTTCAATTTTTGAAAGGAAATCTTGTTCTGTTCCCTTATTAAAACAATACATTACACATCTACCATCCAATCTGGCTGCTTCTGGCGAAGAAATGGAAATCAATTTGGACATTTTTTTGAGTGAACTTTTTCTCCTTGATAATCCATTTATGAAAAATGTTCTTCCTGTTTTCATTCAAAATGGTGTTTAAAAGATGAAAAGACTACAGCACCACAGGTTCCCAAGTTGTCTCCAACCTCAGTACTGATGTGGCTCGACGATGCTTAACTTCTCAAATCGGACGGGATGAGGTGCATGAATCGTGATATGGCCGTAGCCATTCATAATATTAACACCATCCTTATCAAAATCCTTACTATATGAATTCGGTAATCATCCATTCGAAGCCATGTTGCAATATTCATGATCAAAGAACATTCATTGTATAATCCATCAGAAAGGTAACACCTAGTAAAAGTGTCTACAGTATTTGTTAGAACCGCTACTGTAGATGATTTCTGACAGAAATAGCAACCATTTTTGTGATGCTTGGAACATTCCGAACAAACAAGGATTATCGCATGAAGCTTCCTCTTTTATCGCAATCAGTTGGTTCTATATTCACTAGCGTAACTCTCAATTTCTTGAACCTTTCTCAACAAAGTCCTTCATCTCCGATAGATTCTGTGATGATTTTTCAACATTCCCATTGAGGGTTTCATTTGTTACTAAGGGAAATAGTTAATTTGCTGAACCATCCACTTTGCAACCCACACATCACAACAACAGTAAGGAAAATTGCACATTCAAAACAGTGCCCTCAATTGACTTCAAGTGGACCGTTTGAAAGCATCCTGCAAGACATAACATGGCCATGACCAAATTAATAACTTACCATTATGAAGGGAGTTTTTAGATAACGCCCACAAATAATCAGCTACAGTAAAGGAGAAAAACTGTAGTTTGAATATTATCAAGGAAGTAAATAAACGTGTTCTCCTTGCTTGAATGATCAATATGTTAATATATTCGATATGGAGGAAGGATGATTATGATTCACTTCTACACAGAATGTTTCAAACTTTCCATTTATAAAGCAGGCATCAACATTCAATGTTGATATTTTCATAAGCAACCATTTCATCACAACATCACATTATCCGGTAAAGTTTCAATGCCATCATGAGTTGCATCAAACATGAGCCTTCAAAATAGTGAAGGTTGCACTTTTGGCGCTTGATTTTTTTTGCATTGTTGTTGCGTTGTTGCTCACATCAGCACATTCCAAGCTTCAAAGATGATTCAAAACGAAAACAACCTCCGAAAGCAAAAAAAAATCGGTTATATTGTATTTGAAAAGCTGCTTTTCTCATATCCGATAATATTTTAGTGTCTTTTTGATTGTCGTCGAGACGAGTATTAGTAATTTTTAATAGCTACTACTACTTCTTTTGCTTTATCGGCTTGACACAATCTTCTTCCGTTCAACTTTGAATATCGGGTTTTATTTGGTTTTTTTTGTAGGAGGACTTGGATTGACTACTTTTTGGTGATTGATACTATTGATAATAACATATATTGATACGACTACAACTTTTTTCAATACTACTTATTACTCGCCAGATATATTCACCTAAAAATAGTTGTCATCTTTATTAATAGATTAAAAGAAATGCTACCATCATATCTTGCCAACTCTCCTGCCAGTGAAAATAACCAAGAAACTAATGTGGAATTCAATGAACAACACTCTCTAAAGAGAAAGAAAGAAGAAATAGACAAGGAATTGAAAGCTTGGGAGATTTTTGATGAAGTTAACAAGTACAAAGATGAACCATCTTTCAAGAAGGCCAAAAAAGCACTCAACCAGACTGAATGTTGTCCTGCAGGTCGTAACTTGATTGATAATGTCTTTATGCAAGATTGTGAATCATCTGATAATGATTCTTCCTCAGATGATGACCAAAGTAATGGTGCTTATAAGAAATCATGTTTAGGATTGTACAAGAGTGCAATTCCAAGCAAGGCATCCTGTATTATGGATACTTCTGAAGAATTACCATCAATCATTATCCCAGCTAGAAGAAGAAGAAAGAGTGCCAATACAAATAGTCCAACTTCACCAACTATTCCATCAAACGTTACTAATGAACAAGTAACAACATTGGCTAATGTTTCTTCTGCACGTTCTGCAAAGAAATGGAACTCTTTCGAAATGATGCCTCACGGTATTTTGGTATTCATAATGTCATACATTTCTCAACCAATGATCATTCATGCAATGATGGCTGTTTGTAAGAGATGGTACCAAATCTCCAAGTTCAGTACACTTTGGAAGAGAATTGATTTTAATGGTTCATTCAAGATCAAATCAATGAGTGATGTTGTTGGTTTCCTCGAAGACTTTACCACTTTAAAGATTTCTGACATGAGAAAGACCTATGCATTAGGTTCTACTGTGCTCATGGAATCTTTGGGAGGATTAGGTCAAAAGGAAGTTATTTACAATGTCCAACAATATGAATATGGTCTTTCTCTCCAAAAACAAGAACAATTAGGTATCTATAAGAATGGTGGAGTTTTACTCCCACCAAAGAAATCCAGAATGCCTCACCTTTTTGGTGAAATCATTTTACCTGCTTCTTGTTCAAACCTCTCTGTTGAAACTTTTGAAAAGTTGAAAGAGGTTTATCCATCCTTGTCTAAATTGGTTCTTCCAATGTGTTCTACAATTTCCACAGTTTCTAATACTGGTGCATTTCCTATCAATGCTGATAACAATTCCAGAATTCAATTCAATACTGAAGACATTGAAAACAGTATTTCTGATTCTGTACTATTGCAAATTGCCAAGATGCCATATTTGAGCTATCTTAAAGTATCTACTCATCACAAGTTAACTGATCAAGGTTTGAATGAATTTTCCATTCTTTCAAAGAGACTTGAATCCATTGAACTTGACTATTGTTTGGGTTTGACTCAGCAATCACTCTTGCATCTTGTAAAGAATAGCAAACATATTAACACTATTAGTGCTCTCAGCAATGGAAACATTGTTTTGGGAGATCAAGAACTTGTAGAATTATCCCAATATGGTTCTCATTTAAAAGAATTGAGAATTGATGTTTCAAATATTTCTCTTCCATCCTTCGCTACCTTTATTAAGGGTTGCAGAAGACTCCAAACTTTATTTATTAGAGGTCTTGATTGTATTACTGATAAGACCCTCGATGTTATCTTTGCCGAGCTCCGTTACATTCGTAATATTACAATTATTTGTGAGAGCCCTGAGAAGACTGCTACAAACAAAATCTTCTCTACAACAATTTCTAGCACCACCTTAGAATCCTTCCAAATTACTGGTTGTGAGACTTTGAACATTTCCTTTGATCATTGCACCAACTTGAAGAAAGTATCTATTGACCAATGCAAGAGCTTGACTGGTCTTCAAATTTCTAACTCCTTACTTGTTGATGAACTAAAATTCAGAAGTAGTAACATTGCATATGTGAACCTTTCACAATTGATAAATTCATTGCCAAAGTTGAGAGAGTTTGAACTCTTTGATTGCCAATCAGGAGAAACAAACAAGACTGTTACTTTCAATTCTGATATTATGAGAAAGATTATTATTCTCATGTGTAACGACATTATCAACCTTGAAGTTTTATGTAGTAATCTTAGATCTATGAGCGTTGATTTGTGTGCCAACATTGAAAAGTTGATTCTCAAGAGTCCAAAGTTGGAAAATTTACAAATGTTTGCTCTTCCTCAATCAGCTACTCCAAAGCTCAAACATTTATTTGTTGAAAGTGATCATATCCAATCTTTGAACTTGCAAAAGATTCTCTCACTCGAACAAATTGCAGTCAAGTGCAAGTCTTTGGATTCACTCAATGTTTCCAACCTTCATCAACTCAGAAGATTGGAAACTGGACCATGTCCAAAGCTTGAAAAGTTAGCCCTAGGAAGTGTCTTCCTCTTATTTGATGATCATCTTGTATCCAATATTATTAGCAAGTGTCCAAATATTAGTATGTTGAGCATTTCCAATAGTGTATCATTGAATGATGTATCACTTGGAGTTTTGTGCAACAATTTGCCAAACCTTCAAGCTCTTGTCATTTCCAATTGCCAACGTTTGTGGAATGTCAACATTCAATCATCTGTACTTAAAGGTATCCAAATCTCAGATTGTCATCTCCTCAAGTATTTAAACTTGAAGAGTGAAAATCTTAACAAGTTATTCATTAGAAATTGTCCAAATGTTGAAGATTCTACATTTGATAACCTCTCTGCCTTCAGTCCAAATATCAAGTTTGTAGAGTTGGTTAATTGTAGTATGCTCAAGTCACCACATCTCAAGCTTCCACAACTTGTCGATCTCCATTTCAGAGAATGTGCCCAATTAGAAGTTCCAACCATTACTTCTGAATATTTGAAAAAGTTGTTGATTGTTTCTTGCACAAAGTTTTCTCACTTTAATGCTCAATCAGCAACCCTCTCTGAAATTTTACTCTCTGAATGTCCAAACTTGAACGAAGCTAATCTTACAAAGAGTCTTTCCCAAACCGAAAACATTCAAGCTATTGTTTTCGATAAGTGTAAGGCCCTTAGAGCTCCTCAATTGAATCTTGATAACCTCAAGCTCGTTAGATTTACCTCATGTAATAATCTTGTCAATCCAAAGATTAATATTAGAGGTAATTTGTCTGTTCTCTCCTTCCAACATTGTGATAACATCAAGATTGAAAAGTTGAGCACCAACATTACTGGACAAAATATTGATAATATTGAAATTACTGAATGCAAGGGAATGACCAAACTCTCTTGTGATTTACCAACTAAGAGTTTGAGTGTTAGTGGATGTTCCAAACTTTCCTCTCTCACTCTTTCTCAAACCATTCAAACAATCCTTGTTGAAAAATGTCAAGCTCTCTGTACTATTCAATGCCCACAAGAATGCCGTGTGACTGAGCTTAAAGTTAAGGATTGTGAACAATTCTCCTCTGTTCAATTTAGTGGACCAAATCAAGATATGAAGATTCTTGGATTTTCAAGATGCCCACGTTTATCTGATATGTGTTTAGCATCCATGTTAAGCAAGTGCCAAACTCTTGAAAAGGCAAGATTAAGTGCTTGCGGTCTTGCTCGTCCATTTATTAATCATGCCAATTTATCTACTTTACATATTTCTCATTGTCAATACTTGGAAAGAATGAGATTAAAATGTCCAAAGCTTATTACCCTCAAACTCAATGATTGTCAAGCTTTAAATTCTGTTGTATTTGCTGAAGCTTCACCTGAGCTTAAGAATGTAACATTGAAAGGGCTTTCTGTCTGTGCATCTGATAGAGAACTTTTGATGAGATGTTCCAACTCTAGTGTTGCCTCACAATAATATGATGGTTTTTAGTGAGTGTCAATGTTGAGAATGTTGTGTGGTAAGAATACGTCGTTTATTCTCAAATTTTTTCAAAATAAAGCGTGATTTGTACATTTAACTTGTTAATTTCCTCTCAAAGAGTCTTATTGAGCTTATCAGATTACATTATTTACAATATTTACATGATGAACAACTTCTTGCCGTCCTCTTCTTGGAATGATTTTCCATCTCTTGGATCAACAAATGTTCCATTATTCTTTGCCATATTTTCTGCCACTCCTTTTTGACTGTATACATTTCCATTTGGGAATACAAGAGGCGGATTTAAGTGATCCATTATATCTCCACAAATTGAACAAACAAGTTTGGAGTGGTGATGGTGAGCGAATGGTAAATCCTTTGCAAGCTCTTTGAATAGTGGATGTGACAGTGGGTCGTTAACATTGATCGAATTCTCATCGTATGAATAAGGGGTCTTGAGTGCAGAAAGTCCAGCTTTAAGAAGTTTGAAAAGGGTGGCCTCCTCAGTCATTCCATAAAGTTTGTAATTCTCCTTATTGAACTCTTCCACCAATTCATCCCATCTCTTATCATCGTACAATTCCTTATATCCTGCCATTAGAGTTTTTGGTCCAAATGCAAGAGCAGCCATAATTTTCTTTACAGTATTAGTTTGTTCAGGTGTTATTTTACAAGAGTTATCGTCTTCATTTGTTGTTGTTGCTGCTGATGAATTACCCTTATCTACAATAGGATTAGTTAGGTATTTTCTTGCATGAATAACAGCTTCCATTTTCTTATCTTGCTTTGATAATTCAATAAATTCCTGAACTCTAAGATCAAACTCTATATTGCTCTGAATTTTTCCAATAAATTGTTACATAATAAGTCAACATATTGATGCAAATGTAAACATATAAATAATTATTACACAAAATAGTCATTCACACAATTATTAGAATAATTAAAGCAATTCAAGTAAATTAAATCCAACTTACTGATATCTTTCTCAATCTTGATCTGTTCTCCGAGCACCACTTAAGAGCTGGACCACAATCATTATTTTTCAAACCCTCAATAATTCCTCTAATTTGAATAAACACTTGAGTATTTACCAAGTGCTTAATCTTTTCCGAATCAGCCAAGGCTAGAGCAGTTTCATAATGTCCAAATCGAAGAAGATAATCTACCAACACTCTACTCACTCTCACCCTTCTCCAATTGGAAAGAGTACGATACTGATTATCATCAATATTGGAGGTAGACTTTCTTCTTGATATGGCTCCATCAATGAGTGGATATTCATTGAGGTGATCGATACGATCCTTGCACGTATTCAATAATTGTGTTTCTTCAATGTTGGTTTCTTCCAACTTTCTCTTAACTCCTCTCAACTTGGTTACAACCTTATCGAGAAAATTAGTTTGATCTTGAATGGAGAGGTTTTGTTTTGAAGCCTTTTGAAGCATTTCCTTCATGGCCTTTTCTAATATTGATAAATCCTTCTCAACCGATTTTTGTGATGATCTAAACTCAAAGTTTAGCATTTCAAAGGGTACCTGAAGTAAATCATGTTCCGATTCTAATTCTTTGGAGGTTGAATGAGACAATGATGAAGACATTTTTTAAAAGGAATGTATCTTGAATAGTATTGGATGTATTAATAAACGATAATAAGACTGGAAGATTAAAAGATAATCTAATCAAATATTCTAATACTATCACAAGTTCTACAAAATAATAATTCTAAATTTGATTTTTAAATATATTTTTTTTATAGTGGAAAAAACAACTTATTGGGTTTCTTCAGTCTTCAATCTGGCAGTAGCGTTCAAAACCTTGATGTCCAATTCCTTAGCTCTTTCAACAATTTGCTTTCTCTTTTGAGCACCAGTCTTAGCAGAAATGACGGCAGCATACTTGTTGTTATGCATCAACAAGACTTCGAGATCCTTAGCATTAGCGACAACGTATGGGATCAATCTAGTCTTTCTGTCGTGGAATCTGGAGACCTTAGCAGTACCGAAACCAGATGAAGGCAAAGCTCCGTGACCTCTGTAGTGTCTTCTCAAAGGGTTATCAATACCGTGTGGACATCTCCAGGTGGTCTTTTGGGCCAATCTGGTGAATTTGTGGGCATCGAAACGTCTAAACTTCTTGTCTCTCTTGTGGACAGGCTTGACTCTCAAAGCTGGTGTGACGGACATTGTGAGATATTTTTTTTCAACAAAATTTTTAATCAACAAGACTATTAGATTTTTACAATGAAAATTTTTTGTGCAATAAAATTCAAGCATAAAAATTTTGAAGCAACAACAAGCTTGGCATAGCTTCTTCATCATGTCCCATAGATGATTATTTATGTAAAGATGGTACGGAAGTCGTGATACTTGACTTGAAAACACTAACACGTACCAACAATACGAGAGGAAGAATTTGTTGAAGGAATTAGCAGCTTATCCTATTAATATTATAATTATATGTTCATCAATGACAAAGCAAACACCACTACAAACTAATATTGCAGCCAGTAGTTGCTTCTCTAGCTAATAATTATAATATATTAATTATAGGATATATATAATTAAATAATATTGGAGTTATAGGAGAAAGATTTAACTTGATTAATAACAACATAACAACCAGTCTTCAAATACCCTTCTGGTACTTGATGTGATACGGACAACAATTATCTACCAGTATGAATCAAATGATTATTCCATGATCACATTATTAACACTACACAAATCTAAAGAATTCAAAGTCTTGGTATATCTTAATGTATTGGAAGGAACTTCTGGCACTCTTTCAAGTAATTACGACCAAGTAGAATTCAAATATTTACTGAGTGGATGTCTTGGAAAGGTTCTAAACAACATCTTTATTCAGATTTACATTGATCAATTGGTGGACAAATATCTGGTACCTTAAACACATTTGGATCAACACTCTCAACCATATTATAATTATTTTCCAAGCTACTTCCAAATGAATCTTGTGAGTAGGTATTTAAAATCCAACAATTCTCGCTCTGAGATGGATTATCATTGAAAATGAAAGTCTCCATGAATTGCTGTTGCGATTTGGAGACAATTCTCTTTGCATCTAAATGACCAATTCTGACCTTGCTGATATTTCCTTGATTTGGAAGACAGAACCAATCGAAATCATATTGATATTTGACACATCCACATTGATTATTCATGATTTCAAAGTTGACATATTGGGAGCCAGCAATTCTGAATGTGTAGAGGATGTGAGGAGTTGGTTGACCAGTAGGTGATTTGGAGACTTCTTGTCTAATCTTTCCTAATTTATAATCTGCATAGAATGAGGAAGTGCCATTAAAAGAATTAATCATGGAATTTGGGGTGAAAAAAATGTAATCACCAAGCATGGAGACAGTTCTTGGTAAACAACATAAATTACCTGCTGATCCTCTCTTTTTAGACAAACTTTTGGAAGTTTCGAATAGTTTACTGAGAGGAGTCAAAGAGAAATTGGTGCCACAGGTCACAGAAGAAATTGTAAGGATGGTTAAAAACAATGCATAGAGAAGTGATTTGTTCATTTTTTAATAAAGGAGTTGATTAGTTGTTGATCTTTCGGCTAAACATTAAGTAATCCATAGGGTTTCCAACTTGATTCCAATCTAAAATTTGGACACCATTCTCCTGAGCCATTCTCTCCGTACCAACTCCACTTCCAAAACAATTAATTGAAATGCTCATTAGTGGCGTTGTAATTGATCTGGCAGTAATCCCACAACTATGTTTGGGAGAAATATTTGAAATACTTTGAATCGAGGTAAGATGGATCCTATCTTAATGAAAAACCAAGTAGTACCTTACACATTATTTGGGTTTCCGAGCTGTTAATACGAAACTGTACTGTAACTAATGAAACTAAACATTCGGAAGAATATATACCAAGATGCATTTGAAGGTAATTCTTGAATTACTTGTGGTGAAGATGATACACCATACTATTCCGATCATGAAGAATAAAATGTTGGTATTACTATTGAAATGATCTTTTGTCAAATTTTCTTATCATCCATTAACTATCTATTTGCATTATGAAGATTAAAATATACAACAATAATTCAATGAATCAGAAAAATCACTAAACCTTTTCACAATAAGTTATATATTAATGTACAATGATGATTAGAGAGTTTCTAATCTATTCCTTCTTTGACTTCTTACTAGACAATGCCTTGATAATACCCTTAGTGAGTTTAGTGAACCACATGATATTCAAAAAGGCCAAATTCAAACATTGGAGAAGCCAAAAACCGAGAGCAATCCAACCATTAACACCCTTTTCACCAACATAATTCATCCAAGCTCCCCAAGTATGAACAAAGAAGAGAATATTAAAGACAACATATCCAAGTCTAAAGATTGCCCATGAAAGCCACATCATTAATCCGTTCAAGACATAGATCATTGCTTCCTTGAAGCCTCCCTTCTCCAAGAACCATCTACCATTAATAAAAACAGTAGTATGTTCAGTCAATGTGACCCAGACACCCAAAATTTGAGCAACCTTCAATTGAACAAGTGCAATTTGAGCACCAGCAATACAAACATGGTGAATAATCATTTCAATTCCTCCAATTTGTGGATAATAATAAAAGACAAACAATAAATCAATAATCATATAACCAGTTGAATAGTAAAAGATACATTCAGCATATAAAGAAGTGTGAAGGAAATCCCATTCAGACAAAAACTTGATATCATTCAATAAAATCCATCCTCCGACAAATCCCATCACAAATGAGTGAATTGAAGAAATGATACGTGATTCGTATTCATTTCGATCTTTGAGTTGAAGAGAATTGTAAAACTTTGGAAGGAGAATTGTTTTACAAAGAATTTTCATAACAAATAAATAGAGCAAGAGATTTCCGACCAAACTTGCCAACAATACTTGATGAGGAGTTGAAATTCCATAAGAAGACAAACTTTGATGCACGTCTTGAACAATTTGAATCACTCCACTCATTCTCTAATCTTACTTTTTTTTACTTTACTCTTATATAACTTTAGATAACTATCAGTTGTTGTTGTTGTTGTTGTACGGTTACTTCAACACTCTACTAATCACTACACTCCCGATAATGATGATGTGAAAGAAAAAAGGGCGAACAGCAATCGCTTTAATTTTTTTCAAATAAAAAACACAAACTCCTCTGTTATGAGAGTTTCGATACAATAATTGCGCCAATCATCACTATCGATAATTCCTCCATGTGAGGAGGAAGAAATTTGGATGTTTTGGTGTTGACGTGCGCAGGCATTTATCTAATGATTGGATTTGGATAAAATACGGAGAGTTTTTGAATCTTCATAATTGGTTTGATTGGATTACAATTTACAAAAAACTGCAATTCAGCATGGATGACTTGAGGGAGGACTCAATGAAGTTAAAAAATTGTTGATTTTATTTATTAAGGAAGTGGTCTTGCGTGTGCTTTAATTTCTTCAACTTTTTCCTTAATCCAGGATTTGAGTGAGTGATCTTCTGGTTTTGCTTCTTCTTTGAGAGTTTCGTGCATGATTGGTACTTCACCTTCCTTGAATTGAACTGTTTCAGGATTGGCATTTGGAACGTATTGAGGCATGGTGGTACGAAGATGTTCTTCTTGGAGAGGATTGTTAGTCAATCTCACTTGTTCTTCTGGAGTGAGAGTTTCTTTGAAGGTATCTTTGAGATGTTGGTTGGTGGCTTTGGCCTTATCGAGAAGTTCGTCTCTGGTTTCGTATCCAGTTTCTTTAAGGTCTTGGACAGTTTCTTTGAGAGTGTCTTTCCATTCAGAACCTGTTTCCTTGATGTTATCCTTCATGTCATAGGCCTTATTGACTACATTTTCCTTGACATCAGCTGCCTTGTCCATCACTTTCTCTTTCACGTCACTTGCCTTGTCCATCACTGTATCCTTGACATCGGCTGCTTTATCCATCACTGTATCTTTCGCATCAGCAGCTTTATCTTTCATTTCATAAGCTTTATCCATAACTGTCTCCTTCACATCAGCAGCCTTATCTTCCCACTCACCAATCTTGGTTTTAATTCCTTCCTTCAAGTCGTGTGCCTTCTTCTTGATCGTATCCTTCCAATCTGAAGCAGTTTCCTTGATCGTATCCTTCTTGTCTCTCAAATAATCTTTGGTTTCATCGTAGGATTCTTTGATGTTGTCCTTAATCGAATCCTTGACATTCTCAACTCTTTCTTTCAAATTGTCCTTGAGCATTTCCTTCTTTTGAATATCGACTGGAACAATCTTTTCATTGGCTGGTGTCTTGGCTGGATTGCTGGAGGCACTGTACAGTGCTAATTGAATGACGAAACCTATTAGAATTGCAAATACGAAACCTGTTAAAAGTCTCTTATCAATTTGAAAATCCATTCTTGTTGTTTTTTTGCTAATTTTCTTCCAATGGATTGTAAAGCAGGTAGTTTTCAATAAAACGGTTATTCTGTTTGGGAAGTTTTCATTATAGAAACTTGCTCTAATAGAATTTATTCACATGGATGTTATACATTTCCATTTATGAGCATTTTTATATATGGAAATTCACAATTTTCAGAATTATTGGACTCAATTATTTGAGACCTGATGAGCAACTGCATGTTTCAACTATTAGAATTTCATCACACAAGGAAAATGTCCAAGTTTGCAAATATAAATTGAATAATTCCATAATAAATATTGAACTGTTGCTGTTTTATAAATCTTAATCACTGTACAGAGTTTCGTATGTTATATAATTTCGATATCTTGGTATGTATCTTATTTTTGTATAAATGTTCATGTCGTGATCTTCTGGGCTGAGCTTGTCAATTAAATTGAGAGCTGTATGGTATAGTTTTGCAAGATTTTCCCTATTTTCCACTTTCCAACAAGTATCTTTCGAATAGATATCTTTATCCAATTGAGAATATTGATAATTTTGATAGAATGTTTCACAATACTCTACGAATGGAACATATTCACCATTGTAATTGATGCAATGTACCTGTTCCAACAAAGTTTTGAAGGCATGTAAACAACCAACTTTCCATATTCTTTCTTCTGGATTCCAATCATGATATATTTCACAAATTTTCACAAGACATTCAATATTGAGTGAGTGAGTGATAAATTTTCCCAAAATGGTAAGGGCATCAATTGCCTCAAACCAATTAAATTCAAATTCTGCAAATAATGACCCAACAAATTTGTTAACATACTCATCATAGTATGAATCAGGTCTATTTCCTCCATCTAATTCATTCATTTTGTGAATTAGTTTTACAAGATCAAATTTTGGATATTTGTCAAAGTAATTATTGAAATAATGTGTAATGGCACCATATGGTTTTGTGAGGAAAGTGTTCATAAAGTTGTGAGCTATACCTAAATGATCTAAGACACATTCATATGGATCAAAATCCGGTAGTATTTCAATAATTTTCATCACTTCCTTATCTCTGAATTGATACTTATGAAGAAGGAGTTTCATATTCAAATGGTCAATCAGTTCACATTTAAACAACACATGCAAAAAATCAAATCCATGTGAAAATATATTACAAAACTTGGGAGCAATATAAATTTCAATATTTTTCAATTCTGCAGTTTTACAAAACTCTACAAATTCTTCCACATTTCCAATATTCTTTTCAGAGAGAAGTTCAAATCGACTCTCCTTGACAGATTTTTCCAATATTTGATTCCAATTTCCAGGATATAGAATCTCTACACACTCCTTTAAATATTTAAATCCCTGAATGCTTGTGACCTTGAAATTCATAACTATTTCAGAAACTTGTGGAGTGAGATCGTAGCCGTTCTGATCTTTGAAATTTAAAATATAATTCTTAATTGATTCCAATTTCTCTCTCTCATCAAATTGAAACAATAGCATTGGAAGAAGACTATCATTTAGAGTTGGCTTGAAATTATTCAACATTTTACAAATATCGAACTGCTTTCTTTGAATGCAGAATTTTAAAAGAGAAGGAGAAAATCTATTCCAATACTCAGATTCTTCCTTTGTGCGTTCTTCTTTGTTGACTTTCTTGTTGAGAATAAATTTTCTTGCTTGATCTAGGTAGAATTGACCAAACACATTCGAATGCTTAAATTCCAATACATTTTCCTCTAAATTTCTCATAATCATTTCCAATCCATTCACCATATTCACATAAAACACTGAATAAAACGCAGAATGGACTAATTTCTTATATCTTTCTCCATAAATTATTGATTGATCATCATTCGAATCTTTTCCCATAAATTTCACTTGTTTTTCATTCTCAATATTTTGTTTGTAAAGTTTCCGAAGGCAAGATAACGTCTTTTCACAATATTTCTCATCACTCTTTCCAATCTTCTTCTTCAATATAGAATAGTCATTAATTTTAATTTTCAACCAATTCGAAAGTAGTGTTTTCCACACAATTTCATAACGATCTAATTCATGCCACGATCTTGAAACAGAGAGAATAGAAACACCATCACGAATATTAACAAATTCCAAGATGCAATACAAAGTGTCATGATACAGTTGACTCATTTTTTTAAAAGATCAATTTCACAATCAACTTTAATGATGGCATTGTACACTATTCCTTAAGGATATTTAGAGGGTCAAAGAATGTTATTAACTTAGTTAACATTTTGTAAAATAATTTGAATATTGTAATTTCAATTAATCGTCTCGTTCTTTCAGTAATTTTGTCCACGGACAATAAAACTGTATTGTAATATTGAAACACGTCATCTAGACGTCATTTTGATAAATATCTTCTCACATTCAACAAATATGTGCAAGGATTTTCTCCAATTTTCTTTCCACTTCTCACACCAATGAAACAATTCACAACACAAATAAGGAAACTTCCACCATGCATTCCAATCAATTAAAAACACAAAAAAAATGAAAAAACAACACAACAGCAAGGTGAGAAAATCCATGAATCCCTCCTTGTTATCTTCTCTCTTGCCAACACCAACAGCATCATCAACAACTGAAGATATTTCTGAGGAGCCAACAGATTCCTCTCCTATTAGAGAAACAACAACAACAAGAAGGAGAAATAATCATGCAACAGTAGTATTGGCAATTGATGAGGAGGAGAATGATAATGATGATGAGGAAGTAAATGATGAAATTGGATTATCCATTGCAAAGAGTGAGATTTCCCTCCGAACACTTCCAATGATTAATTCAATAGAAAAGGATTTTTCCGATGATGATGAAGATGATGCAGATGAAGCCTTTGATGATTTGAATGAAGAAGAAGAAACTCTATTATACTATCGGAGGGATGACACTGTGAGTGAGGATTCATCTACTGGAGCAGCTGCTTCCTCTGCTATCAATGGAGGATTTAATTCATCATCAAACAATGCTACTAGAGGAGTCTCTAATCCTCTTCTCGTAACATCAGAAGCAACAAATCCAATTCTTAATTATGGAACTGAAAAGAAGAAGAAAAAGAAGAAGAAGAAGAAGAAATCAGACAAGGCCAAATTGGATTTACAATTCATGATTCGGTTTTTCAAAATAATTGGATATTGTCTGAGGGATATTGGATATAATAGTGATTATCATTGGACTGATGAGAATGGAAGAAGAGTTTCCAGATTGTTTTCAAGAAAACGAGTCGTGCATGAATTGAATCAATCAGAGAAGAAGGGATGTGGAGCATTTTGTTACAACTTTTCATTGTTTAACGTGTTTTTGGTGGTTCTCTTCTTGCTTATTTGCATTGGAGAGATTTTACTGGGAAATGAAGTTGGTAAATTACCTGGAGCTTTCTATACTGTAATTATTGATGCGAGTTCTAAGAATTTTGGAGATGCCAAACCATTTATTCATGTCATGTTGACAAGTTTACTTTGGATTTGTGGAATAACAGCTCTGAAAACTTTTAGACAATTTATTTTGGATGTTATTCGAGTTTATTGGAGAAGAAATTTAACTTATCATACACAGAGGAGATATTTCGAGAATAGTAACTTTTACAAAATGTTGTTACTTGATAAGAGAATTGATAATCCAGATCAAAGAATTACCAAAGATGTAGAGAATTTTGTAGATATGACTTGTAAATTAATTGAGAGTGTTTTCACAGGACCAATCACTGTATTTTACTATACTGTCACTGTGTTTATGAATTTGGGTTGGCAAGGGCCTCTTTTCTGCTTTGTCTTTTTCATTATTGGTTCCATTTGTAACAAGTTGATTATTTCACCAATTGCTAATTTGTGGTTTATTCAAGAAAAGTTTGAAGGAAATTTCAGATATACTCATGCATTGTTAAGATCAAATGCAGAGTCTGTTGCCTTCTATGGAGGAGAATCAAATGAAAAGATCAAGTGCAATCAAAAGTTGAAAGGAGTAATCAAGAATAGAAGAAAGATTGTTGTGTGGAATTTACTCTTGAATGGAAATATGAATTTATTTGGTTATGTTGGAAGTATTTTGGCATATGTGATTGTTGCCATTTCTGTATTCTTGATTGGTGGATTTATTGATGCCAATGCTACAGCAGGTGAAATTGCTGGCAAGATTTCTGTTGTAAGTATTCTTGATTGTGTAAATTAACATGTGCAGTCTTCATTCCAAGTAATGATGCTCATCTATGGTTTTACCACCTTCATTCAGACTGGTGCTAATATTTCAGAACTTGCTGGTTTTACTGGAAGACTCGGTGAAATGTACGAAGTGATGAATGAAATTGAGAAGGATACTGAATTGAATAATATTGGAAAGGTTACTGAGGAACACTCACTTTTGGAATCAACAACATCCAATAATAATTATCAACAAGAATCGGATAGATCTGGATCCACCGATACTAACGACGTGAACTATATTGAATTTAAGAACGTCTCTGTATCTGTTCCAAAAGGTATCAGAGAAAAGTACAGAACCAATCACAACCTTGTTGAAAATCTTAGTTTCAAGATTTTACCAACTCAACACACTTTAATTGCAGGTCCTAGTGGTTGTGGTAAATCATCAGTTTTAAGAATTTTGGCAAATTTGTGGCCAAACAACTCTGGACAAATTATCAAACCGTCCACAACTCTTGGAAACAGTTCGAAACCAAATATTTTCTACGTTCCTCAAAACCCTTACATTTCCAGTGGTTCGCTAAGGGATCAAATTACTTACCCACTCAAAACTCCAAAGAGAAATGTGGAAGATCATCCAGCTCTCTTAGAAGCCATTCAGCAGTCTCGACTCGAATATATTCTCGAACGAGTTCATAAGAAGGATTGGGATGGTGAGTGTAATTGGAATGAATTGTTGAGTCCTGGAGAGAAGCAACGTTTAGCTCTTGCTAGAATCTTTTATCACAAACCTAAATTTGTAATTCTCGATGAAGCAACCAGTGCTTGTGATGTAAATGTTGAAGAGATGATTTATCGTGACATTATCAAACAAGGATCTACAGTCGTTTCAGTTGGCCATCGTCCAACCATTGTGAAATTCCACACTCACATGCTTAGACTGAATGGATCAGCCTCAACTTTGGAAAATGCTAAAGGATGGGAATTTGGAGAAATTTCAGAATTCAGAACGAAAAAGAAGAAGAATTATTAAACAACAATTATTTCTACCAATATTATTTACAAATATTATTTACATTGTATATTTTGTTTCAAATTCCTTCCTTTCCATTCGCCTTCTCAAATTCCTCTTCATTCTTTCCCTTAATTGTTTTTGTTTCCTTCTTATTCTCTCTGGAGTTATCAGTCGTTGAATTTTCACACCTTTCACATCGGATTTCTTACAAATTTTGACATTTCTCTTAATGACAAACTTTCTGACATCGTCCTCTTTTGAGAGATTGAATAATTTCCGTATTTTTGAAGCTCGTTTAGGTCCAAGAGTTTTGTGTTTTGGATCATCAGTGAGGCCAACAATTACATGAGCTGGAGATTTGATTAATTTCAAAGAAACAGCAGAAACTGAACGATCCAGGAAACATCCCATTAAGGTTTTTCTTCTCCTTTCTCCATCTCTTTTTCTCCAACATTTCTGAAATCCAAATTCGCCTGCCCTTAACAACGGACTAATTTTTCCAATTTTCAATATTGTAGGATGACACTGTTTACCATTGTTATTGATAGCAGCTGTGATTTTAAATTTACAATTTGCCAAATCAGGAATATTCAATATATCACCAGAAATGCATTCTCCAATTCTTTTTCCAAGAAATGGAAATGATTGATAGTACAAATCTGAAGTTTCGTATACTTTTGTTTGACTAGTGAGTGGATTTGATACTTGAAGCTTCACAGAATTGCATTCTATTCATCTCGGAATCAATTTTGAAAACTTACCTTTCTCAAATAATAATACTTTGGTTGACCTGAATACGTAGCCCTGTCAGCCATCTGTTCTTGCATGTTGACATCCTGTGAAAAGTATTGTATTCCTCTCGAATATTGATCATCAAGTCTATTTATTGGCTTTGATGATGCTGGTTTGCCAGGCATTGAAAGTTTGCTTCTTCTGTACATTTTTTTTTCAAAGTTCCACCAATGTTCTGAAAATTACGGCACAGAGATGAACTACCAGTAGATCAAATGAGTTATTTTCCTAATTTCTTCAAATTCTATTAGACATTCCTCAAAATTAGCAATAAATTCATTAGATTCTGAATCGTCAATTCGATCCACGAGTCGATCGACCTTCTTTACAAGATTCTTGACCTTCACTTTATCTTCTTCTTGGAATAGTTTGCTTGATATTCTATTGAGATGAACAATTTCCTCTTGTAAATTATAAATCAAGCCAATAATACCCAATTCTTCACTCCAAATTTTTCTAAATTCATTCAGAGAAATCATTTCATCCTCAATTGGATACAGAAGATAACTTCCAAGTCGATGGTTCTTAAAAAGCAATTTGAATAATCTTGATTGACCACTTGGAACCAAAACTCCCAATGTAATATTCGTTTCAATAGTTCTGTGTGCATATTCCAACCAATATTTCAAATTCACATTCAATTGAGAGATTTTTGAATCACTCAATAGAATATTTTCCAAAACCGATGGGTGTATTTGATCCCTAATTGAGATTTCAAGAATTTGCCTATCTTTTGAGTTATAGACATGTCCAAGTCTTAATTTGTAATATTCACAGTCGATTTCTTCTAGATTAGGCAATAAACTGATGATTGGATTGAAAACCTCTTGGAAATCAAAGGAAGGAAATGAAATGAACATTTTGGTGATTGTTCTGAATTCACTAGGAATTGCTGGTTGTCTAAGTTTCAAGTCAAATGTCAATTTCATTGTTTCTATTAGAGGATTTAATTCTCTGTTTTCTTGAAGGCAATCCTTTAGGTATGAAATATCACAGGCAATGAGTTTCTGGATTATTTCTTTGTTTTTCTTTGACTGGAACAAATCTTTCACATTCAAAGTTATTGATCCAATGTGTTCTTTCAAACGATCATTCAAAGTTTTTTTGGAATCAGTTTCTTCTTGAATGACAGCAGTTTTCTCAACTTGAATTTCTGGTAATTTTTCTTCCACCTCCTTATCAACTATTTGCTCAGCTTCATTCCCATGTCCAATCAATTCCAATTCCTCTTCATGTTGGGCAGTTATTGTCTGTTGTTTGGATTCGATAGCACAACCAGATAAGCCATGATTGGAGAGATCAAGAGTTTGTGTCTCCTTTTGATTTGTGGCAGGAGAACAACGTGCGTGAAGATAAACTTTATAAATCCAGAGGAACAGTTGAGGATCTTGCGTAATTTGTGAAAAGAGTGTGTCTGTTGCCATTTTTTTTGTTTTTTGAAAACGTGATGCATAAGAAATACTTCTAATAGCTTTCTAATGAATTGTAAGCTCGCTAATTTGTGAATTGAATTCCAAAACAGTTTTGACATTGAGCAACTCAAAGAGCTGAAACAAAATAGCAGAGTTTGGAATATGAAAATAAAGGTGAAGAAATTATTGAGGTTAGTGAAAGTGGAAATGAAGTTTAAGGGGTTGAAAGTGTAGTGAGATCATGGAGAAGATGATGAAGAGGAGATTGGAAGAAGAAATAAAGGGGAGTAACGTTGAATAATTTCTATGATTTCTTTTCAATTAAAATCACATGATAGTGAGAATGCTGTGTCATGCTTGTTGTGTATTTTTTGTAGAAGTAAAATAGTAGCGCGATATTTTACCGTTAAATTTTTAAAACAAAAACAAGCACAACACCCAATTCGTGTTGATGAAGTAATTTTTAAAAACCAAGAAAGACATCATCTACAAAAGCAAAAAAACAATCGGAAAAAGAACATGAAGAATTAGTAACTCTTCTTCCAGAAGCAGTCTTGCTGTATTTTCATTGATTTGATGAAATTGTTTTCCCTCTTCCTAACATATGTATCTTTTTGGTAACTGTCAATATAGTTCATTGTGAGTTGCATTCTTCAGCAGCATCCTAAAATGTCATCAAATTGTTTTATACAACAACAAGTCTCAATAATAATAACACAACCATCACTCTATTAATATTTTCAACAATCATCATCAACAAAAAACCTTAACTGTACCTGTTATATTTGCAATTCATTCCATTTGTATCAAGTGACACGAATTATCTTAAGCACACAACTGCTTATTGAATTCATCCACTTAATGCAATAACAATAACAGAATTGCATTTCCATCTACCCTTCACATTGTGTTTCTAAAGAGGGCCTTCTAAAATAATAAGTATGCGACTCAATGTAAATAATTCTATCACAACCCTTATGGACATGAGTATGTATTGTAAACAAACAATCGGAAATGTTATCCAAAACAAAGATATTTAAAAGCCCGATTTCTGAATTTTGTTTCCACTGTCTAAGGATGGTATGAAAGGGGATGTTCATTTCTTGGAACATTTGGGTAACCTACTACTTATTCGAAAGTGACACCGATGGTTGTCGTGCCGCAAAGAGTTTGTTCGTTTGCAATAACTCTGATTTGTTTTGGCTCTTGATTCAGGTGGGCCGATTTCGAATAACTATGGGGACAAGGATGTTTGGGAAGAAACATCTTTCAAAAAAAACTCTGTACACTAAGAATGCCTGAAATTCTTGGCAATACAACCCACGCTAAACATGCTGTGGGATTTAACGTATCCCTCTTGGTAAGTTTCGAATAGAGAACATCTTTACTAATATTTCAATAATTAACAGAAAGGTGGTACTATTACTCAAACGATTGTAAGTTGTTTCCAATAGAATCAATGTTTTCAAACCATTCAGATTGGTGCAATTATCACAGGTTTAGTTGTTGCATCAACTGTTGCTACTATTATTCTCGTTTCTGTTGGTGTTGGTTACTCTAGTCCAGGTAAGTATTTCAGTGTTGAATTAGGCTGGTTTATTCTTGCTATTTTATGTTTTCCTCACATGCCTTCCTCTGGTGCGCTGTTAAATCGTGTTATCTCTCCAAACATTGTTGATGTTCTAAAACATTCGAATAGTTGCCAATCCTGACACTGCCACAACATTCAAGCGTGTTGCTGTTACTCTTGATGTTTTGGCCAATGACAAAGATCCACGTGGTGGTAATCTTACTTTAACCCAAATTGTTGTTTCTCCTGCACATGGTACCGCAAAGATTGTTTCCAACTCCAAGATTGTTTATCAATCAAATGGAGCATTCTCTGGTAATGACACTTTCAGTTATGAAGTTACAAATTCTTTCATGACTGCAAATGCAACTGTAACTGTACAAGTATTGAATAGAGCTCCAGAAGCTGTTCCAATTACTAAAACTGTCTCTAAGAATGTCAAGAATAGTTTGATTGACATTTTTAACTTTGTTGGTGATAATGATCAAAAGATTAGTGATCCAGATTCTGATGTATTGTATGCTGTTTCTTATGATGGTAGAAAGATTTTGAGTGGAAACTCTGATTCTTTTGGTTCCATTACTGTTGATCCATATAATGGTTATTACTATACTCCTGTAGATGGTTTTAATGGAGTTGAACAATTCAATTATACTATTAGTGATGGTAATGATACTTCCACTTCCACTATTACATTGACTATTGCCAATGACGCTCCAGTTGCAGTTGACAATGTCTATAACGTTCCAAAGTATGGTAGCATGGTATTGGATGTCTTGTCCAATGACTATGATATCAATGGTGATGATTTCAATATTTCAAGTGCTGCTGGTACTGGTTACGGAGCTATTGCTGTTGACAAGAAGTTTATTACCTATATTACCTCGAGTACTCGTACTAAGAAGTATTCTGATTCTTTCGAATACACCATCTCTGATGGCAATTTGGAAGCATCCGCTATTGTAATTGTCAATGTTTACAATTCTGCCCCAACTGTTTACTCCAAGACTGTTATTGTTGCCAAGAGCTCTGTTAACAATCTCATTACTGTAGATTACAATGATCCAGATCGTAAGGATTTGGTTTCTTTGAGCCGTGTTACTCCTGCTTTGGCTTCATTGTCCCCTGCTGCTTCATTGTTGGTTACAACCACCTATGAAAATGTCTTTTTCGAATGTTGTGAATGGATCAAAGTTGAAACCAATAATTATACTATTAGTTTCACTCCAGTTGCCAATACTGTCTATACTCAAACTTTAACTGTTACCATGACTGATACCGAAGCTGAAGGTACTGGTATTATTACTATTATTGTTCAAAATACTCCTCCAGTTGCTGTCTCTGATTCTGCTGAATGTAATAAGAATCAACAAGTCTTGATTAATGTTGTTGCCAATGACTATGATCAAAATAGTGGAGACACTGCCTTAATTCAATTGTCAGCTGTTGGTTGGACTAGTGCCACAACAAAGGGTGGTTCTGTTCAACTTTACAATACCACACATGTCTTGTATACTGCTCCAAGTAATTTCTTGGGTGATGATGTTGCTACCTATGTCATTACTGACCAAAGTAAGGATGCTCAAGGTAATCCAGATTCTACCAGTTATTCTAAAGGTACTATTAACATTAAGGTCATTAATAATCCACCAACTCCTGCTGATGATACCATCACCATTTCAAAGGGTGTAACTTCTTCTTTGAATGTTTTGGACAATGATTCTGATCCAAATGATGGTGCTTCATCTGTTTATACTATTAATTCTGTTTCTGCTTCTTCAATTAAGAATATTTTGGCTACTATTCAAAAGACTAGTGGTGCAAAGGATACCTTGTCTTATACTGCTAACAATGAAGAATATACTGACAAGCTCACTTATGATGTCACTGATCAAGACGGCATGACCTCCACCTATAAGGCTACTGTTACTTTGAATGTTATTAACAATGCTCCTGTTGCTAAAGATGATACCTATTCTACCAAGTGGAATAGATCTGTTGAATGTTCTGTTAAGGATAACGATGAAGATATTAACGGTGATTTGGCCAAGTCCACAATTTCCATCACTTCTAATCCATCTAATGGTGCTGCTTTGGTTGTTGGTGATAAGATTGTTTATACTCCATCTAATGGATTCGTTGGAACTGACTCATTCAAGTACAAGTTGAATGATGGTAGTTCTGCAAATGCTGATTCTAATAGTGCTACTGTTACTATTACTGTAACTAATACTGCTCCAGTTACTGTTGCTGATTCTGCCACTACTCACTGGAATAATCCAAATGGTATCTTGGTTAGTCCATTGACCAATGATAATGATCCAGATGGTGATGCTCTTGTTGTTGTTTCTGCTTCTTCTGATTCTTCAGCTGGTGTTGCTTCAGCTGTCGATTCTCAAACTGTTAAATTTGTTCCAAACACTGTCTCTGCCACCACTGGTACTAAACAAGTCACCTACTATGCTTCTGATTACAATATGCAAACTGCTGGAACTATCAATGTTCAAGTTACTAATACCAAACCAGTTGCCAATGCTGACTCTTATACTCTTCACTGGGCTGCTTCTACTACTCAATTGAGTGTCTTGTCAAATGATGCTGATGCTGATAATGATGATCTCTCAGTTGGAAGTGTTAGTGGTAGTTCTGCTGCTGTTAACAGTGGTTCATCAATCACTTATACTCCAAAGAAGGATGGTGTTACTGATATATTCCAATATACTGCTACTGATTCAGTTACTGCTTCTGATGCTGCCACTGTTACTGTCAAGTTCACTAACAATGCTCAACCATCTGTCAGTGATTCCTCAACCACCATTCACTGGAGAACTTTTGCTTCTCAAAACAATCAACAAGATTTCACCGTTCTCAACTCTAACACTGATGCTGATAGTGATTCTCTTTCATTGACTGTTGGCGCTTCTGCTACTGGTATTTCTGGAGCTTCTTGTATCAAGACTAGTGATTCTGTTCCTAAGGTTAGAGTTACTGCTCCAACCAAGACTGTTGGTACTGCCTCTTGTACTTTCACTGTTTCTGATGGCTTAGCTTCAAGCAGTGCCAAGACCTCTGTTGTCATTACTAACAATGCTCCAACATGTAGTGATATTACTGTTTCATTCAATCCAAGTTATATTTCATCTGGTCAATCTTTCTCAATTGCTTCATCTGTAACTGATGCTGATTCTAATGATATTCCATATTTGGTTCCAGGAAGTGCCATCATTGTTGGTTCTACTTACCCAAGTGATAGTTTCCAAGTTTCTGGAAGTAATTTGTTATTCAAACCAATGGCTACTGTTGGTGATCGTAATTATGCTTACACTGTTACTGATGGCGTTTCTACCTCTGCTCAATGTGCCTTCAAGATTGTTGTTAGCTCAGTATCTTCCAGCGATTATGCTCAAAGCTTTGATGTTCATTGGGCTGCCACCTCTGTCAAGCTCGATATTTTGGCCAAATTGACCACTTCAACAATTGTTCGTTTGGGTTCTACCGCTGCTTCTGGTACTGCAACCATCACTGGTGGGATTCTCTATTTCACACCATTGAGAAAGATCTACGTTGACACTTTCACTGTAATTGTTGCTGATTCAGGAAATGTTGAAAGCACTGTCACTGTCACAGTTTCAACATTCAACAATGTTCCAACCGCTAGTCTTGCCACTCAAACTATCAATTGGGGAACTTCCAAGACTATTGACCTCTTGGTTAATTATGCTGATACTGACTATACTAATGGTCTCGAATCTAAGGGAACAGTTAGTAGTATTGATAAGACATCTCTCAGTACTAAGGGTACTGTTTCTGCTCTATCAGGTAGCTCTGTTACTTATTCTGCTCCAGCCAATTATGTTGGTACTGATAGCTTTAAGGTTACTGCTACTGATGGTTTGGCTACTGTCACATTCACTGTCACTTTTAACATGATCAATACTGCTCCAGTTACAAACACTAAATATTTCAGTATTCACTGGGCTACTCACAAGGCTGGTTATTCAATGAATTTGGCAACTGATGTCACTGATGCTGAAGGAAATACCTTAACTTATTCTGTTACTCCATCAAGTATTTCACCATCCACTGCTGGTACCGTTGCTATGGGAACTTCACCAAATGCTGTTGCCACTGGTCCATCAAGTGCTTACTTGGGTAAATTCTCATTCACTTATTCTGCCTCTGATTCTATTGCTACAACTCCTGGTACCGTTCAAGTTACTGTTTACAATAACATGTCCACTCCAGTTGCTGACTCTAAGGATGTTCACTGGAAGGCTACTGGTATTACTCTTAGTCCATTTGCCAAGTTTGCTCCAACCTTTAAGGATGCTGATGGTGACAGCTTGTCATTTGTTAGTGCTTCAGCTCAAAAGGGTACTGTTAGTACTGGAACAACCACTTTAACTTACAATGCTCCTGGAAATGCCATTGGTGCTGATGTTGTCTCTTACAAATTCACAGATGGTGCTGAATCTCTCCAAAATGCTGCCACAATCGTCAATATTAATCTCTTCAATACTGCTCCACGTGCCATTGATAAGACCGCTAGTGGCAAATGGAGTTCAACAATTACAGTTGATTTGAGCAGTTCTTGTGTTGATGATGATTCTTTGGATACTGCTACTTTCAATGGAGCTGTTTCAAGCATTGTTGGTGGTACAACTTCTGTTTCTGGAAAGAGTGTTTTATATACTCCAACTAGCTCACTTACTTATACTGGTTCTAATGGTGTTTATACTGCTACTGGTTCATTCAAATTCCAATGTACTGATGGTTTGTCAACTGCCACTAATCCTGGAACTGCTACCATTACAGTTACTAATAATGCTCCAACTGGTACTGGAAAGAGTACAAGTATTAATAGAGATTACACAAAGACTACCTATGATTTCACTTGGGCTGATATTGCTACTGTTTCTGATGCTGATGGTGACTCTATTTCATACATTAACTTTGCCTCTTCTGATGCTGCAATCACCGTCTCTAATATTGGAACTGGTATCAGATTGACCACTTCAAACAAGTTTGTCAATGGTGCCAAGTCTATTACCTTCAAGCTTAATGATGGTCTTCATGACAGTGTTTCACAATTGACTTTCACTGTTACCTTTGTCAACTCTGCTCCAGTCTGTGCCTCTAACTCTATTACTTTGAATAAGAAGGATTCAATTGATCTCTCTACATTGTTCTCTGCAACTGATTCTAACAATGATCCATTTACTTATGCTTTGACTAGCTCAATTTCCACTGATTTTGGTACAACAGTTGGTACTGTCTTTACCGCTTCAGCAACCCGTAGTGGTGCCACTTCTGTTACTTACACTGCCACTGATACTCTTGCTACCAGCACTGCCTGTACTATTTCAGTAACTATTAACAATAGAGCTCCAGTTGCTGATGACATTTCCTATCAAGTTGTTCCAGTTGCCAGTTCATATGTTCACTCTTACACCTATGTTGCTACTGATGCTGATTCTGATACTTTGACCTATACTGCCACAAGTAATGATTGTGTTTCTCAAAATCTTGCCACTACTCTCACAATCTCAACTTCAGGTGCCATCACCTTCACCAGAAAGTCAACTGCAGTTTCTGGAAGTTGTAAACTCTACATTACTGTTACTGATAACAATCAATTGACCAATGCTCAAGATACTGCCACTATTACATTTGTTATCTCATCAACTTCACCAATTGCTAAGGACGACAGATTTGAAATTAACCAAGGTCAAACTATTAGAATTTTCGCAAGTCAAATCTTGGCCAACGATCTCGATGAATTCAATTCCACATCCACTCTTACTCTCACCAGTATTTCATGCCCAGACTCGACCTATTGTCACAAGACTCCAAGACAAGTTACTTACAATGGTTTACCAGCTGTTGAACTCGATTCTGATTCTTCTACTTGTCAAGCTGATAAATTCAGATATGCCATGACAACTGGTATGGGTGCTGTCAGATATGCTGACGTCTATGTCGAATTTAAGAATTGTTACTGTGCTGCCAAGATTGACTTTGTCTTTTTACTCGATTCCTCCAAGTCAATTGGTTCAACTAACTTTGATTTGATGAGAGATTTGTCCAAGAGAATTACTGGTAGAATGAAGATTGCTGACGATGCCATTAAGGTTTCCATTGTCAAATTCCACAACAATGGTACATTGGCTTTGAAACTCTCCTCTGATGGTACCTTAATTAATAGCACACTCACAACTATGTCCTACGAGGCGGGAAGTACGGCTCAAGTGCCCGGACTCAGAGTTGCTGTTGATGCTTTGAGACCTGCCAATGGTGGTAGAGCTGATGCTGACAAGGTTATTTATATTTTAACTGATGGATTGGCAAACGTTCCATGTTCATGTACCTCTTGCAGAAATGAATGGCAAGCAAAGCCATCAGTCTTTTACAATTCAATTCAAGTTAATATTTTAGGAAAGTACACTGGAAATACCTTGAATTCTCAATTGGACAATTTATGTGCTTACAAGTATACTGATACTTCAGTTTTGAATGGACAAACTTGTTCATACTGTTCCTCAAGTAATTATGCCTATTGTTTACCATGTGCTGATGCTGTTCCAATTGCTTCAAAGATTAATAGTTGGAAGCGTAATGCTAGTGGAGTTGTTCCAACTGATCTTGATAATCCTTACAATGGAAACAATGCTGTTCAATGGAAGATTGTTGCTATGGCTGTAGGTGATGCCATGTCAAATGTTTGGGGAGCCAGACAAATCCAAGGTATGAATTATGATTCCACAAGAGCTATGACTGTTTCTTGGACTGACTTGTCTTCAACTATGAGTGAAATTGTCGATCAATCTTGTAATCAAGTCACAACTACTGCTGCTGCTTAAATAAATAATATGCAATAGCTTTTGATAATATCAAGTGTGTGGGAACAAAATTGTTTGTGATAGAGCATTGAGTTAATGCCTATTTTCTTCACTCCAGGATTTTCCTTTTTAAGTTTGGCAAAAATTTTCAAACTCTTCCAAGCTGCAAGAAGAAAAGATTGAAAGATTGTGTTGGAATGAGACACTTTATTTAGCAATTACCACCAATCAGCAGTGAAAGAACGAGATTCTGGATGACCAAATGGACAACCTGTTCCATCTCCATTTCCATCACCTTCATCATCACATTCTCCAAAAACTCCCATATCATCATCGTCTTCACTCTTCAATCCACTGTATTTTCTATTTTCCTCTGGTGTAATGGCATGATAATTGGCATTTTGAGGAGATTTGAATGAACGTAACCAAAATGCACGATCGAAACTCTTCAATAACATGTAATCCTCCTCGTACTTTTCTTGGAAATCTGGAATCTTTGAGAGAATTGTACAAACTAGAATATCCAATTGTTTGTGAGTGTAGAATGTAATCTTCTTTTCCTTAATTCCAACCAATTCTCTAATATCATCAGGAACTCTCCATCTAATATTACACAAACCCTTAGTTCTCAATTTTTCCACATAGTGTTGCATGGATCCTGAAAAGTTCATCTTGATACCAAGAGCTTTACAAATATCATCAACGAAATGTTGACAATTGGATGAGTGTTGAGAATAGGCACGATGCACATTCCATTCGGAAATGACCTGACTAACCTTTTCAATAGCAACATCCAAATTCTTTGTGGAAATTTCCTGTATATCAATGGCAAGTGTTGCTGCATTACTATAACAACGACGAGGAATACACAATGAACTACTATTCCACTCAATCAACCATGGTCTAATATTAAATTATATTGGAAATTAAAAAATTATTGGAAATTACTATTAAATAAGAACATACCCTAAAATTACACCAGAGTGGAATAAACCAAATTGAGGAGACATGGAAACTGAACTCATAATTGGAGAGAGTAATCTTCTCATAGTTCTCTCCTTCTTATTTTTGGCAATTTCAGCAATTACCAACTTGACCTTGATGGTATCTCTGAAACGAGTGGCAAGTTTCTTACTCAATTCCTCAGCTTCTTCAATGTCGGAAGGAAGTTTATCAAGAGAGGCTGAATCAGTCATACCAATCAATGATTTGGATTCTGATTTGGAATTTAAAGAAAATCCCTTAGATCCATGTTGTGAAATATTTCTCATTGAACTAAATAATTTCTTGATAGCATTAAATTCCTTGTTGAGATAGGCCTTTTTAAGACCTTCAATAGTACACAAATTCTCTGCATATTCCTTCAAGTCGTCATCGCTCATATTTTGAACCTTCTTTGATGATTGTCTGATTTTACCAATGATAACTCCCAATTGTTCTTGATGAGTTAGCAATGGAAAAGAACTATCGGATGATTGACCTGATTGTGAAATAATATCAGAAACAGTTGTTGAACTTCTATCAATTGGATCAACATATCTATATCCATTACCATAAATATCTTGTGAAATTTTTGTAAGAGTTTCAAAAAGCTCAGCACGTAAACCATCTGAATAAACAGGTCTCAATTTATCAAAAACATAATCTCCATAATCGGATGGTTTTGTAATATTAATGAAAATTTGACCATCAATTTTGTGTGAAAGGAATGTTTCTTCATGTTCCTTTGACCAAGCTCCAATTCCCAAATTTTCATCTTTCAATTTTACAATACGAGAATCGTTTCTAATAAGTGAGACAACTTCGTGAGCTGTTAATGTTCTGACATCACGATTTCTAATCATACCAGAATCAATAACAGTTGCTTTACTCACAAAACTACTTGATTTACCACTCAATTTATCATTTTTCTGTCTTTCACTTTCAAAATTAACACTTTCCATATTAAATACTAAACAGTAGTAGAATTAGAAAATAAATTATTAGAAAGTACAATTAAAACTCACCAAATGCGTTATCTTTTAAATGATTAATAGCAGAGTATAATTTTCTCAAGTGACCAAAAGCAAATACAAAATTCGAAACCCAATTTTTCAAATCTTGTTCGGACGAAATTCCACCAATTTTATTCTTCAACAGAGATCCATCAGTTATTCCACATTCTACAAAATCAATATAGTATTCTGATAATCCGTTTAATGATAACCATGTTTGAATGTCCTTTTTGTTCCAATCTTGAACGCGATCTTTATATTTCGTTTAAAATATTCGAAATAATGTGATGATGTTGGTAAATATTTTGTTATTATTACTTGTTGAATACATACCAGATTTGAGTGGTTTCATAGTGTTGATGTTTTGTTGTTTTTTTGTGTGATAAGTTGTCTACAAACAAATAAACAGATGTTTGACACATTCTGCTACATTTATACACTTTTAATGGAATCTGGGTGAAACTGCTGAAGAAACACTAACAAAGATCTAAGGTAAATAACACTTCATTGTTAAATGTGTTTTTACTTGTGAAAAGTAATTGCGCCTAGAGTGGGAGTATTCAAATAAAATACTTTGTCATTTTTCAATATTGTACATATCTACAATTGTTTTGTGTTGATCTCATTATTCCATAACGAAATCAAACTGCTACTAGATAGTTAAATCTGTTAGGAGTGGTTATCAGTTATTATCTGAATCATAATCTTCACTATCATCCTCCGAGTACTCATATTCTTGATTTCTCTTATCTAACCTTGACTCATTCAAGCTCATCTCGGCAAGTGACCTTTCAAGGTTATTAATTGTCTTTTTGAGCTTGTTAACTTCAACTTCTCTGTGTTCCAATTCTTCTTTGTGAGATCGTTCGCTCTTTCTCTTCTCCTTCAAGTATTGAATTTTAAATGATTCAAATCTTTCTTCAATCATCTTTTCCAATTCTCTTTGATGTTGTTTTACAATTTTGCTTAGCTCTAGATCGGATTGGTGTGAAGCTTCTTGTTCATCGTATGGAACTGTAAAACTAGATACTGGTGTTGGAGCCCTTGCTGATGAGGTATCCTTAAGTGTTGTAAATCCGGTTGAACTTGGTGGTCTGAAACTTGTGCCAGACTTTTGTGATTTACTTGTCTCGAATAGTTTCATTTGAAGTTGAACCAATTCGTTGAGATAGTTAGATCGTTGTTCATCTAAAAGCTTATCTCTTCTGGACACTTGCTCTTTAATAATGTCCATTTCTGCAGATCTTCTGGACATTTCAATTTTGAGCGTATCAATTTCCTCTTGTTGAATCAAATTCACACCTTCCAAGTGATTAATTTTTTCCAAAAGGAAGAGATTTTCAGACTTTAAATCATGAAGCATCATTTCCAGATTCTTATTGGTCTGTTTCATTGTCTTGACTCCCTTAGCGATTCTGTCATTCGATGTTGACAAGCTTCCAATAAAGTCCTTCAAAATATTATCAATAGTTTTCTTTGCAATGTCTTCTATTTCCAAAGATATTTCCGAATCCAATTTAACTACTAAGGAATGTTGAGGGCTATTTGTTGAAGTTGCTCTCCTCAATTCCAATAAAGCCTTGTGTAGAACAACCATTGAAGGATTTCCTCCAAACTTGGGGACTGATCTCAAATAAACCTCAGGAATCTTCTCTTGAGCCAAAGTTTTAACTACAGAAATAAATCCTCTAATGAGAGATTCTCTACATTTGGCTTGTTCTGATTGAAGATTTTTATCGAAAAAGGTAATACCTAGAGTAAGGTCGTTAACTCTATCATCAAACTTTCCCTTAATTTCATCCAATTGCTTGATAATTTCACTAAAATGTTCAAATCTAACCTTTCCAGCATATAAATCCTCGTCTTGGAATTGGAAACTTCCCATATGTCTTACCATTGGAGTTGAGAGGTTTGGCAGAGAATCTCTTGTTCCGTTATTATCTCCACTGTAAGGTGTTTCAGCACCCAATCTACTATCCTCAAAAGAATTTCCTACAGCTTTTGGCAATCCTTGAACATTTGGAGAAAGTAAATTAACTTGAGAATTCGTCTTGGACCTTACAGAGTTATTCACCGATACTTCAGAAGCAAATGAATCATTGGCAGTGCTAATCGAATTACCACTGTCATCCAGATTTTGTCTCGAATGAATACTATCTTCAAATTCTACACTACCCTTTGATGGATTTCTTAATAATTTTGATGGAACAGTTAGAGATTGATTTACAATTGTAGATTCAGATCCACGATATGAATTTTGAATATCAGAGTTATTATTATCATACTGATTACTTGTTGTTGGTGTTATGGAAATTTCGCTGTTATCAATTCCAGAATAAGATCTTCCAGAAGAATGTACAAGTCTAGCATCCGATTCAATAGTTAAGGATCCCTTAGAAGAACTATTCTGCGTTCTCCTCACGAGAGGTTGAGCTGTACTGGATCTTGATTGAGATGAAGATACACTACTACCTGTACTTGCTGCTCGTTGTTGAAGCTGTTGTCGATAGGCCATTGAACGTGGCTTTATATTCTGATGACGTGCACTGTTTGAAACTGGTGTTATTGTTCTACTCATTGATGAGCTATTACTTGGAGATAAGGCAACATGTTCATCATGATTATCAGCATCATTGCTATGATCTAAAATTTCCAATCCATTGTTAGAAAACCCTTCCGAACTCCAATTAGGCCTTCTGATTGGTGTTGAAGGGGATTTCATTGCTTGCATTTTTTTCTCTTCTTCCTTAGTTTTTAACGACATCGTAGTTGATTTAATAACGGAAAGTTATTTGTTCAAAACTTGATGGCGGGCAATATAAAGTAAATCATGATATGAACCTCATATCATTTTCTATGTAGATGTATATTGATCAGCTAGTTTCTTTCTTGTTGCTAAATAAGCTGATGATACAATGTATTTGTTGTATGTATCAATTTACTTCATCATCATAAAAATTAATATAAATTCCTGCCATTCATCCTTGTTAATAAAATCCTCTTCATCATAATTTGCTTTTTAATATATTTTGTTTTATTGATGTGTGTTCTTGCCGACCTCGTAAAGTCAATTCAAAATTCCATTGTACAAGTTTTTACTACTAGAGTGTTCCGCTTCTATTTAATGATGGCTCGATTGTGTTGTTTCCTTTGGTTCGGTTGTTTTGAATCTGTTTGAATAAGTATCCTTTTGTTCGAGTAATTTCTTTTCAACCTTCTTGTGCCATTCAGACTATTTAAAAAAGACAATTAATAAATAGAAGAAAATCATCATCATACCTCTTTAAAATGGTGCAAACATTCCACATAATCTTCCAAATTAGCACTACAGGCCTTTGGTTGTTCATTGTGATACATGCAGCTTCTGTAATCCATCCAGAGACCGTAACATCTTCCGTTCTTGCTTCTAACACCGTAACCTGATGACATTTTTTATTTTAAAAAAATATTTTTTAAATAAAATTAAAGAGAACAATACTCCCAACAAGTGAACGATAAGATAAAAAGGAAGTTGAAATTTGAGTCAATTGACTCAGTGATATTAAGATATTCTCTCATCATGAAATTTATTCTATTGTCAGTGAATGAGTAGAAAAAAAAAGCTCTTCTTTTCATTGAACCAATTTCAATTTGGTTCAATAAGCTATGAAATCAATATTCACAGAGTCACAACAAGTGACTGCATTTTGCATTATTCTCGTGGTATTTTAATACGTTCTGTAACTCTTCCAAACAGATTTACAAATGAAAGTTCCATAATATTCGAAGATAATCTTATATAGATAAATCCAGATTCTTGTTGGAATTTCTTCAAGTATGGATGGTGGTTTGAAACATCAAAGCGAACAGCTGATCCAGCTCCAGAAATGAAATGGTTAAGAGTGTCGTATGGTTTCAAGTATTGAATACTGTGGTCATGTCCTGAAAAATAATATCTAATATCATTCTTCCTAAGGAATGGAAGTAAATGTTCAATGAGATTTTCATTGTCTCCGTGTGTGGATGCTGAATAGAATGGATGATGTCCAATTGCAATCTTCCACAATGGAATATCACTTTTCTTATCATCGGTGGCAAATTCATTCACATTCTTTCTCAAAATATTTGTTCTCGATCTTTCAGAGTTGATGAAATATGAAATGGCATCCTCTTCTCCACTCTCAATGTTCTCGTCTAATTGTTTCATAACAGTTTCCATGTACTTTTTTTGAGCTCGAATATCTCTGGTTTTGTGGAGGGCTTCCTTATTCATTTTAGGATGAGTATAATACTTGTGAATGAATGGATTAGTATCGAAAAACAAAAATTGAACTCTAAAATCAAAATTTCCAACTAGATTTCCAATAGTGTCAGTTCCATCTTTGGAAAGAAGTTGAATTCTCTTCTCTGGGAAGTACATTGTCTCTGAAAAATACTCTGATGCAATATATAAACGTTTGGATGAAGAAGGGTGATTGGTATATTCGATTTGAGCTGCTGGATTGGATCTATAATCTAAATTATTTAATAATATTAATCCAATTATTATAAAAATTATTGAAATTCCACATACCATGATTTCCCAAAACAGATAAGAATGGAATTTTTTGCAAACTTTCATGTTTGTACACATTTTCAAAACTCTCCTTAAACAAAGGATCATCTACAGATTTTACACCCTCTATTATTATTATTAATATTGAAATAATTAAATTTCCACTCCAAACAGTAAACTTACCTTGATAGAAATTATCTCCAGTTGAAATAGCAAAATCACATCCAAAATTTTGACAATAATATCCCATCTGCTCTGCAACATGTGACTGATTGAATGCTCCCTTTCTTCCCCAATCCCCAAATACTATAAACTTTAAAAACTTTTCATCAGATTTTGAAGAATACTTCAAATGCCAATCATTCTTATCATTACTCGAAACAACAGAATAAATTCCAATCTTGAATTGATCCATCTCTTCATCAGTCAATACAAAAAACACAACACTCATCAAAATAATGGTCGACAATATTATCAACAAGGAACAAATCAAACACATGGAAAAATAGGGCGAATTTCTAATAATTCCAAATTGTGAAAGTTTTTGATGTTTCTGTTGCCACATTGACAAGAATCCAGAATCTTTCTTACTATCCGAATATGAAGAATAGGATGATGGTAATGTTGATGAAAATTGGAAAGTAGATGTTACAGTACTCGGATCAGATGAATATTCCCCACCACCACTATTACCCTGTCCACTATTCGATGCTCGGAACATTCCACCACCAACACTATCGACACCTACTCCTCCTCCAGCACCTCCAGCACCAGCACCTCGAAATGATAATAAATTATTGCTCGAGAAGGTTTTTCTATTGTTGAGGAGGTGAGCCATTTTTTTTGGTAATGAAATTGATTTAAAATTGGCAAGTCAGTGATAAATTATAAATTGGTGGAACACGTGTCATTGATGAAGATTGTGTGAAATTGGGAAATGTTTTCAGAGGAAAATGAAAAGGATGGAAACAACACAGTTTATTATCACTTTGAGAGCTCAAAAAGATCACCACTCTTTCGAAATTGAGGATGATGATAATATTATAGAAAATTTCTCTGTTGCACACAATACTTTCCAACTCCTTTAATATCTTAATATTTTTTTGTAATTTAGTATTAAACATTTTATTAAACATTTAATTTTCATTTACAAAAAAAAATGCCATTCTTTGAAGACTTTCTCACCACTCCAGCACGATCAAATAATACCAATCATCAACCAAAGAAAAAACCCACATCCACTAATAACAAACAACAACAACAAAATACATCAACAACACAAATGGTCGATGATGTTGTAGAAGTAAATTCCGATGATTCCGATGCCATTGTTTCATCACCCTCCACTGCAACTCATAAACGAAGGATTCCCAAAGTATTAAATCATACCAAACCCATTGTTGTTATTGATGATAAAGATGAGAGGAGTAGCAGTGGTGCTGCTGCAATTGTTATTGAAATTGATGATATGACAAAGCCTAAGGTGAAGAGAGAACGTTCGGATGATGTGGTTTTTGTATCATCAAAGAAAGTGGTGGTGCAATCGACTTTATCGGAGCCTTCAATTGTTGCATCTTATAATAATAATGGAAGCAATAATAGTAATAATATGAATAATATGAATAATATGAATAATAGTAGTAGTACTTTATCAAATTCGACAACTACAATGGGCAGTACTGTTGCAGCAATGACACAAGAAAAATCACAATCTAATAATTCATCGATTAATAGTGGAGAAAAGAGCAATCATTCCTCTAATAATTTGGAAAGTAATAATTCGAGCCAGTTTTCACAAGTTTCAACGAGTGCTAATAGTGCTATTACTACTACTGTCCAGACTACACCAATAGGAAACAATAATTCCAGTAATGGCGTGGCAGTTGTAGGTTCGCCCGATGTCATTGCCAAATTACCAAAACCTAAAATTGAGGAAAATTCAATAATACCATCATTACAGCAAGCTAATCCTATTGTGAATAATCAACAACAAATGGGAAATGTCAATGCAGATATGAGAAATAATTCGAACCCCTCTATAACAAGTGGAAATAATCAAACATCACAACAGAAAGATAACCTCAATCAAGTGACTTTAAAAATTCCAAATAATTCCACACAATCTGTTAGAACAGTGAGCCTAACTTCTTCAAACATTCCTCCTCAACAACAGCAAAATATTGCAAAACCAAAAGAAACTATCCCAACAGTACCAACTCCACCTTCTCCAATTTTCCAACCCAACCAAAATCCTGTAAATACCAGAATACCAAGCCCTGCTAGCAATGTAACAAATCCTACCAATCAAATTAACAGACCTGTAAATAATAATTTAACTATCGAACAACTCACGCAACAAACTCTAATCACAATTGAAAATTTGAAAAGGAGAGTTGAGTTTAGTACTGTGTCATGCCCTGTAACACGAAAAATCGTTACTAATCCAGTTTTGGCTAGTGATGGAATTGTATATGATAGAACGTTCATTCTGTCCTACATTTCTGAGCATGGAAGTTATAGCCCTATAGTGAAAGGATGTAAAATAACTGAGTCTTCTCTCATTAATGTTGATAGCATATATGCAAAGGCTGTATTAATGATTGAGTGTAGAATTTCAAAAATAATTGAAATACTTCAAAGCCCTGATTTTTTAAAGCTAGCTCCCTTAATACCGGAAAATTATTTGGATTTGATTAAGTTTGCTTTGGATTTAATGGCAGAAGGGAAACTAAATACACCTTCCACACCAAAATTTATTGAATTTTTAAGAAAGAACAAAGCCAAGTTACTATCTCATTACAGTTCCAAGTTGAAACAACAAGGGAGAAACGATCAATCGTTGTACATACTTATGGAAAGTTATGAAATGCACAAAATTGGATGCCACTGTGACGATATTGCTTCTGTCATAGTTTCACTTTTGACTGAAACTAAGGAACAAAATGTTGTGAATGAGGAAAAGAAAGCAGAATTGATACGAGATCTTTTTACGATTTCAAATTTGTCTCTTCCTAAATTATTGACCTATTTTAATATTGAGAAAGATTTTGCCATAATATTGGACATACTTTCAGTAATGATCAAACGAAACATGTGTAGATATGAGGCAATTTCAACTTTTATAATTCAAACAATAACTGAGATCAATAAGGGAGAAATAGACAATCCATTTTACAAACAAATTTTGTTTTTCAGGGATCAATTAGTGATTTGCAGAAAGGAAATGGAATAAATTTATTTAAATTGGCAGTTATCTATCTGAAGATGAACCAACATTTGATTTTTTCAAAGGTGGCTCAAGAGAAGAAGTAGGGAAAGATGGGAATGGTGAAGGAGTCCAAGGAGCAAATGGGTTTGATGGAAGAGGAGTCATACCAGGGAAAAGACCAGGGTTCAAAGGGGAAGGATGAGGCATTTGACCCATTTGACTCATAGCGTTTGACATATCTGCAACAGGCATTGGTTGCATTCCATGATAGCCTAGAGGAGTCATAGGTTGATGATGGTGATGAACTGTATGAATTGATGGTTGTTGTTCATGTGCTTGAAGGCCAAACATTTCAATCTTATTTCTATTAAATCCACATTGGAAGAAGAAGTGATTGTCTTTTTCTAACCATTTCTTTTCTTCGATATCAAGTTGAATATCAGGATCCATGAATTTTGCTTGACACTTTCCCTTGATACTAACCAAAGGACCATAGTGCATATCTTCATGAGTAAGGAAGATTTCCTTTTCACATGGATAATCATGATGTTTTCTACATTTTGATTGGTTTGTTGCTTCTTCGATATTACATCCAAATCCTTGTAAATCACTCCATCTGTAGTACCATTGCCCAACAAATCTCATTTCATCATTCTTTGTTTGAACAAAGTTTACAATTTTACAAACCCAATATTTTTCGATATCTTTTCTTTCATCAAGAGCCTCGTCCTTATCTTGTCTATCCTCTGAATCACAATCCTCAGGAGAGACAAAAACTATATCGTTAACTCGGTAAACAATTCCATCCTTCAATAAATGAGCATAAAAATAGTCTCCATTATCATTTAATCCAACAGGTTCACCTAGCCAAGACATTCCTGAACTCATTGGATAAAGTTGTGCATTTGGATCGTGAGAAGAATACATTTGAGGCATATGATTTGGGAACATTGGAAGGAATGGATTATACATCATATTCATATCATTCATTGGCCATGGATTGGCATTAGGATCAATATATGGATTTGGAGCATACTGGTTAATCATTTCTCCTTCCTCAGGTTGAGTTTCCTTTTTTCTCTTTTTTGTTGTTGATCCCTTTTTTGTTTTTTTACCTGTTTGTTGTTTTGGTGAAGTACAACCTGTAGTAAATTTTGAGTAATCAACTTTTGTTGTAGTGGTACAGGCCTTTGTTACAACCTTAACTGTTGGATTGAGAGGCATTGGTTGATTCAAATATTTGGAAATGTTAGCATCCTTTTTCACAAAAGTTTTGAATTCAGCAGAGAAAATTGTAAAATGATAATCATCAGATGAGTCTGTTGGGGTGTACTTTACACAAAGTCTGAAAGGCATATATTGAAATCTCTTTGAACAATATAAACTATTGATACCAAAACGTATTACAATTTCTTCATCTGATGATCTATGTAAACTAGAAATATTAATAGTAGATTTGTCTTCTGACTTTTTAGGTTGGGAAGATCCTTTCTTTTTTGATACAGTTGCCTTCTTTTTCTTTGAACTTGTTTTACCATCAGCAACTGGGGAAGTAGGATCTTCTGGGAAAACAGGGATACGATCATTATATCCCATTACAAGAAACATATCAATTCCTTCCATAATTTTAACTTGATTCTTTCCAGCAAATATCTTTTCACTACAAACAATTCTAACATCATACTTATGTTTCCATGTAAGTGTATAAAGTACTTCTGGGAATTCTTCTGTGAATGTGGTGTGCCTAGAACCCTTAACAAACAGTCTAACATTAAATGTTGGAGCATGTGGGTTATGTTGTTGTTGGTGAAAATGTTCGGAAACTGTTGTTCCTGAATTAGGAAGATTAGGTTTTTCATCTTGATCACTTGGGATACAGTATTGACTCCAATCCAATCTTGTTCCGACACTGATGCAATCAGTTACATAATGTTCATATACTATTGGTAAGTGGTATTTCAAAGCATGGTTAATTCTTTCTTTGTCATGATTGTTAGAGTTAGGAGTTATAAGTATATTAACTTTTTCATTTGGAGCATCAAAGAATTGACCTCCATTAGAAATAATTTTAAACTTTAAATCTTCAAGATGTGGATCTAAAAGAGCCTGAGAAAAACAGACAAGAAACCCTTCGAATATCTTTTCTTGAAGCCCAAAATGGGAGTTATACATATCATTAGTTGTCTCTGCAGCTGCTTGAACAATTACATGTTGGTCAGTTGCTGTAGCAGAGTAATCATTATGTTGTTGTTGGTTTAATCCCTCCGAATTATCTAAAATAAAACCTTGGTTATATGATGATGATTGTTCTGATGACACTGATTCATCATCGGTTCTTTCATCGTCTTCAGTCTTAAAATTTGTAATGTTCATATTATTATATACTATCTAGTCGTCCGATTATAATCAGCCAACTATTCCAAGAACCGATGATAGATGATGTTAGTCAAAAAATACTATTTATTATCCAGCCAGGAGAGAACACTTTTGTAGATGAGAAAGTGTTGGGTGTGATGATATTTTTTTATTTAATAAAATAAATATGTATTTTTATTTGCTGGCTAAAATACCGCCCAAATTATTTTCCACTGATTGCTTCTTCTTGTAATTGGGCCTCAAAATTTATTGCAATAAAACTAATTTATTACCACTCTAGAGATTTATCTTGGGATGGCTTCTTATCTTGTGGTGTTGAGGCAGCATCTGTTTGAGATGAAGATGATGATTGTTGTTCAATCTCTTTGGCCATTGCTTCTCTACCTGCTCTTGCTTGACCATGAGATGAGTATAAAGTAATTCTGGCAGTACCCTTGTTAAGACCTTCAAGGAAGACACATGCTCTACACAATTCTTGACTACTAATATAACCACACTTGACACAGTTCATCAAAGTTCTCTTTTTTACAGTGGAATCCTCTGAGATTGTTTCATTGGTAAATTCAAATTGTTCAGCAGATTTAACAATATCAATAATTGTTTGAGGTCGTAATTGTTCCAAATCCTTGATAAGTTCTCTAGCATGTCCTCTGTAAGCATTTGGAGAATAAGAGCACTCAGTACTAAAGTAATCTAATTTCTTAAAATAGGCGTAGAGAACAATTTCCTTTTGATAAGTATACTTGAATGGTTTGGCTCTTGGAATGCTAAAACCTCCTTCATCATGTGTAATAATATCAACACATCGTTCAAGTCTTCCAATATCTCCTCTAAGAATATTCATCAAAACAGTTTCAGCAATATCATCGGCATTGTGACCAGTTACCATCTTGTCAACCTTTAATTGTTCACATCCTCTATCAAGTGCTTGTCTTCTGAAAACTCCACAGAATGTACAGTTATTCTTCAATCCGATTTGTTGAACAATTTCATCCATTGACCATCCATATAATTCTTTATAACTTAAAATTTTGAGAGGTACTTGATATTGCTCTCTATTTCTTTTAACTGTTTCTAAACTATCATCTCTATAACCTTTAATACCTTCATCAATACTCAACAAGTATAAATCCAATCCGTAATTATATCTTTCATTCAAAACTTTCATAATATGTGCCAACGCTGTAGAATCCTTTCCACCACTAGCAGCAATAGCAACCTTATCTCCAGGTTTAAATAAATTATTATTAATAATAGTTTCATGAATTTCCGTCTCGAACAAGTCAAAGAAACATTCCCTACAAATGAGGGCTCCGTTCTTTGGTCTTTTAAGTGCTGCGTTTCTAGAGTTGCAGTTTGCACAAGGCTTTGGCATATTTTTTTTGAATTTAAAATTTATTCTTTGTTGAGGCCAAATTTCAAAATTGCATATTCAATTATTAAAAAATTGTTTATTAGGAAAGATGACCAGTAGCTTTATTGGAATTAATTTTTTATTGAAATAATCTTTAAAAAGATGCTTTACAAAAATATGAACCTTGATATATTTCGACTAATTAGAAGAATAATCACCAAACAAGCCTAAAAAAATGCCACCAAGAAAGAAATCAGCCAAAAAGAAGGAAGAGGAAGAGAGTGACGAAGAAATACTAGAAGAACCAACCGAATTTAATATTACAATAGATGATGATGTTAAACCTTTCACAAACGAATATGATGAATTAGTTAGATTTGATTCTCTCGAAAAGCTTCCTTCCGAAGTTGTATTTGAAATATTTAGCTTTTTACCTTCTATTCCATACTATTTTAAATTGCAATTGTTGAGTAAATTCTACAAGGAAAAGTTTCAAGAAATTATTACCCAAACAAAACATTTAGATCTTGCACCACTCAATCTTCAACATCATGCAATTTGGCCTAAAGTATGTCAAATGATCAAAGATTGTGGATCTTCATTAAAGAGTATTCAATTTGGAGAATTAAATTACAAATGGAATGAAATCAAGGAAGCAATTCTAAAGAAATGTTCCAAATTGGAAGAACTTGCATTAGTAACTCCTACCATGTACTTTACTTCATTATTCAGAAAGGATGGCTCTTACTATGGATATTATGGTGGCCCTACTGTTGACTACTCTGAAGATAAAAAAAACAGAGATGTATGGTGTGATACTCTTACCACACTCAATGTGATTGGTTTAGAAAAGCCAAGAAAAGGCAGACGAAATCATAGTTACCTTCTCACAAGTGCCACTTTCAAATATATTCTTGAAAAATTCCCAAAGCTCAAAAATATTAATTTCATTCTTACTAATTATACAGAAATGCAAATTCAATCTCTTTATGATGCAGTTGTAAGAAATAGAAAGAGATTACTTGAGTGGAGAGAAAAGGGTGGTAGTACTGATGGCCTTTATGAACGAACTGGAATTTGGTATGAAGAAGCTATTGGAATTGTAGATTTTGATATTCCACACGATTTGAAAATCAATGTACAAGGAAGTATTGGAAAATTATCATCAATCGATGCTGCTAAAAATATTGTAGAAGTTTACAATATCAATCCAAATACCAAGTTTGAATTCTTATTCCAGAAGAATTCAAATGGTACATTACTAGATCAAATTATTGGTAGCCGTGCTGCTTACAAACAAAAACATCAAGGTTAGTTGACATTTTCCCATTTTTATAACATTCCAAAGTAATTAACTATTTATTGAACAATGGAAGTCTTATTTCCAACCTGTCTGCAAATTCATGGCTCAATATTTTAAAACAACCAAATGAAAAAATCAAAAATCTTTTAGAAGAAATTACAAAATGGGTGGCCACCAAAAATGAAGGAAAAATGCTTTCTTCTGGCATATTCGCCTTAATAGTTTCAGGATGTATTTTTAATAATGTTGGAAATTTTATCAAGAATCTACAAGTTATGTTAAATAATGGCTGGTCAGATGTCAAAGACCAAAATCAAGACTTTATAACACCATCAATCATTTCGAACGAGTTGTGCACTTTTATGATTGAAAAGGCAGGATGTAAACTTAATCCAACGACCGCTGCTACATTACTATCATCAGCTCTTTACTCTCACTTTAACTCACTTCCAATAGTTTTAAAGCTAGTTCCAGAAAAATTAGCCGAAACACCAACTGGGCAAGTTAAACCAACTCTCTCCCATGCCATTTCCAATTCTGATATACCTGATAGTGTAATTAATTATATTTTTGATTTTATTGTAAAGCCAAGTTATGCATTGAATGTGTTCACAAATACAGCTACTGGTGAAACTATTATTCATCAGCTGATTGCTGCTGACAGACTTGAACCTCTGCGTCTATTGCTTGACATGCTTAAGGAACAAGAAAGAATTTCAAAAATTATTAACATTCCAAATAATTCAGGAGATACAGCACTTCATATGGCCTGCAAAAATAACAAGATTCAACTAGCAAAAGACTTGGTAAATCATTATAGTGCTAATAAGAATTTATATAACGCCGATAATCAATTCCCTTATGATTTATTGAAAGTTAGCTCCCTTTCATTCCTTCCTGAAATTTTAAAGCCAGATGAGGAAAAAGTTGAAGAGCTTAAAGAGTCCATAAAACAGAAGGAAAAAGAAATGCTTAAAGCACAAAAGAAAAAATCTCCAAAAAAGTCAGCAACCAAACGTAAAAAGGAAGAAAAGGAATCTGAAGAGGAGGAAGAGGAGAAACCAAGAAGGTCAACCAGAAAGAAAACCAAAAAGGAAATCCCAGTTGATTTAACTGACGATGATGAACAGGAAGTAGTTGAGGTGGAATCTGAGGAGGAAGTAAAACCAAAAAGAAAGCCAAGAACCTCGAAAAAAAAGTAACAGTATTTCCAATGAGTATCAATAATATCACCTTAGAATTGTTTAATAAATTGACATTAATTAGAAACAAGTTTTACAAAAACCAACCTTTAAAAAATGAGAGAACCAACAGTATCGTATCTCCTTCCCTATCCCAACAACAAGATCAAAGCACATCGATTCGGAATCAACAAATTAATTTATTGTGGAGAGAATCAAACAGATAATGATCATCATGAATATTTGCTGTCTGGAGGAAGAGATGGTACTATTAAATGTTGGTCTTTAAATAATGTAGGAAAACAAACATCCATACAATCATCACCTTTATCATCATCGAGTCCATCATCATCTGATCATCATCATAAATATGTATTTAGTTTGGAAGAGCATGTAGATTGGGTAACCGATATGATTTTACTTGCAGATAGACATCATTTAATTAGTTGCAGTCAGGATAATACTCTAATGTTGTGGGACGTTGATATAAATGATCCGAAGCATTGCTTAACATACAGGTTAGTATAATTTGGAGAGTGGATGAAAAATAATAATTATTTGATTAGAACACATACTGATTATGTTACTTGTTTGGCTGCTCCAACAAATCATTCAGGACAAATGACCTGTTCAACATTTTGTTCAGGAGGTCTAGATTGCTCTGTATTTGTTTGGGATGCTGAAAGGTTATGCTCAATAAGATCATATTTTGAATCAATTAGTAATAATATAGTTAGTAATCAACAAGTCAATAATCAAGAATTTGGCCAAAAACCTTTCCAACAATATGATATTCAGAGCTTGCAAAATTATTATCCTCCTCATCTTAACCCTCAACCAAAGCATAGCGTCTATGCCCTTGATATATCAACATGTGGAAATAATGGTACATTAATAGAACAGCACATGTTGGTAGCGGCTGGATCTACTGACCAACTTGTTAGATTGTACGATTTGAGAACTTCATCAAAGGTTGGTAAACTAAGAGGCCACAAGGATAATATTAGATGCCTTAAATTAACAACAGATGGAAAAAATTGCATTACTGGATCAACAGATGGTACAGTTAAATATTGGGATTTAAGAAACCAGAGATGTTTACAAACATTCTCTTTCAATTCCTCAAAAACCTCTACTAACGCATCAATTTGGACCCTAGAGTTTGATCCATTCGACACAGATCAAGCCTCTTTTACAATTGGAACCAGAGATGGTTTTGTATATTATCTTGATGCAAAGAATAAGAAGATGTGTACTGTTGCAGATTTAAATTCAATGACATCTCAATCATTTAACAAGCATTCAGTTCTTTGCACTAGTATTGCTCCAAAAGGTGGAAAATTATCGAGCACAATTTGGGTTGGATCTACTGATTCAAATATTTATGAGTTCGAGTATGGTAAATTAGTGGATGGATTATCTGCATCTAAGGATCCTTACAGTGAAAACAATGCTGTACTGACTCCAAAATCTGCCTCCAACTCTTTTAATGCTATGGATATGTCGCCAGTATTTTCTAATCTTGTAGATTATTCTCCACTAACTCCAAAAACTCCAAGCAGAGCAAGAGCTAGCTCATTCCAAGTGCAGAGAAAGCCATCAGGAACATTGCATTGTCATCCAAAGTCAAAAATTCTTGGATGTCCTGGTATTATTGCACACTTTATATTGAATTGTAGAAAGAGAGTGTTAGTGAAGGATAACTCTGGAAGAGTTACTCTTTGGGATATTACCACAGGTAACATGATCAAAGATTATACAGAACTCAATAATACAATGACAGATGACGGAGAGGATTTATTTGAAACCTTATGCAACGATTTTTCTAAAGAAATGATTTCTGTGAGGAATTGGTTCACTGTTGAGAAAAAGTTGGGATGTCTAGAAATTGTACTCAATCCAAATGAATGCTTTAATGCAGAAAATTATGCCTTCGAGTCTGGTTTCAAAGATGCTATTGAGGAAGAAAAGGTCAACTATGGAGTAATGACCATTCAGGCTCTGTTTAGAAATTGGAAAGAATGTAGAAATGAAGTTTTATTGCAACAAATGTCAGAAGAGGAACGTAAAGAAAGAGAAGAAAGGCTCAGTACTGAGCAAAGAGAAGACCTCCCTCAATTACTACCAGAGCGTACATTTAATTTACCTGAAAATACTTCTGTAATCGTTCACTTTGAAAAGAATGATAGTGAGAAGAGCCCTTTCAAAAAGCAACTAAGACACTTTGATGGCAATGAGACCGAAATTACTCACATTCCTCAGTGGGTTGTTGATATTTTAAGAGGTATTCCTCCTAATGTAAACCCTCAGTCACACAAACTTTCATTCTACTTGGAGCCGGCTCATGATGAAAAGTATCTTGGACCACTTCTTCAAAATCATGCCAAGTTGGTTGCTCATAGAATTTTGAGAATTTACAAAGTTGCCTCTCACATTGCAACAAAATTGAATCTTGAGCTACCTACTGTTAAAGAACTGGAGGAATCAAAGAAGTTATATTATGAACTGAAAGCAAAGGAGCACGAAGAAAATCCTCAAATTCCCCTTATAACTCAACAGGATGACGAGAACTTTGATGAGTCCCTCAAGTTGAGTGCAGAACGTGATCCAAATTCGCAATGTCGCCCAGAAGAATTTATTGAGATTATTTGTTATGGAAATAGAATGAAAAATACTTGGAATTTAGCTATTGCCAATGCGTTTTATCGTCCAAATAATGTATCTTGGATAACCCTCAACTATAGACAACGATACAGAACCAAGTAATCAAGTAGACTTGTTTTGATTTGTGTAAAATTGTAAATTCAAAAAAGAGGGGAAATTGAAAAGATGGGCCTATTTGGTATGCTTGAACTGCACCAAAATGAAAGCCATAGTGGTATTCTTTCTTTCTGTCTATTGAGTCCAAGAATATTAAACTATCACATCCAATTAATTATTTCATTTATCTTAGTTATCCAAGTTTAAACAATCAAATATCAAAAAAATGAACTCTGTATCGGAAAAGATCTCACAAACAGCAAAAGACATTAACGAATTTGTTCACAATCATCCAGCTTGGACAGCCATCGGAACATTGTGTGTCTTGTATATTGGAGGTAGTATTTACTTTAGAAGAGATAAGCCACTCTTGAAGGATGAAAATGAGTAATTATTTATTTGGATCATCAATCACCAGCAGCCTTTATTTAATTAATAAAAATTATTTCATCCTCCTTCCTCATCATCAAATAATTTAATTTAATAATAATAGAGTAATAATTTATTAATATAATCAATTAGCCAAATGGACTCCATTCAAGTCCACGCTCATCATCATGATATTAATAATAATATTCATCTAATTTAATTAAAAAAAATGTCCAATTTATTCAATAAAGTAAAGAAGCTTGTCTCATCAGCAGCATCGACAATATCGGGATCCTCAACAAGAACATTCGTTGGAAAAGATATCAAGGGAAATAGCTATTTTTTGGAGGTGGATACAGGAAAGGAGAAGAGAACTGTAGAGTATTCTAAAGGCTATGATACCTCTGCTTTGCATTTACCTCAAGATCTTCCATTGGAGTGGGTTTCGTGGTTAAAGTATTTACGTGAAAAACCACCAACAGAAAAGGAATCCAAGATTTTGGCTGATTATAGAGAAAAATTAAAAGCAAATGGAGAAAAGTGGGATGAAGAACAAAGAAGACTCTTTTTACAAAATCAAGCAAATGAGGGAAATGCTAGAAATAATATTAGGAGTGAAAATGAAAATTATAGACCAAGTGATACACCACCATCTTTCCAATTTGTTGCAGATCGTCTCAAAGAAGAGGGAAAACTCTCTAATGAAGCTGCCACTTTGACAGAAGAATTTGAAGGTGGAGACAAGTCACAAAATGTAAGACTTTCAAAGATGTTATCTGCAAGTGGAGAATTGAAATCAACCTATTCAGCTAAGGAAATGGAACAATTGAGGAGAGGATCTAAAATTGCACAATACGAGGAAGAGCAAGCCAAATCAGAAAAAGATCCATTTGCTCATCTCATTCCAGATGCCAGATATAAGAGAAATCGTACTGATGAAGATGTTCAACAACTTCTTAACCAAGCTGCTGAAGAATTTGATTTACCAAAGGATATGAGAAATCCATCCAATCTCACTCAGGAACAAATCAGAAATGTATCCAAACATTACTCAAAATCTAGAACTAGTCCTTTCCTTGGTAAGAAACCACAAGTAAGAGCCAATTCTGGATTTGTAAATAATGAAGAAGAAAAGTAATGTGTTTTGTATCAATTTTATTATAAATTATCATTCGAAGTTTCAAGGATTAAGAAAAGAAGTTAACTTCAAGAAAATTCAGGCAGAAAGGTATCACAATATATGATAAACCTTGGTTTTATTTGCATGAAGAGTTCTTACATTGTTGTTTGAAGAAAACAGTTCCCTTCTCAATCAATGAAGAAACATATTCATCACTGGTTGGATACATTTTTGGCTTAATGAGAGATGAGACTTTGACTTGATGTCGAGGTTTTCCATAGAGATCAGCCAATGCTTCACTCGGTAATAAATACCATCTCAAGTGGCCGTACTTGGATTTGAAGCCATAGGTTTCTTCATCTCCAAATAGTTTTGTAATTTCTTCCTCAAAATCCAAAGTAAAGTTATTATTCTTGACTAGCTCAACTGACTGATCGAGTAATTGTTGAGCATTTTGTAAAATATCGGCATAATTGTGTAATTTCTTTGGTTCTGAGGTAAATAATTGATTGAACTTTTCAACAAATTCCAATTGACCATTTTGGAAAGTCACATCTGTCAACTTCTTTCTGTGTTGTGTTAAAAACTTGGTGAAATTGGCATGAATTGGTGCTGAATTGGAATCGAAATTTCTGTGCATCCATTCGTTTGTCTTTTCATTGAAAATATAATAAGGCAAAAACTTCCAACCATGCGTGGCCACAAAATCCATCGCATTAAGTATAAAGTCCACCATCTTGTCATCGAAAAAGTAATTGAAATTCAATCGTATCCATCCAGGTTTCAAATGAACTAGTGAAATAGGACTCTTATACGATTCCAATAAGGCTCCCTCCAATTCGTGAACTTCCTCTTGTGAAATACCGAGAATTTCCTCTCCATACGGACCTGCACAAGCACAGCCACTTCTCGTCTGAATTCCAAACAAATCATTCATGAGTAAACTAATGAAAGAGTGGTGCAAATAATAATCACCATGTTTGACTAGAAAGGAAAAGAAGGCCAATCTATCAACTCCTCCCATTGATGCTTTCTTGACCTGGTCCTAGAATGTGTAAATTTGGATTCCTACTCAAGAAATCAAAAGCCCTCTGTCTGTAATTCTCCTCAATTTTTGTAATCAATTCAGCTCCAACATCTTGTTTCAATTTGAATGCCAAGGCACATCGAATTGAGCCAATAATATCTGGAGTGCCTCCTTCCTCACGTTCCTCAATGATATTGGTATAACTATGATTGTTGGCATCAACAAAATAGACAGTTCCACCAGCTGGTCTATTTGGAGTCTCTGGAAATACAATTTCAGTCAACTACTAGAGGAAAATTTCAATACTACTTACTATTTTGGAATAGTTTCTTCTTGGCAACTAAAACACCAGGTGTTCCAGGGCCTCCAATAAACTTGTGTGGTGAAATAAAGATGGCATCTTTCTGATACATTGGATCATTTCTTGGATTCATGTCAATTGGAACGTATGGAGCTGCTCCAGCATAATCAAAAAAGCACAATGCTCCAAATTCATGACTTAACTTTGAAATTCGATCACAATCTGTCAAAACTCCGGTAACATTTGAACCAGCACTGAATGAACATATCAAAACTCGTTTTCCATTCTTGTACTTTTTCAAACATTCTTCCAAATATTCAAAATTCACATTTCCAAACTTGTCTTCAATAATTTGCACCACAATGGCTCCAACTTCTCTCCACGGCAAAATATTACTATGATGTTCATACGGTGATATAAACACAACAGGAATCTCTTCATGACCACTAGCATTCTGAACTAGTTCTCTAATACCAATACAATGTACCAATGTTGAAATAGCCGAAGTACTTCCACTTCCTTGAAATAAGACAACATCCGAATCTTCACCACCACTCAATCTTGCATTCACACATTCAGCAATAATTCTCCTAGCATCCTCTCTGAAATGAGTTGTCTGAAATCCACTAAACGATGAAGTAGTATGTGTATTTGCATAGGTAGGTAAAACTTCCTCAAACAAATAATCTTCAATGAATTTGAGTGGTTTTCCAGAGGCAATATAATCACAATAGGTTAGTGGAAGAAATCTATTTTCCTCAAATGGAGTTCTAAAGACTGCTTCACTTCCAATGATATTTTCATGAATATTCTTGATGAGGGAAACCTTGCTTTTCACAGTTTGCTTTCTGACACTTTCCTTTTCAAATTGTAAAGTTTCGTCTATTATCTTTTCTAATAACTTGTATTCGATAGAGTGTTCATCAAATGGTCGACTACTTCTTTGAGCCATCGTTCTCTTTGGACGAGTTAGTACAAGTGTCTTTTTGAACTTTTCAATTTCTTCGTCTGCATTCACCTTACGTGAGGATGATGTAATTGTAATTTGTTTGTTTCCCATTTTTTTATGTGGTTGAAATTGTTGAATGTTGTGTGGTTCAATTTAAAGCAGTGAGCCGTTATGTGTTCCAAGTACTAATTTCTTGGTCGGTATGGATAAATTTGGACAGGTTACCTTAAAAAATAACAAGTGCTCTCTCATTGTAGTTCAAGTGGAACAACTGCCCAGTTCTATCACTGTTGTAATCTAATGAAAATGTTCCTAGAGTGAAAATTCATTCTATGAAAGGTTGGGAGAACTCGAAAAATAGTTCGGTGCAGTGAATATGGGTATTTCAATATGATCTCAATAGAAGATAGAGCCGGTTCAAGTTGAAAATGATTTTACGAAAGTGGTGGAATAACTTATTTTCTTTTTCTACCTCTTTCTACCTTGGTTTTCTATTAATCTCTTTCTCTTCTTTTTCATTTCTAGTTTGATTTTAGCATCATCATTCCCTAAATTGGCTTCATACCATGAAATGGCCATTTCTCTAACACTTTCTTCTTCACAAAGCATATCACCTAAGGCAATTTGAGCATCCTTATCATTGGCACTAGCTAATTTCTCCAGTAAGTTATAGGACTTCTCGTATGATTGGTGAACTCCATTTCCTTCATAATGTAAATTTCAAACGATTGTTCGACACCATCGATCTCCTAGTTTTGTTTGAGCTTCATTGTCTCCGTCATTAGTTGGCTCCTTCAATCAGTTCAATAGTGATATCCACGAAAAAGAATACAGATCTGAAAAGATAATTTTTAATTAGATCATCTTCTCCTTCTTCTTAATTGGTCAAAAACTGAATTATTCAAAATATCCTGTGCTTGAGGTCTGATGGCACTGTCCTTTTCCAACATTGATAAAGTCAAGTCAATGATATATTGAGAATATTGACCAGGCTCTTCCATTTTCTTCTTTAATAATTGTGAAACTTCCTTTTGATCCTTAGTGACATAGAGTTGACTAATTGATGTAAAAGTGTCCTTAGTTATTATTTGATAAATAGTTACACCTAAACTGTAAATATCAGTGTTATAGAAATACTTGCCACCATATCCCAATTCTTTAAAAAACAATTTAAAATTAATGTCAGTTATCTCTTAATTACTTACCAGGTGACATGAATAGAGGAGTGCCAGCATATGAATTATTGGTAGAACCTTGATTTGCTTTGGCCAATCCAAAATCTGCAATAACTATTTCAATATTATCCTTATCTAAACTCTTTACAAAAATATTGGATGGTTTGATATCTCTGTGGATGAGTTTCATTGAGCTGTGAATATAATCAAGAGCGCTACACATTTGGAAAATGATTTGCAATAATATCTGTTCTGAACATGTAGAATCATCTTTGGTCAATTGAACCAAATCTCCCAATTCATAAAAGTCCATATCAATACACAACAATTGATCCTTACTAATAAAAAAGTCATTAACCTTAAGAATATTTGAATGGTGAATATTCATCAATTGAGTTCCTTCCTTCATAAAATTATTCAACTCCTCTGTTGATGTGTATTTGATTACTTTGATTGCCTTCATGGTGTTTGTTTTGGAATCAAAAGCTTTGAATACTGAACCAAAGGCACCTTGACCAATTTTAACCAAGTCCATATATCTTGAGAGTGGATTGAAGGATTGACTGCTACCTCCAGTAGATGAGATACTAGTGAGAGGAGTCAAAAACATACTGGCATCTGATGGGAAATCACTTGATTGACCAAGCTCAATATTTTGAATAGTTTGAAGTTCGTACGCTTTTTGAGATTTTAATTTCCAAACACAAACTGAAAATACCACTACAATAATAGCTATGATAATTATTGCAATCAACACAACTGGAATTGTAACACCAAGGATGATACCAAGAGTTTGATCATCAATGGATCTGGGAATTGAGTTAGAAACATTAGGTGCATAATAATAAGCAAGTTCTTGAACTGTGAATAGAGATAAGTGATTAGTGACACATTCCAAATTGAAATAGAGTTTACCTTCCTCTCTTTTGACAATTGTCATTGATTGAGTCAAAATACCAGAATTAGACCAAGTTTGTTTCACTGAATCATAGTAACTGCATGAAATGTTAGTATCTGTCTTGTCATTTGTAAACAAATTATTGAACTTGATTGAAATTGGTTTTGTAAGGCCACTGACAGGTACTTGAGCTCCACTTTCTTGACTATAAATGGATAATTCAAAAATTGGTCTATTTTCAAGAATGTTATTTAGTGTGGTATCCTTCTTGATCAATGAAGAGCTGTAGAATAATTTGACATTGTTTGGAATACTTAATTGAGAAGTAAAATCGGATGGGAAACTGGCCGAAACTTGAATAGTATCTTCAATCATTATAGAAATTTCCTTTCCATTCAATTGAGTTTCCAAATCCAGACTTTCAAGTGAATAAGTCCCCAATGTATTATTCGTAGTCAACCCACTCAACAATAAATATTTAACTTGATATCCTACAATGAGTGATTGTTTCTCTAATTTTGAGGAAAATCTCTTAATCAAAATAGATTGTAAATTTGATAGCTCAGTATAGTGAGTTTCGTCCAATAGAGTTAATCTTAATGCAGAAGTATAGTACTGCTTGGATTTGTCCATTCCTGAATAAGTCCAATCAAGCCACTTTACAAGATTATCAGTCATGGAATTGATGGAATTTTCATCTTGTAAAGTGAGATCGAGAATTGAGAAAATATCACAAATTATTGGAAGGACCATTTGAATAAGTTTTTCATCGACTTTGGATGTCAAACTCTGTACATTATTTAGGAGTGATAGCATTTCATTCAAATTGGAGTTTAGAGTTTGAATTTGAGAATTGGAAGTTTCGGTAAACAATCTTCCAGTGAAATTTTCAAAATTAGTTTCGTTTAAAAGGAGAATTGACATGAGGGAATTAATGGAATTGACAGTTTCAATCTTCAATGGTTCTACTCTTTTTAAAGTATAAAATTGATCATTTACATAATTCAGTTTAGACGAAATTGAGTTTGTAATCGAATTTGGAGCTTTCATTGTAATTGTTCTTGTAAGCGTTCCAATAGATCCATATCTATTGACAAGTTTTACAACGAGATTTAAATCTGAACCATCTCTACTGAGTGGAAGTCTGGTTACAAGGTTTTTCTTTAGAGTGTTGGAAAGAATTGATATTCTTTCTCCTTGTTGAGAATGAATTTCCATTACATAATTCGAAACTGGTTCTGAAGGTAAATTGAGACAAGAAATGGTCATGAAGCTTTCGAATGCATAATTAACAGCTTCGTTTCTTAAATTGTAATAGGAACATGAAAATCTTGGAGTATTGTCAATTCTTGTGGAAAGTGAAATATTCGATTGACCAAACTCATTCCAAGTTGACAACTCAAATGAATAAAATTCACCATCAATCAAATATTCATTTCCAATATTCAACTCTGATGTAACAGAATTACCACCAACATTTCTAATGGTTTCTCTATTTCTCAAGAATTCGTCCACATTCTCACCCACTGCAACATTCAATCTTCCTTCCACCAATTTCCAACTTGTTGTAACACTAGAAGTAGAAGAAATAAGAGTCTTTAAAACCAATGGACGATGACTAGCATGAATAGGAGGTCTATAAGGGCTACTAAGTTTTGGAGCTTGAATGGATGAATCAGTCAACTTGATAAAACCAATGAAATTGTAAGGAATTGAAACGAACGAGTTGGTATAGTAAACTATTAAATTGATAGAGTACATTCCTTCAGATAAATTCAAAGATGCTGGATTAAAAGTCAACGATTGTTGAGTATTTTGACTTGTACATAAATTTGAAGAAATGGTCAACTTGGTCAAAGGATCAACTTGGAAACATGAATAAGAATAAGTGAAATAATCCTTAATAGTAAATGTCGTAATGAATGGATCATCATTTTCAAATGTTATAGTAATGGCTCCATTTCTAATAGAATGTGTTCTATTGACTTGTGTCAAGACATGATCCAATCTGTCAAATGTTTTGTAATTGAAATAGTATGGAAGTGATAAACTTTCATATGTTTTCAAGTGTAATCCAACTACTTGTGCATTAGAATTGTATTCACTATCAATTAGTTCATTATTATAAATGTTGACTAATCTAAACATTTGCTTTTGAAAAACTTCAGCATTTAAAAGACTGAAAAATCCAGAAAAAGTATACGAAATGGAACTATTCAATGAATTCAAGCTAGATTCTACAATACAATTATGTCCAACACATGAAAATGGAGCATCCTTAACATTATCTCCAAACCAAGTGAAAGAAGGTGGTAAACTCTTGAGATTTGGTTGAACTCTTGTAATATCTCTTGAACTAGTTGCATAATTTAACAAGTTGACTGAATCAAGTTTCAAAGTGAGTACTTTCAGATAAGAGGCATCCAATGGAATGGTATTTAACAAGGAAATTGGAATGTTGATAATTGACTTGTTGTTATATTGTAAAAGATGGGATGAAATAGTTTGAGGACAATTTTCACATGTCCACACACGTTGAACTCGTTTGAAGGAATGGTAATAGTCATCTGTGTTGGATCTAACAATCAAATCTTGACTTGGTGGGAGAGTGGTGAGTAAATCATTGATTGAGGAAACAAAACTTCTTCCTTTCATAATGTTTAAAGATTCAGTTGAGTTGACCATCAATGAAATGTTATATCTGCTATCAGAATCAAGTAAAATTATTGATCCATGTACAATTGAGTGATCATATCCGAGTAAAATCTTGAAATAAGAACTAGTCCACAAGCATTGAACAAAATCCTTCTCACCAAATCTTGACTGTTCGTCCAAATTCATAATTTGATCACATGAGAAAATACTACCTGCTTGTTTTGAAATATTGAGAATGTTACTGAATGGAGAATAGATTAAAGCATTAGGAACATCTAGAAGGACATGATGATGTTGACATTTGTTTCCAGCAAATCCTTCATTACATAAACAATTATCAATTCCAATACAGCTACCTCTCGATGAGCAAACATTTGAATTATTGGAATAGAGACCAAAACAATTGCTGTGTTGACATTCCTCGCCTCCATATCCCGTGTTACAATTACATTGATTTGGAGCTTGACATTTACCTCTTCCATAACATACAGAGCTAGAATTGGATAGAATTCCAAAACATGAAGTCAAGGAACAATCCTTCTCTTTCCAGCCCTGATTACATGTGCAGTTATCATAGGAGCTACATTGACCATTACCTGAACAAATGTATGAAGTATTAGACGAAAGTACATTGTAACATTTTAAAAATTCACATCTACTACCACCCCATTCTTTTGGACATTTACAATCACCAGGTCCATCACATGTTCCGTTGTTTTGACAAACACTAACTCCAACAGATTGACCAGCACAAGTAAAATCATCACAAAAAGCACCAAAATAACCTATTGAACATGTACAGTTATTGTAAAAGTTACAGACACCGTGTCCAGAACATACACCTGGAGATGTTTTCACAATTCCATTACAATTATATAATTCGCACTCATTGCCATAGTATCCAAATGGACAGGAACAATTATTGTAAGCTGTACATTGACCTCTTCCAGAACAAACTGAAGAGTTGGAAACTGCCATACCAAAACATGTGAAATTCATGCATGCACTTCCAAAATATCCCTCCACACATGAACAATTGTTTGGTTTAATGCAACTTCCATGAGAGGAACAAACAGATGGGTTGGTATTTCTAATTCCAAAACAATCAAACTGTTCACAATTAGTGCCATTGTAAAGAGCTGTGCAGTTACAATAGTTTGGAGATTGACATGTTCCTCCACCTGAGCAAACATTTGTGGCCTGGTAATTGACTCCATAACAATCAAATTCTTCACAATTAGCTCCATAATAATTTGTATTGTAACATGTACATTCCAAGCTTGTACTGTTAAAGTATTTCTGGCTACTTCCACAAGATTGGAAAGACATGAGTCGAATAACATTATTTCCAGTATCTGCAATGTAGATTTCACCAGAATTTCCTAATGCTAATCCTTCAGGATCACTGAATTGAGTATTGAGAGCAGCCATGAAATCTGGAGAGCTTCCTTTAGATCCTGTTCCTGCAAGAGTTGAAATCTTACCATTAGTAACCTTTCTAATTCTCTGATTTTCCTTATCAATGAAAATCAAGTCACCTGTCGAGGTCACTTCTATGGCGCCAGGCTTGTTTAACGAAGCTGACAAGGCACTTCCTCCATCTCCTGAAAAACCAGCAATACCATTACCTGCCACTGTTGAAATAATTCCACTTTGTAAATCAATTTTACGAATTACATGATTGATATTCTCAGTAAAATACAGAGCTCCAGAATATAATGCTATTCCATCAGGACCATTTAATTTGGCATTGACTGCCAAATTTCCATCTCCTGAATATCCTGCACTCCCTGTTCCAGCAATAATATAAACATCCAAACCATCAATTTTAAGAATCATATTGTGTAAATAATCTGTCAAGTAAATAATGACTTTGTTGGGGTCATTAATCATGACGAAATGATTACTAGTGAAACTAGCTAGGTTATAGGTTGTTGGTGATGAAATTGGACCTCCTGTACAAGAACCTGCAATAAGAGAAACTGTGTATCCAGAATCCACTCTCTTCACAGCACAATTATTCTCCAGAAAGAATATTTTAGAATCGACCTGTCGTTGTAAGCCATAGTTTGGAGTGGTAATAACAGGACCAGTGGTACTAGTTGCACTGGATGAAGTTGTTTGACCAATGATACCTGCAAGATTGGTAATTATTTTGGAGGAGAGATCAATACTTCTCACTGCATAACTATTGGAATCAGCAAGTGTCAACACTCCATTCAAATAATAAACACTTGTTGGTTTTGAAAGGAAGGCAGAAAGAGCAGGTATTCCACTACCAAATTGTTGACTACTTGTACCTGCTATAGTTGAAATGGTGGATGCTTGTCCATCAGACACTGTTGCCTTTCTTATTCTATTATTTCCCAGGTCAGCAATGTAAATATTTCCATCGCCATACACAACATTTGATGGATTTGAAATGCAATTTGTGGCAGCCGACCCATCATTAAAACCTGGTTGTAAATTAACACCCACAAACTCAGTAATGAGATAGGGACTTTGAATAATGTTTTTTCTCCTGATTGTGTGACCAAGTGAATTGCAAATATACATGTATCCACTTGCAATAGTCAACCCTTGAGGTCTTATTAAATCGCTATTACCAACGACTTCAGATACAGTATTGGAAGACAGTTTACAAACTCGATCATTATTAGTATCAGAAAAATAGAGATTGTAATCATCACTTGAGAAGAATACTCCATACGGTGAAGCCAATTTCAAATTTAATGGTGGTTGAGTCATGTCACTTGATCCACTCATACCAGCAATACCAACTACTCTAATCACCATTGGAGTGCTATCCAATTGAGTTATTTTACGAATTATATGATTACCAGTATCTGCAAAATAAATCTCTGTATTTGCTGGATTAATTGTAATACCACTTGGACTACTCAACTTGGTTAGAAGAGCAATTCCATCCCCAGAAACATCTGCTACTCCAGTTCCAGCAATTGTTGTAATTGTACCATTCACATAAATTTTCCTAATACGGTGATTTCCAGTATCAGTAAATACAATGTCACCATTATTCATCAAAATTATGCCTCTAGGTTGATTAATTGCAGCATTGACAGCTGGACCACCATCTCCTGAGAAACTATTTGCCACGCCATTGCCAGCAATTGTTGTGATCTTTCCAGTTGAGTCAATCTTTCTAATTCTATTGTTTGATGTATCGCAAATGTACATTGGATAAATTGTGTTAGGTGTAATTGCAATACCAGATGGTCCTTTTAATGAAGAGGCAGTTGCTGGTAGATTATCTCCAACAACATTGCCGCCACCTGCCAAAGTTGTCATGTTAAAAATTGGCACCGAACAATGACTCTCAACACATGTCAAAACAAACACAACTGCTAGCAATAGAATGAAGGGAACTACAACCAGATTGTGTACGGACACATGCCTGTCCATGCGTGTGTGAGAGCGATGTGAAAGAGGCATGTTTTTTATATGATGGAAATTTCTCTCTGTCTCAGTCCTGGGAGTCTGAAAAAGTAAAAGCTGATTCTTTCAACCGACAAACAAAATCACTAGGGTGACAGGTTGTTGGAGCCGCGGTTTTGAAAGTTGGAGAATTTCAACTGCATCATCTAGACATTATTTGAATAGTAGTGGTCATAGTAGGTTATGGAATTTGATGGAATGTACATCATGATTTGGAAATTATTATTTTGAAAAATTCAAGATTTAGATCATTATCTGATCTTTCAATAACCATCACTATATTATTTATCATTATTCTAATAGTATTAATATTTGTGAAAATTAATATTTTAGGGGAAGCGAACATTTTCACTAAAATCATCATCACTGCTTGATAATTTGGAAAACTTTTAATCTAGCATTGTTCAGCATGGTCCATTTTGGATAAAATTGCTTCTGCTAATTTTCCTAATCGTTTTCAGTAATTATGTTATTTAGTAATATTTAATTATTATTTTCAACATAAAATCACATCTCAACATGTACTTCATCATCTTCAAAACTTTCTTCGATTACTACTATTTAAATTGCTTATTAACAACATATTTATTGTCAGTGTTGCACCATTTGGTGAATTTCACAACTTGATATAATATTGATGACAACCTGATTCATTCCAAGACTACACAACTAATCATCTTCAATCATCTATTGAGTATTCATGTAGTGAGAGTTGTTGATGGTGATACAATTATTTGTAAGATGAATGATGGAGTGAATGAAAGGATTGGAGTGGACACACCCGAAACGGTTATTCAGTGATGGAATTATTAAAACATTGGTTTACAAAAGGAAAATGGAGGCAATGACTAAAAGGACAACAAAGAGACTAGAGAAAATTGGAGCAGAAAAACTCATTACAGGAGTAGGAGAGAGGGAAGTATTATGTACATTATTAGGAATACTCATTACAGGATTAGGTGTAGGAGTACTCTTTTCAGGTGTAGGAGTGAGGGAAATGAATTTGTTACCAAAATTGAGCTGCAGCAGACAAGTCAACAACCATTGGAGCATTCATAAATCCAGAGAATGTACTAGTAGCACAATCAATATCCAAATTGATCTTAATCTTCATGGTTAGACCTTTCCATTTTGACTAACTGGAACAACATCGAACGACAATTCATTTTCCAAGAGAATTCCCTTAATAACAGTTGATGGTCCAAGATTTTGGGTGGCATTAGAGAGGACAATAGTACCATTGGCAAACCATGATGACATATAACCAGTGTAAGAACCTTGAATTCTTTCCAAGAGAGCACCAGGATAAGCTGGGGTAGCAACACTCTTACGGAGTTGTTCAATGATTGGAGTGAAAATAATTGGGGCATTCTTGAGAGCAATATTGTTAGCAACTGGAGAGTTCAATGAAGCCAAAGTGATCATTACAAAATCAAGTTCTGGAACAACCAATGGTTTGGCATTGTAGCCGTAAACAGAACCTCCCTTGGTCAAGTAGAACAAGTTATTTTTGTCATCATACATGGTTTCAAAAGCACCCAAACCAATGGTGAATGTAGCATCGTTAGCCAAGAAGGTTGGCATGATGAATTGTCTCATGGCATCCTTTGAAATTGGAACAGGGCACGCAGTGGCATTGTTAAGAGAGCTATAGGTGAAACAAGAGAAGAATTTTAACATATCATTAGCAGTACTGTACATGCCACTCTTGGGCCAACAACATGGTCAAATAATCTGGATCTCTACCAACAACCATCTTGGAAAGAATATCAGAAGAGTAATCAAATCCAGTGTTAGTCATGCCCAACTTGTCGAAAATGTTAGTCTTACAGAATTCTCTGAATGATTTACCTGTAATCAATTCAAGAACTCCACCCAAAATGGTAAAGTCAACATTACTGTAATAACGATCACTTATGGATGGAGCCATAAATTGCAACAAGTCAACTGTGGTCTTTCTGTATTCATCAAAAGTCATACTGCAATTATATGGATCACAAGGAGAAGTTCTAGACAAACCAGCACCGTGACTCATTAATTGTCTGAAAGTAATCTTGTTAGTTGCTGTCGTAAAGTACTTGTTAGTATATTGAAAGTCTTTAACATAGTTAGTGATTGGTTCATCAATACTCTTAATAAGACCCAATTCTTGAGCAATCAAAGCAGCCATACTGGTAAAAACTTTAGTGACAGAGGCAACTCTAAAGATGGAATCGGCAGTTGGAGTTTCAGTTTCCTTACCCTTAGTACCAACTTGACCAACACCTTGGTTCATAACAACAGTATCTCTATATTTGGCAAGAATAATTCCGGATCCATTCTTTACACCATTGTCAACCAAAATAGATTTAACCATATTATTCTTGAGTTCTGTTAAAGCAGATTGAAGAGTTGAAACATCAATTTCTGCAGATCTTGGAAGAATGTTACATTTAGGGTTTGCATCAGATGCCTTCAATACTCTGACTTGAGACTTGAGAGATCTAGCACTTGCCTTTGGATTGACATCAGAACTTATCTTAGTGTAAGCAACGAACCAATCAAGACCTGGCATCCAGAAGTACAAGTTGCCACATTTGAGAATCTAAGAACTTCATTTCCGTAACCTCCCTTAAACAATGTCAAAGAATCGATATATGCAGCTTCTTGAATATCTCTAATAATGAAAGCATTATTTGGTTGGTAATCCAAATCAAAATTAACATAATTTCCACCCAAATTAATGTTCATAATAGTTTGACCATCTTGATAATACAAAGTGGCATTGGTTCCATCAGCATTACACAAATAGGTACCTTGGTACTTGGCTTGATCTTGAGCTGGAGGTAAAACAAATGCTGGCATGACAGAAACATATTGACTCATAAGTGTTCCAACAGCCTTAGCATAAATTTGTTCAGCAATATATGTAGCAAAGACATCTCTATTGGAAGAAATTGAAATGATTGCAAACTTGTATTCTGGAACAAAGATCATGTGAGTAGAAAATCCGAGAACGCTTCCTCTCTTAGATCTCTTCCATACGTTATACTTGCTATCGTGACTCATTTCAAAGGCAAAACCAGTTGCATTTTGAGCGTCTGGAGAAATATATTGAGGAGTGAAAAATTCACGAACAGTTTGACGAGTAAGAATACTTTCATCATTCAAGATTGAGGAGGCATAATAGGTCAAATCTTGCAATGTAGAGTAAGCATCCATGGAACCTTCACACCAACCAGACTTTAATTCAGAATCGAATGTGATAGTGGCATTGCCAGCATAGCTAGGAGCAACATGAGTGGAAACAGTGAGGAGATCAGAGACGAGACCAGAGTTGGACATGGAGGCACTTTTCATTACATCCTTAAGATTAGAAGAGACGGATTGACCATTAATTTTAGCAAGAGCTTGACTCAACCAACAATAACCAAAGTCAGAATAAACTGGTACAGAGTATGGTTCATGTACAACTGAAGAATGTCCAGGAAGACCAGAAGCAGCCATTGCCTTAACAACTTCATCATTAGAAAGATTACAATCAAATAGTTTGCAAGGAGCTTGTCTTCCGAGACCACTCATGTGTGTGGACAATTGTCTCAAAGTAACAGAGGAAATTGGAAACTTGGAGAATGTACTAGTGAGAGCATCATCGAGTTTCAACTTTCCAGCATCTCTCATTCTGAACATTTGAGTAGCAACCAACAATAACGAAAATTTCGTAAAAAGCAACCATGGAATTAAAATGCGATTTTTCTATTTTTTTTTATTTGCCAAAATTTCTTTCAATTTTTTGAATACTGATTCTCTCTCCTTTCCTTCATCTGTAAACGAAAAACCATACAACAACACATTTGAAGGTGGAATACGTGTATTTCTATTTTGAACTCCAAAATCCTCAAATTCTTTTGACTCATCATTCCATTGGAGCACAGAGAGATGAATTCTCTCATCATAATACAATAAATATTTTCCAACCTCATAATAATCTTGGCTCATTTGAGTTTTAAATGCAACCAGTGTTTCCAATTGTAAATGTTTTAGAAATTGTTTTTTCTTATCAGGAACAAAGTAATCATGAGATGAAATTTGAATTCTACTTCTTCTAGTGGTTTCTTCATTAATGGTGACAGAGTTATTCGAAATTGAATTTTCTGTCAACCAAAAATCCAAATTGGTTTCATTGGAAAATAAAGACTTTGTTTTTTCTATAAAATAATCTTCATACCATTTCCAAGTTGCATCTGCAAGCATTGATTTGATTTTGTTTAATCCTTTTAATAAATCTAATTCGAAAGCTGGTGGTGTGATAATGTCAGGAACATTGTTAGGTACAACATTATTTCTAAATATTTCAATAACTCCATCCTTTCCATTCAATCCTACCCATTTAGAATTATCATAATTAAATTCACGAACTTGCAAAACAGGTTTGTCATTTTCCATTTTAATTTTAAATCCATGAAAATCAGAAATTCCTTTAAATGTATTGACATTATCTTTAAATAAGGATTTAAAATCAAACATTCTTTCTAAAAATGATATTTCAGGAACATTTTTAGAATAAATTTCTTTCTTTTTTTCAATAAATTCAAGAGGACTATGACATGAATTATTTTGAAAATAAATTGAATGAATTGAAAAAAATTGATCTATATCAGTATGAGTATGTCCAACAATCATGGTGCCAATAATTACTTTTTTTACCCACCCCAAACTAACTAATAAACCTGCGAATGCTACAGCGTACTTGTTTTTGAGTTCTTTTGAGCAATTGTCTGCTTGTAAATACAGAATTGATGGTAAATTTCCTTTTTCTTTTTTTAAATTATATAAATATTCATACAGAACTGTTAGTGCCAAATTGGCTCCACCTTCACAATTAGGAAGTTTTAATTTAATCTGATATTTTCTTCCATGTGAAATTAGTCCATAATTTGATATGTTTAATTTTTTAACAGCATTACTATTTTTAGTAGCATTGGCAATTACTGGATATGGTGTTGCTTGTGCACCATCAATTATTATAGATAAATACTTGTTTGGATTAGCTATTGCTTTTTCTATTTTTTTTTTAAAAACAAATCTTTCTCCACAACATTCATTAATATGTTTGGCTCTTGCTTTTTTTGCTTTTTCTTGCTCAACTTCATTTGTTGATCTCTTTAAATTATTTAATCTAGCACACTCATCACATTTTCCTAATCTAGTATTTTTTGGTAATTTAATATTGGGAAATAAGTTTTTTGCTTGTCTTTTAAAAGTATCCAACCTATAGTAAGCACCTTCTTGTGATGAGACATATATTTCATATATTGGTTTCCAAGTATTGAAACCAGTAATGTGCATTTCATTTGCATTAGGTAATGGTTCAGCAAAGTTTTCTGCGAATACTGAAAACCAAGATTTAAAATTTGTGAGCTTTTCACTATCTTCCTTAATTGGTGAATGTTGTTCGTCAATTTTAGATAAATCAGTCTTTTTGGATTTTTTCAATTTATATGAAGAAATACCATAAATATTTTTGAACATTATTTCACAAACAGGTTTTCCGTTAATTGTATAGTTGTTTGAGTGTTGTGTAATATTTCCAACAAATTTCAACTTGTCTTTTTCCTTCAATCCTGCATAGAATGTTCTTTTTTCAGTTATTTCCGAAATTGTAAAATTAGTATTGCAATGCTTAACGCAACAATTTTTCAAGATACATGAGGAAATCGCATTATCATTCAATAATTGTTTTGATTTTTTTCCTAATTTTTCCTCTGGTGATCTTAATCTTCGTTTTGTTGATTTGTATGTACGTTTTGGTTTTGTATTAATATTGGCAATCTCTGATGAATTAGTATTATTATTAATATTTTTATCACGATTTAATTTTAAATAAAGATTAATTGGTGATTCATCCTCTAATTCCGAGTTATTAAAATCTTGATAATTATTATCATCATTGTCCTGTTGAAAGTATGAAAGTAATTCACTTGCAGACATTTTTTTTGGAAATATTTTTGACTAATTAAGAAAATTAAAATACAAGAAAATCACAATAATTGATTTATTCTCTTAAAGTATATAATTTAAAACCAAAAACAATTGGACAATTATTTGGTAAATATTTTCAGCCGAAAAGCAATGCAATTTTTGTGAAAAATGATTCATCATTAAATTCCGAATACAATTTAATTTTCAAAGATGTTTATTTAATAAGGCATTAAAATTGACTAAAAAAAATGTCTTCAAGTGAATCATCACAATCAACAAGTAACGAAATACAAGAAAATGTTGTTGGTGATAATATTTCATCATCAAAATCCAACAATAATTTACCATCGTCCACTAGTACTTCTGAATCAACAATTGATGTTCATGAATCGACACCCGATTCATCTAAAATTCCGGAGCAAACAACTAACAAGCAAAATTCAGAAGATGAGAACTCCTTTGAAACCTATTACAAATTAGGGGACCCTGTAAATATTAAGGGAAAACCAACTGATCTCTTTAAAAGCATTACTATCAAGAATACTGGAAACCAACTAATCAGTGAATCTGTTGTACGATTTAAAAAATCCAACATTTCATCATTATTTTACATTTTAGGAATTAAAAAATTAAAAAAGTCATTTAAGGTGTGTGGAATTTTAGAAACGGATTTCAGTAAAACCACTGATCTTGATCACGAGTGGTTGGAATTGGTTGACGAGAATGATAAGAGTGTAAAAACATTTAAAACAAGAATTATTAAATTAAATGAACAACCAACCAAAAAAAATTCCAAAAGCAATTCTGTTGATACCTCCTCCAAGAATGAAGGTAGAAAATATGAAACAAGATCATCTAAAAAGAAAAAAACAGAAGAAGAAGAACATGTACTTGAACAAGAACAACAATCTAATTCCGAATCTGAAGAAGAAGAACCACCTCCAAGAGTAGCCAGAAAAAAATCAACTAGAAAATCAAGTAAAAAATCTGAATCAGAAGAAGAAGAAAAAGAGGTTTCTCCAAGAGTAGCCAAAAAAAAACAACAACAAGAAAATCAACAGGTAAAGTAGGAAGGCCAAAAAAGTCCGAGACTGTTTCAGTGGATGATGATGACATTTTATTTTCAGATATTTTGTCCAATAATTCTAAACCTAATTTAAATTCAAATACTATTAGTAACAGCTCAGTCAAATCAGTCACCAAACCAACCAAATTAAAAAATAATTCCAATAATTATGATGATAATTCAAATAATAATTTAAATAATACTTTAATCAAATATGATGAAAATTTAAATACAAATCCAAATACTAATAATAGAAATATTTTCAGTAACAACAAATTTAATAATAATAATAACAATAATTTAAATTATAATAATACTAATAATATCAAAAATTATGGTAATAATAATTATAATAATTATGATAATGTTATTGACTTAAATAACTCACATAATTCAAATAATTTTATTTTTAATTCAAATACTAATACGGAACAAAATTGTTACAACAGAAACAATTTCAATTCAATTAATAATAATTTTAACAATAATTACAATCCCAATAATTATGAAAATGTATCAATTTACAATTCAAACAATAGAAATAATTTTTTGAATTATAATAATAATTTTGACAATCATCATTTAAGCAATGATAATTCTAATAATTATTCAAATAATTTCAGTGCAAATAAATACAATAATATGAATAGTCATAATAATTATAATAATTGGAATACCAATGACAATATTTCAAATAATTATTTAAATAATAATAGAAATAATTTATGGAACAATTTCAATTCTAATAACAACTATCATCCAAATGCTAATAACAATTTTACTAATTATCCAAATAATAATACTAACAATTTTAATAATTATCCAAATAATAACAATTTTAATAATTATGCAAATAATAATAATTTAAATAATTATGCAAATAATAATTATAATAATTGTAACAACAATACAAACAATGGTCCTATTAACCTCCATAACAACACGATGATGAGTGTGTTGCATCATGTCAATAATATGATCGACAATGAAATGGATTTCGAATTAAAAATGATGATTAACAAATTAATGGATAAATTAAACCAAACAGAGGAAAAAAACACTTTATTGAAATTAATTGGTTCAACCAGGAATTTACATTATAGAACCCCAGGTAATTCCGAGAAAAACTCAAAATTGAAAGAATTACTATTCAAACTTCTTAATGATGAATAATTAATTTTTTTAATAAAAAATTTCGTAAAAATGTGATTTTTTGCCTGACGATTTTTACCAAATTTTTGTTCAATTTGGTCAAATCACCAATACGAACCTTAGTGGTTGCATCACCATTTCCAGAGAACAAACTTGATATGTTTCCACCTGGAAACATAATACTACTAGCAGCAAAACCCGATGACACTGTAAAGGCAGCATCTTGGATAGCTTGAGCATCGCTTGGAGAAAACTTTGCTTCTAAGAAGGTAGAGCAGAAAAGCAAGCAGCTTAGAAAAATTACTACAATTGTTTGTTTGAGCATTTTTTTGCTTTTTGTAATTCTATTGTGTCGCAGTTGTTTTTAACAGATTTCTACTGCAGTCGAAAAAGTTTTCAACAATCTAGATTGTGTTTTATTATTGCTTAAGCATGAACACTTTTGGAAATTTCGAGAACAATACATGTCAAATGATTTTTTAGAAGGGCACCGTAATGGAAAAGGACAAGTGCTGTTTGAGAAATAAGCAAACATTCCATCATTGGAGGATAAATTGTTGAGGATTAAGCGGAAGGGAATTGAGAGAAGTAATGGGGATAAGATGCAACAATTCAATAGAATTCAAGATCTTGGAAAGGAATTCATAAGTAGTCGATGTGTACATTTGGCCTAATGCACAAATTAACCTGTTGTTACTTTACGTCGAGGATTGTTGTTGTTTTTGACATTATCAAAGATCTTTTCACATGATGTTCAGATTATTTAGAAGAAGTATTTTAAGTTTTTATAAATATTGTGAGGAAGATGTATTTACATATTAGGATTGAATGTTGTAACTTCATCAATCATTGAATGTAGGGTTGGATATTGGAATTGGAAATTTTCTTGTATCGACCTTGTTGGAAGGACGTATTGACCTTCACATAATAATTGAGATCTTTCATTGCCGAATAATTTAGATACTAGTGAGTAAGGGAATGGAATCATTGGGAAGGGTATTATATTTGTCTTGAGATTCAATCTAGCTGAAAATTGTTGGAATGTGATCATGTCTGGCATGACAGTATTGTAAATGATTACTTTTTCACTCGATTTTTGTGAGTAATAATTATTAAAATTAGTATATAAAGCGTGAATGTACATGTTAGCAGCATCAACAAGATGTATACAACTGAATGGTTGTAAACCATTTCCAAAAACTATTGGAACAGCAATTCCAAGGTAAGGTATTGTCATTTCTTTGAGAACACCACCTCCTTTTCCTACTATGGCTCCTGGTCTCATTATTATTCTTTGTTTGATATTGTCTGCTTGTGTATTGCAGATGGCATTTTCAACTGCACCTGTCACTTCACCAAGAGGGTTATTAGCTGGTGATGGGCAATTATATTCAGTATAAATTGGTGTTTCAGCATTTGGATCTGAAGTGCAAGGATAGAATCCAACAGCTGATGTGCCAATAAATGTACTGGCACTATCTCCGAATGAATTCAAATAATTAATCAAATCAATTGTTGTGGCAGTTCTTGAATCTAAGATTTCCTGTTTGAATTTTGGAGTCCAACTTTGTTTTCCAATTGATACACCACTCAAATTAATTGCTGCAACCTTTTTATCATTTCCAAATGTATCCTTTTCTTCACAAACTTGATGATTAAAGAGGAATGTACTCTCATTTTCCTTCCAATTTTTAACACTTATCTGAATGGAATTCTTTCTTTCCCATTTACTTTGTGGTAACTCCTTTTCAAGTAATTTCCTTGTTTCTTCTGGATTTCTCGAAATGACAGTCACTTGAGAAATGTTCATTAACTTTTCCGAGTAGGGCACCTTATCAGTTGGAGTAATCACTTGCTTTAACAATTGTTTGCCCAAAAACCCAGAGCCACCACCAACTACCAAGTGAGAAACAGTTTCTGCAATTGGAGCAGATGCTGCATTTTGCATACTTGCTTCAGTACCCTGATTGACCATATTAAAATATGAGTAATAGTGATGATAGGTTTGTTTTTGTTGCCCTTTGGTCAATATCATCCATTTGGCTCCAAGCTTACAACCATGTACTTTCTTATTGGCAATGAACATTTTCCGAAGCCTTCAATATATTATTTATCTTGTTGTACTATATGTAGAGAATCCTATTCCTTGTATCGAGTCGAGTATTAAAACTTGTGGTCGTCCTCACAATCTTTTAATCAATTTGAGAGATTGAAGCCTACTGTAAAAAACGAAAGGCTTATGTGTTTGTTTTTTTTGAACCTAATTGGTTGTTTGACTAACTTGTTTCGGTTTCCTCTTCTGTTGTATCATGCTGCCTATAGGGATACAAATTGATAGGGTTGTGGCGTTATTGTATCGGAAATATTCTCCTGCTTGAAGAGATGATGAATTTGACTTGAAGGGCCGCAGCAACTTGCTGGAATTTTATGTTGTTAATTATCACGAGATGAAAAGATAGGTTGAGCCTTACACACCTCTTCAAAGAAGTAAGGAAAACCACTTAAGATTTTTTTAAAAAAGAAAAATATGAACGAGTGTTTTAATCTCTTTTGGTTTCTTAAAACTCTCATATTCGGACGCCTCTTTGTAAGTGATTGAAATTTCGTTACCATTATCATCCAAATATTTAAATACCAAATTTTCTAATTGTTTGCCACTTATTGCTACATTTAACATTCCGTGAAAGGGTGTTGGCTTTAATGTTGGTCATTTTTTTGATTAGAAAGACCCTTACTTTCTCCCCTAATGGAATCGTCCTGTGAAAAATGGAATTAAAGTCACATGGCAAATTAATAAACAAGATTGAAAACAATAAGTTATTATTCCAATAGGTATTAAAGCTCAGTGACTGTTTCACCTTTAGGTGAGTCAACCTCGACATGCTTTTATTGATAAATCTGTATTGATTAGTTGAGTATTTTCCAAGTACTGCTCAAAGATCGACCATTTTCCACCAGGTCAACCAGTGCAAAACCCAGACCATAACAAGATGAACTTTGAAAGAAAATTACAAAAAAAATGACTAAAGACATAATAATGGAATGGGAACTAGAACGTCTCTTTGAAAAAGCAGATTCTGGAATTTTTAATTTTATTGATGATCCCCACAAGGAAATGGAGCCTTTCGTTAATCAGACGAATAGAGATGGAGTAACATTATTGTACTTGGCATGTGCAAACGGAAGGGAAGATGTTGTAAAATACTTGTTGGATGTAAAGGGATTGGATGTCAATTTTAAAGTGAGTTTTGAAATTCGAATATAATTTAATTATAATCAAAAATAGGAAGTGAGTTTTTGATTCCGTGATGATAATTAATTTGTGAATTTTAGGGAGTATGTTTTTTTATTCATAGGATGGGGAATTAATTATGGACTAGCTTGTATGTATTAATCACCATATTCAATTATTATTAATAATTGAATAGGCAGCAGTATGTATTTTGTGGATTATATTTGGAATTTACTATTGAACTAGAAAAGGGTATGGTTGTTTTGAGAGTTTCATTTTAGTAACCACAATAGACTTCTGAACGTAAGCTTTATACAGTAAGTTTGGACTTAATTCAATTTGCTGAATATTTGAAAGCTTGTATGTTATTTATGAAAAATTAATAGATTTAACATGTTTAGGAGAGTGTAAGTTTAGGATAACTCATTATATTCAACAATATTTAAAGGCTGTAAGTTTTTGAATTGGTTGGGCATTAAACAGAGAAGACACCTCTATACGTTTCATGTGAGATTGGGAGAATTGATATTGTGAATCTGCTTCTTAGTCACCCTGGTATAGATATTGATTATGGTTACAGATTCGATAGCAGATATACTCGTGGTCATGCAATTGACAGATCACCTCTTTTTATTTCTAGTGAAAAGGGACATGTGGAAATTGTAAAACAATTACTTTGCTCTAATGCAAATCCCTTCGAAGGTGAAACTCGAGACAACTACACCCTGTCATGTTTAGGTGTTTCCATAATTAATAATCAGTGGGAACTAGCTTCAATAATTTTAGATCACATGAAGTTAATGGATTGTCATACCGACGGATGGAATAATCTCATTTCTGACATTCTATTGACATGTGGGAAAAGAAATTTATCATTTTTGAAACAGTTATTGGAATCTAACATTTTTTGCATTGATGATAGTGTAAGTGATTAAACAAATTAATGCTCATTATCTTAGCTTCCCTTACATTATAGCATTTTAAAGGAGGACAGTATTATGGCAAGCTTACTTGTAAAGTATGGAGCTAATAGAGAGTTGGATGCTCACTCTGAGTCTCTTAATGTTTATCTTGTTTGTGCCATGAGAAATTTTGATGGATTGGAAGAATTTCAAATCCTTGATTCGATTTATGAAACACCAACAGAACTTGCTGAAAGGTTAAATGTTGACCTATTTTTTTCGATTAAGGAAGAAAGTGCTATGAAGAGAAAACTACTGACCTCATTGCCTAATCTTAGCTATTGTGATGTTATTGTGAGATTAAGAGAATAATCTACATTAAAAATAGATATATTTAAGAATATTATCATAAACAAACAATAAAAAAATCAGCAAGAAACACAACACCATGTCTTTTACACACGCGTTTCCAATCACATAAAGTCATTGTTGGGAAGGAAATTGCTGCTATCTGACAACATTTTGGAATCCTCTTCTACTATTTGGTCCTGATGATATGTGGATTGTGTTGGAGAGGCAATTGTTTGGAAAAGAGGGCTCATCTTCTCAGGCAAAGCCTCCGTAAAGTTTCCTTTAATATCTAGTTGTTGTTGATGTGAAGGAAAAGTGGTACTAATTTCCAATAGCTTGGATGGATTGTCATGGAAAAGTACTGCAGCAACAAGACTATGCATTGTTCTAAAACTATTCTTCATCTAATTTAATAATTAATTAAATAATTATAATACAATTAATTTCCTACCTTGAATATTTCATTAGCAATTCTAGTAATAGTATAGTATTAATAAGTAATAACAATAATTATGATACCTACATGATTCCATTCACATTAGGAAGTTGGCAGAGAAGAGAAACATCAGCTGGTGAATTAATATTACCATACGCTAGTAATGGCACTGTAAAGCCTTCTTCTTTGATCTTGAACAATAACTCCTTTGGAACAAACTCTCTCCGAGCAAATTCATCCAATTGCTCATCATTAAGTTTCACAATATTCAGTGCACCCATAGTAATGTTCCTGAGTTGGTGAATGATTGAAGCCATCTCTCCAAAGTGAGTCCTAATAATTTTGGCTCCTTTAGCAATGTTTCTGAGTGCTTCTGGGAAGGTATTGGCTGGATTAATGAATGTAATATTGGAGAGTGATTCAGTGCTTTTTGAGAAGGAATGTTCATCAACAATTGATTGATCATGCTCATCAATAATAGTAACACCCAATTCATTACACAATTTAGCTTCCATTACATGCCCCTATAATTTGCATTATTTAAATAACATTGGACATAGTACCAACCTTCCTTATTCTTGCTATGAGTGGTAATTCAGAACAGACTTGATTAATTTCGTTCAATTTACAATAATCAATCAACTCATTCTAAATGAGTGTAGAAGCAACCAAACATCATCAACAATGCGTAATATTAATATTGCTATTAATTATTATAATAACTCACTTCTTGACCAACCATCAAGCAACATTTAACTTGGTTAAACTTTTGTGCCAATGCAACAGCTAGAGTTGCCTCTTCAACTGAAACCACCTCGAACACAACAAGTTTCATTTCTTTCGATACTACCAAGATGGGTAAAGGATAATTTTGGAAGAATGGTTTGCTACGAATAGAATGTTGTGATGAATTTGTTTTTATTTTTCTTTGAGATTATACAGTAGAATATTACAAGAATTAGAGAATCAATTCTATTTAGTAATATGATTTTTAGAAAAGTTACAACATTGTTCAACAAGAATCAATTTACTGGATTTTATTACCATGTCCAACACAAAATATGGGCTTCAGCTTATATCATTACATTTAGTGAAATACCTCAAAATTTATTTCTTGACGTTTCATTTACCTTTCCATCACGATTAGGATTGAACGTAGATCCTAAAACATTACAACTTTATATTTCAAACTCAAAACAGGAAAGAATTTACAACTATCACTTGTAATCAAATAACACTGAACTGGACTTTAAATTCTTCAGACAATTTAAATTCCAATTCTTTCTCATTCACTCTCCAAGCAGATAAGGTAGATTTTATAATCAAACCTTCAGAAACCTTTAATTTCACATTCCCTGCTACATTAACAGTTCAAGAATCCGAAAGTTCAGCATTTTCTTCATTGAACGTTAAACCAACTCTTGGATGCAATGTACAACCTTTTGAAATTATCACGAAATCATTTCCAAGAGATTTATGATAGTAATCACATGTTCCTAAGTTGGTTGTCAGATCGAAAAGAAATGACAGGGAAAGAAGAGGACTTTTACAATAGTTTTCTTTCTTCAATACTTAACAAGTTTAATATTGGCAGCCAAAACCCTTAAATGAATGTCTTGCAGAAATGGTATACAATCCAGAGAATAATACTCTATTTTTAATGAGGATTCAGAATGTTAAGTTTTAAGTAATACAGTTTTTGTCTTAGGAAGTATTGGATTAAAATTATTGTTAAAAAGTTTAAAATGTAGCCCTTCCTAATTTAATTTATTAATTATTTATGGTGGTACACCAAAGGAAGACCAAAAATCAATACAACATGATTACAACAACTGCACCAATCGTTGTGATGGTCAAGTGTCCAATCAAATGCTGTGCTATTACAAAATCAGAACAAGGCGTTTAACAAAAAATATTGACGCAAAAAAATTTTTTAGGAATTTTTGCCATCATATTTACCCGTCATCACGCATTAAAAAGAAATACAACAACAACACCAAGCAAGATCATGGGCAAGAGAAAGCAAATAACCTCTAGCAAGAGCAGTAAAAAGGTTAAAAAGGAAGAAGAAGAGGTTGATCCGATCATCAAGGAAGAAGAGGTCCTCAAAGTAGAGGAGCCAGAGGACAACAAACCAGAGGCATCAACAGGACATGAAGCTTCTCCAAAGCAAAACAAACAAAAGAACAAGAAGAAGATGTTTTGGCCAGTCTCGATGAAGTCTCTCCAATTTAACTCTGATCATTCCGAGACAGACATTAAAAAGTTGTTGGAGATGGTAGACAAGCATGGTGAAGAGTTCATTCAACATTGTTGTTTGGGCTTGTTTGTACAAGAGAAAGGAGGTAAACATTCTTTAATATTGAACAAAAGATATAAGAATGTAATTGCCACGTTTGGAGATGTGGAGAAGGTGTCATTATTGGAGATTATATTTCTCCCAAACCTTGCAAGCGTACAAGTTGAAACAATTGAATGCAAGCCCCACACAAAGAAAACTTGCTTCTCCTCCATGAATGGCCTATCAAAAGTACATACTTATCCTTCAAAGCTAGCTTGGAAAATTAATTATGGAGATGGGAGCTTTGATCTTCACGTGATGGTGGAAGCTGCCACTAAAACAATTCAAAACAATTCAAAGGGAGCCTACTTTGATTTTTCAGAGTATTTTAACACTTCTTTGACCTTCTTTGATGCAAGCGAGCTCGAGGACACTGGAAGACCAAGAAAAATTTCAGCTGGTTTGTTAGAAAGTCGCACCCCAACCACTCAATCAACAACACCACCATCCCCACAAACAGAAAAAAACCCACCTACATATTCATTACTAGACACTTGTGGAATTATAGAAAAGTTGTGCTTTAAAGACCAACTTTTTGTGTTCACGTTTTTAGCACATAGTTTACAAATTACACCTCACCCAACACAATGTCCAATACAATATCCAACACAACCAGAACCACATCCAACAGAACAACAGAGTGACATTGACAGTCTTTTTTGTGAAGAAGAACCCACTACCGCTTGTGAATCACACTTTATTGACCCAAGCCTTGTTGACTCTCTTTTAAAAAGTAACTACAATTTGAATTAGTTAATACATGTTGTTCTATTGGCAAGTAAAATTTCAATAATGTTAAGATTAATTCACATTAATCTTGGAGAAATAAAAATTACAATTCATACCTATCACTTCTTGCGTAACAATTAGAGCTGGTATGCGAAGATCTTCCACATCGAGAACAACCTCCATAACTATCATCGTCACTACTACTCTCATCATCTGAATAATAACTTGTTCTTGACCCAGAACCTACAACTGACCTTCCAAAAACATCTGAATTAGCAAAACATTGACTGGCATGATGAGAGGTCCTACCACATCTAAAACAAGCCGTTTTTTCACTCTTTGAGTTATGTAAATGTTGATGAATGGCCCCATCGAGCACTGCCAAATTTCCATATCGATTGTCTGTCTTGTTTTTATTGATGTGATGAACGTATAATTTCACTTCCAATCTTCTTTTCGGCAACTCTTCTGTGGGTGAATTTCCACCCCAAACCATTATCAGAATTAAAAATTGCCTGTAGCCTGATGAATTGTAACGAATGTTGAGATTGTTTGTTGGTGATGGTTGTACTTGTTGAGATGTTGATAAAGATCGAACACTAGTTGTAATAGTACTATTGGTGTTGTTGGAACTCTTGCTTCCTAATGAACGAATATTGTTCGAGTAGGGATTGTATCGATTTTGATTGTTGCTGCTTGATGAATTCGTGCTATTGGGAAAACGAGGCATTTTTTTGTAAACTTTATGAATTCTTGCTTTTTTTGTAAGGTGCACAATGTTTGGATGAACCATTTAAACTTTACATTGTTGTTTCAAAAAGTGTCAACACAAATGCAATATAAACAGTTCAACCTACGCTATTACAGGAGTAGTATTAACAATTTAAAAATAAACCTTCTTATTGAATACGGAGAATGGTAACACTCTAAACAGGAGTTAATATTTTTGGCGGGACTTTTCTGTGCTTCCGCATTAGAAAAAAAGTGGTGCACTTGAAAGTGGTTGTTGGCTAACGTATCAGAGAATTTAGAAGATGGGAAACTCTGTTTCGGAATCTATTGATGATTCTCCATACAAGGGAGAGGAAGATGATGATGCTCTTGCTACTCCTTTGTATGATTGGACGCCACAAGATTTTTATAGCTTCTTGTTGGCAAACAAGATTGAAAAGAATATTGTAAAAAGTATGTAGATTTTGTTGTGTGATGATGATTATAATATTTTCTATTGTTACTGTTTATTATTAAAAATTTATTATTAACAGAATTTAATAACAAGAAAAACCAGATTTCAACTTTTATTGGAAGATATAAATCCTTTGGAGAGGCTCTTTATCATTTATCGTCACCTAACCCAATCATGGCTATTTCTAAGGATGCCAAATCGTCAAAAAGAATTTTTGATTTAATTATGGATATTAAACGAAGACAACTTAAGAAGGGAACAATTAATGTTGAGAAAAAGACGGAAATGGAACAAGAACATTTAAAACTCATGGATGAAATATTTGAAAAGAATGCTCCTGAAAATTATCATATTTTTGATTTTAGTGATGATGAATGTCTTGTTAAGGATATTGTTGACGATCCAGAAAATCCAAGCACTTCTTTATCTGATCAAACAGTATCACCAGCTACTTCATCATTCCTTTCAAGTAATTCTTCACTTGGATTTAATGAACTTAGTGTTGGATCTCTGGATAGTGAAAAAAGAGGAGGAATGTTCACATCGCAACAACCAAGGATAGAGAGTAGATCCTCTGAATCACCAAAGATTGATATTTCACCAAAAGTTAAACTGAGTCATATCTATCATCCAGTTAAGCTTTTCCCTTATGAGGCACTAACAGAAGCAGAAAAGATGGCAGTCAAGAATTGTTGTAAAAAATTGGAAATTACTTTGAAAAAACAATCCAAAAATCAACTTTTAACAACAGCTCAAAACTTATGTCTACCTGACCGTTTCAAATATAGATTTTTCCATCCTAACTTTAAACAAGGCGAGTACCAGATACAAGGTAATTGTTCAAAAAAGAAAGTTACACTACCACTCAAACTTGTTATCACAACTCTCAGTGACACTCAAATGCATAGAGTTATTAGAAGAATTGGACATTTTGCTAACATTGCAAACAGCGATGAAAAGGGAGGATTTGGACTTTTCCACACTGCCCTGATTGTTGGAAACTGGTACGTCGAATTCAACGATAATTCCATAGCGTGTGTTAGACCAATTTCTTCTAGTAAGGCTGTTTTTGTTTGTAATATAAAATATTACCCAGAATCTGATATTAATGAGGTAATTAACAAAGTGAGTAGAGTATGTTGCTTGTGGAATGCAACCCAGTACTATGATGTGAAAACAGTAAGTTTTTTTTATATACTTATTTTTCTAATTCCTTACTATTAGGCTAACTGTCAACATTTCACACAAGCTGTTTTACAAGCCTTGAATATAGATATTAATACCTGTGAAGAAATTTCTCCCCTTGTAAAGGAATATTTTTTCAAACTTAAAAAGTATGGTCTTTGTAGCATGACATATACACTTCCAGCAGAGATTAGACCATCTTTCCCTTTTAGCGAGATTACTTTCAAGACCCATGCAGAGCTTGATCAATTTTGGTTAACTGTTTGTTCAAAACATGTAAAATGGGTTTCTAATGAAGGAGCGGCACATGAGGATTTGCTCAAAAGTTTTGACAGAGCATTTTGGATTCGAAGACTTTCTTCAAAGGAAGGTTGCAATGAAGTTAATGAACCATTAAGAGAGGAACATAATGAAACTACTCAATCTCGTCGTTGTCTGTGTCCTTTCAATGTCTATGAGATGGATACCCACACATTCTTCCTGGCTGAGTCTGTTATGGGTCAAAACTTTTTAGGAACTTGGGTTCCAGAAACACCTTATAGAGCTTTAAGGTAAATTTTGACAAATTGTAAATATAAATCGATTCAAAACTCAAATTTTTGAACAATTTAATTTTATTCTTCACTACAAAGTACAACCGATAATGAATTGGCGCTAAATATTTTCAAACTCAAAAAAATTACAGAAAATGGCCTATCAGGTAGGTTATATCAGAATTAAAATAATGATGTTCATTCTGGAAATGATACTTCATTCCGAAACTTTACTTTTTATTGGTGATCATCATGACAATAGTCAATAAATGCTAGAAAGGAAGAGTTCCGAAAGTATTTGGAAAAGAATGGAGTTGTAGAAAGTTTTACTAAATCACTCGTTGCTTTGTATGAAGAACCAGAAAGACCACCAAATCCATTAGAGTAGGTTTTTAAATTTTCATCAATTTGGAATTAAATTTAAATTTAAAGCTACATTAAACATCATCTTGGAGGACCATCAGCCGAAGATATTGAACAATTAAAACAAGAAAACGAAAAACTCAAACAAAGAATTAAGGATCTGGAGGAACAAAGAAATCAAAATGAGGATAAAAAGGATGACGATAAAAAAGATGATAGTCAGAAATAATCTCTCTTCCTCTCTCCTTAATAAACAACCTCCACCACATTGTATTGTAATAAAATCTCTAGACTATTAATCATGGTTTTGTATGATCCAATGCTCTTCTTTGTGGTTCAGAGCATAAGGCAAACATCTTCAAAGGGTTTTAGATGATGTCTCAAACAAAGCTGGCAATGCACATCACTATTTTAGATAATGCGCCCTCATCTCCTCTTTTTAAAAAAAAAAATGAGCACATGGATCGATGAAAGAAAGTCAAGCTCTAGCAGCTGCAGTTCGACACATAGTGATAGAAAAGACAGTATATCTGTTTGTATACCTCAATTACTAACGGATTCAACAATAGTACCACATATTTTGGTTATTGACGATGATCCAGTGACTCGTAAAACATTAGCTAAACTTTTATCAAATCTTGGATACAAAAGTAGAACAGCAAGTGGAGGTAAAGAGGCTTTAAATCTTCTTGTACAAGATAACGAAGACCCTTTCCATTGCTTGTTAGTAGATGTTCTTATGCCGGAGATGGACGGTTTTGGATTTCTTAGAGTTTTAAAACAAGCCATCAACAGAGAAATTCCTTGTATTATGATGAGTGGAAGTGAAGACCCTGAAACAGTCTCAAAATCATTTCAATGCGGAGCCGAAGATTTCCTTCCAAAACCTATCAAGGAAGAAATTCTTAGGGCAAGAATTCAAACCGTATTAGCCTATCGTGATCGAAGAATTAGAGAAAAATTCTATATTAACAAGATTCATGAAGAACAACGATTAAGAAATCAATTACACATACAAGAAAAACAAAATGAAGAAGAGTTATTAGCCTTTAAAAAGAAGGTTGGTGAATCCATCGAAACACCTATTCAATTAATTGTTGGTGCTGTTGGTGATATCATTAGTGGAAATTTGGACAAAGAACAAACCAAACTTGCTTTAATATCAGTTATGAAATCATTAAGTTCATCTAATTTGTATAGACCAGCCTTTTTGGATTCTTTAAAAACTGCAGAAATGGATGAAGCCACCCGAAAATGGCTTGTGAATCAATATACCAAAGATGCCGAAGAGTATAAAACAAAGATCAAGGCTGATAGAAGTGATAGCATTGATTCAACTGCCTCAAATGATTCTACTCCTGGTGTTGCTTTAGCTTCACCACTTCCACCAAAAACAGAAGTTTTACCTTATGATCTTGAAACATACAAACCTGATGTTGATGTAAAATCACTCAATTATGATGCATTTAAGTATAATGATTATGAAGAACTCAAGAAGCACGCAATGTATTACTTTAAATCCCTCAATATGTTTGAAAGATTCAATATTAATCCGATCAAACTTTGGAATTTCCTAGGAGAATTGAAAAAGAAGTATAGAAATAACCATTATCACAATTTTAGACATTGTTGTGATGTCACTCAATATCTCTTCATGCTCCTCAATCATGAAAAGATTGATAGTTTCTTCTCTGATATGGAAAAATTAGTACTCCTTCTCTCAGGTCTTACTCACGACATTGACCATCCAGGAGTTAACAATAACTTCTTAATCATGACTGAAGATGAACTTGCATACAGATACAATGATAAGAGTGTATTGGAAAATTATCACGCTTTCAATGCTTTTAAAATTATGCAAAAGGATGAGTTCAATGTGTTGGATGGTTTAACAGAGGAACAATACAGAGAACTCAGGAAGATAATGGTTCAAACAATTCTTGCAACAGATATGACAAACCACTTTTCAATCATTTCTATTTTTGAATCAAGAATTGGTACAGGTAGACTTTCTAATGAAAATGCTGAAGACAAATTGTTATTAATGAGAGTATTGATGAAATGTTCCGATATCAGTAACCTTAGTAGACCTTTTGCAATTGCTAAGAAGTGGGCCAATGCCTGTATTAATGAGTTCTTTTCACAGGGTGATTTGGAAAGACAAAAGGGATTACCAATCAGCCCTCTAATGGATAGAAATACTTTAGATTTTCCAAAATCTCAAATGGACTTTGGTAAATTCGTAGTTTCTCCTTTGTTTAAATTACTTGCAACATCATTCAAAGAATTGAGCTATATTTATGAATCTGTCTGTAATAATATTGAAACATGGAAACAAATATTTGATGAAGAACAACTGAAAAAGGCCAAACAGTCTGAAATTGCAAAGGAAGAACCAAAAGAAACGAAAGAAAAGATTGAATCTCCTCAAACCGAAAAGCCTCAACAGCCCTCACAAACAGCTGAAACTCAAAGTACTACGTCCAACTCACCACCTACCACTTCTGTAAACAACACTTCCTCTACTTCATCATCTAACACTAGCAGTCCAACTGAATCCACAACAAGTCAAACAACACTTGCAAGCCGTTCATCCAATGCTTCCACAAGCTCAACTCCTTCCAAAGGATCTAACCTCAACGTTTTGCTCCCAATCTTTATTCTAATTCTTTCTCTAATTTTGTATTTCCTTACTCAATCAACCTCTCAGTAAATTTTCTTCTACCTTTATCATGAAATTTTATTTTTATTTCAAAAGCAAAAAAAAAATGAACAAGTCATCAGCTTCATCAGCAGCCATGGACACAGGCTTTCAATCGGTAAATATTACTGATGAGTTGGAGTTGCTGGTGATTCTTCTAGATATTAATCCGTATACGTGGGGAAAAAGAAAATTGGACAATGAACAACAACAATCATCATCAGCAAAAAGTTTAATTTCCTTCTCACAATTTATAAATCAACTTCTTGTATTCATTAACACTTTCCTAACTATTCAGAGAAATAAGAAAATAGCAGTTATTGCTAGTTCGGAAAACAACAAATCACATTTTCTATTTCCGAATAGATTTAGATCAAAGAAGGATGGTAAACATAACCATAATCAAATTCAAGTTAAGAGTACTGATAGTACAAGTATGTTAAACATGATGGGTGTAAAATCAGGAGATGATATCGAAGATTTCTTCTTGAATGATATTGGTTTTGAGAGTGTACAAAATGCAGTCTTATCCGGATTAAATAGTGAAGAAGTTACTCCGAGTGAAGACACTGAATATATGGAAGATGATGGCAATCACACCACTTCAACAGCACAGGGTTTCTCCCTCAGTGGTGCCTTGTCTATGGCTTTGTGTTTTATTAACAGATTGGAAAAGGAAAAACCTTTGGGAATGTCACTCAATTCTAGAATTTTAACATTCCAAGTTTCTCCTGATATTTCATCACAATATATTTCTGTCATGAATGCCATTTTCTCAGCAGAGAAAATGAGTATCATGTTAGATGCTTGTGTTTTATCAAATGATGATTCCACATTTTTACAACAAGCTTGCTTCTTAACTGGAGGAAATTATTTGAAACCTCAACGACAAGAAGGTTTAATTCAATATTTATTAACTATTTTCATGTTGGAAAAGAGTCTTCGTTCTTATATTCAATTACCTGTACAAAATACTGTAGATTTCAGAGCAAGTTGTTTCGAAACTAGAAAGCCAATTGATGATGGTTATGTTTGTCCTGTTTGTTTATCAAGTAAGTATTTTAATATGAATGTTATGAGAATTCTAACCCATTTCAGTTTTCAGTTCTCACAAGCCAGTCTGTTCTACCTGTGCCTCTAAGTTACAAAGACCGACCAATAGATCTGTACTTTCGTACAAGTAATGTAAATATAAATCTATCCTTAATAAACCTAATTTATAAACAATTTATTCATCTAAGGAAAGTAAATTTCCCGAACCTTTACACATTCCTCATCATGGCTGGCATCTTGTAAAATTACTGGACGTTTCTTGTTGAGCATGAGAACGCAAGATGCACCAGCAAATTGAGTATCCTTTTCAATGCCAGTTCTATTGCAAGCAGCAAAATATGTGATTGGTTGACTTTTCATTATTGGGGCCATTCTCTCTACCCAATAGGATTGTGTAGAAAGGCAATCACTTGGATCATCTCTATTTGCCAGCCAATTGGCAGCAAATAGAATTAGTTCAGATTCTTTATCTTTGTGGAAATTAGCAAACTCTTTAGCATAATAATCTGTTGAAAAGTCAGTTCCATTATTAATATCCATACAAATTCCTGCCCCCACTCTAATATAATTGTTACAATTTTCCTCATCATCAACTGGATCATCCTCCAATATTTTCTTATCATTAATTCTTAAGATAAATGATTTAAATTCCTCTCCTTCTTGTGCCCATTTCATATCCTGTTCATACAAGAAGTGTTTTCTATAATTTACAAAAGATCCATCTGCCGAAACAATATAAATTGAATTAAATAATTTAAATGGTATTGCTGATCCTTGATTTTGTTCCTTCTCTGGATATCCACAAACTACAGCACAATCATACATTTCCGATAAATTCTTGCAAAATTCATAACAGCTTCCCTTTCCTTGTTCCTCACAATACGGAAAAACATCATCATAATTATCAAACATGTACCCACTCAGTGCCATCTCTGGAAACATTAAAATATCAAAACTCTTCTTTTCAAAGCCTTCCAATAATTTCCGAATTTTATTTTGATTTTGCTGTACCTGTTTAAATTGTACATTGAATTGACAAAAGGCTACACGAACCGTCCGAGAAGCATTTTTTATCATTTTTTTTAATTTGTTTTTTTAAATTTGCAATGTTTACAATAAAACGTCAAATTCTAATTTGGTCCTCAAATTGTTGCTCCACATATTCATGGTTCAAAACACAATCAATGATCATTTTGAGTCTAAGTATTATCTCTAGATGCAATTTAAATTCTGGCTCCATAATAGAAATGGTTCATTCTCTCCTCGAACAATAAATCAGAATATTCGAAAGCAAAACCGTTTTGCTTTACGGCTTCCTTCTCCATCTCCTCATCTGGATATAATCGCTGCAGATATTTCAAGCAATGGCCATTAATTTTGATAAGACTCATTGCCATATCTCTGTCAACATCTATGGCTGCATATTCTAGAACTGAAGGATAACCTTCTTTAACTAATTCCACTATGAATCCAGTATCTTCTCTCAACGCAGACGAGGCGTACATAAATGATTCCTCAATAGAAGCCAAAGCTTCTTTAACAATCACCTTATCTGACTGTAGAGAGGGATGAACATACTGAAGAGCCAATCCTTGTTTTTTCACAATTTCTAACACAAATTCTCTATCACTCTTTAAATTATCTGAAGCTAAATAAAGAAATGACTGATTCTGTTTGTGATTTGCTGCTTCTATAAGAATCTCCTTATCTACAACAAATTCATTTGGTACATATGTTAATGCCTCTGAATTTTGAGATACAGCAGCTAAAACAACATCTCTATCCATTCTTAGCCTATGTGATGCATAGTATATGAGCATTCCATCTTTTCTCATTAATTCAATAATAAACTCTTTGTTATCAATCAATGTAAAAGGAGCAAGTTCTAAAACAGAGTTTCTCTTCATTATTAACTGTTTCATTAATTCCAAGTCTTGAAAACAATGTGGAATATGCTTAATAGCATATATTTCAGCAAGAGCTTGGACCATCACATCAAAATCATTTTTCAACTCGTCTGAAACAAATTCCAAGGCCCTTCCATTCAGTAACAAGGCAGCCAGTACAAATTCCTTATTATTTCTCAAACTATAAGGAGTTTCACTATTCAAATTGCAATCAGGAAGATTCATTCCCAAATATTTGTCGACCTTCGACACTTTTTCAATAAAGGATTGAGAATGAATCAAATCCTTCGATACAAATAAAATTGCACGCCTATGTCTCGATACTATTTCCACATTAAAATCCTCATCACAATCAAAAAACAATAATATTTTAGGATCTAAAGAGATACAATCTAACAAGAACTCTCTATCATCAAGTAATTCCCCAGGAATATCGTCAACCATACAAATACGATTTTTAAACAATTCAAGTGCTACTCGACGATTATACATTATAAACCTGGGAATCACCACTGTAGGAGTAATCTTTTGATTTTTAATTAAATTTAAAATCATATCTGTTTCTTTCATCCACTCGATTGGAATAAAACCTTCAAAAACCATGCCACTCATCCGATCAAGCCTATTTTCCAACCATTTCTTCTTTCCTTTCTGTTGGTTAGAGAATTTACCTTTAAGAAGGCTTGTTAGAAATTCCAAATGATCTTCAACTTCCGAATCATCACCCAATCCGTGTAAGGAACTTGACTGAGTAATAATCAAAACACAAGATGACATTTTTTACATGAACAACTTTTAGTATATTCTTACAATTTTTGAAAACATTATTCAGATCAGCAATTCATTTTGTAAATAAACATAAAACGTGATCCACCATGATTGGTATTAAGCAAGAGTAATACTTTCTATTGATGTGAAGGTCACCTCATAAGCTACTCTTATCCAATATGCTAATAAAAATCTTTTGAAAGCCAAAAAAATGCAAAAACTCTCGTCCCACACAAATATGAGGTTGATGGGTGTTGTCTTGTTGTTGGCGATCACAACACTCACTCTGATACAATCATCAATGGGGAATCATCAAAAAGCAAGTGGTGATATTTATTTTAAAACTGTACACATCATTCCGCACAGCCATTGGGATGTTGGTTGGTTGAAAACAAAGAAAGATTATTATGAACAAGAAGTGAGAAACATTATCGGATCGGTGATTAAAGCTTTGACCGAAAAGCCTGATAGAAAATTTATATTTGTAGAGATGAGTTTTATTAGTTATTGGTGGGAAGATTCTTCAGTGAGCAAGGAAGAGAAAAATCTTTTCATGAAATTCTTGAATGAAAAGAGGATTGAATTTGCATTGGCAGCTATGACAATGTCTGATGAAGCAGCTAATACCTACTCTTCTGTTATTCACACATTGACAAGAGGACACCAATATGTAATTGACACTTTTAATACCAAAGATCGTGATTTTATTCCTACTTCATCATTTAGAATTGATCCTTTTGGATCTACAACAACAATGACTCGTATTTATAGAGAATCTGGTTTGAGTGACACTGTTATTATGCGAATTCCACAAGGTAAACAAACGGAAATGAGAGATAATAAGCAAATGTCATTCTATTGGAATTTAGCTGATGGGTCTTCTGTGTATAGTAATATTATGGATTATCAATATTGTGTAAGAGCACTCTTCTTTGATGGAGAATCATCTATTTCATATGGCTCTGATGAAATTGTTGCAGATGAAATGCACAGAGAAATTTTGAAATACTCTTTGGGATTTAATCAATCTGATATTATGCTTCCTGGAGGTTGTGATTTCTCATTCCAAAATGCTCCAGAAAGATTTGCTAAAATCGAAAAAGGTATGAAGTATATCAATGACCATCCTGAAATCTATCCATATAAGGTTAAATTCTCACTCTTAAGTGAATATATGCAAGCTTCTAGACCTAAAAAATCTGGAGATGTTTATTCATACAATGCTGACTTTATGCCATATGCAGATGGTCCAAATGCATTCTGGACTGGTTATTATACATCTTATCCAATTTTGAAACAAGCCATCAGAACTGCTGAAAGCTTCTTTAGAGCTGCCAAAGCACTCTTTGCCATCAGTACACCATATGTCAAAGATGATCAAAGAAAAGGATTTATTGAACAAGGATTTAAACAATTAGATCAGTTGGCCGTCTCTATGGCTGATGTTACTCACCACGACGCTGTAACTGGTACCTCCAAATTAGAAGTTACCAAAGATTACATTGATTCATTGTCTGATGGTGTAAAGGAGGCTAAGCAAGCATTGACTCAATCATTAACTGCTCTTATTACCAGCAAGTTATCACAATCAGATATTGTATTGGAAGATTATCTGAATAAGTTGGTTTCAAACAGCTTCTCTTTTACAGAACTTATGCAAAAGTTCTCCTCCCTCATTAGTCAAAGAAAATACAGCTATTCCATTCCAATTGTACTTTTCAATAGTCTCTCATGGGACATTGAGAACCATGTAGAAACAATTGGTCCAGATGAAGCAGCTCCATTTTCCTCAATTATCAAACAAATATGCTTCTTTTCTATGGAAGGAACTAGATTGAAATCACAATACTCAAAATCTGTACTTGCTCCTGATGAATATGATTTGCATTTCGTCGTTCCAAAAATTCCAGCCCTTGGCTATACAACTGTTCTCATTAAGCCATGTGATACTATGGAGCAAGGAAGTATTAATGAAGAAATTATCAACATAGAAGACAAACCATACACTATTTCCAACTCAAAGACTAGTGTCACTTTCTGTAAGAAGAACAATATGGTCTCTCTTTGTTCAATTGAAAAAGAAGGAAATAAGTATGAAATCTCCCAAAAACTAATGACCTATACAGGAATTTCAGGCTACACCTTTGGAGTTAATCAACAAAAGAGCGGTGCCTACATCTTTGCTCCAAAGAGCCAAGAACCAACTCTTATTACTCCTACCTCTAGCTCTCTTCTCATTTCTAATTCAATCTCTAACAACATTTTCACACAAGTGGAACAAACTGTTGAAAAATATGTTAAACAAATAGTTAGACTTTATCAACCAGAAATTGCTCAAAAGCAAGGATATGATTTGGAATATATTTACTACTTTGATGATATTCCTGGTGATGACGAAATAATTACCAAGTTCGATGCTTCAGCATTTATTTCCTCTAAGGGCGTATTCTATTGTGATAAGAATGGTTTGGAAACAGTTAAATCAAATACCAAGAGCAAAGTTGAAGCAACTTATCTCCCAATTGTATTTAACTGTTTTATCAGAGATGAAGAAAAGAAGACTCAATTGACTCTCTTTGTTTCTGAAACTCATGGTGCTGCTAGTATGAAGAATGGTGAATTGGAAATTATGCTCCACAGAAGAACCCTCAGTGATGATGGTAGAGGTGTAGATCAACCAGTTAATGATGAATCTAATATTGCTATTAATATTAAGGTTAGAATTGATTCTACCTCAGCCGAACCTAATTTGAGAGGCATTCTTTATCCAAAGGTTGCTCTCACAATCAATTTCCCTCCATTCGTTGCGCCATTCCAAAAGTCTTTCTATACACCAATTAATAGAGATTTTGTGGATACTTTCTCTATGAGAAATTTGGTAACATCATTCTCCATTCTCGAGAAACCATTACCATCATCTATTCATGTTTCCAATATTGATATTGTTCTCAACAGAAAGAACCCATCAGCATCTGATGTTAAAGCTCTTGTTCAACTTCAAAGTTTGGACATCAACTCTGAGCAGGCTCAATTCAGTTTGACTGATTGCTTTAAGAAGGAATTTATTGATAAGAAGATTCGCTCAATGAATGAAACCAATCTTTCCACATCAAGAACCAGAGGCCCAATCCCAACCAATAGCAAGATTGAGCTTTCTCCTTTCAATTTCAGAACATTCCTTTTAAGACAAGGAAGACATGCACAGAAATTAATCTTCAAAGAACAAGATCAAGCCCTAGAATGGACTTTCACTGTTGGTTTAATGATTGGATGTATTTCAATGATTGCCCTCTTAGCAACTCTTGTTGTTTACTTTATCTATCACCAAGCCAAATACGCATACACAATGCTCGAAAATAAATAATTTATTGAACTACCTCTGATAGTTTATCTTTTTGCCTTCAAAAGACCTAAAGCTAAAACGCCCAACCCAAGTACACCTCCAATAGCTAAACTTGCACCTCCTGCCAGAGCAAGTCCTATCATTCCATCTCTTTCCACCTTCTTTTTCTTTCTTTTGATGAGGGACTTCAACCTAAGACCTTGTTCATTTTGATAATCAAAATCTAAAAGCTTTGCAACAGCTGATTCGGCCTTTGCATAATCCCTTAAAAAGAAAAATCCCAATGAAATCAAATATAAACAATCTCTCTTATAATGTGACGAATCATCAACCATAATTTCATTAAATATATCACTGTGATCTCTTAGGATTGATTCTAACAGTTTAATTCCTTTATGTATTAAAGCTTCATTTCCTGACTTGACATATAGAATAGCCAATGTGAAAGATGACTGTGCTCTCTCCTTTTCATTACTACTTGTCTCCAATAATTGTTCAGCTGATTCAATCATGTCACTTGTAATAAACTTTTGCTCTTCCTCCAATGATTTTTCCAGAAAATCCAAATATTCATCTTCGTCATTTCTATCCAATTTTCTAGCATGATGAGTTTCCATATTATTATCAACAATAGTTGTTGTATTCTTATTATAATCTACACTATTAAAATATTTATCATAACCATTAATAAGTGGTGATTGAATAGTTGGATCAATCAAATTATTATCATTTGATATGCTAGTTGTTTCGATTTGTAGTTGTGATGAAGAATTGTTATCCGAAGGTGCAACATCACTATCATGATCGGCAGTTGAAGCACCAATAGCACTAGTACTGATGGTACTGCTATCCAATTCTCTTTCTTCCTCTGATTTTGGTGGGCCAATGTAAACCATTTTTATTCTTGTTGTTTTTCTATTAATAATTTTCAAGTATTGATTGCTTTCTAATTGAGTTCTATGTTTTGTAAAATTATCAAAATTTGTAATTGGCTAATAATTAGTGTAGAGTAATTTAATAAATTAACAGTCAATTAGAAGGGTAATGATGTGGAATTTGTTTTTTTAATATTTGCATTGAATTTCATCATGATGATGATTTGAAAAAGTAATACGCCAATCAAATATTTACACAAATTAATATCAACTCCATATCTTGACAATACTCTAAATTCATCCGAGTCAATTAGACAACTTATTTCTTCATGAAGAGAAGAACCACATCATCACAACTGTCGGAGGGAAAAAAGTAAAAAATTTTCTTCATCAATAGGAAATAGAAAGAGAAAATAGCGCACATAGGCATTCTAGTATTGAAATGAATGTATTTTCAATATAATCCCTTCATTCTCATCATTGAATTTGCTATGAAGAGAAAGGTGACTTGCCTCTGGCGACAATAAAAAGCTTTGTAACAATTTGTTGTTGAAGAAAAAAAATGTCATCAAAGTCGAAGAAGGGTAGTAGTTCCGGAGAAGAAACACTTACTCGTATTGCTATCGTTAGCGAAGATCGATGCAAACCAAAGAAGTGTTCTCAAGAATGTAAAAAATCATGTCCTGTTGTTCGTATTGGTAAACTCTGTATTGAAGTTAAACCAACCGATAAAATTGCCTTCTTATCTGAAGAATTGTGTGTTGGTTGTGGTATTTGCGTCAAGAAGTGTCCATTTGAAGCTATTCAAATTATCAACTTGCCAAAGAACCTTGAAAAGGAAACCACTCACAGATATGGTCCAAACTCTTTCAAACTCCACAGATTGCCACTTCCACGTCCAGGACAAGTTCTTGGTTTAGTCGGAACCAATGGTATTGGTAAATCAACAGCTTTGAAGATTTTAGCTGGTAAGGAAAAGCCAAACTTGGGTCAATTTGCCAAGCCACCAGAATGGACAGAAATCTTGGCCTATTTCCGTGGAAGTGAATTACAATCATATTTTACTAAACTTTTGGAAGATAACTTGAAGACTACTATGAAGCCACAATACGTCGATCAAATTCCTCGTGCCGTCAAGGGTAAAGTTCTCCCTATGCTTAAGAGTAAGGATGAAAGAGAAGTTTTGCAAGATCAAATTGAAAAGCTTGATTTGGGAAGTGTTTTGGATAGAGAAATTGGTGACTTGTCTGGAGGTGAATTGCAACGTTTTGCTATTGCCATTGTCTGTGTTCGTAAAGCTGATGTTTACATGTTTGACGAACCATCATCATATTTGGATGTTAAACAAAGATTGCAAGCTGCTCAAGTTATTAGAGATCTTTTGAGTCACGACAACTATGTTATTGTCGTTGAACACGATTTGAGTATTTTGGATTATTTGAGTGACTTTATCTGTTGTTTATATGGTGTTCCTGGTGCTTATGGTGTTGTTACTATGCCTTTCTCTGTTAGAGAAGGTATTAACATTTTCTTGGCAGGTTTCGTTCCAACTGAAAACTTGCGTTTCAGAGAAGATGCTTTGAACTTCAAGGCCAGTGAAAATCTTGAAGAAATTGAAGAATCTGCCTCAAGAAAGACCTATTCTTATCCTGCTATGAAGAAGTCTTTCGGTAAGGCTTTCGAATTGAGCGTTTGCCCTGGTTCATTCTCTGCTTCTGAAATTGTTGTCTTGTTGGGTGAAAACGGTACTGGTAAAACTACTTTCATTAAGATGCTTGCTGGTAAGGAACAACCTGATGATCCTTCTGTCAATGTTCCTGAATTGAGTGTTTCATTCAAGCCTCAAACTATTGCTCCAAAGTATCCTGGTTCAGTTAAAGATTTATTGTTGACAAAGATTAGAGAAGCTTTCTCTCATCCTCAATTCAATGCTGATGTTTTGAAGCCAATGAGTATTGGTCACTTGATGGATCAAAGAGTTCAATTCTTGTCTGGTGGTGAATTGCAAAGAGTTGCCTTGGTTTTGGCTTTGGGTACTCCTGCTGATGTTTATTTGATTGATGAACCTAGTGCTTATTTGGATTCTGAACAACGTCTCCATGCTGCTAAGGTCATTAAGAGATTCATTCTCCACACCAAGAAGACTGCTTTCATTGTAGAACACGACTTTATCATGGCTACTTATCTTGCTGATAGAGTTATTGTCTATGAAGGTGTTCCTTCAGTTAAGGCTCTTGCCAACTCTCCACAAGCTTTGCTCAGTGGTATGAACAAGTTCTTAAAGTCACTCAACATTACTTTCCGTCGTGATCCAACCAACTATAGACCACGTATCAATAAGTTGAACTCTATGAAGGATAAGGAACAAAAAGAACAAGGAAATTATTTCTTCCTCGATGATGATGAAGATGAAGAAGAAAAGTCAAACAAGAAGAAGACTGAAAAGAAGAATACTGAAAAGAAGAAGTAAATTAATTCCCTAATACTAATACCCAAACCAATTCCCTCCCAAAATTTTGGTTCTCCCTCTTTAACAAATAGCTACTCTAGTAAACAATAATTATTTAATTCATATTCCAATTCTTTAAATCAATATTTCTGAACTACCTTATTCGAATCTAGATTAGGGATGTTGCTCTAACAAAAATTTGAATTGGTAATTTACAATAGTGGTGAACTTGTCTCTAAAAGGTTCTCAATAATTATTCAATTTCTTACCCCAGACCTCAATTTCTCTGCATAACCACAACAATAAAAAAATTAGCGAGAATTGAAGGTAGGTGTCAGCATAGAATGTTCCCATATTCATAACCATCCTACTGTAACTGAATTATATTATCATCACAAATGTTATTAAAATAATACCGTCACCAACTTCATCATACTATTTGGTGTTTATCTGTCAATACAATGAACGGAATATTTTAATGACCATTTTGGAATTATTGGATGAATTGATCACCATATAGATGGGTTATGATTTAAAACTTATTAGTTGTTCTGCCAGTGAATCAATTGCTGAGAATATTGCACAATATTTGGATGTCAAAATTTGTAAATCAAAGAAAGTCAAATTTGCTGATGGTATGTAAATATTCAAATAATCGGAATGAAATTATAATACAAGGATTCAATTATAGGTGAATGTTATGTACAAATCAATGAAAATGTTCGTGGAAGGTAAATTTCAAAGATAACATTTTGCTAATAATTATTTCAGTGATGCTTTTGTTGTTCAATCCATGTCTGATCCAGTTAATGATAATTTCATGGAAATGTTGTTGATGATTGATGCTTTGAAGAGATCTAGTGTGAATAGAATTAATGTTGTCATTACTTATTATGCATATGCAAGACAAGACAGAAAGACCAAATCAAGAGTTCCAATTAGTGCAGCTCTTCTTGCTAAATTAATTGAAGCAGCTGGTGCTGATCACGTAGTTTGTGTTGATTTGCATGCTGGACAAATTGAAGGATACTTTTCAATTCCAGTTGACAATGTCAGTGTTGGTCGTTCAGTTTTATCTGCATTGATTAGAAAAGTTCATGATTTGAGTCCAAAATTGACAATTGTTTCACCTGATGCTGCAGGTGGTAGTAGAGCTGATGTTCAATTGCAATATGTTACAAAGCATTATGAAAAATTTGGAGATGCTCAAATTGCTGTCATGAACAAGTGGAAGAAGGCTAAATCTGCAACCAACACTGATTGTTGGAATGATTTCAAACCAGCTAGCTCTGCACCAAATACTTTGCCAACTAAGGATGATAAGTTACCATGGCTTATGGAACTTGTCGGTGAAGTTAATGGAAGAGATTGTATCATTGTTGATGATATTGTGGATACAGCTGGTACTTTGTGCAGTGCTGCCAAGTGTTTGAAGGAACAAGGAGCCACCAGAGTTTTTGCCTGCGTAACTCACGGATTGTTGAATGGACCTGCTCTTCAAAGAATTAACGATTCCCCAGATTTGGATATGCTTATCATTTCCAATACTGTTAATCAATCTGAAGAAGTATTAAGCAGTTCCAAGATTATGGTTGTGGATGTAAGTGAGGTTTTGGGTGAAACCATTCGTCGTATCCATAATGATGAATCTTTGAATAACATTTTATTCCAGAAATAAACAACATATTTATTAAACAGAAGGATTGCAGAAGAAGTAGAATTGTTGAATCATGATAATATACTCGATATAACCAACTTGAAAAAGTAGTGTTAATATTAAATTTTGAATTGAAATAGCTCAACTTACCAAAAGATGCACCAATAAGCGGAATTCTCTTGAATATTGGTAAAAGGATTGACTTTAAGATTCTTTCCATTACAATTTCAAATAATGGTCCTCTGTACAAATAATGGGAAAGACTGCTTGTTCTTCTATTCAATTCCTCCTCAATTGTTGACCCAACTTCAGGTGGAACAGAAGGAGATTTTTCTTTAATATCTTTCTTTACAATTCTGATAGCTCTTCTTGTCAAATAAATAGATGCAAGCTCGATGATTAGAGACACAATAAATGGTATCCATGATTTAAATCCATACTTGGAAAGAAGGTAGGCTAGAATATTTTAGAATTTCCAATATTCAAACTAGTGTGAAAAACTTACAATAAACTACTGGCCTTAATGAATACAAGGTATCTGATATGTACATGAGAATTTTACCAAGTGAACCCTTCAATTCTTCAGTTTGTGGGGAAAGTAACATGAATTTATCTCCATCAATATTTAATCCTAATTGTTCTCCCAATTGAGACGTGGTTGGTACATCATCATTTCCACTCTTTAGCATTGCCATTAATTGATCAGATGAAGGAATTTGTCTTCCACTCCTCGAGCCAACCTTTGGTTTGGCTTGATTTTTATAATTATTTGCAAACTTTTCCATAGAAGCAGATTCCTTGTCAAATGGGGAATACTTTGGAACTACTGGAAGGAAAGATGCCATTGGAATATTACTGGCCTGTTCATCAGGTGGTAGGATGTTATAATTGAGGAAGAGTGGAGTGTTGGTTTTGGATTTAGAGGTTGCAAATAATTTAATGATTGCTCTATTTTGGTTAGTAATAGAATTTTGAAAACTTACTTGACAACTTCAGTCATAATTAACAAATTCCAATAATTCTTTTTACCATTCTCTCCATATGTTGATCTCTTTTTGAAAATAATTTCAACAAGTAGAATGAAACACTCGAGTAATCTTAAATATTGACCTGCTCTGTGATATGGTGAAAATCTATCATCTGATTGAATTCTCTTATTTTGCAACTTGTGCTTATCAGAGACGTAGTCTTGATACCATCCAATTACAGAAATCACAGTTGAAATCTTTTCAGTTTCATAAATATCATTCAAGAGTGACAAAGTTTCAGAACTTTCATTTTCAACGTCAACATCTGTTCTTGTTTTACTTCCCAGATACATTAAATTACCAAGACTTTTCATCATTTCAATTCTTCCCTTATTACTAATAATTAACTTTTCGAAAAAGTTCAAAATTTTAGATGGTACACTTGTCAATGTAAATTCAGAATCATTCTTGTCATTTTCCAATGATGCTTGTTCATTACTTCTATTTTCTTGAATTGTGGAATTTCTTTCATTTCCTCTTCTGACAGGTTCTTCCTCTTCAATTGTTAATTCCTCAAATCTTGGAGTTTTAACAGGCTTTTCATAAATTTTAGGTGTTGATGCTTGTGTAGTATTTGGTGTTTTTAAATCCTCTTCTTTAATTTCATCACTAACATTAGGCTTTTTCAATTCATCATCACTATTAATTTCCTCCTTTTCATCATCAATTGTAAATATATTTGTTGGTTCGCATTGTTCATCGTCATCAATCTCAACTCTATTAAATTGTTGTTCTTGCTCTCGTTGATTATCCACAATTACCAAAGGCTCTGATGATGAGGAAGGAAGAGTTTCATCTTTCTCCGAGGCTTTATCAAGGATATTTGTTATTGTATGTTGCATCAGTGAATTAGCATCATCATTACTATTATTATTAGCCTCTTGAAAATCATCATCATTAATTGTCAGTCCGACCGAGATGTGATGATCATCAGCAGTTGCCAAAAGATTTACTTTAATTTTCCTTTGAGTTGTTTGCGTTGACATTTTTTTCTCCTATTATTTTATTAAATACTGTAATTTTCCTATTTAAAATCATGTATTGGATATTATTACAAATTTATTTAAAATTATTATCTTGTTAATATAAAAGATTAAATACTATTGAATAAGAACAATAAGAGAAATCAATATTTAAAAAAAATGACTCAACAACCAATTCAATCTCGTCCTATTTTATATCTAGTAGGTGATTCCCTCACTGAATATTCAACAAAGCCTGAAGGTCTTCATTCCCGATTATTAAATTGGATGAACATTAAAGTAGATATTATTAATAGAGGTTATTCAGGCTGGAATACTGATTTGATGAGATTGGCCTTGGAAAAACATTTTGATCAGAGTTTCAATTTATCTAATTCGGAAGATTATAATATTTGTGTTTTTATTTGTTTGGGAGCTAATGATGCTTCTAGTGCTGAATTACCACTTCCTAGACAACATGTTCCATTGGAGAGATTTGGAGAGAATTTGAAAAAGATTATTGAAATGTTGAAGAGTGGATTGAAATGTAAAAAGTTGGATGTCTTGTTGTGCACTCCTCCACCGGTTAATACTCAACAATATGCTGAATTTGTGAAAAAGTCTTATAATATGGATGTACTTGTGAGAAGTAGGGAGTTGGTAGCTCCATATGCCGAAAGTGTTAGAAATATTGTGAAAGAGTCTGTATCAGATGATAAGTTTAAGGTTCATTTGGTGGATTTGTGGACACACGATTGGGAATCTGAAGAATGCTTTACGGATGGTTTACATTTCAATTCTAAGGGATATGAAATCATGTTCGAAAGTTTGAAACAAACAATTAAGAGCAGTGTTCCTAATTTCAACGGTGACTCAATGCCATTTTCTCATATGTATTGGAGAGATTATCTTGATTATTATTCTAAACAAGATTCACAATAATTCAAAATATTGATATTATAATGTGAGCATATCTTGCTAATTGATCATCCTTATTGAAACCAACAACTTGGAAGGATATTGACTTTACTAAACTCAAAAGATAATGTTACAATCTCATTCGTGTCGCAACCTTTTTCTGGATGATACATTCACCCGCTCATTAATTAGCAGCATTGACGTATCTTCATCCAAACATGGGATCACTATTCAGCGTGATAGCTTTTTATCCGTTCTCCAAAAACCTATGTTAAATTCTTATTGGTTATGCTCTCCTTGTGTTCTCCACCGTGATAGTGTCAAGAATTGAGAATGAATTGAATATTTATCTTTAAAAAAAATGACAAAGGGAGGTCAACTTGGATTTGCTTTGATATGTTTGTTTTCATTGTGTCTATTGTTGCATGTTGAGCATGTTTGGATGTCTCGTCCTAATTGTGCCTCAACAATCAGCACGACCAGTGCCAAAACAAGTGATTCATTTAAGAAGAACACTCTCCAAATGCATGCAACTGAAGAAGAAGATTTTGAAATGATGCATGCAGTTACTGTCTTGGGCAGAGGGGGTGGTCGTGGTGGCAGAGGTGGCAGAGGTGGCCGTAGTGGTCGTGGAGGTACGAGGAGGTAAGGGAGGTAGAGGTGGATCTGCAGGTCGTGGAGGTAGAGGAGGTAGAGGAGGTCGTGGAGGCAGAGGTGGAAAAGGTGGAAAAGGTGGACGTGGAGGTAAAGGTGGTAAAGGTCGTGGACGTGGTGGAAGAGCTGGAAAATCAGGTAAAGGTGCAAAAGGTTCTAAAGGAGCCAAATCATCTACTGCCAAGTCAACCAAAGCCAGCAAAGCCCAAGGAAGAAGATCTAAAACATCCGTTTCAGCTTCTCGTTTGGGAACAGCAACTGGATTCACCTCCATCTCCTCTATCAGTCAAGTTAAAGAGCAAAAGGAGACCAGTAGAACTGGAACTAAATCAGAATCAGGAGGTTTACGTTTCTCTAATGCTGCATTGTTGACAGCATTGAATTCTCCTGCACTATTTAATGGTATTCTTGGACCTACTTCATTGGATTTACCACAAGTTCAATTCACATCATATTCTAATACAACATGTGTTGCATGTCAAGTTGAATGTAAAAAGAAGTGGAATGGTTTGGGACATAGATCTCTCTTTACAACATGCAAACATGAATTTTTCTATTATGGATGTGAGAAGGCAACACCATGTTTGAGAACTAATAGTGCAACCACAAAAGAAACAGAATCGATGATTGCCATCTGTCTACACAGAAATGAATGCACATTGGAACCAAGTATTACTTTGGAATATTCTCAAAGATACAAGAATAGTGCTCTTTCAAAGATGATTGCAGATATTGCAACTTCCAATCAAGATCCAAGAAATTAAACTTGTTTTTTACTTGGAAATTGATTAATATTGTATTCTATTGTATGCAAAGTTATCAGATCAATTCATAAGATCAAATAAGATTCCAATAACACAGACGATATAGCAAGTGTTTCTCAGAAAGTAACGAAATGAAGAAACTTGATTGTTAAAAGGAATGAGTGAAGTTGCTGATTTCAATTTAGACGATTCGTTCTCTAGAAATGACTCTTCGAATATAATGAGACAGTGAACAAATCACTTTTCAAAAGAAACTTAACAGAAAAGAAATGGCTCAACACATCTGGCA